GGATATCTGCGCGCAGAACGACATTGTGAAGGGAGAAGCTGGCAGTTGGGCCGTGAGGGAGATGTGAAATGGTGAGGGCGGTGGGAGTACCACGGTGCTCGTGGAGGAGGAGCATATCGGTCAAGGCGGCGGAGGTTGCGCTGGAGACCATATCTCCCAGAACGAGGGTTCCACGGTTGAGACGGATAGCGGTGGGGAGAAGAAGACGGATTTCCTTTGCGAAGGCACCGAGGCGAACAGAGGGGGAGCGAGAAGTGGTGACCAGAGGACGGGGATCGATAATTCCGGATGTTAAAACGTATTCGTCGTCGATGTCCATCTCAGTGTCGTCTTTTGATTCGTCATATTTGAAGTCCGCTCGAAGAGCCTTATCGTCTGCAATCGTGGGATCCAAAGGCTTTCCAGAAGCCAATGAAGCTTTCAGCTGGGCTCTTTTCTCAGCAATGGAGGCATCGCGGAGCAGCAGAGCTCTCCGGTAGAGATAATCGCGACGTTCGCGGGTTTGACGGCGCTGTATACAATGAGTATAATGTCAAATTTCCATGCGATGAGTACTTACCAGCATTTTGTCGAGTTGGAGAATGTTGAGGTGAGAGGCGGGTAACTTTTTTTTCTTAACTCCGGCGCTGCGTCTTTGGCTCGTCTGCGTAGCCGGAGTGGGATCGCACCGATAAAGAATCTGGGTTGCGGAGGGCTTCTCATCTAGACAACCTCACCTCTCTTTTGTTCGAGAGAGCTCGATGTATGACATCTCACAGACTTTCTGATAATATATTGCTAATGCTTACATGTCTAGTTCTCCCCCCGCTCCTCTGCCCCTCCGGCCCTGACTGCAACCCTCCGAGGACGACCGGATTGTCCTCTACGCTCTTTTATTGCTTACGACTTTCAAATCCTTTTCTTGTTCTCGCCTGCGCTTTCAGCTTTTCGTTTTCATTTTGCTTCCGCGCTTCTTTCACTCCGACCCTATCACCACCAACTTCCCAGATCAGCATTCATAATGAGCTATCGGCCGGAAGATCCCTCAACGGGGGCGGAGATTGATGAGCATGACCAGACTGCACTTGGCCGCGCAAGGCCGAGGCTTCACGACGACGAAGATGAAGGCTCCGATAACTTTGAAGACGACGATATGGAAAGCACAGTGGGTGCGCCAGTGAATGGGAACCAGAAGAACCAAGGACATGGCGATGAAGAAATAGAGCTTCCTGCCCATGCATGCGCGTGAGTCTCGCCTCTCTTCTTGATATGTGATTTTACTAAGATTTAATAGATACTGCGGCATCCATAACCCCAGCAGAGTCGTCAAATGTCTTTCATGTAACAAATGGTTCTGCAGTGCTCGTGGAAACACCTCCTCGTCTCATATTGTCAATCACCTTGTCCGCGCTCGCCATAAAGAAGTTCAGCTTCACCCGGCATCCTCATTGGGTGATACCATCCTCGAATGCTACAACTGTGGCACCAAGAATGTGTTCTTGCTTGGATTCATCCCCGCTAAATCAGATACAGTGGTTGTGCTTCTTTGTCGCCAGCCTTGTGCCTCTATGCCTTCCTCCAAGGACATGAACTGGGACACTTCACGCTGGCAGCCACTTATCGAGGACCGCTCTTTCCTCCCCTGGTTGGTGGGAGCGCCCACTGATCAAGAGCAACTCCGAGCCCGCCACCTCAGCCCACAGGTTATTGCCAAATTGGAAGAAATGTGGAAGGAGAACAGCAATGCGACCCTCGAGGATCTTGAGAAAGCCACCGCAGTAGATGACGAGCCTGCCCCAGTTTTACTTCGCTACGATGATGCCTTCCAGTACCAGAACATATTTGGACCACTCGTTAAGATCGAGGCTGATTACGACCGCAAGTTGAAGGAATCCCAATCTCAAGACGGATTGATCGTGCGCTGGGATCTCGGTCTTAACAACAAGCATCTTGCTAGCTTTGTCCTGCCCAAGCTCGAGCTGGGAGATGTGAAGCTGGCTGTTGGTGATGAGATGCGCCTCAAGTACAACGGTGAACTGCGTCCCAAGTGGGAAGGAGTTGGCTACGTTATCAAAATTCCTAACAACCAATCTGATGAGGTGACCATTGAATTGCGCGCCAAGGGTGATCACAAGTCAGTTCCAACAGAATGCACTCACAACTTCATGGCAGACTATGTCTGGAAATCCACTTCCTTTGACCGTATGCAATGCGCCATGAAGACATTTGCCGTTGATGAGATGAGTGTCTCTGGTTACATCTTCCATCGCCTTCTTGGTCATGAAGTTGCGGCGGCTCCCATGAAGACACAGATCCCGAAGAAATTCAGTGTTCCTGGTCTGCCTGATCTGAACGGCAGTCAGATTAACGCAGTGAAGAGTGTTCTGCAGCGCCCCCTCAGTCTGATCCAGGGTCCACCTGGGACTGGTAAGACCGTCACCTCGGCCACCATCATTTACCACCTTGCCAAGATCAACGGAGGTCAAGTGTTGGTATGCGCTCCATCCAACGTTGCGGTTGACCAGCTTTGTGAACGTATACACCGAACAGGTCTCAAGACTGTCCGTGTCACTGCCAAATCCCGCGAGGATGTAGAGTCTGCCGTTGGTTTCCTTTCACTGCATGAGCAGGTTCGCATGAACGACAGCAACATTGAATTGGTAAAGCTCAACCAGCTTAAGGCTGAACTTGGTGAGTTGTCTAGCCAGGACGAAAAGCGCCTGAAGCAACTTACCCGGTCTGCCGAGCGCGAAATTCTCACCAACGCGGATGTCATCTGCTGTACTTGTGTGGGTGCAGGCGATCCTCGTCTCTCCAAGGGCAAGTTCCGTACTGTTCTGATTGACGAGTCTACCCAATCCGCCGAGCCAGAGTGCATGATCCCATTGGTTCTTGGTTGCAAGCAAGTTGTTCTGGTTGGTGATCACCAGCAGCTTGGCCCTGTTATCATGAACAAGAAGGCTGCCAAGGCTGGCTTGAATCAGTCTCTGTTCGAGCGTCTCGTTATCTTGGGCTGCTCTCCTATCCGTTTGAACGTTCAGTACCGCATGCACCCGTGTCTTTCGGAGTTCCCCTCGAACATGTTCTACGAGGGCTCTCTGCAGAACGGTATCACTATTGCTGATCGTGTTCGCCGTGATGTGGACTTCCCCTGGCCCATCATTGATGACCCCATGATGTTCTGGTCCAACCTGGGCAACGAAGAAATCTCGGCCTCGGGAACCTCGTACCTGAACCGTACCGAAGCAACCAATGTTGAGAAAATTGTTACCCGTTTCTTCAAGGCAGGTGTTCAGCCCAAGGACATCGGTATTATTACTCCCTACGAGGGACAGCGTAGCTACATCGTCAGCTCGATGCAGGCAAACGGTACTTTCAAGAAGGAGCACTACAAGGAGATTGAGGTCGCATCTGTCGATGCCTTCCAGGGCCGAGAGAAGGATTACATCATTCTATCTTGTGTGCGTTCCAACGACCACCAGGGTATCGGTTTCCTGAGCGATCCTCGTCGTCTCAATGTCGCCCTTACTCGTGCCCGTTTCGGTCTGGTCATCCTCGGAAACCCCAAGGTTCTCTCCAAGCATCCTCTGTGGAACTGCCTTCTGCAACACTTCAAGGAACGACACTGTCTCGTCGAAGGACCCTTGTCCAACCTCCAAGAGTCTTTGATCCAGTTCAGCCGTCCCAAGCAAGCCTACAGAGGCCCCCAGCGCTTCCAGATGTCTTTCAGCCAGGCTAACAATGCCCCCAACAGCGCTGTCAATGGTCGCAACGGCCATCGCAATGAGTATCATGACTCTGGATCTGTGGTCGGCTATATCCCCGACGATGTGTCTTCAGTTCACTCATCTGCTCTTGGTGGCGTTGGTCTTCCCTCTGGTTACCCGCCTATGTTCCAAAACTTCGGCGACGGCTGGCCTTCCATCTCTGGTGGTCGCCGTGCAAACGGTGGCCGAGCGAAGGGGGCTCCAAGTGTGGCTGGAGAGTCTGTCGCTGCCACTGAGTCCGACGTCACCAGCAGCATTGTTGATGGACGTAGCGTTGACCAAGGCGGTGTCAGCCTCGCTGGCCTCAGCATCAACGACATGAACAAGCAGCCCAGCTTGAGCCAATCCGACCGTCTGAAGCGCTATGTGGAGTCTGGTGGACGCGAACCTTACAGAGCTGGAGTTCCCGACAATGGAAGCATCTTCGGAGGTAGCTCAGCCAGCATTCGCGTAACCCGTGGTGCACCCGGCCAGAATATTCACGATGACGATGACGCTCGCAGTGTCTCCACTGCTTTCGCCAGCCAAGTCGGCGGTAACTACGACTGAGTGAACACCCTCGTATATAATACGTTTCAGGGCAATCTCCAACAGATTCATTCTCCTACCACTCGGAGAAACAATGTCCGCAATAGCTACCAGGGTTCTTTCCAACAGAGTCTGCCCGCCAGTTTCTTCCATGCCGATCAGAACTTTGGATCGGTGAAACCAGGACTTTTCGGATGCTCATTCTTGGCTTCGCTTAACTGCCAGAAGAGCACCGTTACGTCGGGTCGAAGGACAGCCCTTGGTCTGATCCCTCGTCATTGCCACCTCAGTATTCCTACAGAGCGTGACTTTCAGACGGATACGACGATGATCGCCCAGTATTCTTCTGTTCAAGAAATTTACAAGCATCCCCGTCAATTTTCGATGCTCAGTTCAGATAGCCCCGGTAGCAATTACCGGGCGACTCTGCGAATGTTTCCCTGCCCCTTGGCCTTGATCCATACTTGCCACAGTAACTCTATCGCTAAGACTGTCAGGTATCTAGCTCAAAAAAAATCAATGCCAAATATCATCCCATTCGTATACGTAGATATGAAATCCAATATTTTTACCTCTAATTCTCGAAGTACCAAGTGATTCATCGACCATATAATTCACTCGGTATTCTTAGGGCTAATCCGTTGCCCCGCTTTGGTCCCTTCAGCCCCCTCAATACCTCAACATCAAGTCCTGGAATCCCCAAATCAGCCAGCCAGATCAGCCGAAATGGAGACCTCAATGATTTCTATCGGCACACACCGGCTCTTCTACACAACCAGTGGTACCCCGCGAGGCCCCGATGATCCTCTAGTGGTAATCATCCCAGGATCAGGCGATGTCGCCTCCAGCTACGCAGCTCTAGAACCCCTAGTATCCCAATTCGCCCAAATACTCCTATACGACCGCTCAGGTCTAGGAAAAAGCGAAAGCGGACCGAATCGCATCTCGGCAGTTGCATCCGCAATAGAATTACACAGCCTTCTCCAAGCAACTCAACAGCAAGGTCCAATAATCTTAGCCGCCCATTCCTACGGTGGTCTTGTCGCAAGAGAATATCTACATCTCCACCCAGAAAGGGTCTGTGGAATGGTTCTCTTCGAAACCGCAACCGAGAACAACCTCGATTTCTTCCAAGTCCCGGATCCGAATATTGCTGCCGTAGTAGGTGACCTCAAGGTATCCCAGATTACAGGCTTGCGAGCAGACTCAGTTCTAACCCGAGATCAATGGCGGCAAAGGGCTATGGAAATGGCTCGTGGTGCTGTTGCCGGAGAGGCAGAAGCAAATTCTGCTGTTGAAGTTTGCCAGACTCTTGGCGAGAAGAAGCAGTTTGAACGACAGGCTTTGGGCGATAAGCCTTTGAGCGTGATACTTTGCAAAAGTGTGACGGAGTATGAGCGGATCTTTGAGAAGGGCGTCGAAGCGGGTAATGGGACGACAGCGCAGCAGAGGACGTTTCGGAAATTGTTGGATGGGTGGGAGGTAGCTGCGAGGACGCTAAGTGAGGAACAGTTGCGGCTTTCTTCGAGAACTCATTTTGTTTATTTGCCAGACTGTGGGCATAACGTTCATCTTATCAGACCTGATGTTGTGGCTGAGGAGATTCAGTGGGTGCTTGATATGGTACGGGGCAGAGATGTTCAGAAGCTTTAATTTCATCTAGGGCTATGATCATCATGGTCTTTTGACTTGAGGCTTGTCTTTTGAAATGGTCTTGTTGCCAGCACAACCTACCAGTATCTTTCAAGTATTTCAGCCTACAACAGGGGCCATAAATATTTATACGGTGCCATGAAGTGTTGGACTCTCTCTATACGACAGCCTCGAAGCGAGCATATCGTCTTATGGATTGGTTTAGCCCAGCTTTGGCCTGTCTTTTTTCCAACTCTTTTTGCCCATTTTCGGCTTCCTAGGATTAATTATATAGATCGTATAAGGTGGAGGTGTGAAAGGACCCATGGCCTATGACTGTATGTATGCTCTGCTCCTTCCCCTAATTCTTCTTTTGTCCTTCCTGGCCATGGTAGCTGGCTGGATAAATGTATTGAACAGAAGAAAAGCTGAAAAAAAAAAAAAAAAAGTAAAATGACAGGCAGAAATGATGTTCTCCTGTTCTTTTAAGGTGTATGGATCTCATGTGCCTGGAAGGGTCAAGCCTTGTATTGAGTTACCAGAATAGGGCTAGCGGTGACCGAGTGGATATGTGGATATCGTGGGGAATTTGGCGTTGAATTCTATGAAGTACAGTCCAGACGACTCAAAGATATATGTATATCCGTGGGACAAGTCTATGAAGAGTTATTCTCAAACCTAAATCAAAGCCCGTGCCGACAATTGATCTCCAACGTGCTTTGTATTTGGCTGTTGCTGACGTACCCATTTCACAGCCTTGGAGCTGACCCTGACCACATCTCATCTTCTTTTACTCGCCTCGATCGATCGGTCGGACTTGGGCTTCTCATTACGCCAGTATATTTCTCGATCAAATTTAGCTCTTTGATACGATGTCATCCCTGACTCAAGCGGACATGCTACAGAGTGAAAGTGTGGCAAAGGAGAAACGAAAACCCGTCCGCCGCAATCCGGAGAAGAGACGACAACAGAATATCAAGGCGCAAAAAAGATATCGTAAGCTTACAGTTGGTAGTCTCTGAGAATTCAAGTACTTATTATTTGCTTAGGGGAGAAGCTTCGTGATCGCCTAAGCCATCTCGAGGCACTCGAAGCCTCGCAACGTGGTTCTGTTGAAGAAACGCTAGCTGTGAACACAGCTACATCTCAAGCGACTATAACTGAGGGATCACATATCACTACACAAGACCCATCAATTTATGATACTTCAGACATATACGCTCCCAGTCTATCCTCGGGGACTCAGGATTTCCATTACATTGTCCCACAGTTCGAGGATAACTGGTCAGCATTGAGTACGTGGGACTCCACGGCAATTATTTCACAGTCCGACGGCACCTCAACAGTGCCAAGCATATGGGGATCTGCAACACATACCTCACAATCAGAGAACAATACACCACCATCACTAAGTCCATGGGACACCACAGCACTCTTTTTACCGTCATTCGGCACCCAATCTACAACGGGAAGGTCGGATCCCATAGCCACAACCCACGTCGATCCTTCAGTTGTGGTGTGCGAAAAACACAATGACGGCTCAGACCCATACTGGACAACGAACATAGATTGTGGCTGCTCTATTCCACACATCCAAATACGAACACAAGGACCGGATCCATTTACCCTGAGAGGTCTCCGACTTTTGAGTTTTACACCGACTGCACGTATAGCAGATCCATATGTCAATACCCTTCGCCTCGAAACGGTGTGCACAATCTCAGCATTGTTCAATCTGGGGATGCATATCGGTATTACCGAGGAGATGATATGTGCTGAAGATTGTCGCTCGCCGTTTTACCGCTCGGGCGCGAAGTCTGATCATCCCATTGAAGCAAATACCATTGGCACGGTAAAGGGAATCTTCAAGGCGCTGAAGCCGGATCTGAGACCCAGCAGTGAACAGATTACCGTGGAGCACCATCCATATATTGATATTCTCCCCTTTCCGACTTTGAGGAAAAACCTCATCAGGCACCAACATCTGGAAGAATTTGACGAGGATCAGTTCTTTCTCGATCTTCTGGCTGGCTTGGTATGCTGGGGAGGTGCAGGTGTGGGGAGGAGGGATCGAGATCAGTCCACTGGGTTCGCTTCGACAGGTACACCGTGGGATGTCCGCAGTTGGGAAGCTAAGGTGTGGTTTTTGAAGAAGTATTGGACTCTGCTAGGTGGAAAAGATGGAGAGCTTGTCCGGCAAAGTGAGTGGTGGCGTGGTATTCGAGGGGAGGACACGCCGACTGAAATTGAAAGCGTATAGCAAGACGAATGTTTGATGCCAGGCAAATCACTCAGTTAGTGAGTCTTACTCTTCATAACAAAAATCTATATACTTCGACTTTTTCTTGGGTAAAATAATCTTTCTTTCACCTTTTGACCAAGCCTTGCTGTTCAGCATCATTTAAACCCCACTATCATCCAAAACAAGGATGGAAAGTTGGTATAAGCTAGGAATCGAGCTCGAAAACATACTCACAGCTGATGAATCCCCCTGCCTTGGGCAAGGTGACGAACTCCCTTTTTCTCGATATCTAGAAAAGAAATGCAACGCCATTCTTCCACCCGCCACTCAAATGGAAACCGAGGATATCCTGTGGGGCCGTATGCGCGACTATGCAGCAATACGACATTGGCTTATCACGAAAGTCTCAATTATCCAAAGGTTTGGTGACATAGTTGACCAGTGTACTCCAAGAAATCCCTATCATGTATGATAATCAATTTACTCACTACACTCAGGGAGAATCGAATTGGTATCGCCAATATTGGATCTTCGAGAGAACTGCCACTGGTGAGATCAAGTTCACGACATTTTAACGCACTCGGACAGGTTTGCACAATGACAGGCAATGATGCCTGCGGCATGCAGGTCCACGTGTCTCAAGGAGAAGGGAAATGGGAACTGAAAGATCTCCAGGCAATGAGCCACAACATAATCTATTTTGAATGTGCTATTGATGCCCTCCCCCCAATGGCTCGACGAGACACCCCGGCTGCTCCACGGAATAGCTGGGTGAGTGCATCTCTTCAAGAAAAATCATTGACAGAGTGTTGGGATTGCATCAGTGGATGTAAAACCACTGATAATCTCGTTCAGGTCATGAACAACAGTTTCAAATACTTTGCCTGGAACTTTTGCCCTCTCTTGAGTTTTCGGGGCGGCCACTGCAATGCCAAACGGACTATCGAGTTCCGAATAGCGCCACGGATAACAAGAGCAGATGAGTGTTTGGCACGGGTGGAGTTTGTTGTTGCTTTTATTCATGCCTCCATTTTTCCCAAGGCGAAGTTGGGTCGTTACATGCTTCGTGAATACACGCGGGGGGCCAGTGGCTTGTTTCAGTACATCACGAGCGTTCCGCTTCCTGGCTTCAATCGTGAGAGTTCGGAAAGTCCTTTTGCGGGGAGGCATGGATCGGTAATTCCTGTGACCCCGTATGATCCATGGGAGAGGAATTCGCGTGGCAAGAAAAGTACCAGGCCTTGGACGGGATTACTGTATGAACGAACAAGGAAGATGAACATAAAATGATTGAGATAGAGAATCAAATATTATCCGCGATAGACATCCAAAAGAAGTAATAATACGCTATGAAACTAGTATACAGAGCTTTTGAAAATAGTCCAACACAGCATACAGTGCACATACCCAGCCCACACCACAACTAATGACACGCTTTCCCATACTTCCTCAAACGCAAATAGTTATAAGGCAAAGGCGCCAAATACCCAGCCCCCATCGAGACAATGGCGGCCAACCAGAACTTTGGATCACCAAAAGCAACCAATCCACCCGTCAAATGATAATCGACAGCATTTTCCGCAATCTCCATGGCCAACATCGAAACCATGCTCATGCCCATAGCAGTACGAGCAGCCCTTACCCAAGGCAGCTGGTCAGCCCCACGATGGAGCAGGACTGTCTCGAGAATGATGGAAGTCGTGATACCAGACGCCACTGGGTCGATTATTAGCAGGGGTCATCATTATAAGCGGAATAGCTGGAAATAGAGAAGGGGACTCACTCGACATGGCCATGATGCTGCTCATGCCCAGTTCTGGGTAGTAGGTTTGAAGAACCCATAATGCAGCGAAATCACCAGTTGTGCAACCTACGAGACAGCGGAGAGTGTTGATTCCTGCTCTTCGCCAAGTGGATTTGCAGGTCCAGAATGGGAGACGGAGTGTTGACGAGGAGGTTGATGAGGGGTTTGTAATAGTGGTCTGGCTTTTGCAGGTCTTTTCTTCCTGCGGAACATTTGAAGAAGGCTCTTTATGACAAGCTCGTGTAGGATGGATGCTGCTGAAGGGGCGTATAGAGGCCCAACAAACCCCGGGGCTGCGTACGGTGAAGAGCGAGTGGCGTATTGGATTCATGTTGCGGAAGATTCGGAGATCTATGCACTTCCAAGCAATGGTTTTTACAAAACTCGTCGAGACAGAATGAAGCCGCGCTAGGTGGAAAGGGTGGAGCTTGGTTCGGGCCTGTAGCACAAATGCCGCGTTCAAATAATCAGATGTGACATTCCTCGCACAAGTATCCCAGTATGAGTGGAAGTTGAACTCTTGAGCTTAATGATGTTGCGGTGAATCAAAACATGCTAGTTACTATACAAAGTGAAGACAGAGTACAAACTGCGAGTTCACCCTTACACGGCTATCGAGTGGGGCGGGAAGACTAACATCCCATCTCACCCAACAGCGCCATTCACGCATTTAGTACGCTTGGCGTGGGTTCTTTTGCCAAACAGGCTCGGTCTCATGATGGAACATATTTGATGGCTGAGTTTTATGCTTCGTCATGCCGGGCAGTGTACAAAGCAATTTCTTGGTAAAGGAATATCCTAGTACATCGTACATGAAACTAGAGGTTCTCAAAATAGATAAGCATGAATATAGGGCCTGGTCAAGGCGCTGACATGCAGATCTTGATGCCCAGACAGAGGCAGTGTTTATTAGGCAGTACTATTCTTCACTACGCACATCCCCCGCTTAGCCAAGAGGGTCTATAGATCCCGCAAGGGTTTTTGTAACAGAGTTAGTAGTTTACGTCCGATTCTGAGATGAGCTGCTCTACATTGTATAGGTGCTTCTTCCTTTTAATTGGGTTTCCTGGTGTCTTCTCTGTCTTTTTTTCTGAACTTGATAATGTTGAGTGTGTTGTTGTCAGAGCTGCAAGATTCAATATGTTGATCCTCTGGCATAGCCATGATATCCACGCAATCATTCTTCTTTTGCCATCAAAACAACGCAGAATGTTCTGTTCCAATTGTCATCAAGGTCTGCATAGCCGGGTTGACAAGAACGGGCTCTCACTGGATCGCTTCCTGAACATTGGAATGTGAGTGCCTTTTTATAGAAACGCTAGCTGCGTGTACTTGAAAATGAGCCTATTGATCCTTTAAATATTAGATTGTTGCAGCCTAACATCGGGCATAGTGAACATCCATTGCAGCGCACTGCCCGATGCAGACCGCTTATATAAGAGTCACGTGTACTCACCGCCACGCGCCACGATTGCTTCCAATGTTCGAATGTTCCACCAAAGCCTTGGGAGTTCCGATGTGAGTGGCGATCCGTGACAGCTGGATGGCTGCCTGACAGGCCCTGGGCTTTGATACCTAAACCGGATCCGCCGACTCGGACAACAGGATTGGTAGTAATTATGAGTCACTGCTTGCTAAGCGCCACTGTAGACGTGGGATATCTCCGGACAAGGGCCGAACAAGGGATTAAAAGAAAGGGATTATCCAAGTATCCTGCATATATATATAAGCTCTGGCCAGTGATGAATTGTACTTCAGCTGTTCGGCATCTCCGCTAGAAAAAAAAGACAAGATCAAGATCGGCTGCGCCACAGTGGCGTCGAAAAGCACCTGACGCAACCGACCAACGTATAAATAGCCTGACGGATGCCTTGCTACCTGAAAATTTTGGCAACTCCCCATCCTCTGATATACATCCATACCTCGCCCTCTTTTCACCAATTTATTTCAGACCTTCCATAAACAAATCTTCGCACTTTCTTCTTGTCTCAACCATTCAGTCTTTCTGATTTTGTGGTTGTGAATTAAGACGCGTCTTTCCGGTATCTCTCTCAGTGGTGTGGGGTCAACTTCGCGATATGGGCGACGGCTCTGACTATCCTAGTCCAAGAAGTGAGGGTCCTAACGGAGCTCTTGCTGCTTCCATCCTTGCCTCTGCCTCTGAGCAATCTCCTCCGTCCGCCAGAATGTCTACCCACCACAGATCAAACGATTACGCAATTGCCAAAGTACACAACGAAGGGGGCATGAGCTACCTCGACGCCACGCGCCCACGTCTCTCCGTCCGACGCGCTCGCGATCCCCCCAAAAACTCCGAGGGTCAGATCTTCTGCGATCACCTTGACTGTCAAGCTGCTCCCCCGACGTTCCGCCGTCCTTGTGAATGGAAGTAAGTACAACTCTTGTTTCGTCTCTTGACGCGTCAAATACTAACTCGACTGTAGCAAACACATGGACAAGCATGATCGCCCCTACAAATGTTATGAGCCTAACTGCGACAAGATTCAAGGCTTCACATACTCCGGCGGCTTGCTACGTCACCAGCGTGAGGTGCATAAGAAAAACACCGATGCCAAGAAGGCCTTGATGTGCCCATACAACGATTGCAACCGCAGCACTGGCAATGGATTCACACGCCAGGAGAACCTGCGCGAGCATCTTCGCCGCCGCCACATGCACGGTGACGAAAACCCCCGCTTGTCGTGGACATGCCTTGGGACCGCGCAACTGAGCTGGAGGGCGTCGAGGGCGTCGAGGGTGTCCGTGCCCCATCTCTCCCTGTGACTGGTATCAAGCGCCGACACGATTCTCACGACGGTAATCTTCCCGAGACGGACGAGAACGGCACCGAGCTCCACCATGAAGTGAAGCGCCTGCGCCGTGAGGTCGAAGAGAAGGATCGCCGCCTGGAGGAGCTGGAGCGAATCGTTGCCGGCCTTCAGCAGGCTATCCCCCAGCAGCCCCCGACTGAGCCCGACCTGCAGCCTCTTTCTCAGCCCACTCCTCAGGCCGCCCCTCCTGTCTAAGCTTGCTCCTCACGGTTCAGACAGTCTACGGATCGATTTGCATCATGTGGGCGTTTATTGAAGCAAGCAACAACGGGCTTCAAAATAATCTTCTTCTGTTTTTCTTGATATGTGTAGCATTTTGGTTTGGTTTTTCTGGCTTTCCCAGATTGAAGTGTTTGCAAAGGGTCAACTGACTTTCCTTGTGGCGTTTAACTTGAGTGACGAGTTCATATGGGCCAGGCGGTGTTGTCTTCAGAGGTGGTTTACAGCTTTGTCTCGCCTCATATACCCGGGTGTTTGTTTCAATGTATCTTTTATTCTTTCGTTTTATGTTTTACCCATATTGCTTACCCCAGTGTTCTCATACAATCTCCTTAGCTAAACTATTGTTTCCCGTAAATATCTGTAATAAAATTGTCCCCACTCTACTAGGCACTTCCATATCTGTATCGGGACCCGGGGGTCATACGACGTGACACATGAACTGAACATCAACGACTTCGAGGCATCGAATCTCAGCCCAACAACCGTAGTACAAGGCAGCCAATAACGTAGCATAAGAAATCGATTCCTCAGGCGCCCAGGCGCCCATCGTATATCTCCAGGCAAACGTTCAGCCACCCCATCGGACCCCTTACATCGTGGATACCCACGAGGCCCTCACGAGGGCCTTTGACGTGTGCACGGTCATCTCGGAGTGAGATATGGCCCCACTGACATCCACATTCGCATCTAGATGCCCGGCGTTAAGAGGCAAGGCCGCTGTTAGGCGGTCGTTCACGGAGCTTGCGGTCTCCCGGCGGCTCATGAGGCACCACATCCAGTCATAGTCATGCTCTCGGGCAGTGGCACTACAGCCTAGCATGACTCTTTCGCTAAGGTAACAACGCTAGGCTGTGACTCATTATCGCTTGTGTCGTGGCATGCTTGACTCGATGTGAGGCTGATCAACGCGCTGTCACATGACTAGCTTGTTGGTGTCACGGATATTGAGATGTGAGTTTGTCTTTTGTCCTTGAGAGTTCAAATAAAAGATCCTATTCTCTGAGTCGACAGTGTGCTCTGTATGCGGAAGTGTAGCGGAAGGCCGCATCCGATAAGATGTCTTACATAATCAGCACGTTGATCCAGCCTCTCGTTTGCTTTGAAGACAATCCTTGTAGCTTCAACCAAAGGAATTTTGAATAAAGAGGTTTGAAGGGCTTCCGCTTGGGACTGCGGGGGATTTGGACGCACTACGACTCGGGCAATGGCCAGTTGCCCTCAACTCAACATCCGCAAGCAACCACCAAACTTCATAGCTCGCTCGCTATATGGCATCAACACTCAACACCTTACAAGTTATAGCCCGAGTGAAGGCAAAGGAACCCTTGCTTTCAGTTTCAGACCTCTCTTCGTGAACTCAGAGCATATTCCATCATCTGTTGAGCCACCAACACGGCAAGACGTGAAACGAGGTCCAACATTTACATCACCTCGCAGGCCGCAGCGCCAACCACGGCTCCATGGTCGGAATCTCACAAGGCACCATGCCTACTAGCAACTCAGATAGGGAAGTCCCAATGTCGCAAATGGACCAATCCCACTATATTCGCACGCAAGAATACACATCTACCCCGCGGTATCCGAGCACCAGCTCCCCCGCGTTAAGCAACTTCTACGGATTCAGCGGCGCGGGGGAAACAGACACAGTAATCGTGGACACAAAGTCGCTAGACCGATCAACGCACGAATTCGCCGAAGGCGAGTTCGTCTGCACGAACTTCTTCAACCGCGTCAATCTAGGCGGGTTCACGCGCCGCTTCAACTCCTCCAATGGAGCTACGAAATGCGCCGGCAGGCGCAGTCCATTCTGCCTTTCTTATCACTGGGTCCTTCTTCGTGTTTACGGGACCGCGATTACATTCGCAGTCAGGGATTCACGTTACTTCTCGCTATCCGGAATAAGCATTCGGCCCAGGCGCGTCTTGTTTCTGGTGATAAAGCTGCTGCAGAGTTAGGCATTATGGCGGATACGATCGACGTGCTCGATAATCAAGAGTTGATCTCTGCTTTTCCGCGTGCTATCCGCCGTATCAATGATCACCTCGCTGGCACAGATACGGATCCTAACTCCATGGCCTCGGAAGACCATCATAAGAGGAAGGTATTGGTGTTCTGTGAATCGGGGAATGAACGTTCAGCCGGTGTTGTCATCGCCTACATCATGGTCATGCTCAATGTCGACGTTGTCGAAGCTATCCACATGATCCAGCAGCGTCGGTTCTGTTCTTCCATCGAGGATCCGATGAAGCGTATCCTGGAGGCCTTTGGCTCGATTTTATCTGCAAAGCGTGATGTCGAACGGTCTAGGCATGTTGCTGCTCCGCGTGGAGCTGCGACTCTGGCGCCTCCGTCTCCGCCGCAGGTTCTTACGAAGAAGAGGAGTTTCCAGGATCATAGAGATGATGACCTTGCTCTTGGGGACGGGGAGATGGATGTTGATGGGGTAGAGGATGCTTGGTTTTCTGAGCGGAAGCCGAATGCTCCATTCCAAGACCGCATTGTGTGAGGGGTTGTCCTCGGGTTCTCGAGAACATTGATTGTTTACTGGGTGTTGAATGACGATGTCTTTGCTTCGTTTCTAAGCCAGGAGGACAGAGGCGCTGGAGACTTTAGCTGATCCGTGGGTATATTAACCACATTGCTTAAATGGTCTGGCTATATCTTTATTTATGCTTTATTGCTTCATGTCTCTTTCATGCAAATACCCAGCTGCAAATGACCATTGTTATTCTATTGTCTTCAGGTAAACCTTCATTGAAATGGTGTCCATCAGCCACAGGAGTGTGTATCCTCATCCATATCACCTGTATACTAGTATGTGTCTCGATCTATGGCCAAGACGAAAGACGTGGTCAATATCTAAGTCAGTCAAGTATCACGGTGCGCATATGCAGGTTGGTCAGTTCAAGCACCCGTCTGGACTTGACCTCAGATCAACCACCGTTGCCTACCATATATTTCTTCTTTCAGACGGGAATTCGCGCTGCCTCCAAATCTCTCGAGGCAAACACTTCCCACGCATTTGTCTCCACCCCACGCGCCATCTCCTTTCCCCCACGCACTTCTTCTTTCTCCCACGCATAGCCCTATCTCCATCACTTTCAGGCTTCATGCTCAGTTGCTTTCGCATATGACATGAGGCGCATCAGTGCCATCGTAAGTTCCCACCTTTGCGATTGACATTTCTGCGATTGAAAGCCTGACAATCCGAAGTTGCGCAAAGGCCTTCGTGAAATCTGATGCAAATCAACCTGACTTTCTCACCTGAAATCCAAACGTTACCACATGCTCACTTCAAAATGAGTGGGATGAAGCTGCGCGACAGCATTCGCGCGCCAGTTCGCTATGGCGATGGCGAAGCCCCGGAGATCCCAACGACTCGTAGCGTGCTACGGATAGGGCTCGACGATGGTGATGATGATAACGTGGAACTGAGTGACTCGAGCAGACCGCGTCCACAAACGAAGCGCAAGTCAACCACAAAGCCCTTCGACCCCAATATGCCGCCTGCTGCGTTCCCTTCACTTGACAGGCCCCATGCGAAGCCACAAGTCCGTCGACTCATCATCAAAATGCCTCAATCACGACGCCACAGTGGTACTGACCTCCCTCCTCCTGCTGCTGCTGCGCCTGAACAGAAACGGAGAGTGACATGGTGTCCCACTACGGTGGATAAGGTCCCAATGGATAACCTTGAAAACCATGTCGCCAGCAACAACGATTCGAACCCGGTTTATGTGCGCAACATGGCGGTCATGGCTGGTGCAGCCTTGAAGGACCGGTTTGATACTAGCGACGAGAACGAGGACACTGCCATGAGCGACAATGAGGACTTGCCTGATCCCACACAGATACTCCTCAGCAAGGTAAAGGTTTGCGGCTTCTAGTGAGATTGACGGAGACTGATGCCAGTGGGGTGATGTTAGATCCCGAACCCAAAATGGAGCGAGTTGAACAATGCACTGCAGGTGGAGATGGTGGACAGGGCGATGAAGACCATGACCTGGAGGACAGTCTGCACCAAGCTCGAGCTGGGACCAGAAGATCGCCAGAAACTTGCAGAATACATGGATACCCGAAACAAGCAAATCGAACGAGAGAACAAGCGGCTGGAGGAAATGCGGAACAAACAACGCGTGGCATTGATGAATATTGACAACAGCAACATCAAGATATTCGCTCCACCGCCTCAGCTAGTGCTGCAACGGATAATGCGACAGGCCACGCGAGAGACATTATTGGATCGGACCATGTACACGGATCTGATGCTGTGCACATCTGGGGATGTTTTGGCAGCCAGACAGTATCTGCATCAACATGGACTTCCTCGCAACTGGGCCGGCAACTGGGGCGATGGCATGATCGAGCTGCGAGAATCCGCAGTTGACTCCCAGGACCCAGATCAATTCGAATGGAAAGACGAATTGAAAGTGACCCCGCCTTTCGACACTGACAAGCGGCGCGTTAACCCAGCAATGCAGGCTAGAACCGACTTCATCCACGATGTTGGCCTGAGCGGGAGTGGGATCGTCGACCCCAGGATGCTGACACGACACAGTGCTGACCCAGAGCCTATTCAGGACTGGGGCAAATACTCCGGCCACTGTTATCCAGACCCAGCGGACCCAACGGGAATGGACCTAGATTCGAGTCGGACAAACCCTCGACACCCAGGAATCGTCAAGTTGAAGGTCGGTCGGCAGAGGGCGGCACAGATCCAGCAATACGAGAGAACAGGCACCAAACCCTATGGGTGGCCTGCGTATGGGCCAAGACCATCGCCCATCACTCTTTCCGCAGAAATCGATACTCCAGCCAGGGTGCGTCACAATCCTCTTGGACCTCAGTTCAGCCCCCGGCCCAATACCCCGAGTACTCAGCAACACATCACCCAATACATGCCTCAACCTCCCACTACATTCAGACACAGCATCCCTACCGCCCAAGAGAACAGTCCGTTTAGCAGATCCCTTGGAGGAAACTGGTTCTTCAGAGACCTCAACTGTGCAGAAAGTCAAGCGAGATTCAAACAACGCATGCAGCAAGCACATCTTAGCATGACAGAAAGACAGGGACGAGCCCAAGCCCAGCAATACGACTTCCAACCCAAACCGCGCGTTTCGGGCGTTAGCGCTGGAGGCAGTCCATACCGACGAACACAGCCCTACGCAGCAGTGCAGAACATTGCAAACGCCCAGGCAATGGTTTCTCGGGCAATCCCGCAGACCTTTCAGTATGACGCTTTCTGGTATGAGCACCAGAGGGCGAGGGCCATAGGCAACGGAAGCGGCGCGATGGACGAGTTTGTTTACAGTGATCCGATCATCATGCCCGAGGAGGAAGATGAGGATCCTAGCTTGACTGATCTGAGCTTGAGCTCTCATACGGAGGCCTCCATTGATGAGATGATGATGGTGCCCACTGATTCATGTTCCCCTTCGCAGTAGAGGGTGGATTCAGATGCGGAATGATTTGAACGATATGGACAATCTTGTTTTCATGTAAGATTAGTTGTGTGTATGAGTAAATGGCTTTTCCAAGAGAAAGAAGTTTACAAGTTGCGAGTGCATGTAGTTGTAGTTGCTTCGGTCAACTAATATAAACCTGGTCCGTGCGTCAAACGCGAAAATGCCGCGTTTGAAGGCGGCTGAGAATACATTGCATTTCGCCGCACGCTCGTTTGTATCGTTTGAAGTATAGGATTTCTGACGGGTTTTTGGAAAAAAATCGCGATCTTGGGTGTTCGATTTTATTAGCTCTCTCCGCGTCCACGCGAACCACTTTCCTCGCAACCGCTTTGCCCCTTCGCAGTACTCTGTACATGACGTACTTTCACAACCATCGCGATACCTTACACTGCCCATCCTCCGTTGATATTCCTACTCGATGATATCTGTCCGATACCATCTTTGCGGATTGCAATGAGTACCTCCATGACCCCCACCGATTCCCGTGCGGGCACAATGCAACCCGAGTCGACCGTCCCATCGTCCCCCATGACGAATGCGACGGACGCGGACGAGATCAATCCTCCCAAAGAAGATGAGGACCATCAAAAGGAAGAAATGACCGATGGCGAAGATGAGGAGCTGGATAGCAAGGCGAAGGCGTTGATGCACTTGTTGAAGACCAGTTCAGTACGTTGTCCACCGACGCACTCCTGGACGTGACATATTGCAGCCAATCTAACATTGTGTCTTTTCTGCAGGTTTTCGTCGCAATTATGTCGGATAAGATGAAAAAACAGCAGGAAGAGGCTCGCTTGGCTGCAACCAAACAGCGTGAGCAACCCACAGAAGATAAAAAGAAGGCGAAGGCTGCCCCCGAGCCTCAGCGACGAGCCACACGCACCCGTGCGAACCAGGATTCCACTCCTGAGGGAAAGCCAGCAAGCGACGGAGCCAATGGAAAGAAGACAGAGGCGAAACGTGGTCGGCCCAAGCGGGCATCTGCTGCTGCAAATGGCAGCTCGATCTCGAATTACTTCAAGAAAGTCGATGTGGAAGTCACTGAAGACAATCCTTCAGTCCAGCAGGCTCTCGAGCAAGCTGCGAATGAATTTGAAGCAAAACCTACTGCTCTGGGTGAACAAGAGTTGGTTGCTACACAGCAGCCTGGGCTTGTGACTGGTGGCACAATGCGCAAGTACCAACTTGAAGGTTTGGAGTGGCTTAAGTCGTTGTGGATGAACGGATTGTGCGGCATCCTTGCTGATGAGATGGGTCTTGGAAAGACAGTCCAGGCCATTTCCATGATTGCTTTCTTGAAAGAGAAGGAGGTCTCAGGGCCTTTCCTGATCGCCGCGCCATTGAGTACCTTGAGCAACTGGGTTGATGAATTCGCAAGGTGGACTCCAGACATTGAGACGGTTCTTTACCACGGTACCAAGGAAGAGCGAGCTGTCCTTCGGGAACAGCAGATGAAGGTCAAGAATCAGGCAACGATGAACTTCCCCGTTATTTGCACATCATACGATATCTGTATCAATGATCGCAAGTTCCTGTCACAGTACCAATGGCGGTACATTGTTGTTGTATGTTTGTTTGAATGACCCGCACCTTCAAGATGCTAATTGATCTATAGGATGAGGGCCACCGCCTCAAGAATATGGACTGCAAACTGATGCAGGAACTCATGACATACAATTCAGCCAACCGACTGCTCATCACGGGAACGCCCCTGCAGAACAATATTTCCGAATTGTGGTCCCTACTTCACTTCCTTCTGCCTGAACTGTTTAATGACCTTCGCTCTTTCGAGACTTGGTTTGACTTCTCTTCAGTCTTGGACAAGAAGGGTGAGACCGACGATGTTGTTGAGAAAAGGAAGCGCAAACTGGTCTCCAGTATGCATGCAATTCTGAAGCCGTTCTTACTTCGGCGTCTCAAGACGGATGTCGAGACATCACTACCTAAGAAGCGGGAGTACATCCTGTACGCCCCTCTCACCTCCGAGCAAAAGGATCTCTACCGAGAGATCATTACTGGAACTGGGCGCAAGTACCTTGAAGACAAGGCCCTGGAACGTTTGACCAGCAAGAGCGCTAGCTCCACGCGCTCTCAAAGTCTGAAGCGCAAGAGAAGTGGCAGTGAAGAAAGCACTCCATTGAAGAGCATGAAATCCAGCGAGATTTCCACGCCTGCTCCTGATGGCCCTATCTCCAGCCGAAGCCGTCGCCGTCGCGGTAAGCGCCACGAGTACAAAGAGCTCACTGACGGTGAATTCGACGAGACGCTGCGGAAGATGGAGTTGGGACTTGAGGAAGCCCGCGAAGAGGTTCAGCCGAGTGACACTGAGCTCGAGGAGCAGGAGCTTGCTCGCAACTTGAAGCTTGCCAGTAAGTCTCGGTTATCAAACATTTGCCCGTTCAATTGCTAATATCGCCTACAGAGAAAGAGATCGGGCAAAAGAAGATGCAGAACCCAGTCCTGCAGGCTCGCCTTGCATGCAACTCACCCCACAACTTCTACTGGCCCTGGATGGACGAGTCCTCAACAGTGGACGAGACCCTTGTATCAGCGTCCGGCAAGATGCTCCTGCTCGACCGCCTAATCCCCTGCCTCCTCGCGAAGGGTCACAAAATCCTTATTTTTTCGCAATTCAAGACTCAGTTAGATATCATTGAGGAATGGGCCACGGAGCTTCGATCATGGAAATGCTGCCGCATAGACGGTGCAATCGCCCAAGCAGACCGCCGAGCCCAGATCCAAGATTTCAACACGAAGAATAGCCACAAGATCTTCCTACTGAGCACTCGAGCGGGCGGCCAGGGAATTAACCTCACTGCCGCGGATACCGTCATTCTCTTTGACTCGGATTGGAACCCCCAGCAAGACCTGCAGGCCCAGGACCGAGCTCATCGTATCGGTCAAACCAAGCCTGTCATAATCTACCGCTTGGCCACCAAGGGTACTGTTGAGCAAACCCTCTTAGAGAAGGCAGATGCAAAGCGTCGCCTGGAACGCCTGGTTATTCAAAAGGGCAAGTTCCGCTCGCTTCTCGATCCCACCGCTACCTCGCAAGACGTCGATGAGCTGCGCCGCGTTCTCGGCGAGAACGAGTTCGAACGGTTCGAAGTCGGCAACGATCCCGAGTCTATTCTCTCTAATGAGGATCTGGAGATTCTCACTGACCGATCTGAGGAGGCTTATGCCCGTGCTGAACAGGGTCTTGACCGTAACGGAGCTGCGTTCGTTGCTGTTGAGACCAAGCGGGACGTTGGGGAGGGCATTCTCTCCTAGGCGTTTGTGGCTGCGGATGGCCAGTTATTGTGGCAATGTACAACATCGTGGCGTGGCGGGCTTTCTATTTGTTATGGAGTAGGATTGGGAGGAGGCTTCTGCCTTCATTTGCGAATAGCGTTTGTTCGTGCATGATAGAGTGCATTTGTAAGAGTACATTACATGTATGCATACTGTTCAATACAATGTTTAGATTATTTCAATGCACATTTGCAATTATCAAGATGCAAAAGTAATATAATAAAGATCCATTCAGCGCCTGAAGCTCCTCAACAAGGAAATGGCTGTACATGAGAGTTGGAGAACAAAGAAAGCAGGGCAATATGCAGCCAAAAATCCATGGAAAGAAACAATATTAGACCGACGTCATCCCAAGCTCAAACCAAGCAACCGATCACCGCCGAGCCTTTTCATCCTCAATCTGGCTGCGCAAGTCCGAAAGAACATCATGCCGTTGAGACATATGGCTCTTCAACCCCTCAACCTGCTCCCCAACAGTCTTAACATCCTCCCTCAGCCGCTCGAGGTCCTGTCCATCCTTTGAGCGGCCAGTACCCTCACGCAGCTCGCGCAATTCCCGCTCCTTATATTCCAACAACTGAAGCGCTTCCTTCTTAATAAGAACCCAATTAGGCCGGCCGTCATTCCGCGACCCATTACGTCTCGACTCCGAAGCCTTATTAGCAGAGCTAAGCTTACTCTCCAGCTCCGCCAATTCCCGGCGCAGTCGCACCTTCTCCCATTCCTCGTCTTGGATGGTTTCACTGAAATCCGTCCCCTTGGGCTGATAAGTACCCTTGCCACCAACCCCCAGCCGGCTGAGGTAAGTGTCACCGAACTTGGCCTTGCGGCCAGTACGTGTCTCAGTGTCGCCATCTGCGCCGTAGCGCTGTGCGGGACGGACCTTGTCGACTTGATAGTCGATCTGGTTGTGCTCGAAGGAGGCGCGCAGGGACGCCGGGATGGTGCGCGGGATGCGGAAGCCCTCGTGGCGGTAGTTGAGGATGTGCAGGAAGGCGAGCGTGGCGTCTTTGTTGATTGCGGGAGAGGCGGAGGGGTTAACGAGGTTCCAGGCGGAGCGGACGTCCGTGTCGGGGACGTCGAGGGATTCATAGAGCGGTTGTAGTTGTTGGACTGGGTTTGTTAGGTTAGCCCGGTGGGTTCGCTGGGGTTTGTATGGGGGCTCGCTCACATTCTACTTGGCCGCGGCCGTTCCGGTTGGCGTCGTAGATCTCCGTGTACTTTGTCTTATCATTGGGCTTCATGTACCAGTCGAAGCCGTCCTTCAGACCCAGTGAATCATCTTCGTCTTCTATCCGCTCGAACTGTTCTTGGCCACCACTGAGTGCGCGGGTAGCATGGACGAGATGTGACTTGGACTCTGGGACGAGCCAATCTGGAAGGACATTAGGCACTTCTTGTAGTTCCTGTTTGGCGATAAGATGGGTGCGTCAGATTAATCGGGCAATTGGTAAAAGGTGAGGCACGACATACCCCGTTGACCAGGTCGAATACTAAGCGCATCGCAACGCAGAACTCCTCAAAGTCCAGCTCTCCGTCTCCGTCGACATCGGCAATGTCCCAAACCTTCTCGAGCTGGTCATCGCGCAGCCGGCTGTTCCTCAGCACGGAGGCGGCTTGCGAGCTGTTGAGATGTTTCTGGCCATTTGAGAGTGAGGCAAAGATCTCCCAATAGCGCTCAATCTCCCATTGCTCGATCTTTTTGGCAGACATGGTGAATGGAGCTCCGATGAATAACCGGGGTGGAGGGTGAGGCGGGAACAATGGGGGGAGAGCCGGATTTACCTACTTCCGCCAGGGGCTCTGAGCTCATTGCTATACTTCAGTCTTCAGTCTTGACTACTGTTCAGTAAGTCTGCATGATATCTTATTTCTATATTTCTAAGTATAGCACGTGTTCAAATATTTATTTTGTTTTCATTGTATTATGGTACAAGATCTCCCCGGGTATGACAGAGTTGAGTAGGGGAATGCTCTAGATATTCTTATCCAGACGCAAGTCTATTGATCTTCAGTGAACTGCATGATTGATTCCTTCGCATTATGAGCTCTTCTTCTCGTCATTTTGCTCGGCATTTTTGGCCTTTGCAGCCTCGAGCTGCTCCCTGACCTGGATAATTGCTCGCTCAGCCTCCAACGCGAGCTCTGGCGCCTCTAAGATCGTGGCTAGCTTCTTGGCATCTGACATCTTCAGCAAGATACGATCCTCGCTCTGTTCAATTTCTTCGACGACCTCGGAGTGTGGTGTATCGATCTTGGCACTGTCAAGCGCTCGGGATGCGCGTTTGGCATACAATTGTTCTAACGCGGGGAATGAGATAGGTTTGAGGAGATTCTTTTCAACGAGGTGTTCGAGGTGTTTCGAGCCGTTCAATGCTGCATCTTGTTAGCTTCGCGTCTCAAAATCGACTCGAAGATCAACCAACCGCGCCAATGGGACCAGCCCCGGTAGGCCACATAGAAAAAGGGAATGTTGGGGATCCTGCTGTCTGTCAGTATCTCCGGTCTGTGTTCCATCTGCCTTCACATACACTGGAACCAGTCCAAAGGGTGCGGTAATGGGCGCAAGGATGAGACTCCATATCATCTTCTTCTTGTGAAGCTCCTGTCTTTCCGTAGCGATAGTGCGCAGCAGAGTGGTGATTGTCTCCTGTCGCACTGCGTTCCCCGGGAACAACACATCAATCTTGTTCTCCCCATGGGTATTATCCAGTCGCTTCTGTGCTTCGAAAGAGGGAATGCTTTTAAGACCCCATTCTTCGTATGGTATCCGTTGCTGGACTCGGTTGCCCCAGGTCACAAGGTGCTTCTTCCACCCTTTTTCTGCTTCCTCCCACTTGGCCCAGGTCTCAGCTGCCTTTGTAGTGACTCGATCGAGAACTGAAAGCTCTTTCGCCAAGTCTTTTTGCAGTGGTCGAGCGTAAATGAGGACCCGACTCGTCGAGATCGGGATCAGGAAGAGGCGCATCGCGACAGGGTTTGGCGATAAATGCGCGATCGAGGTGAGTGTGTAGATGGAAAGAATATGAAAGAATCAAGCAGATAGTAGTTCACTGAAGATCAATGGAATTGTGTGTCGAAACTTTTGTGGGTTAAAGGGATGCGGGAAGTGTAAGCAGGTTTGGAGACGTCATTTCCCTACCCTTTCTCGACTCCCCCAACTTTGATGTCGGACATCTTTTTGGGGCAATTGGAGCTGGACTCTCGGCACGGGTAGTGATGCGAACCGCTGATTGACGCTTTCCGATCTTCCCGAAAGCTCTCTCCTATACCCGACATGGAGAACGACAGCGCTACAGGGCGTATCTTCAACGAGAGGTTGGCAGAGAAAATCCCCCGGGCGATCCCTGAGACATCAACTCCTATACCGGGCCATCTGATCATCAATACCGACTCTGCTGTTCGCAATGGCGGTGATCCGCCAACCACACCGGCGCGTATAAACGGCCAAACAGCAGAAGAAGCCGCCCACTCGCAGCGCTTCGCCTTGCGAACTCTACCTGGTAAGCTTTTACTCAATACTTGGATCTGATCACTTGCTAACAATGGGACTGTCTAGCCTGGATTCGATCTGTCGAGATCGAGCAGGACGAAGAAGAAGCTACTGCAACCGACCGTTTACTCCCTTCCCAACCAGGGGACGCATTTGTCGCCCAGCACAACCACTCTCCCTACGCGTCATCCAAATCTCAACGCGCTCACTCAAATACCAACGGTCTATTCGAAAATGAAGCTTTGCCGGCTGACCGTGAGTCCCGCTGGGTGACATTCTCGCGCGCCATCCAATACCCCCGGGAGGCCGGCAGAGAGGAAAAACATGTCACAGCAGACTGGATGAACGAAAATCACGGTGATTACTCGCAACCATGGCGCGGTAAGCACCTGGAGGGCGATAGCCCGGAGTATCCGCTACATAGTGGAGGCCGCAGGGAGATTTGGTTCAAGCGCTTCCACAACACACTCCTACGAAGTCCAATAGTACCGATGGTTCTTCGGCTGACTGTCTGGTGCTTCTCGCTCTCTGCGCTGGCTCTAGGTGGTTCAATTCAGCACATGGCTGACAGTTTACATCACCCTCAAGGCCCTTCAGCTTTGATGGCAATTATCGTCGACGCAGTCGCTTTGGTTTACCTCGTCTATATCACCTTTGACGAGTATACATCAAAGCCTTTGGGCTTGCGGTCACCCTCGGCCAAAGCACGGCTAATTCTACTTGACATTTTTTTCATCGTCTTTGATTCCGCCAATCTTAGTTTGGCGTTCGCTTCTCTTTCGGAAGTGACGGGCTCCTGTACCGAAGCAGAGGTCAACCAGGAGATCGACCCCCGCAACGACGGGATCTGCGTGCGACAAAAAGCACTCGCATCTGTCCTGCTAATTGCCTTGCTGGCTTGGCTGATGACATTTGCGATAAGTGTTCTCAGGTAAACAACGCTCGTATCCCGGACTGATGTGCTTCACTACTAACACTTGACCAGACTTGTTGAGAGAGTGACACAGTGAAACATGTGTTACTGTTCTTGACTCTCCAAAATTAACATTTGATTTCTTGCCATATTAGCGATCCTTGATTACAAACTTTGCTAGACATGCAGAGCAGGCCCGTCGACACCGTACAGCGGGTCACGTTGGAACCAGGCCACATTATTTATGCTCTGCACTTTCGCTTTCTCGTTTGGTTGCCCATAGCACATATCCCACTGCTTGCCGGGAGGATAGGCGCCGACCATCTGAAACTCCTCCTGGTTCCCATGCAGGTCCTCCAAGAGCCGATGTCCAACTCCCGCAGGAACAATAATCAGATCGCCGCGCTGAACGCTCGGCTCGAATCGCTCGGGATTATCCTCGCCACCAAAGCAAAGACGCGCTCCCCGACACGACTCCGAGTACTTCGTGTGTCGTGGAATGGAAATGGGTCTGGCTGTACATGGTATATACCCATTGCGGTATAACTTCAGCCACTTCTTCCAGATGTGCCTCAAGCTCCGCGGATGTAGCGTTGAAGGCTCCGTGGTATACCATGAGTGGTTTGGATTGGATCGATGTATTCGGGATGTTGCGCCATTCTGAAATCTGGCGAATGGTTACGTGGATATTGGACTGTGGGGTTATTGTCATGTTGAAACTGCGATGCATAAGAGAGGAGTTTGGAATAGACAAGCCAGCAGCATGATATTCGAATGACGTCATTGTGGGTCGATATAAGGTTAAAGACGATTTGATACTCCGATCTCCCATCTCCCATCTTCCGTAGTCCATTTATAGATTCATAGATCGATATTGGATGGTGTAGAATGCCTATAGTCTCTGTGATTAATCTCAAGGCCACTGGTATGGTCTTATCCATACTGACAGCCGTGCCATTGTATAGCGAATCCGCCTGCTCCGTGTTATCCTGTACAGGACCTCGATATGCAATCCCAGTAACCATATTATACTCTAAAGGCCGGTTGCTCTTGGTTCTACTGTTCCGCTGTGGCTATTTCGAGACTTTTCTGATGAACATGAGATTAAACCAGAACTCTACTACATGTAGAACTACTGAATGGACCACAGTTTCCATTTCGGTCCGATAGTGCAGCTTCTGTTATTTTGGCCACAACCTCGGAAGTCACTGATCTTACAACTTGCTGTCAGATCCATGGATGTGGAGGCCGCAATAGTCCTAGTAAGAGTGATCTATCATACGACAGTAACTATACATTTCAGTGCACAAATATGGATAAAATAATATAGAACGATGTCTGTGGAAGCAAATATAACCATAGACTACCTTAAAAATACCAGATCAAAAAAAAAAACCATACATGCATTCAACACAAATATTCTCGATAAAGGCGATGATGTAGATTTGGGAAAGCTCCGCCACCTCACCGCCTGCGGCAAAAAGCCATCCCCACGCTGGACCTTCTCAGCCTCATCACTCTGCTCCCCTTCATCTACTTGGTTTCTTTTCTAAATTTCCCTTCAGATTGACTGGATAGGCTGTATATTCCTGCCATCCTTTGATTTCACCTTTCCCAACCCCGCTGCGCGCCCCTCCTTCCAAGCGCCGAAGTCATTTGATCACCTCGAAGATCTTTGAGGCGTGACTTGTGGCGCTGCAACCACCTTGAGGTCATTCCATAAGGTGTGTAATTTGCAGTTCACTACAACGCACGAACTTATTCTGACTACGCGGTCAAGTTCTCCAACCTCGACTTCCCACCTTGCCTACAAAGCCGACCCGACTTCGCCCCTTGCAATCGCGATGTCTCTCACGATGCCGCCGGTGCCCCACAAGGATGACCTCGAATCTACGTGAGTTGATGATAGCAATGGACGGCTGGGATTTGAATGTGCAGCGTGGGCTAACTTTGTGCTAGGTGGTCTTTTCTTGAAGCGGGGATCGAGAGCGTGATGCTCAACCTGGACGCAGGTATCGATATGAAAACTGTAAGTGGAAGTCCCGGTGTCTCGATCTCTCACATGCCGTATTTAGTTACGGAAGCTGACTGGTTCTGCACGTTTAGTACATGGGTCTCTACACGTGTGTCCAAGTTTCGAAACTCCTGGCTGCCATCTGGAACCGTGCTCACAAACTGATTTTAGGGCTGTCCATAACTTCTGCACTTCACAAAAGGCTGTCTCCAGTGGCCAAGGCTTGCAAGCCCAACGTGGGGGTTCGTTTTTCCTTAAAATATCATCAAAATGCCTCGGCTTGCGACCAGCGCTAACCTTCAAACCAGCCCATTTGTTGGGCGAGGAACTCTACAAGCTACTAGGCGAATACCTTTCACGTCATCTCGCCGAGGTGTATAAGCAATCACAGAGCCACACCGAGGAAGGCCTGCTTGGCTTCTACATCCGCGAGTGGTACCGCTATACGACCGCCGCCAAATATGTCAACCATCTTTTCCGTTACCTCAACCGTCACTGGGTCAAGCGCGAGATCGACGAGGGCAAGAAGAACGTGTTCGATGTGTACACTCTGCACCTGGTCAAGTGGAAGGAGGACTTCTTTGAGAATGTCCATGAGAAGGTCATGGATGCTGTTCTGAATCTGATCGAGAAGCAGCGAAACGGAGAGACCATTGAACAGTCTCAGATCAAGTCTATTGTCGACTCATTTGTATCCCTCGGCCTGGATGAGAATGACAGCTCCAAGTCAACACTCGATGTCTACCGCACATATTTCCAGAAGCCTTTCATCGCCGCTACCAAGACCTACTACGAGAACGAGTCACGGCAGTTCGTCGCAGAGAACAGCGTGGTGGAGTACATGAAGAAGGCCGAGGCTCGTCTTGACGAAGAGAAGTCTCGGGTTGGTCTGTATCTGCATCCCGATGTCACCAAGAGCCTTACCGATACCTGCCTGGATGTGCTTGTCACCGCCCACTCGACCCTGCTGCGCGATGAATTCCAAATTTTGCTCGACAACGAACGCCAAGAGGATTTGGCTCGCATGTATCGACTGCTTTCCCGTATCAAGGAGGGCCTGGACCCTCTGCGTGCCACCTTTGAGAACCATGTCAGACGGGCCGGCCTCGCTGCTGTTGAGAGGGTGGCCTCAGATGGAGATAACTTTGAACCCAAATTGTACGTTGATGCTTTGTTGCAGGTCCACACGCGCTACCAGAACCTGGTTGATGATGCTTTCGCTGGTGAATCCGAGTTTGTGCGCTCTCTGGACAACGCTTGCCGTGAATTTGTCAACCGAAACCACATCTGCAAGGTCAGCTCTTCCAAGTCACCCGAGCTGCTCTCGAAATACACAGATTCGCTACTCAAGAAGGGTTCCAAATCCGCGGAGGAGTCCGAACTTGAGGAGATGCTCTTGCAGGTCATGACTGTCTTCAAGTACATTGAAGACAAGGATGTCTTCCAGAAGTTCTACACGAAGTCCTTGGCCAAGCGTCTGGTCCACACTAGCTCAGTCTCTGATGATGCAGAAACCAGCATGATCAGCAAGCTGAAGGAGGCGTGCGGTTATGAATACACCAATAAACTGCAACGCATGTTCCAGGACATCCAGATCTCCAAGGATCTCAATAACAACTACAAGGACTGGCAGGACAAGGTATTGGACGATGATGATCGCAAGAGACTAGCCGATGCCCAGTTCCAGATCCTAGGAAATGGTTTCTGGCCTCTTAACGCGCCGACAACTCCATTCCTTGCACCGCCCGAGATCGTCAAGACTGCAGAGCGGTTCCAGAAGTTCTACTTTGATAAGCACAGTGGCCGCAGGCTGAGCTGGCTGTGGCAGCTATGCAAGGGCGAAATCAAGGCCAACTACATCAAGAACGCCAAGGTGCCCTACACCTTCCAGGTTTCGACCTATCAAATGGGTATTCTGTTGCTCTTTAACGAGACTGATACTCTTTCCTACACCGATATTGAAAAGGCCACCACCCTGGCCCCCGAAATCCTCGACCCTAACCTCAGCATCTTGTTGAAGGCCAAGGTCCTCATTGCTAGCCCAGAGGGTGCCAAGCCCGAGCCCTCTACCACGTTCACTTTGAACTACAACTTCAAGAACAAGAAAATCAAGGTCAACCTTAACATTCAGATCAAGTCTGAGCAGAAGGTAGAAACTGAGGATACACACAAGACTATAGAAGAGGACCGGAAGCTCCTGCTTCAGGTATGTTCCGATGGACTCACCCTACACCCATTAATCCGTTCTAATAATCCCTTTAGTCCGCTATCGTTCGTATCATGAAATCGCGGAAGAAGATGAAGCACGTCCAGCTGGTACAGGAAGTCATCCAACAAGTCAAGTCTCGCTTCCCACCCAAGATCCCCGATATCAAGAAGAACATCGAGGCCCTCATGGAAAAAGATTATATCGAGCGCATGGACGGCGACGAAATCTCCTACATTGCTTAAACAAACTCGAACTACCCCCAATCAACCACATCGCCATCTTGCCTCTTTTCTTTTTCTCTTTATCTACTGATTCCTATCGTCCCATCTAGACAGCATGTTCCTATACCCCCTTGTCGTTCCCTGCGCGCCGTCCACCAACGGCGAAACGGGGAAACCTCGCACGGGGACATAGATATCCTGCTGCTCTAGACTGGGGTAGGTAGCTGGATTAAGGCGGATAGGAGCATAGGAATTTCTCATGTCGATTTATTTTTCATGTTTCCATCTTCATAGCGCTGAGATGACACCTCAATGATGACCTAGTTTTTATTTTTGCTCATTGCTTTTTTGGTCTTTGTCGAATCAGAAAAATAGACAAATATTAATTTTTGAATCTAGATTGGTTGCTATTGTAATGCCCTACTAGATGTGATCTAAGTTGACTTAGGTATGTATAGCCGTGGACGAGTGCGACATGCTAGCCATGACTCTGGTCAATACATGCTAGCCATCATCCTAGATATAATCTTAACAGAAATGAAACCTTGAAGAATAGAGCCGATAAACGGACTTGATCATCTATATAATAAACAGGAAGGAATCAGGTTGAGGTTTGTTGGTTCGTATACCAAATGCAAAAGCGCGTTAACGATGATACAATGCGAATGCAAATGCAAATGCCAATGCCAATGCCAGTAAAAAGAACAAATACAAGGACCAATTCCCAGCTCCTCAATCTCTGAACCAGTATCCAAGATTGTATATCCGAATCCATTACACATCCCCCTTAACAGGAAGAGCAGTGAACGATTCGTCACGCGTTTGTCCACCACCAGAAGGAGGCATATTCTCCTTCGGATTCCGACTCTGACTCTGATTCATACCCAACCCAAGACCCTCATTAGGCGTAAGAGCCACGGACGAGAAACCATCCGCATCAACCGTATCCGTGTCTCGCTCGACCTTCTCCTGCGTATGGATCTGGGGATCACCACCCCGATCCCGATCCTGATCCTCCTTCTTTTCCTCAGCTCCCTCCCCATAAGCCGGGAATCCCTGTGACAAGGGAGACTTGGGGAACGGCACATCAGCAGACTCAGACGTGGACGACTCATCCCTACGCTGTAATTCGGCGCTGTCGCGCCGTAGGAGGATATTACTCCACCGTTTCCTGCGGCTGACGCTGCGTGTTAGACCGCCTTCGGTGGTACTATCGATGCTTCCTTCGCTTTTGTGTTGGATTGAGCGGCGACGGCCGCGGTCACGGTCTGATTCGGCGATTTCGGTTACGACGGATAATGTTGATGCGGAGGGTGAGGTTATACCCGCTGCTGTGTTTGGGCTCTGGGTTGCATTTGAATTTGAATTTGCGTTTGCGTCGGGATTCGGGCTTGGAGAGGCGCTGCGCTTGTCTTGCCATTCGCGACGTTTTTCGCTCGCCCATGAACCCCACGAGCTGAAGTACGCGCCTGCTCTTTGGCTTGCTGCGCTGACGGAGGCTTGGGCTTGAGCCATGTCGACTGAAGCGCGGGGGCGGGAGTCGGGGTCCATTGTTGCAGTTGAAGTTGAAGTTGAGGGGGTAGGAGAGGCGGGGGTTTCTTTGTCTATGGATGTGCGTTGGGATTGGGCTTGTGCTTGAATGGCTTTTTCTTCGTTGCGTTTGCGTTGGGCCTCGCGCATTGACTCGATATCGGACCAGAAGCTGTTAAAGGCGGCTGTTACTTTCTTTTGGCCGGTTGAGAAGTGGCGGTTTAGGGCTTCGCGGCCTTCGCGGACGCGTTCGTCTAGGTGGAGGTCTGCGACTTGTTGGGAGAGGCGGCGTTGGATGTCGTCCATTGTTAAACCGCCGGCGCTTGGGTGGCGGGGCTCGGTGATTGAGAAGAGGAGGGCGTCGGAAGTGAGGCGAGAGAACATGGCGTAGTTAGACGTTGTTTGCCATTGGGTTAGGAATTCCATGTTGAAGTCGATTGCTGGGTCTCCTTCTATATTGAAGTTCTGTAGTTGGGCTCTGCTGCGGTTGGATTCCCCGGTAGTGCATGAGGAAAGCTCCTCGTGGTATTTCATCGAAGATAACAAGGCCAGCAGGTATTCTTCGAATTGGAGTCGAATGAACTCTTCGGAGCCCATGAAGCCAAGTGTCTTGGGTCTTGAAGGGTGCTCCTCATCCCAGGTGTCATTGACGATTTGTGTAAGCAGGTCAATCCAGCGTCTGTCAGCTGCGGAAAGGGCAAGGGCAGAGCGCAGAGAAGGGGAGTTGATGACGATGCTGTCTTCGTCAAGCTGGTTGCAACTGTCAGGTATCGTGTTCCGTGGGGAATAAGGCAACTTACGTTGATTAAAATGTCACTGTAGCGGTCCTTTTGCTGTAGGAGCAGCGAGTTGGTTGAGCCCACCACGTAGGATTTCGTCCCATCATCCGCCAGCAGATCTAGCAGCTGCAGAGGTGTATAGGGGCCAAACATGCTTCCCTGGAGATGAGTTAGCAGAAGCCAGAGAATACATTCGTTGTACTTTTTACCTTTCCAAAAATTTGTAGCGGCAGACCCATGTATGCCAACACTAAAGGGTTAGCAGGCAATTCGCAATCCAACGCCTTGAGATGAACCATACAAGAACTTCTGTCACTCGTCTTGAGAGACGTAGGCTTCTCAACAGTCTGAGAATAGGTATCAAAGGACGGATCCGCACAGTCCTGGAGACTATTGATGAGGCCGGGTATTAAAGATATAAGAGAAAATTGTATCATGCACAGGCGTTCACAACGCGTTCCAAAGAAAAGCATCTGTATTTATCAGCACTGCTCTTGGGTAAATGACAGGGTCACATACCTTGGGTTGCAACAGCAGTCCCTTGAAGAGAACCAATGTCTGATATTTGAATTCATGAATCATCTCCCGAAGCGAAAGTCCTAGCGGAATCAGCAAAATGTCACATAGCCAGACCAGACAGCATTCTTACCCAAATTTTGATCTTTCGGGCCATCGTCATTCGACAGACTAATCACTAATCCCTCGCGGAATTTCTAAAATCATATTAGCACACCATTCCACCACATCGCTGTAACCGGTCTGTAACCGGTTCATACCTTCAGAATATCAATATCCGAGAATTCACTAATATCAGCCCCAATTAGCCCCTATCGTTCCACATGCACGGTTCAAGCCATCGCGGGCAATATCCCACATACCATTGCGCAAACCAAGCAGAAGTAACAACAGACAGCTTCTCCCTCAATTGGCCAACCCGCTGAGGCGTATCCGTAACCACCACCACAGCCTTTTGTACCGTCGACCGAGTAACATCAGGAGGGCGGTTGGTGAGCAGGCTCGAGTCAAGCTGACGAGAACAGGCAATACCAAATAACGAAGTCGCTGGGAGAGCATCCGACTCCTTTCGGCAGAGTGTAAAGTACGAGAATTCCTCAGTCGACCTGCAAATCAACCGGTTAGTTGGTCTGGCGCAAAGTGGGTGTTTCGTTTGGTTGTGGATTGGCCTCGGTCAGGGAGAGGGATATAGGTGGTTCGTACAGATGCGCTCCGTCGGAAAGGGCCATAAATGGTAGCAGGGACCAATCATTTTCGACTGCTGGGTCGGTTCCTTCGTCGGCGATGCAATGTTCAATCTCGGGGCCGCTGCAGATGTCTCAGTCAGTTGGGTTCATTGTGGGGCCGCCAGTGCTTGTTTCAAGTATCAAGTTTCATTTGTACGGAGTCCGGGGAATGAAGTGCTCAGTGGCTTACCGTGCATGGTGGAAATCAATCACCAACACAATCGGGTCTTGTTTATGGACAGCCATGGCGCCGGGTCATAGAAGAGGAAATCGGGGCAGGGAAGGTAGCTTCAGACGCTTGAAAAGTGATGGCTTGAAAGAGGGAACTGGTGCTAGGTTGTACTGAGGTTCTTGTCCTCCAAAGCCACAATGTTTCCCATGAAGATGAAGATCGCAGATCGCGAAACAGGGGAAAATGATATGGTTATCGCGCACGTTCTGACTGGCCGGGGGTGTGGGCGGTGAGTAGCCCCGCCAATCTATCTAGACCCTCAATATCGCCAGTTTATATTGCTCTTACTTGGTTGCTTAGTTACTTATGTAGTTGTCTAGCCGTTTAATCACTGGTTTAGTAGTATTGTAGTAAATTAAATTGCCGAACAAAAAAAGTCAGGTGCCCATCGTCCAAATCAGATCCCTCATTTCTCCGAATCACCAACCATTTCTTGACGACGCCGAATGAGCTATGGACAAATAATTCCAGAAAGACAAAGACAAGGTAGAGAATAAAAATCAAGGATGAAGATAAAATAATGCCAAACTTCACATCTTTTGAAAGATTTATTGAAAGATTAGGCAGGGGAGATCTGAGACTGATATCAAGGGCAGGGTGTATTATGGTGGACACGCAATTATCAACTATGCGTATGCCTGAGTGTTGTTACCCTGTACTGCGCCTTCCATCAAAGCCTGACCGGCCTCGTTGCCTTGCTCAATGTTGTGGAAGTCGAGGATCTCGGAGTACCTGAGCAATGTAAGTAAGAGAAAGAGAAAGAGCGAGCGAATCACGTACATCATAATCTTCCAAGTATCCACGGGCAAATCGGCATCATTGAATGACCAGTCGAACTTTTCTTGTGCAACAGGCTCATCGGTAGGGTCGTGGTAGGGGGCCAGGTACTCGTGGGCTAATGCGTCGGGAGCTTGGATTCGCTGCTTCGGGTTGAACACCAGCATCTTCTCGAGCAGGTCAACCGCTAGATATACAAGTAAGCGCTTCGTCCAGAACGAATCCATTCCAATCGAGTGACGTACCATCGGCATCAGCGTTCTTGAACTTATTCGCCAGCGGTTGGCGCTCGCGCTTTGGTAGAGACTTGACAAATCGCAGGGTCTGCGTCTTGTTAGCAGGTTTCCGTCTTTCACTGGAATATTCACTCACATTCTCGCTGCAAATGGTTTGAATCACATCATCTGGGGGAGTGCCCAGCAGCTCAGTAATGATAGAGAACTGGTTGACATGGTCCTTTCCGGGGAAGAGAGGCTTGCCCTCCAACATCTCGGCAAAAATACAGCCCGCACTCCAGATATCCACCTCAACATCATACTTTTGCCAAGTGAGCATGATCTCGGGCGCTCGGTAGTATCGTGTTGAGACATAACCAGTCATCTGGGGGTCCTGGATGCGAGCCAGGCCGAAGTCGCAAATTTTGAGATCGCAGTTTTCATTAATCAGGATGTTGCTGGGTTTGAGATCCCGGTGGACAACACCGGCGGAGTGCACATATTTCAAGCCACGCTATCAAAAGGTCAGATTCGGATCGGTAGCGGGTTCCCGCGGAAGTCTTACCAGAATTTGGTATAAAAAGTACTGAATGAATTGCTTTTCAAGGGGACGCGAAGTCAGGAGTCGGTGAAGGTCGGTTCCAAGAAGTTCGGTGACGAAGTAACTACGGGAATTAGCGTGAGGCCCCCACTTTCTGATAACAGATCGTACATGTCTTCCAGAGGCGAAATGAAAATATCGCTCAAGCTGATAATCTGCGCAATGTCAGCATCTCGAATTGACGTAGTTCAGGTAGTACAGACGTTTTCGTGGCGGAGATGTTTGAGCAGCTTCAGCTCCCGATAGGTGCGCTTGGATAGAACGGGAGTGCTGAAGGGCTTCATGATCTTCTTGACAGCGACCGGCTGGGCAGTCAATTGGTCTTTCGCAGAACTATCTCGTTGTAATCCCGGTTAGCACGTGTCGTAAGCCTCGATATGTAGCCTCGTACGACACAGGATGCAACATACCAGACCAGTCCGAAGGCACCCATTCCCACCGGTTGCAATTCCGTATACCTAAATCAAGAGTCAGCTCTGAGCACACTGCGAGAGGACTGCGCGCCTCCCCGCCTGAAGGACTGCGAACCGGCTGGTGATCTCGAAGGTGGTGCCGAAGATCTGGGCACGCACGAATTCCGCCATGATGAACGAGGGTACGGGTACGGTATTCGTGAAGAAGTCAATTTAGGAGTCAAAGGAGGGATGAAGCCGAGAAAGGGGCGCAAAGAGCAGAGTGTGTGGGGAAGTGAAAAGCGCAGAAAACAAGGAAGGTATGACGTCCGCGCGGGACCAGGTTTTGGGGCTGACTAAGATCTAGATCTCGCTTTTTATATCTCTAACTTTCCTGTTCTCGTTCATACTCCTACTGGGTTTTATGCTCTTATCATCTTTCCTCTCTCTGTCTCTTCCTCTTTATGATATATTGTGTTGCGTTGTTCTGCTCTTCTCTCTTTTCTCTTCTCTCTCGACTTCGCTCCACACCTACGTGGCCTAGACCGGAACAGATCCCGGACTCATTTTCCACCCATTGAGATATGTAGAATGCCTCAACTTGGACTCAAGATTAATCTGCGCTTAACTCGGTGGTACTTAGGCCACTTCGATCTATAACCCCTCATCTCAATAGAGTCAAGATATACATCTACTGAATCGAAGCTACATGTACTCCCCTACCTTACCCCTCCAGGAAGTAATATCCGGTCTGGACCATGTACATCACTCAGCATATCAGATGCACTCACTGTACATGTACACTAAGCCCATTCGGATATGTGTGACGTGGTGGGGCTTGGAATATTTTGACCATGTCATCACCGCTATCTCCCTGAACATATATAGTGAGTTGGGCATGGGTGTTTTAGAAGAGCCTCCTGAGAATTTAGCCAGTTCTTCTAGCTCAACTATACGTTGATATGTTTCGGGACTGTCTCAACCGGTGTTACGGATCTAGCTGAGACCTGTGAAACAAGACCTGCCACGCTACTGCAGGCATGTAACAAGGGCCTTTGAAGGATAAACATGACTGAACAAGGCTGCAGCTGCGTTTAAACTCTGGAAATGCCCTTTGTGGTTTCATGTTCCTGTATTGGGAAAGAGGGTACTCTGTATATATATATATCTCACATCTGCCCTCTATACTCCCGAGGGTTTGCTTTTTCCGGGTATTACTTGACCTGGTCACAGGGCGGAATTGACTTCCAACTGGGTCAGTGCCCCCATTCACAGCAAGTTACAGTACAGAGGCAAAAGATGACCACAGTTCCATCTCCTACCTGGTATAAATGTGGAGAGATGCTCACCGAACAACCCCGCCAGGTTTCAACTGGTTGCCTGAGGCAGAAGACCCCGAATTTGCGTCACTCTCCACCAAGAGAATACGGAGGACATCACTCCTGCTTCAGAGATTTTCCAACGAGCTGTGTATATATATATATATATATATATAAAGGATAAAAAAAGACTCGGGGAACGAGGGTGACGCGGCTGCTGTTGAAACCCGTTCAGCCGAATGATCGCTTCGAGTAGACTTCGTTAGTCGACCAGGGTTGGATCTGACTAGGGAACGTGCCCAACTGTCCCCCCGGGTTTTCCCTTTCCCTTCCCTTACCTATGTCACCTATACCTATGTTCTATAGCTCCCTATATCCTAGATCCCATCAAATAGTGTCCCTATAATAAAAATAATAACTCGTAATATAACAGGCTAAAGGGCTAATTCCTATACACTACCTGAGTCAGCCTCTCCGCAGCATTTCTCGCCCCCTCTCCCGCCCCAGCTATACTCCGTACCTCCTTCCGATCTGGTCGCAATTCTTACCTCACCTGTCACCTCTCGCCTGTCACCTTTCACCTCTCACTTACCACAACTCGCAAAGTCACCTCTTACTCCTCCCTTTACAACAACCCGATACTCGCTGGTCGCCGCGATTTTCCTTTGTGAACTGCCTTCTCCCAAGGCTCCGGCCGTTTGAACCGGCAGACACCGCTCGTGCGCGCGATTGATGAGTCTAGTGCCTGCTGGTCTGGCACTCTGAGGCGCTCGTGATGGGCTCCTGTTTTAGCTCAGAGTCTGGGGGGACGCCGAACAGAAGAAACGAAGTCAGATGATCGACCGCAAGCTAGAAGAGGACTCAAGACGACTACGGCGAGAATGCAAAATTCTCCTGTTGGGTAGGCTCTGACGGAAGAGGTGGTTTGGGACGTGGGCTAACTGGCAAACCGCAGGTTCCGGAGAGAGCGGCAAGTCCACGATCGTGAAACAGATGAAGATTATCCACCAAAATGGCTACACCGTCGAAGAACTGGCGCTGTATCGCTTGACCGTCTACAAGAATCTCCTGGATTGCGCCAAAGCGCTCATCGGAGCCTACCACTATCTCCAGCTCGAGCCCTCCAGCCAAAAGGTCAAGGATTACATCGGATTCATCGAAGAGTACAACGTGGACCCGGATCCCAACACCACGCTTGATCCGAAAATCGGCGACGCCATCACATATCTCTGGAATGACCCCTGCACATCAACGGTTTTGGAACATCAGAACGAGTTCTACCTAATGGACTCAGCGCCATAGTAAGTGCTCCAACCACGTCTCAGGGATAAATGCTTACATGCGACAGTTTCTTCGACGAAGCGAAACGAATAACCGCCGCCGACTACATTCCGAACGTCTCAGACGTACTCCGCGCAAGAACGAAAACCACCGGTATCTACGAGACCAGGTTCACAATGGGGCAATTGAGCATACAGTACGTGGACCGCAAGACTTGCGATTTGGGACATTCTAACCAGTCACAGCATGTTCGATGTCGGTGGCCAGCGCAGTGAGCGAAAGAAATGGATTCACTGCTTCGAGAACGTCACCTCTATCATCTTTTGTGTCGCATTGAGCGAATATGATCAAGTACTACTCGAAGAGAGCAATCAGGTATGAGATTCCAACGACCGAATATTCTGGATCGAAGCTGACAATCCTAGAACCGAATGATGGAAAGTTTAGTGCTCTTCGACTCTGTGGTCAACTCTCGATGGTTCATGCGGACAAGTATCATCCTCTTCCTGAATAAGGTCGATCTGTTCCGCCTGAAGCTACCTCGATCGCCCTTGAGCAACTATTTCCCCGATTACTCGGGCGGCAATGACGTGAACCGTGCTGCCAAATACCTGCTCTGGCGATTTAACCAAGTAAATCGAGCACACCTGAACCTCTACCCGCAGTGAGTTTGCCCGGCCCTTCGCGATATCTCCATGCATATCTGACCTGTCTTTGTTCTAGTCTCACCCAAGCCACCGACACAACCAACATTCGCCTAGTCTTTGCAGCAGTCAAAGAAACCATCCTACAAAATGCTCTGAAAGACTCGGGCATTCTATGATCACCTCGCCATCTCCGAGACTCAGTTTCGCGATTACCTCCCTCCCGCCTCACAACCTTACGACCATACCACATCGCTTCTCAACGTCGCTTTTGGTGTTATTTGATACCATACTCCCAATTACCCGAACAGCTCACAACGACCACTCATACCCTTTTCAATTTCCAACTTCCAAACTTCCCTATTCTTGCTTTGACCAGCTGCAGGCGTTTATGGCGCCTTTCTCGCTTCCAGGTCTGATATTTCAGGCGCTGGCCCAGGAAAAACCCTTGTTTGGTATCTGCGAGGTGGTATTACTCCTTTCCTAAAGAATCCAATGCCCCGTCAGGGGTCTCAATAGCATGTCTGTGAAACCATTCATGGTATCATCCACCCTGAAATGCTCGTTTCTCTTCCTCTTATATCTCTCCTCTGTCTCCCGATAGCCCCAAACGAGCGTATTGCCAACCCGAAAAGTCGCTCGACATGTTGATCTCGACCTTTTTATTTCTTTACTCGGATATCCTCATGGGGCTTTTACTAGCTAACCATTGACTCGTTATTCTGTTTTATTCTTCTATATGTTCGTTATATCTCTTGCTTTTGCCCTTGCTCTGTTCCAGCCTCATTTCCATGCATACCATGGCGGCTCCAATATAATGTGCCATGTTTGCCTCTGATATCTCTCTCCTTCTTCTACCTTTGTCTTGTATTCTTTTTCCATATTAGCTTATTACCAACTCGCAGCCAGGAGAGTTTTCACGCACCGTGCTTTCTGATTTATGTCCCTTCCTTCCTGGTTAGTCATGCTGTGTCTCTTCCGGCTTTTGGTTCTCAACCTCCAGACTATCTTTTCTGTTTAGTACTGCAAGAACGGTACTGGACTTTTCCTGATTGAAACTATGGCTGGATCCGTTGTTGGCTTGTAGCATACTCATTGTCTGATTATGATTTCTGTTGCGCAGTGGGACCGTAGATCGGGGCGTGATATGTCAGGGCAGTTTGCTCTCTTTACTATTAGCCTGAGACATCAAATCACTCCCGTTTGGGTTGCTATTATTCTGGAATGCTGCTCGTTGCTACTCGTTGTCAGTATCTTTCGTATACAGAAATTCATCAGCTTCGGTCATGTTATGACCTAGTTGCAGGATGAACCACTCAGCAAAGTATGGTCTCTCTCAGTGAAAAGAAATAGAAACAGACGAACAGAACAGTCACTCAAATCACTGCAGACCACATGCCCACCCTTCTACAGGCTTATGCCGTCTGTACCTGTGCTCCCAGCCCGAGATATATGCTCGTATTGAGGCAGCCACTGAACTAATTTTCTTCAAGAGCAGCCCTGACTAAGACGCAGGCAGTCTACACCTCGCACCCCCATGCAACCCAGCAGCCACAGACATCATAACCTAGGCCCAGCCCCGCTATTAAGAGCTGCTTTGCTCAAAACCTCTCTCTTATCCCTCGAGGTTATGTTACTGTTTGTCTATGCACACCCCCGCAGCGATCGTGCAACCGACCGCGGGGATTGCGACTAACTCAACCAGCAGTAAGACTAAGAAAAGTATCGACATGCCAGTCCACACCATACACTGAGCATATCTTACATGCTTCTAAGGAATGTAAGTACATCAAAGTATATGAGAGAGAGAGATAGGCGGGTAGAGAAAGAAAGAGTAGAGAATCATTGATCTACACGGCCCCCTCATATCCGCTCAAAACTACATGTTCCAGACAGCTTAGCTTCCCCAGGAAGTGAATTAATTAGGAAATGACCGGCGCCAGTGTTGGTTCTAGCTCCCCTCCGTGCAAGGATCTCCCATCTGCGCGTGGACATCATGCGGCATTGGGTATGCAATGCGCCTGTATGTGGCGTTCGCGGGGTATGGGCAACAGCTTGGAGGAGGGGAAGGACCGACTGTAGGTACATGTTTTGTAGGAATATAAGCTGGATATGGGATATTAAATACATTGTAAAGGGTTATCTTTCCACAGGGCGACGAGTCAGGTATTTCCGGATGTACTCGGGTGGGGTTTGGGAATCTATAAGAGCCGTATTGGGGATGTAGTGATTGTACAGGGGAAGTATACGGGGACAGGGACATGCAAAAGGAAAAGTGTACAGATATGCAGAGGAGGAAAGCAGGGAAATGAACATGGCATGACGAGGAGTATACTACCTACACTACCTATAGCTACGTAGCTGTATACTACTCATTGACGGCATGTCGATAAGATCAGGACCCGCTCTCCGCTTGCGGCGATATAGATATATAGAGTTGATTAATAGTTAATGAGTAATTGAATTATAGTAAATATATTAATTAAATAGCTAGGTAAGTTATCGAGAAATGTCTAAGCTAAAAAAAGTAGATGGCCTGACGGGATCCGAGGGTGTCACCAGAGTCATGACTGCATGAACTGCACTTTCCCCTCTTTCCTTTTAACCTCCCTCCCACTCTCTATTCTTTCCTCTCTACTTCCCTTCTACGTTCTACATACATCCTCACCATGGCCGAGTCTGAACCCCGTCGCGAGCGGAGACCCTCCGTTGGAGCTCCCATTGCCGATCTCCAAGGCCCCGTCGGCCCCGGATTTAGTCGTCCTAAGCACAAACGCACCTACACTGGTCTGGGACCAGCTGAGATCAAGAGTGTGGAAGCTAGTATCCCTGAACCACTGCGAGAGGCGTGAGTATTTGTCTGTGTTGTATCTTTGTCTTGGGTTTGGGTTACTGACCATTGCAACCCTGCAGCTGGAAGAAACATGTATGTGATCAACTCTCGGATTTGACTAATGCTAATTCTCCAATTAGTCGGCGAATGAATTTACGAACAAAGAGGAATTTGAGGTCAGTGCTGGATATTATTCATTATTCACCTGATCGCTGACACCTTATAGAAAGAGCTGGTACGCCACATCGAAACCACGCTTGCTCGTTCGCTGTACAATTGCGACGAGTTGTAAGTTCACTATACCCTTGGTCATGACTTGGCAATTGACTTGTTTCCAGGGCCGCGTACTCCGGCACTGCGCTCGCTTTCCGTGACCGGTTGATCATCGAGTGGAATAAGACGCAGCAGCGTCAGACTTTCACCGACCAGAAGCGAGTCTACTGTAGGTGCTCAATTACTTGACCAGCATAATTGCTAACCCATTTCCAGATTTGTCTCTTGAGTTCCTCATGGGTCGTGCCTTGGACAATGCTATGCTCAATGTTGGATTGAAAGAGGCCGCTCGAGGTGAGTTGTGCAGCAGTCGTGACATGACAACACTGACACGTACCAGAGGGATTGAGTGATCTCGGCTTCCGAATCGAGGACGTTATCGACCAGGAGCACGATGCGGCTTTGGGTAACGGTGGCCTCGGACGTCTCGCGGCGTGTTTCTTGGACAGCATGGCGACGCTGAACTACCCTGCCTGGGGATATGGTCTGCGGTACCGCTATGGTATTTTCAAGCAGGAGATTATCAATGGATACCAGGTGGAAATCCCAGACTACTGGCTTGACAACAACCCTTGGGAGTTCCCACGACACGAAATCACAGTCGACATTCAATTCTATGGTAATGTGAAGAAGTACCAGGGAGAGAATGGCAAGATCATCCACTCGTGGGAGGATGGCGAGATCGTTCAGGCAATTGCATACGATGTCCCTATCCCCGGGTACGGTACCAAGACGACCAACAACCTCCGCTTGTGGTCCAGCAAGGCTAGCAGTGGAGAGTTCGACTTCCAGAAGTTTAACGCTGGAGATTATGAAAGTGCCGTTGCAGACCAACAGAATGCTGAAACCATCTCGGCCGTTCTCTACCCCAACGATAACCTCGAACGGGGAAAGGAGCTCCGTCTGAAACAGCAGTACTTCTGGTGCGCCGCCTCGCTGTTTGACATTGTTCGGCGATTCAAGAAGACCAAAAGAGCCTGGAGCGAGTTCCCGGATCAAGTTGCCATTCAGCTGAACGACACTCACCCCACGCTTGCCATTGTAGAGTTGCAACGCATCTTGATTGACAAGGAAGGTCTGGAATGGGATGAGGCATGGAACATCGTGACCAAGACCTTCGCGTACACCAACCACACAGTTTTGCCGGAAGCCCTGGAGAAGTGGTCTGTTCCACTGATGCAAAATTTGCTCCCTCGGCACTTGCAGATTATCTACGAGGTGAATCTGTTTTTCCTGCAATCTGTTGAGAAGCGATTCCCCAAGGACCGGGACATCCTGTCGCGCGTCTCCATTATCGAAGAGTCACACCCCCAGATGGTGCGCATGGCCTATCTGGCCATCATCGGCTCTCACAAAGTGAACGGTGTAGCCGAGTTGCACTCGGACCTTCTCAAGACCACTCTTTTCAAGGACTTTGTGGAGATCTATGGAGTCGACCGCTTCACCAATGTCACCAACGGCATCACTCCTAGACGTTGGCTGCACCAGGCCAACCCTCGGCTGTCTGCTTTGATTGCGGATAAGCTTGGCAGTTATGAATTCCTTAAGGATCTCACACTTCTTGACAAGATTGAGGCATTTGTTGACGACAAGGCCTTCCGGGAAGAGTGGGCGGAAATCAAACGGGAGAACAAGGCGCGACTTGCCAAGCATATTAAGGCCACTACTGGATTCGACGTGAACCCCAATGCTCTGTTTGATGTGCAGGTGAAGCGTATCCACGAGTACAAGCGCCAGCAGCTCAACATTTTCGGCGTCATTCACCGCTATCTGACCATCAAGGACATGACGCCCGAACAGAAGAAGAAGGTGGTGCCTCGTGTTTCGATCTTTGGAGGCAAGGCTGCTCCAGGATACTGGATGGCGAAGACAATCATCCACCTCATCAACAAGGTGGCCGAGGTTGTGAACAAGGATCCGGAGATTGGTGATCTCTTGAAGGTAATCTTCATCGAGGACTACAACGTCAGCAAGGCCGAGATCATTTGCCCCGCCTCGGATCTCAGCGAGCACATTTCCACTGCCGGTACCGAAGGCAGTGGTACTAGTAACATGAAATTCGTCCTGAACGGAGGTTTGATCATCGGTACCTGTGACGGAGCCAATGTAAGATAATTCCCGCATCCCAACCATATCATACTAACCCTAATCTAGATCGAAATCACCCGCGAAATCGGCGAACAGAACATCTTCCTCTTCGGCAACCTCGCCGAAGACGTCGAGGATCTCCGTCACCGACACTTCTACGGCAATTTCAAGCTTGACCCCCAGTTGGAGCGCGTCTTCAACGCAATCAAGGCCAACACATTCGGTGACGCAGGCGACTTCTCCGCCCTCACCAATTCCATCGAGGAGCACGGCGACTACTACCTCGTCTCCGACGATTTCAACTCCTACGTCACCACACACGAGATGGTCGACGAGGCATTCCTCAACAAAGAGGAGTGGCTTGCTAAGTCGATTAGCTCCGTGGCGCGCATGGGCTTCTTCTCGATGGATCGTGTCACTAACGAGTACGCGGATAGCATTTGGAATGTTGAGCCGCTGAATGTTGAGGAGTAGGCTGGTAATGCTACCTACAGTCTCGAGATTGATTTCGTTTACATGATTTATGGATTCATCAGGACTTTGCATTCACATTGGTATAATCAATTTGCTTTATTGCCTACAACCACAACAACTATCATTAAGAAACCATGTAATATATCGTATGATTTTATTTTATACTCAATTGATCTAGCCAGGATATCTCTTTAAACAATACGGCCCGGAAGATTCTATCTTTTAGACATAATTCATGACCAACATTGAACATATCACCCACTCCATGCAGAACAAACAAATAAAAACCAAACCAAACTAAGCAGAAGCCTCATCCCCCTCCTGAATAGTCGAAGGCTTATGACCCTGCGGCAGAGCCGAAGTATTCAAAGGCTCCGAAAAGGTCTCGGGCCAAAGGAACATCTTCTCCTCGTTAGAAGGCGTAGCAGCAGTCATAAGCGTCGGAACAGCCTCCTTAGAAGAAATCCGACGCCACATATTAGCACGAGGGTTATACCGCACCGGTTTACCAACACCACCCGTCTTCTTCTGATCCTCACGCGAAATAGCCTCAACCTCGCGCTTGATATCAGAGAAGGTATCGAAGGGCGTGTAGGAGATACCGTGCTCGATGCAGTGTTGTTCGAGGCGGAGACCGCGGCGCGCGAAGAGGACGTCTGCTTCGCGGGCGGCGGCTAGGTCGGAGACTCCGTCGCCGATGAAGACGATCAGGGGGATTTCGTCTGGTGTGCATTCTGCTTGGGCTTGTAGGCGGGCTGCGTTTACGCTCATTGCTTTGTCGTGGCCTGATTCGGAGGCGTCGCGCCAGACGGGTTTCCAGGGACTGCCGCCTACAATTTGGACGTCGTTTGCTACGATGTCGATTGAGGAGGCCTAGTTTGGTTTTGTTAGTTTTCTGATTTGGATTTGGATTTGGATTTGGGATTTGGGATTTGGGGGTTTGGTTTACCTCTTTCTCACCGAGGAAGATATCAAGGACTCGCTGCAGAATTGGCTTGAGACCGGCGCTGATGATGTTGAATGGGAAGCCGTTTTCGGTACAGTATTGGTGGAATTCTTGGAAGCCCGGGTCGATTTGGAGGTTCTTTTCCATAACGTCGAACCCGTCGCCGAAGGGGATTGTTAGGGATCCCCACATGTCATCGGAGATGTCGCGGAAGGATCGTTCGCCGGTTTTAAATTGCTCTTCTAGTTTGTTGCGGTAGGCGGCACCGCAACCATGGTGGTCCACTAGGATGTGGCCTGTATCTTGCATGAAGATTGTGCCATCGAAGTCTAGGTATATTTAGTATTGGTACTTTTTTGCGATTGGGTAGGATTGGAAGGGGTTTCCGGATTAGGGTTGGACAGGACAAGGATGGGGTTAGAGGTTCGTACCAGAGAAGATAATGATCTTTCTCTTTTGATCGACGGGCTGCGCTTGTTGGGCCATTTTATACAGACTTAGGGAGGAGAGTATGTTACTATAGTGAACTGGAAGTAGAAGGATATGTGAACTAAAGGAAAGGGAAAATTGTGAAGAAACGGATAAGGCAAGCTAAAGTAGCCGTTCATCCGGACATGTCGTACCCTGGTCAAGTCGTGGCAAACAAGACAGGGACAATGACGTCGGTGAACGACATCAGTGTGGGCCGAGGAAGCGGTGGGTCGTGCCGAGTCTGCAGCCGATGATTGGATAGTTCAGATGCCGAGCCCCGAACTGCCGTCAGGGCATGTTCCGAGAGGATGTGATTGGCTGAGAATAATGGGGCTGACATTTATGAAAATACATCATACATTTGAACGCTAAGATGCAAGTCACAATAGGGTAAAATAGGGTCTAGATAGCTGTCAACTCGGTGATCCGACGTTGCAGCTCTGGCACCGCTCGTAGCTGCAGGTCCAACTCTTCCTTCTCACTATAACAGAGTCAGCAATGAGTAACCACGAATATCGGGTAACTTACTCTTCCAGTTTCAGACGCCGCTCCCAGTCCAGACCGGTAAAGATATAGCCTCCCTCTCCGTCGAACTGCAAGATCTTCTGGTGATATTTCCAGAGGCTGCGTCGATGTGAGACTGTCATCAGTGTGGTGCCCAGCTTTTTGGCCGTCTCATACATGACCTTCTCAATCTCCAAGGTTACTGAGGACGTACACTCATCCAGGATGGCGAACTTGGGCCGATGGTAGAACAGACGAGCCATGGCAATGCGCTGCTGGAGACCACCAGACAACACATCACGCCACTCTTCCTCTGCATCCCAGCCTCCAGGGCGATCTACGACGGACGCGATCTCAACCACAGAAAGAATGTCATAGAGATCGGCGTCGGTGATACCCTTGGCACGCATCTCACGAACTCCATCTGGATAGATGACCTGCTGCCGCAGAGTTCCACGGGATAGATATGGTCGCTGTGGGATGTAGAAGATGTCCTGAAGGGAGGCTTCTTCACTGTTCCTCCGTACACCGGCCAGAGCCCGCCCAGGATCCGGAAGAGAGACGATTTACCGCAGCCGTTGGGTCCGACAATCAAGAGATGCTCACCAGGGTGGACAGTGAAGGACAACTTGCGCACCAAGACGTCTCCATTTGGTGATACAATCGGTACGTCGGTGAACTCGATGGCGTCGCTCTCCATGACTTCGCCTCGACCAGACAACACAGCTGCATTCTCCTCGGTAGAGGCAGAGGACACCAGCTTCTTCTCAAACCGACCAGCCAGCAGGTCGTCCATAACCTCCAACAAAGACGAGACACGCGATGTGTAGCCAGCAAGCTCCGAAATCTCCTTGTAGGAGAACATCAAACGGCCAAAGGCATCTGATGAGGAAAGCAACATGCGACGGTTCGTGACGAAGCCTAGTACAATCAGCATACACACACCAGCCCAGAGGAAACAAACCCACTTTCTGTGTGATCTCCCATACTGTGAGTGGTCTGTCCAGGAATCTTGAAGAAGACAGGCACACTGCAGAGAACCAAACCCAGAGCACCCCAGAAATACTTGATCACAAAGTCCTCCATGAACCCATGATACAGTCTCCTGCGCAAAATGCGATTCACGTGCTTGATAAGAGTAAAGTACCCCTTATCCAGGGTATCCTTCTCAGCTTCGTGGCCGTGGTATAGAGCCACCTCTTCATTGTAATCGATAAGCCGCGAGTGCAAGAACCGGAACTCGCCCTCCAAGCGAGCCTCATCCGCCACGTATTTACCAAATGGCGGAGTCAGCATGCGCATGACGTTGGCTGACAGCTGCACGAGCAGACTCATAATGAACAATCCTTCTCCTCCCACATTCTTTGACAGGGAGTAGTTGTAAATAGCCATATCGAGAATCGGCTTGGCCAAGTTGGAGTATAGTTCAGCCAGACTATCCGAGAAACGAGACACATCGACCGTGACGAGCTGGTCGGGGTTCTTGATGCGGTCGTCCAAGGCGGAGATAGCATAGAAGGTCATATTAGACAGATACTTCTCATGGATATAATCAGTAAGTCGCTTGCGATAGCTCAGCGCGAGCTTGCATTGGTGGTATGAGAGCTAAATGACAAGCGATCAAGTCAGCAAGAAGATCGATCGGTCGCATGTGCGATACTAGCCGGATAACTCGATGTTATCACCAACAACTCACCATAGAATTAGTAAAAGTAGCAGGAACAGCGACAATCATCCACCAAACAAGACCCAGTAAGAAATCCTTCCCCTTACCGCGCACCAAGTTGCTCACGAGTCTTCCATCCAACTCAGCAACATACAAACTGAGCAGGGTGCGCAGGACCAAGAAAACACTATGGCTAACCAGCAAGCGTAGCTCCTTACTCCGCCACCCAGGGATGACGATCTTCAGCAAGCGAAGCAAATGCTTAAAGAACTCGCGGTTGATCTCGACTCGCTTCTTGCGGGGTTGTTCTTCGTCGCCGAGACTGCTGGTGCCGGGCCGTCGGCGGAGCTCGACTTGCTGGGTCGCGGCTTTCTGTTCGGAGATTGCATTATGGATTCGCTTGGCGAGCGCTGCGAAGAGGGCTAGATAGACGGCGCGAGAGATGCGGGTGCGGTGACGGAGGTAGAGAGTTGTTAGGCTTGAGAGGATCTGTTTGATGGAGCGCTCGGGCGGTAGCAGTTTGGACTGAACGGCCATGGCGATGCTGTTGTTGCTGTTCAGCCGGAATCTGGGGCATACATGACCGTTCACAATGGGAGTTGGAGAGTTGGTGAGAGTGAGAGTGAGAGGTGAGGAGAGGAATGACGGAAGTCCTGACATGTGATACCCCAGAAACCCGGGGAAGTCCAACCGAGGAACCTCAAACTGCCACAATACAACTATAAGTACTCCGTACAACTGTGGGAATAACCCCCAAGTCTCGAGTATACAGCGAGATTACAGAACTCGAGCGCAAATTAAATACTCGAATTTGTCACATGAACCATTATTATTAGGATATCCGTGAAACCCGCCCGTTTCAGGCTAAATTGGTACTTGCAGTCGACTACATACATGTGCAGATATAACTTAAGTTACAGAATGACATAAATGACGATAAAGTAAAATGCTGGAAAAACTGCCCCCTCGCGTCAGTCATATATACAATAGACTGCAGGCTGTCGGTAGATCAACAAAGACACGCGCGCATAGGTATGTACAGGTATTGGGAAACAACGTTAAGTTCAAGTCGTGAAAAAAATACATAACAAGCTGAGATGATATGACCTAAGTGTAAAAGTTAAGGGGACTTAGCCTCTGATTCATCAGAGTCCTTCCTATGTTCTGGGTTGTTTTGAAGCCGAAGACCACTGTTGATCTGGGCAGCGATCTGGGACTGCTTGAAGCGCTCGAATCCTTCGGCATCTTGTCGCTGGACGGCCCAAAGTTCGTCAACGGTGGTGCCGAGTTCCTCGAAGGCCCTGTCGTTTTCGAAGTTGTCGAAATTGGACAAAGACTGCTCGTCGTGGAGACGGTCGAGCTTCTGGCGGAGAGCGACGATGTGGGAATCGTCGTTATCTTTGTCTTCTTCGCCAGAGCCGGGGGTGAGGGATGGTTTGAGGAAGTCGCGGCGGAGGTTCTGGCCGATACGATGAATGTGACCTTCCTGGGAGGTCATAGCACGAGAGTGGAGCGAAGTCATGGAGCTGGCGCGGGAAAGGCGGACGGCATAGTGGTCGCCATCTTCCTCGTCAGCTCCAGTCTCGTCAAGTTGGCTGTTGTTCAAGTTGCCACCAGTAGCCATGGAACCAGTGCCGTCTTCATTAGAGTGTTGGGAACTGGTATCGGGGGCTGGGACAGCGGGTGCGGTTTGGGGACTGATGCGAGTTTCTGGGTATTCGTCCTCGAAGCGCTGGATCATCCTGTGCAAGGTGATATCCAAGAATTGCAAGCGGCCTGAATGGAGTTAGCATATGACACCAGACCTATTAAACAATTGCCCAACTTACGGTAATTCGCGTCATTGCCAGCGCGGTCCTCACGAATGAGAGCCGACTGAATCCGAGTTCTGATATTCCGGGCCGATTCAAGCAGATTCTTCGACATGTCACGGGGCCGTTTGGTAACAACACTGCGAGACTTGCGGCGTCTGGGAGTTGTAGTGCCACTCGCCGGTGCAGAGTGATCCCCAAGAGCCTCGAGACCCTGCTGGTCCAGGTTTCCGAGGCAAACGCCCAATGCCTTGACCACACCTGTACCGCCAATAACATAGTCCTCGTCTGGAGCCGCCTCGTCATCCTCGTCACACGGCTCTTCGGAGGGGAAACTATATCCGACAATATGTTGCAGGATTTCAGGCACAGGAACATCCTTAGCTCCAAGGTGATCGAAAGAATCGGAAAGCTCTTCCGCAATGGCACCCCCTTCGAGATTTCGTAGCGAGTAGGCCACGATCTGCGATGCCAGGGCTTTGACAACTTCGTTGTTTTCGGCGCTGGGTACATCGATATCGACTGCAATGATGGTTCGTGAGACACGTACAGCGGCCATCATAGAGGCATATACAGCACATGCCTCTTCCTGTGCAACAGCATCGGTGGTAGAGGCCAGGTCCTCGATTTGCTGGTTCTCCAGAATATTCAAATGGCAAAGACTGGGGCACTCTGGAAGCACCTCAGCAAGACCAATGACATGATCTGGTGTGAGATCGACATCAGCCAAATGGAAGCGCTTCAAAGACGGCATCTTTGGCAAGAAGCGACGGAATGCCCCAAGAGCATTGGGCTGAGCTGAGAATAACTCACGATTGTGAGAGAAATCGATGAAGCGGAGGTTGTGGATCTGGGCAAGGGCTTGGAGCAGTGGACAGATCACTGACGGGTTCAAGGAACAATCTGCTAGACTCAAAGCTAAGAGTGGCTGCTCAGGCTCAATCGCATTCGTGACAAGATCAAGATCATCCTTGATGGCGTTGCCACCTAGGTCCAGGCCTTCACACTGACCGATCTTGAGATACTCAACCACATGTTCCAATCCCTCTCTCGTCAGACCGTTGTTGGCGAAGCCGAGTCTTCGCAAGCCCATCTTGGTGCTTGCCTGGCAGATTTGTTGGACGGCATCAACCGAAGGATAGCACTCACTCATAAGCAGTTCTTCAAGGTGATCACCACCAAAGCGCTCTGCCAGCGCACTAGCGAAGACAGTGCTTACATCAACTGTTTGTGGCTGGGTTTGACCTGGTGCGCCAGAGCCACCGATCGCAATCTGACCACGAGGGAAAGGAATGCCCGACAAATCGATGGCTTTCAAAGATTTAGACAAGTGAATGAAGAGACTAATGTGACGCCATCCTTCTCGTCCAATCTTAGGATTGTTCTTCAAAGAAAGCTTTTCCACAACACCATATCTTTCATGATCCTTAACACCTGGGGACTCGGGTCTTCGAGATCGTCTCCGTCGGTAGCGCATCTGTTCTACTGTCTTGGTAGAAAGCAGACCTGCAAGAATGGCACGTACGGATGCATCCGTTAGTGCGCAATTTTCAAGAATCAACTTGCGGACTGGGACAACAGCAAGCCAATCACTGAAAGTTGTTAGGTCCTGCGACGTCATCGGGAAGTTGCTGAGATCCAGAGCCGCCACTGTACCGGGAGACTCAGCCAATGTTGATGAAGGTTTCGAAATCTCGTCAACCACTCTCTTGAGAACGGGCGTTTCGCGCAGCTGACAGCATCGACGATAGATGCGCACAGGATCGGTTGTCGGGTGGCTTTGCGTTTTGGATCGAGAGACACCTGGCGGTGATGCTTGAGGTTCCTCCTCGTCATGCTCGGCATCCAGTTGCAATGGTACTGAGCCGTTTGCCACCGCTTGCCGCCGCTTTCTTTCCTTCCGTTCTTTCCGCTCTGCCTCCGACCGTTTCTTCTTCTCTTGCTTCCTTGTTGGATCAGTCCCTTCACCATTTGGAGCAGATTCGGTGGATGGCTTGGGTGTCGTGGTGTCGTTGGGGGAGAAGAAGACTGGGTAGCCGCATCGCCTGTAGCCTGAGCAGGAGCCGGTGGGGAAGCATCCTTTTCAGCCAAGACAGTTTCTGGATGTTTCAAAGCGGCAGCTTCCTCTTTCCCCTTTGACTTGAGATCTGCCTTCTTGGACTTGTGGGTATTAGACTCGGGGAGAGGCTGCCGTAGTTGGTTGGTCGGAGGAGCTTCCTCGTCGTCATCGCGGTGTGATATTCCCGCAATTTCCACGTCCACACAGAAAGCCACACGGTTTAGTTTAGCCTGGTTTAGGTCTGCGACTTTGCATCGGTGTCGATTCTGGTCGATGTTCATCACACGACGCGGGCAGATGGAATCATTGGGATTCAACTTGGGCAAACCACCAGAATTGGACGAAAACTTGCGCAGAGCATTGTGAATAAACGACGGGCTTTTAGGTGATGTCGAAGTAAACGGGTTGGAGTCATCTTTTTTCTCCTCTTCCTTGTCCTTCGGGGAGTAGGCAGCGCCGAACGGATTGTGTGTGTCGAGGGGTGAAGTCGTTTTCGGACTCGCAGGACTAGATTTTAAACTAGATTGCGACGGTGGCGTAGATCCAGACGAGAACTTCGAGCTCAAATTGGATATCCAGGAGTTCCGTCGTCCAATGGGCTTCGGGTCGCTTTTTCGCGAAGCCGGAGATGGCGTGGATGCCTTTTGCTCCTCATTCTTCTCCGCTGGTTGTGGCTTCGATTCTACTTGCGTTATGTCGTTCTGGGGGGCTTTCTTCGGCTCCGAGGAAGGGGGAGGGGGTGTCGGTTGCGCCGGGCTACTGTTGGATCGATTTCTCCGGTGCGACTTGGGTGGGGAGGATGCTGGCTGCTCTGTGCCAGCTCCGGGCCCTGGCCTTTCACTAGCCGTAGTTGGCGAATTCACAGACTTTGTGCGAGATAAATGGTCTGAATCAAGTGTCAGATGTGTTATCTCCGAGGCCTGCCATTACCCCGGGTTCGGAGAAATCGCTTGCATGGAAAGTCGGACATACCTTTCTGTGAATGATGAAGCCAGCTCACGTCCACGGTCTGAACGCCCTCCATGATGAGATGACCTCGCTCGATCTTAATGTTCAGAAAGACTTGAGTCCGGAGCAGGTGTCGAGGTTGGTCAGCGGTGTGGCGTTGTAGGACGGGAGTGACTGAATAGGATCTAAATCGTATGACGCATTATTGACTGTTCCCCCACTTCTCATGGATGATCGCAAGACGACGATTTGAAGAGACAAATCAAGTGGACAGCACTAAACCGCGCCAGAGGACAGCAAATGGAAGTGCCGCAATGATGTGCCGTATGATCTGCGACCGAGGATTCCGTTATACACCGCTACAGGAACTGACAGCGCATGGCCATTGGGAGTAACGAAGAATGCATAGTGAATCAAGAAAGAAGATTTCCAGAAGGAAAAAGCCCAGGAGACTCCGGATGGGGAAGTTTAAGCAATGGAATAAGGTGACATAATAAGGTAATTGGGCCGGGGGAGGCTCCACTGAGGCACGTGAGTGTCCAGTCCTGTATTATATCCACGTGACCCAGTACGTACTGTATGGTAATTGTGAGGCTCTGTTGGTTACAGGTTCCGGGCCCGAAGGTAATAGGAGCCTTACATCGATATCGTTAGGATCTATTGGGATGCCATAATATTCTTGTTTAATTAAATTCTTTAGATCTGACCTTGCTCATGGGATCCAAATGTAGGATTCCGATTCCACTGATCAGCGCTGCTAGTGAGAATTAGCCCTTTATGGCTCAAAATTCTTCTTGTTACAGTGGATCCTACTCTCACCGATCCTACCTCCGAATGATCGGCTAAGTCGAGGATTGACCATCGAATAGATCTATTGTGAGTGCCCTCGATAAGTGGGACGAGCGCTGACTAGATATTTGCGACACGCATCGCTTTTCTGACAATCTGAGATGACCTAGTCAGGAACAGGGTCCACTGGTAGGTATCAGTTAGCGTAAATATATTGTACATATAAGTTACCCCTTCCTCCACATCAATTGAACTTGTGGCCCCTTTGGTTTGGTGAAGAATTATATCTGTGGATTCGCCAAACTTGAAAATCTACAGTAGGATTCTAAAGACACATCTATAGCAATGTGTACCTCATAATTAATAGAGTGTATATCCCTTAAGCCCATCTCTAACATAAATAGGCTGCTTCCCATGCCTGGATTTTGGGATAGACAAAACACTCTTCCTCCGTCTAATAACAAGTACACACCTCCCTCCCTCTCCTCCACCGTTTCCAAAATGATGCTCGACACTTGACCATCTTCGCCTCCAACTTAATAATAATAGGTAAAGTACGGTATACAGAAATATCTATAACTTACTTATTTGTAGAGTCAAGATATGGTAATGCCAAGATATAAATTTGCTGCTAAGTTACTCAACATCATCCTTCATTGTTATACGTGTACTGCAATTAGTTACAGTTCACTTTGCAAGGTGCTTTTTACAGGGCCGGTCTGACGTTAGAGTTGTTGGTCAACATTGAATATGAACACAAAAGCTCACAACTTACCCCCTCGAGCTCTACAACTCAGTCCTATAAGCATCGACCGGCACTGGGGGAAGCAATGGGTTTCACACTAAGACGGCCCGAGATGACAGGTTGTACCATAAGGCGATTGCATTGTATGAACCATTAATAGCAAATCATTACCTACAGGTACCGGCGTCGAACACACCGACTCGATGATCATTTGAACGCACAAAAAAGACGGGTATCCGCGATGAAAACGCCTAAAAACGCCTCGCTAGGACCGAGAGTGTCCTGCCGATAAAAAATAAATCGCCTCCGAATGGTATGCGATGAAAGAAACAGTCATCACAGCGTCAAGGGGGATTAAGGCCTCCGCACATAGCAATGGTCCCATCTTCTTACTCCAGACCAGGAATGTCCTTGAGATATTCCCAACCGTACTCCTCCTCTTTAGCCTCAGCCTCCATGCCCAGTGCAAAGCGGTAGGCGCGGACTTCGTTCTGCAGACCGGAGATGATCTTAGTGGGGAGGTCGTCTTCCTCGCAGCGGAGGCGGTAGGCAGTGCGGATCATTTCGGCACACTTCATGGTTTGTGCATGCCAGTGGTCGCGGTCAAGACGGCTCTCCAGGTGGGCATCGCGCTCGGCTTGAAGGAGGTTGTTGTAGTGGCGCTTCTGAGCAAGGTAGTGCATGTTGTTGTTCTGGCAGTAGTTGCGAATTTGCTCGACCATGACTCCCACGGCGGTTTGGAATTCGAGAATCATCTTGTAGTTCTCCTCGCGATGGTGCTTGTGGTTTGCAGATATGGACTTCTCCTTGGCCAAGGCGCGCTCGAGTTCGGCGATGCGGGCAGCTGCTGTTGGTTAGTGATCGCAATGGATGGGGGTTTCAAAGGGGTCTGCGTACTAAGATTTTCGCCGTTCTGGTCACCCGAGCGAGAACTGTCGGCGATGCCATTCTTCTGCGGACGTGTAAGCTCAATGTCACAGCCGAATGTTCTCATATTCCACTTACCATGATCTCCTCCGCGTTGGCAACGATGTTCTTGGTGACATCCCGGTTGTTCTTCAGGACGTCACTCAATTCGACGACCATCTCGTAGAGATGATGCAAGTCCATCTGGTGACCAGCGTTCATCGGCATGCCACCCATGCCGCCCATGCCGCCGCCGCCGATCTGAGTGGTGGAGGAAGCGTGGGAAAGGGCGGGAGACGGAGTCTGACGAGGGGGAATATTCGGCACGGCATTGCTATCGCCATAGCCGGTCGAGCCTGCGAAGATGCCAGAGTTCGGAACGTTGCTGGACATGGTAGCGGCGTTCATAGAGATGTCGGCGTTATCGAAAGCACGGTTCAGTTCCTCAAGTGAAGGATCGTTGGGGTTGAAGGTTCGGGGAGTGCCGTTATCCTCGTCGTACCAGGAGGCGTGATTCTGAACGCCCAAGACCTCCGATTGAAACTTCTCAAGGTCACGGCGAGTAACGTGGGTGGAACGACGGCGATGCCCACGCGCGAAAGGCGCCTTGGAAGGGGAGGAAGAAGTGGCACCCTCGATGGTGGCGGATGGGCTGATCTCAGTATCGCTATCGATCGCGGTCTCGGAGCTCTGATCAGATTCACTGGTCGGGGAGCAAGCAGGAAGCGTGTTGTGCTGGGGATTCACGCTAGTCCCAGATGGGACTAGACCACCACGTGATAAGTCACGTAATGGATGGCGCCCCTCGACCAACTCCCTCATCTTCTCAAAAGCATTCATTTTTAAAAAGATAATGGTCAATCCTGGGGCCACGAAGAAATGGATAAGACTTGCCCCTCGAGGAACCGGTTTCCCAGTCTGTCGAGTGGGGCAAAGCCTATTTCTTTCTCGACCGACGGAGAACGAGTGTGTAGGTGTAATAGATCAATGACGGTGATTTACACAGAACGGACTCCAGAACGAGATGCCCACGATTAATTGGCACTGCATCCTATATCAAAATCTAACCTGAATGCCTGTGGCCACATCTAGCACATCCCATTACTTTGGATTTGGTACGAGGCTATATTTGCAGAAGGCACCAGATATATACAAAGAGCATCGGCATCGTAACCAGGACAACGAAGACTACGCATCACAAAAGTTCATGCAAGTTCAGAATAAAAAAAAAAAAAAAAGAAAGGATGATTCAATTGATTCTGTATCGCAACCGCAAGTAAATTCATTGTATGCAATTAGCATGGGGTATTTCAGTTCGTCAAGTCATATCCATCAAGGCCTCCAATCTCTGATCAGAGCCTGGTAGCGAGTACTCGTGGGTTCCAGGGATATCGCTGCTTCGTGTCTGTTGTGCAATCCTGCCTCCAACTCTTGCAGCCAGAATTCGCATTTTCTCTAATTCTTGAACAAGCTCACCATCCTTGGTGATAAGGTTTGGTTGGATATCTTTTGAGGGGTCTTTGAATGGTACAAGCAATCGCTGAAGATGCTGTAATTGATCGAGGCGCCGTTGGCGTTGCTGCCGTTGACTATCGAGGCTAGCCAGGCGCTCACGGAGCTGCTGGTATCTGTACAACTGGTGTCAGGCGGGCGGAACTCCAATCGGAGGAAATCTGAATACATTGCAGACTAACCTTGTATTCTGCTCTTCGCTTGGTTCCTGGCCTTCCAGCTCAACAGGCAGCTTTGTGATGTTCCTAGTTCAAGTTGGTCAGAGGCTCATTACTCTTTGCGTAGAGCCGGCTTCGTCTCACATTTGCCTTGACAAATCCGCGGTCTTTTCAACGCCTCGGGCAAATACCCTCCGACTGCGAGCATCTTGACTGACCGAGGCCCAGTACAGACTTGCAATCTGTTGGGCGACGTGATGTATTGCTTGTGATGAATAAACAACGCGGTTGTGCTGCTTGGCGGCGGCATTCACTATAAAATTGTTAGCCTCATGAACATCCCAGCGAAATAAGATTTAAAGCCTAACAAAGGCCATGGGGGACTGCGATTGGTGCTCTGACCTTTGTGTAGGACATCTTCGATGACCTTGGGGTTCAGATCTCCTTCATCGGTTTCGGTGGCATAGTTCCGCCAGTCTTCAGGTAGGTCGAGACTCTCGGAGAAGATACGGACTTGAGTCCATATAAAGGCAGATTTCAGCTCAACGATCGTTCGACTTGACTCCATCTCGGGATTGTTAGAGAAACACCATTGACCCTCGCGCAGAAAGCGCGCCTTATCGATAAGAGACACGTGACTCCTCCGCAAATGGGGTGAAGAGTTGCCATTTGACCTGGATCATATTCTTTCGAGAACCCTTTCTGGATATATCAAGAGAAAGACCTTTGTTATTCATGCAGTCTAAAGTGGACCGATAACGCCTGTCGAGGTGGGGAGCGTATCCTCGGTCTGAACTGCAGCGATCGCCAGTACCTCGGCAATCTGACAGTCTCCAGAATCCAGATTAATTCAAGTAGTTCAGATCCTTTCTGAACCCAAGAATTCTAGGCCATTCGGCTTTCAGTGTCAGCTTAAATTCAAGCAGCTCTCCCACTTCCTGCCATTACTGCTATCAGCCCTGTTGTTATCTCAAGATGGCAGAGACCAAACGCCCGGTGGGCCTATTGTTCGATATTGGAGGAGTGTGTGTAAGCAAACCACTCGGCCCAAACATCTACAACCTAGTTACTAACTATATTGTAGGTTGTATCGCCATTCCAAGCCATCCTAGACTACGAGATCGCCCAGAATATCCCACCAGGATGGGTCAATTTCAGCATCTCACGAACAAAGCCGAACGGTAGCTGGCATAAGCTGGAGCGGGGCGATATCAAGATGGATGCGGACTTCTTCGCAGGCTTCAATACAGACCTACGAAACCCTGATCTATGGAGACAATTCCACCAACAACTTCAAACGAAACAAGGCACCAGTTCGACCACCATCCCTCCCCTGCCAACGGTGGATGCCGAATGGCTCTTCTGGGAGATGATGCGGATATCGCGCACTCCAGACCGATATATGTATCCGGCTCTGAAGAAACTCAGAGAGTCTGGTCAATTCTTGATGGGGGCTCTATCCAACACTGTTATATTCCCCGATGGACACGAATACAATAACGATGTGTCCGGGGTCAAGTCGCAATTCGACTTTTTCATTTCCTCCGCACATTCAGGCCTTCGCAAACCTGATCCGAAGATCTATCAGGTGGCGTTACAGGAAATGGATACTCTAGCTAAGAAGCGGGGACTGCCGGGGACTAACCCCAACGATATCGTCTTTTTTGACGACATCGGGGAGAATCTGAAGGGAGCAAAGAAGGCCGGCATGCGTACGGTCAAGGTCACTCTTGGAAAATCTCAAGATGCAGTCAAGGAACTGGAGAAGCTCACCGGTCTTCAATTGCTGGAGGACCAGGCACGGCTGTGATGTAAAGGGGATTTTTGTGTTGAAAATTCCTAGATAATTATCGAAACTAGAAACAGTACCCAAATAACTCTCAATAATGGGTATTATTATTGTTTCTGATTTCCCTTCATGTGTGGTGAATTAATTCCGTTGTGGTGTTGGGGCCATACACAATCCGATGTTCCCTCGTCGCCGACCACAATTCTGACGGGAGATGCAGCCACGCGCTAAGCGAAAACCGCACAAATTGGCCCCACGAAATTTTTGTTCTTCTTCCTTGACCATCCCTCAGCACCCTCGACACCGTCAAAATGGTGAGTTGAAACTGGTTGAAAAAGCCTTGATCTTTATATCCTCTCCTTTCGGAGCCGGGTCCCTGCAAGCTGCTTCGGCGTGATTTCTGAAGCGTTAATTGCTGACTCGTGATGTCTTCTACAGCCTTTCACCAAGACTGTCAAGAACGACGCCTACTTCAGGTGAGTTATTTCCACACCAGTTTATCCGCTCCGATTTACTAATAAATTTTCAGTCGCTACCAGACTAAGTACCGCCGTCGCCGTGAGGGTAAGACCGACTACTATGCTCGCAAGCGCCTGATCACCCAGGCCAAGAACAAGTACAATGCGCCCAAGTACCGCATGGTCGTTCGCTTCACCAACCGCGACATCGTTACCCAGATCGTCTACTCCGAGATCTCCGGTGACAAGGTCCTCGCCGCTGCCTACGCCCACGAGCTCCCCAAGTACGGCATTGACCAGGGTCTGACCAACTGGGCCGCCGCCTACGCCACCGGTCTTCTCCTCGCCCGCCGTGTCCTGAAGAAGCTCAACCTTGACGAGCAGTTCAAGGGTGTTGAGGAGGCCACTGGTGAGCACACCCTCACCGAGGCCGTCGAGACTGAGGACGGTGAGCGCCGCCCCTTCAAGGCCTTCCTTGATGTCGGTCTCGTCCGCACTTCCACCGGTAACCGTGTCTTCGCCGCCATGAAGGGTGCTTCCGACGGTGGTATCTTCATCCCCCACTCCGAGCGCCGTTTCCCCGGTTACGACATTGAGGAGGAGACCCTCGATGCTGAGACCCTCAAGAACTACATCGTCGGTGGCCACGTCTCCGAGTACATGGAGAACCTTGCCGATGAGGATGAGGAGCGTTACAAGTCCCAGTTCGTCAAGTACATTGAGAACGAGATCGACGCTGGTGACCTCGAGGAGATCTACACTGATGCCCACAAGGCCATCCGCGAGGACCCCTTCAAGGCTGACGAGAACGCCGGCCCCAAGAAGTCCAAGGCCGAGTGGAAGGCCGAGTCCAAGAAGTACAAGGTCCAGAAGCTCACCCACGCCCAGCGCAAGGCCCGTGTCGAGCAGAAGATCAAGGAGCTCTCCCAGTAAGAGGATCGCTTCTTATCTTTCTCAAAAGTTCCACCAAAATTCAAGAGGGAATTGGCTACTGCCGGCGTTTTTTTCGATGTGATGTAGTTTGACGGATCATGGACATACCACTTTTTTTTTTTTACGAGAGGTTTTTCTGGGAGCAATTAGTTCGGTGTTCATTCAAGGCAATTTCTTTACTCAGTTCTAACTGCTCCCGTCAATGTCCATCAGTCTTGTTCCCTCATGTGCTTCCTTGCATCTGCTTGTAGATGGGACCCGTAGTGTTCGTAAACTCTCTGACCCTCCGTATCTGCTTCAATCAACAAAGACATGCCATTGATTTATGCCAGTCAACATGACTCGACATACTCGACATACCCGACATGAAGTGCAGTATGTAACATATCATGAAACAAACTGCCCCACCCACGACCCCTGCACTGCCAGCACAGAGTACCTGGTGACCACAGTACAGTAAAGGACAAGGATATATAGCGTCTCAATAGTTTACTATCCTCACTTCATCCAGGGGGCTGTTAATAATACAATCATTACAATAGTACCCATGTTCATTATTAATATTCCGGAGACGCTAACAGAAGAATTGGATGATCCCATATCGCTCTCCGCCCATAATCCCAACAACCAACCAACCCCATGAAGAGATATCAGCAACACACACATGCAAGCTGGCACCGAGCCAACGCAGGCAAGCTCGAGTGCCCATGGTGTCTTGAAAACCCTTCTTTGCAAGACAATGCCGGTCCCCCAAGCCGACCGCAGTCCAAACTGCGTACGCGGGTGCCAACTCGCAATGGGCACAGCAGAATGGGGACTGTCTCGCCTAGTCCTTCTGTTCGGACTGAGCAACCTGTGAAACATAAACATGAATCTGAAAACGAACACGAACACTATGATCATCATTCTTTCACTGCCGATGGTCAAGTCGCCGATGCTCAGGTTGAAAGTCAAAATCACACCGCCGACTCTGCTGATGCTGATGCCGCGCATGTTGAGAAGGACGTCGCCTCGAACGTGGAAAATGCTAGTCATGTTCATGAGCAGGATGGGCAGAGCTTGAATGGGGCACAGGACGATAGTGCTCTTGTTGCAGACCGCCAGTTCTCTCCGGAGATATCCGATGACCGGACAACTTCTGAGCAGTGAATGTTTGTTCAAAGGTGGGTGTCAATTCGTGCATCGATGGTCTTATTAGCCACGTCATTTATATATATGCTAATAGGGTCATGATAGTTCCATATCCTAGTGAATTGCTTCCGATGACGTCGAGCCACGTGCGGTTGGGAGAACAAGAGCATGTTTTTTCAACGGATTGGAAAAAAGGAAATTTGGTAGCGTTGATTATGTCGAGTATTAGCTATATATATTATAAATGATTGGATAACCTCATGATCGTTAAAATTCTTATGTATCAAACAAGTGAGTCTGAGTGAAGCGAGAATTTCTCATGTTCATATCATTGCAAAAGAACATGGCACCGAAGACAGAAAGAACTGAAAGATCAGTCATACTGCAGTAGCTAGGAAGCCTACTGGGGCGAATCATTGCTAGAACAGGGAAATGGACTGCCAAAGGGACCCTTTCAATAGGGGGAGGATACGGGCGATCTTCGGCTTCATAATCAGCTTTGCCTTTTTGAATGGGGTGGTTTCAGGGATACCAATTGCCGTCCTTTGGACCTGCAAACCTTGATTCCGGCATCCAGGATGCTGTTAGCATCGCCATTGTTTTCACTGTTCTGTTTATCCTCGGGGTCCCATTTTGGTTCAAATCCAAACCGGAATTTTGCAACGCGCTGCACGACTTGATCATTCACGGAATGCATCAGACACCTCAGTGGGCCAAATTGGTATTGATATGTTTGACACTTATCGCTACATTCGTTGCTGCGCCTTTGGCACTAATTTGGACACGCCCACTAACTAGTGGCATCAAGAGTGGACTGACAGTGGGGATTTTGATGCTTGTTGCTTTTTTCCTGCTAATTACCTGTCTTTTGTGGGCCTTAAGATGGAAGCCTTACCCCATTCCATATTGGGATACGCTTAGTAGTAGCAAAATCTTTTCTGCATTAATAGCTTCTGTTTGAGGACAAAGGACTATAAGCCCGCTTATGCCGATGTCTTTTTAGAATGAAAGTTTGAATGACCCGACAGAGACAGAGTGCCCAAAAGAGACTTAGTGGAATATAATGGAACTGATACTTGTAGCGCAGATACACCATACTTATCGTATGTCAATACAGCTAGAATTTTAGGTCAAAAATACCCACTAGGCAATATATTGTCATTGTTCCTGTATAGTAAATCAAAATGTTTGAACAGCAGCCAATAGCAGAATACAGTCAAGCGGCATGCACTAATATAGACATGGTTAGCATATCGTGTTCCTCAGCTCGCCCATCAGATACACTCAAAATAGTCAAATTACACCTGAAGATCACTATATGCTCACCTGGAAGTGCAGTATTCATTCCTCAAATTAGCATATTATTACCCCCCTCAACTGTGTGGGCTCTTTTAACCAAAGCAATGGCATTCGGCTTTAGTCTAGGTCTTGGTACGTTCAAGAAATGCAGTTCGAAATGTGTGCTGACGAGATGCACCGCAATACAGAGAGATTCAAAAGCAATTTTGCTTATCACCAGCTTTACATGATACTGGCAATAATTGTAATTATCTTGCTATGTGAGTGAGCCAGAAGAAGTTCACTATCTCCCGCCATTTTCGACTAATATATCCACTAACCCCATTTGCTCGCGGGAAGTTCTTCTTCCAACAGCCTTAGCAATGTATAACTGCTGTCGCTTGTATATACAGCAAAAGCGACTCCGATATCTTCATCCCCCGGAAAAGTGAGCTCAGCTATCGCACATGCCATCCACACCGTGTCACAAACTGGCAATGGGACGATTCTTGAGGTGCGAGCGGGATACATGGGGATTAGAGCCATACAAGACGTATTCACCCCAACAACATAAACGCGTTGACAAATTTGATTAAGACCAAAAAGACCTCTGTCAGCGAGAAAACAAGCACGGAAATTATAGCCAACTCCGTCAATCTGGTCATGATTGCGAATGAGTTCAAAAGAAACGTTGTGCTCGATGGACTGATGTAAGTCCCACTCTGGCTAACATATCCCATATTATGGCAACATATAAATAGCAGTTCTACGGCGACAATGGCAGAGATCCCCACTTATGGTGCATGCGGGAGTCGGGGCGATGGTGCTAGGATGGGTTTCCATAGCACTGATTGCCTTCATTGGTATCAGTATCCTCGTGATGGAACAGAGTATTAAACGCATTGAAAATTTCGGAGACGGCGCCTCCTACACTGTCAACTCCTCCAGTCTAACATCATGAGGAGAAGAAGTTCCAGTTTCAGACTTTTCATCCATTATTCAGCAACTTCGATCAGGCTCATCGATATTTCTTACAAAGAAATTCCACTTTCTTATCTGACTGGGCAATTCCAAGTGAAGTTTAACAAATAAAGAATATTTGATGGGAGAATCGAGAAGCCCCTAAAGCCGGCACTTTCCTACTTTCACTAATAGTAAACCTCGGCCTTCCGTTAACTGTTTTATCGCAATAATACGATTGCCTCTTAAATGTCTCACATGTACACAGATAATTTCCTTCTATCACTTTAGGCACTCGCAAATGGGCGGAAAAGAGGTCAAAAAGTGAAGCAAATATGTATTACAGTATAGGCCTTGATGTAGGCTTGGATCCTACAGAGCTTATCCAAGATAATACTAAGTACAGCACGGACAAGGCTGGTACCGAAGTAGCCCAGCTTTTTATAAGTATTGCTCATTTGTAATTTAATAAAAAGTCAGTGCGTTGGGTCCAATAAAGTAATCGTCTTCGTTAACACTGTAATACGAAGACAGGACCGTGCTCTCCACAATGTAATGAAGTGACATGAAAAAAGCCCCGAGGACCTCGTTTCTCTGTCTTGTCCATAGATATGTACACATTCAGCTAGAGCAGCTTCCTAAATCCTCTCCACAGTCCCTTTGAGGTAAAGACACCCTTAGGGTCTACTGCCATTTGAATTTGCTTTAGTCTCTGCATATTCTCTTCACCGTAGCCAGGGAAAACCTCATCAGTCTGTGCTGCTGAGGCATAGTTGATGTAGCGGTATCGGTTTGCAACCCCCAGTTTCTCAGCAGCTGATTCGAGCTTTTGGACAGTGTTTTCTGTCATGCTGTTGACAGCGGCATCACCACTGGCATCGGTCCAAGCCGTAGAAATTAGGATAACTGGAATTAAATTAGTAATCCGCAGTAGTTATGAGACCGGCAGTTATAACTTACGGAAAATGGGCCCATCTGTGTCAATACCCAGAGCATTACCACCTCTCTGCTTCATGGCCTTGATGGCGTTTTTCTGAATGGGATAGCAAATGAAGTTTGGAGTCAGGCCTTTAACAGACTTGATTTTCTTTACCTCCTCACTGAAAATCTCGAGAGCCTGAGTGAGAAAGAGGCGAGATGGCCGCACACTGAGCGTAGCAAACAAATTTCTAGGACCAAGTCAATAAGCAGCCCAGATATAGACCACTACATAGGATTACTAACCTTGTGACACCCATGGGCCCGGAGCTACCTGTCATATTGCCCATGGTGGCAATCCTTGGGGATCTTGTCAATGGAGTGATTTCATCAATGTTGCTGAAAACTGGCGGGTTCATAATCGGCTTCGCGTAGCGCTGGTTGCCCATCAATGTGAAGTCATCGTTTTGGGGGCTGTAGGCATAATAAAAGTCGTAGGCCATCTCAACATCGCTCGAAAGCTCATCACCAGTCCAAAGGTCGTACACCTGGTCGAGGACTTGTTCGCTTTGATTGTTGTGATAGCTTGTCGCAGCAGTGAAAACTGAACCTTGGTAGAATGTGCGAACGGTGAAGGCAGTGACAATACCGAAATTGTTACCTCCTCCTCGGAGAGCAAAGTAGAGATCAGGATGATCAACATCAGAGACGGTCGTGATAGTACCGTTGGCAAGGACAACCTGAAGTTAGGTCAGTGATTGGTTAATAGAGAAGATTGTAAAACCTAAGGACATACCTCATATTCGAAAACATTATCGAGAGACAAGCCGTACTTGTTGGAGAAAGGCGATGTTCCTCCACCCAGGGTAAACCCGCCGACGCCGACAGTGCCAACCCTTCCACCGACGAAAGAAAGACCGTGAGAATCTAGATCTCGGTACACTTTCGCGGTAGTTGCGCCGCCTCCAACACGTGCTTTGGTGCCGTCTGTCGAGACCTCAACGTTGTTTATTCGGTCGAGGTCGATCGTGACACCGGCCACAGAATTCGAGTCATCCCGATGTCTTGAATGGCCACCACCTTTGACGGCAAAGTTACACCAATGACGGACTAGAATATCTAGTACACGGGCAACATCCTTTGCGTCGGAGGGCTCAACGCGACAAGCCGGGTGAATCTCTTGCTGCTTAGCATCCCAAATGGTGAAGTTTTGATCGTTGTCGGGATAATGGAAAGCAGAGCCAAAGGTGGCAGACAGTTGGGTGCACTTTATGACAACGTTAGAAAGCAAGAGATTGAAAAAATGCTCAAAAAGTGCCTACCGCTTGGTGACAGCCTACAGAGACTGTCTCGCTCAATTGACTGCTTCCCTGCTCAGAGGTGCCATGATGCTTTAGACTCACTGCATTACTCGAGGCAAACAAAGAGCCTAAGAGTAAAACTCTGCGTAGCATAGTAGATGGAATGAAGGGGAAAGTCAATATAGATTGAGAAAGTTGAATATCTTGACACTTCTAGCTTGAAGTCGAGGGGCTAGTTATATCCATTTCATGGGGCAAAGTGGTGAACTATATAACCTTGGGAATATTTGCCAAGAAAACGCGGAGAGGAAGTTATTCACCAGGAACCCTTCCTTAGAACAAGCCAAGTGAGGCCGTGCTAAACCATGACGCGTTGAGAATGCAGGTCCGCAATAGCTCCAGACTTAAAAACCCCAAGTTTACAGCAGAAGATCCTCATACCCGTCGGCCGATGCGGGATCCATGCACGAGCATCGGTAGACCTTCTGCAGTTGACTGATAATGTGGGCTATTCTTTGAAATACGACTGGCCAGCTTCAAATGGGGGTTCTCGAACCTTACCGGATGTAGATTGACTTTGATGCAAGGATCGGCCTTCTGTACATTTCATGGACCCGAGAGCTCTAATATACACCCGGACCAAGGACCCTGCTAGGCACGTAAAGAGTCAAACAGCAAAGCAAGGAAGGCAGAGATGGGCACGCAGTAACTGCAGGTGCAAAAGCACCGGAGTAAAAATGAGTAGCGAACATTTGTATCTGGTGAGGACTAGTGATAACTTCAAATGTGCTGCTGCCTCTGGTGTGTTTCCAGCGTTAACAAACGCCTCCCCTGGGTTTGATTAATCCTCCGAATTAATTTGAAAACCAAGAGTAATCCATGAGTAATTAGGTATCCGGCTCGTTTCTAAGGTATGGTTTTCACGTTGCAGATTACACAGCAAATGTTTCGGCCTTGCCATAATTGTCTGCTAGTCTCATAGGAAGGGCCCTTGGCGACCAAAGTGAAAAGTATTCTGTGAACACTGCTATCTGATCGTTTCGGCCGACGTATCAAGGAAAGCCCATAAAATAGCTTCCTGCATACTTGCTATTGGTTTGCTCGCTTTATATGGGTCCTCATCGGCCGACGTGACTTCTTGGCGCTTTCTTGGCTGTTAATACCTTGAACTGCTACAGTGAGAAGGGTACTTATGACTGTTGATCATTCCAGAATTCCCTTTCCGAGTTTTGCATTTTCTTGAAAAAACGGTACGACCGAACAAATAATTTTAAACTGTCACCTGCCGACCTCGAAGAAACAGAAAACAATTCAGCGCTGCCATGTACCTCCTATGGTGTTTGAGCGTCATTTTATTTGCAGAACAATCCTTTGCGCTCGTTGCAGCGGTGCAAAGTTCTTTGCGAGATATAGTCTCGGCCGACGTCTTCCTGTCAACAGTGGAAGGATTGGGCCATTCTACTTCCCGTGGAATGCCCTTGTTATCGAGGTGCTCTCTTGACCTATTTGATCTCAAAAAAATCGACTATAATACGATATTTGACGGCGCCTATGGTTCTGAATTCGCAAATGTCATTCTTACCCTCTGCTCTGACGAGGGTAAACAAATACCTTGGAAGAGGGATGGTCGATTTGAACCGTCATATCTGGATCAGGTGGCTGAGCAGCGTTGTTCAGATACTATCAATGGGGTTGAAGATGTTTCACTCATGGAGACGGAATCCGAAACGGAATCCGTAGGAGTTCCTTCTCCACAGAGGATCTTTTTCCTCTCGGCTTCCGTGTGTTGTATGTTGTTCGTTAAGTTTGTTTACAAACGCAAGGGAGAACAGAAACCATAGACAAGACCACAAGCAATATGTGGACAAGGGCAAACTTGTTCTTGGCCCTCTATGTACTATCACTTAATATTACTACAAGATCTTAATTGATCGTTTTTGATGGATTTATTCCGCGTTGGAGCTACGCCCCCTGGAAACCCGAATGATAACTATCTGATAAACTACGGAGTCAAATCTAAATGTTCCCTTCTTTTAGACAAACACTTCACATAAACTTTTACTTTTTGCATGGAAACTACTACTGATACATACTCAGTTCAAAGTTCGCCAGATGGTCTAGACGCTCTCGGCTAAACCCCGGCTTAACTCATCCTTGAGTTCGTTTTCTCCACTTTTCAGTTGCCTGTGGAAAACTTCACGAATCGGCTTGGCGTCACTTGGGGGTGGCGTTGCAAATACGGCGCAATATTCGTGAAGGAACGCTGGGGGGCGTTACAGTGAGAACCTAGGTATGTTACACTAAAGTTGTCCCACTCACGTTGTTTCAACATGTCAGGTCAGACTTCCATGCATAGAGAATACAGCATACATTGGTAGAACCTGCCAAGATGAACAAACCTTCCCAAGGTTGAGGCCATCAACGATGACTAATACACTGGCCTCATTCCGCCAATTCGCGTCTCGACGTCCAATCTCTCTCTTTTGACCTCACACCGACTTATTACAGGCATTGACCATGCATCTCTCGGCCGCCAGTCGCAAGCGCCCTGTAACAGCCTGCACAGAATGTCGCCGCAGGAAACAAAAGGTATTCGGCAATTAGATATCTGTCGGGGTACGTTCTTGGTTGCTAACTTGCCAATAGTGCGACCGTTTGAGGCCGTGCAACATGTGTACCGGAAGAGATGTTACAGAGAAATGTACATATGATCATTTAGAAAGGTAAGGACTGGATCCAGTCGTCTGTAATCGCATTATGCAGTCTCCGTATCAGTGTATGACGTTCTTTGATTAACGAACTCTCCTAAATGAAGCTCTGATGAAGGATCCACCGTCAGAGCGGAGCTACCATCACCGCAAAGTTCACTGTCCACAGCGGATAATGGCCAGACTTCAACACCGTTTATGGAACGACCATTTCAAAATCAAATTGGATATGCTCGACCTGGCGGGGAGAACACCCTGTCAGAGTTGTATGAAGTCAGTCTCGAATCCTCTTCGTGGTCGCTGTTCATGACTATGACTGACATAGATGAGACAGCTTATGGGAGACGATAAAGAGCTTCAGGCTTTAAATTCCACAAACATCATGCCTCTACATCCACCAACACTGCGGCTCTTCTCAGATCTTTGCGCAAAACTACCTCAGCAGGCAGTCACAAGAGAGCTCATTGAGACCTTCTTCTCGGAGGCCAACTGGTATTTCGCCGTTCTCGAAAAGCAATACTTTGAGAAGCTTTACACTTCCTGGTATGCTCTTAGCAACCATCTTATGGCAAATGGACAACTCGGAGGCTTGCCACCCGATCTTCTCCATTTCCCAGCACTGATCTTTCAGATCCTTGCTGTTGCTTTGCAGTTCGCCCCATTGGACATGCCTTGCCTCCAGTCTTTAGGAGTTGACAGCTTCGCTGCGCGTGACCGTTTATCCGGTAACTTTTCGGAGAGAGGGGTGGCGGCTCGTCGCATTATGGAAACAGATGAGCCTACATTAACTACTGTGCAGAGTAACTTGATGAGGGCATTATGGCTCAAGAATTCCAGTCGAGGAAGAGAAGCTTGGCACGTACTTGGTGCTGCAATCAGGTAAGATTTGTTGGTCAGTCACAGAAGAATTTTCTAACCCGTTATTCAACAGGATGGCTCAAGATTTGGGACTTCACAAACAATCCAAGATCTTTCAAAAACCACAATCTCCATTGGAAGATACACTCAGTCAACTGTGGTACGACGAGTACAAACGTAGGCTATGGATCAAACTATACTGTTGGGACAGGTTGGGCTCTCCGAACTATGCTGCGGCTTTTATTTGTAACATATGCTAACAAAGACAGCCACATGGCGTTCGCTTTGGGCTGGCCGCGAACTATCAATAGCAGTGATTGTACGATCATGCCACCACTGGACCGCGATATACCGACAGACCCATCGACAACAGTACCAATGGCTCTATTTCCGCATGAACCGCCCTCATCTTTCACACCCCATCTCTTTCAGTACGCCGTCTGTCAACAGATCCATGAAGCAATGTCACTAGGCGTCCACAAACGCCACCCCGAGAACTACACCTTGGTTGAGACTCTTCATCACCGTATCCTCTCTTTGCTGAGCGGCTTGCCGCCTGTACACAGGCCGGTGAACCCGGACAGATCCTGGGATTTAACCCACGTCCATATTCCCAAACAGCGCCAGCAAATAGCAACTGCCGCCCACTCATTTTTAATGGCCCTCCATCGACCGCATGCGAAGATACGCGTGGCTAGTCGCAACGCTGCTATTGAAGCAGCCTTATCCACATTGGATGCGCAAGAATGTCTTTTTGATCTCATGGCCACACGGTATTACAGTATCTACGCACTCTCCGTCTATACTGTTGACGCCGCTATTTTCCTCTCCGTCACTATACTCGAATACCCGCCCTCGGATCCTGGCCTATCACATCGAATTCAACGTACAATAGAGAAGGCCATACATCGCCTCGAATTGGCGCAGGACAGGGTTTCTTTAGCAAAGTCGGGGTTGCTAATTCTGAAGCTCTGCCACTTAAGAATGCAACCCATGACACAGTTTCAGCAGAACATGCCCAGAACTACTGTTCAACAACCCTCACAAATACTGGACAGCATATCTTCCGGAGAGACACTGATCGATAATGCTTCTAGCCATTATTTGTTCCCAGCACCTGGCATCATGCCAGAATTTGCGACCAGTGGAGTTGACAATGCGGCTATGTTTGACGATATTACGGTATCAAATTTTGATATCGAGTCGTGGGTGCAACAGATGAACGAAATGAACGGTCTTGTTTGACCGTTCCAAGAATGTGTTCGGCCGAAGACCCACATTGGTGGGTTCACCAATCTCCATCGGCCGATGTGATGACTTCATTTCCGTTATGTCCGTCGCTCAACCTCCCATTGAAAGATGATGCCAATAATTTGTAGTCTCTCATGTCCCATAAGGCAGAGAAGTTTACTGCTATCTCCGATAGGAAAGTTTGTACATTAACTCCGTTAACTGCTGAAGATACAAAAACTTTCCCAGTGCTCCCAGTGCTCCAGATTTAACTGACTTGCAAATAATCACGCCTCTCCTTACTCTCTCCTTTAATTAATCAACCCAACATGAAGTACGTCCAACTTGGCAGCAGCGGTCTCCGCATTGCCCCCATTGGTGTGGGATGCATGAGTTACGGCAACCCCGAGGGCCGTTTCACCTGGTCCATCCCGGAAAAAGATGCCCTGCCGGTTTTGAATCATTGCTATGAGTCTGGCCTGAACTTCTTCGACACCGCAAACGCTTACTCCAACGGTATTTCCGAAGAGATCCTGGGCAAGGCGATCAAGGAATACAACTGGCGCCGCGAAAACATCGTCATCGCAACCAAGCTGTGGGCGCCCGTCGGTCGTGGCAACGAGCAGCCCATGGCAATGACAGATGAACAGAAGGACAACTCCGGCTACGTCAACCAGTACGGTTTGAGCCGAAAACACATCTTTGAAAGCATCGATGCCAGTCTGAAGAGGCTCGACCTGCCTTACGTCGACTTGCTCCAGATCCACCGCTTCGACCCACACACTCCCGTCAAGGAAACAATGGAGGCACTTCATGATGTTGTGAAGTCCGGAAAAGTGCGCTACATTGGTGCTTCATCGATGTGGGCTCATCAGTTCCTTGAGTACCAGTATACCGCTCGCCTCCATGGCTGGACCGAGTTCATCTCGATGCAGAACCTTCACAACGCTATCTACCGCGAGGAGGAACGCGAAATGTACCCTGCCTGTGCCAAGTTTGGGATGGGTGGTATCCCCTGGAGTCCCATCGCGATGGGCTTCCTTGCCCGGCCATGGCATGAGTTCTCGACCACTTCCCGCGGGGAAGGTCAAGGACAGGGTTTCCTCGGACAGCCCATGACAGAGGCAGACAAAAAGGTCAATGAGCAGATCGAAAAGATCGCCAAAGAGAAGGGTGTATCCATGGCGACTGTGGCAATCGCCTGGTCATTATCCAAGCCCTTTATCACGGCTCCAATTTTGGGATTGAGTAAGAAAGAGAGAGTTGATGAAGCAGTTCGCGCTATTTCCCTCGAGCTTACCCCCGAGGATTTGAAGAGCATTGATGACCTGTATGAGCCCAAAAAGGTCATTGGACATTCATGAAGATACATGTGTATATAGCTACAAATGTGCACAAAGTGGCCCAATGTCGTGTTGACATGCTCGGTCAGTTTTTCGATCTTTCAGCCATTCCAGAAGCTGGATAAAAATCAAGTGTTTTTTAAAACTTTAAAGGGAGTAGATGGGGCCTTACTTGCCTGTTAGCCTCTATTTTATCATGGCCTGGGGCTTAGGCCTCCGGCCCCATATAAGCACCCGGCAGATCCAAGTCTCTTCTTGTCTCTAATTTCATGATTCATGTGCTTATGGCTTTGTATGACCGTATGATGTGTGACTACTAATATTTTATAGCGATCAAAGAAACGTGTAGGTTGGCTCCCTAAAACGGCTAGCGCGTTTCTTTGTATGCATTGTCATCGCGATTGTCCACCCCGGCAGGTTCTCTGAACTACACTTGACATCGCCATGCGCCTATTTCTCATCCGTCATGGTGAAACCGTGGATAATGTGGCGAAGGTCTGGTAGGTTTACGCGCAATTCCAGATTCTTGCACGCACTGACTTTTCGGGACAGCGCCGGCACCACTGACTCAGCCCTCACCAACCACGGCATGCTGCAAATTGAATCTCTAGGTCGGCACTTTGCCTCCAGCCAAAGTAGAGTCAATACGATATTTGCTTCAGATTTAAGTCGCGCACGAATCACGGCAGAAGGCATTTGTCGCTTTCAGACACCCCTGCCAAATCAACCACGCATATCGCCCATATTAACTGACAGTTTGCGAGAAAGACACTACGGGAAAATGGAAGGCAAAAAGTGGATTCCTTCTGGTTCAATAGAAGAGAGTGGCATTGAGTCCGATAGGTCTATGATACAACGAGCCAACAATTTCCTCAATGAGCATCTTCTTCCATTGATTCTCGATGATCCACACTCGGTCGACAATGTGGTAATCATTGCCCACGGTATCCTCCTCAGAAGACTATGGACTTGCCTCATGGAACTTGTCAACCCAGCCGATGTTCATACTGCCCCCGAAAAGCAATTCGATCTCGCGGTTGTCGCAAAGCCTGCATGGTCAAACACTGGTGTTACAACTGTTCTCTTACGACAAAGTCGGGTAGCCGATTCCCGTCATCCACACACCCTCTTGCACGGCTGGTCAATAACCATCCTAGATATCGACAACAAAGACCATCTCGCCAATGTCTCTCGCACCCGAGGTGGCATTGGAAGTGCTGCCCACGACGCCAAGCAAGAAAAAGTCGATCGGTTTTTCAAACGAAAGATCTCTCCCTGAAATTGTGAACTTGTGGACCTGGGAATATGTACAGTCTTGAAAATCATCATTACGATAGAGCCTTCTATTCTGTGTAAAACACCTCGTCCAATACCTTCCACCAGCCGGGTCCATCTGCACTGCTCACTGCGCCGGGAATGGGGCTATCCTGGTATCATCGTTTATGTTAGTGTTTTCACCCATTTCCCTTCATTGTTATTTTTGAGACATACCTGCATTCCGTCAGTCATAGCCCACCACTCCCTGATCTTTGGGTTTGCCCGCATGAGCTCCATATCCCCTTCAAAGTCTGTGCCGACATATTTAAATGTAGCGAATAGGGTGCGATCGTTGTCAAAGAAGATTGAGTCTAGTTAATACCAAGAAACCTTGTTAGCCTAGATATATTCATTGTGAGTGTAAAAAACGTACAGTCTTTGATATTGCAGTCCTTGATCTGTTGAAGGACTTCAGGCCAAACGTTGGCGTGGCATTCCTTGTATGCCGCCACAGCAGAGGGCTTCAGGTGAACAATCTGAGCGATGCGACGGACAGGTCCCATTTTTGTAGTCTGTGTGAATTATTGAAAAGAAGTGATACATGTAAGCTTACAGACACAAGTCCCTGAAGAAAGAATATTAGATTCATCCCCGCCTCGTGCCCCACGTTCTCGCCGCAGCGTTAACCCGCACTCGGGGTGCACTAACCCGATGTTAGTGGAGACTTCGCAGTCAGAGCCCCATTACTCCAGCATCTTCACCGCCTAGCTCCTATGTGTACAACCGATTGGCGAGGTTTTAGTAGATCAGCCGCCTCGTGTCTATACAGAGCTCTAATATCTATCGCGAAGATGATAACAAACCAGTGCCAACTGATTGATTTCATTGATGGACTCTCAACACTAATTATTTCTTGGACTCTCACTGAGATAGCAATGTGAATACTGCGCTTTATGAAGTAACACATATATGGCAGTCATAGGCCATAAGTCTTTTCACGCCCCGCCCTTTATAAAATCTCCGGTCATGTTGATTATCGCAGAAGCTGGCCATGTTGTTACCTGTTTTGTGACATAGCGCATCAGCTCCAGCTTTCAAGTTGCCAACACCGTTGGCGCCTTCACTATTGCCGTGATGGGTAATCTTTATAGCCGCCTGTGGTATGGCCATGCGGCGACCTCTATCTCGCCGAAAATATTTGTCCTAGTGCCGTCAGATCTTGCGGCCTCGGGACCTCTTCTCAGTGACATCAAATCCGCCGACGGGACACGGGATAACGTATCCAGTACCATCAACCATACTGCCGACACAGAGAATGCCGTGAACTCAAACAGTGGACCTGGGATTTGGTATAGTGGAAGTATCAATTGGGAAAAATGTGGGATTGTTCCTCGCGGCCCTACTGGTGTATCCATTTGGGAAAGGGCGGAGTGGGTTATTCAGCTTTTAGTGCTCATGATGAGTCTATCAGCGATTTGTTTAACTGTTAAGACTCATAGTAGATACATGGAAGTAGAGGGTAGCTCTAAACTAGATTTAACTGCATGACATGTACAAAGTGAACTTTGACATCGATTCGTTATTAAAAAGAACTCAGTTATTCGCACTAAGACATCTGACTTTTGGGAACAGGGCGGATCCAAGAGACAGCCAAGTTTGCCCCCAAGCATATGACACCGATGATCCACATCGATCGCTCATAGTGAGCCCCATTATATCTGAAAACAATGGCAAAGATAATTCCTCCAAGGTTACCAAATCCACCAACAATTCCAGAGACGATGCCTATTAATGAAATGTCAGTATGCGAACATGATTTAAAAGAGTGAAACGCAAAGACTTACCATTAGCAAATGGATGAACATGAGGCACAACGGCGAAGTTAGCACCATTGCAGGCCTCAAGGAAGAAAGACATTCCAGCGATAAGACCGAACATGGCAGACTCCTTAGTCGGATTGGATAATCCGATCGCAAGCTGGAATGCGCCCATAGCGAGTCCCAAAAAGGTCAAGAGAAGTTTCTTCGACCAGACATTATCAGTAGCCCGGTAAACCAAGTCACCAAAGAGACCACCGATAGGACGGCAGACTACATTCAACAGCCCGAACATGGCAGCCCATTGACCAGTTTCTGTCTGACCCATGTGTGGGAAGTTCTTCTCATAGTAAGATCCGAGGATTGAGTTGATGGCGAGCTCAGATCCAAACGAGCAGGCATAGGGAATAGCAACGGCCATTGTGGACAGACTCAAAGCCACTCTGAGGGCTTCCTTGCGAGATGGGGCGACGACAGTTTCTTGTCTGAAGATGTTGTCCATCTGTCCTACTGCGGAACTGTCCTTGTCCATAACCTGTGGTGTCTGGGCGCCCTTCTTCTCGATATCGATTGTTGCTGAGTTGTAGGGGGTGGTCATTCCACTGGAGAATGTGCCTGTGTTAACGTCGACGATGTTCCCATCCAAGGGCGTCGCAGTGCCGCTCGACTCCTTTGCCCAGAGGTGTCTTTCAGACCATTTTCCTGTGGGCGTGTCTTCGCAGAGGAAGAGCATGCACATGGCGACGGCGCAGATGATAATGAACGGAACAATGTAGGCTACGCGCCACGCTTTGTGGGAGGGAAGACCGCGGGATTGCATGAGGGAGTCATATATGGCTGGCATCACGAAGCTGAAATTTTGCTGTTAGTATGAATAGGATTGGATGATTGACTGAAATAAGAACTTACTATGTGATTCCTCCACCTGCATTACCCCATCCTCCGGCTAGGGAGTTGGCTGTACCGACAATCTTCTTGTCGAAGAAGCCTGTACACCAGACCTGGCATGGAACAAAAGTTCCTCCTAGGATTCCAACGAAGAATCTTAAAGCAATCAACCCGTTTGCGTTGGTGACAAGACCAGCCATGGCAGTAGGGATTGCTCCACAGAGGAGAAGTCCTACAAAGACCAGGCGTGGACCATAGCGGTCACAAAGTGGTCCTGCCACAAGCCGCACGAGGAGCCTTGATTCAGTCAGCAAGGATCCTTCCTGTGGTATAATTACTCGGTGACTTACGTGGCGAGGAGTGCCATAATGTTGGAGTTGGCGACTTCTGCTTGCGTCATGTGCAGGTCTTTTTTGATAGTGACTGTCATCTAAAAACATTATGTTAGAATTTATGATCACGAAGATTTATGACTCTTAAACCATTGACTTACCAGTGGCGGGAACGCATACCATGACAGGAATGCGACCATGAAGCCAACCCATGAGAAGAAGAACACTCGTCCATATTGGTCGAAGGGGTTCAATATAGGAATTGATTTGGCCTTTCGGGTGCTTGGGTTGACCTCCGGTGAGGCAAAAAGAGTCTTAACAAAACTCATTGCCATGTTGAGGAATTTGATGTGTAGTTGAGGAAATTTAATTAAGCGATGGGATCTGGAGCTCAAGGGTCGATATATAAGTTAAAAGGGGTTCGGATATCTTGATACAGCTTCTTGGTTGTTGATTAAAAAGAAACAAGAGCGCTGTGATAATTGATAGAAAGCGACGTGAAAACGAAAGTAGGTATGAGGAACTATATAATCGTCAGTGATGCTCAGGTCGCTGAGGCATGGTTCTCAGATGACATGCAATAACAACAATCAACGCCATTATCTGTCGCATACCAGATCGGCAGAATATTGTGGTTAGGCGCTGTCAATAGAAAATGGTCAGTAAAAGGCAACGACCACCCTGATCCGAGTATATCCCGGGTCGCTGATTCGATAAGATATTGTGAATCAAGGCTGTGATGATCCAATGATCCAATGATCCAATGATCACTTAACGGCAGATGTACCGATTGCCCCAGAATTCATTCCTCAAAGTCCCGCGGCAGCCTGTGCTGCAATTGTGGTAGAGATAAGGTGTGTACCGGAGAACCTATGGTAGTCGGGATGCATAGAACTCCCGAGCCAAGAATAGAGGCAAAAGACAGATAAATCAACTCTATTGCAACTCCGCGGAACACCATAACATATAGCATTGCTAATGCAATAATATTATTACATGACTCCGTGGGTGGAAGACTCCACTCCGTCAGGGACCTGGCAGTTGATAAACGCGCGCCCTCTCATTGGACCCTGGGCTGGCTGCGATAGGCACGGGGGGGCAAAGTCAACTCGGCGGGTCTGAGGATCGCGTCGATCTGGTCTCCGCGGAGATATTTAAACTCGACTGGAGTCTCTATGGGGCTGGCTGTCTGAACAATGGTGGATCTAGATGACCTAATGTTCAATTCGACCTTGGAACCGTTATCCCAAAATGGACGAATTAGGGTTTCCGTATAGGATGCAGAACTCGATACCTCGATATTTCTATATTCTTTCATTCATTAAAACGTGAGGTATCTGACAGATCATTTAATCCAAATACTCTTCTGAAACTCATTGGTCAATGTGGTAAGATTGGCGAATCGCCTCGCCAAATCGCTGGATAGCAGTGCCCATAGCCTCCTCGGTTGCACTTGCGTATGTTGCACGGAAGAACATACCTCGTGACGGCGTGCTTGGCTCAGCACGGAACCAAGTGCCACGAGCACAGAGGACGTTGTTTTTGATAGCTTGATCGAAGATTCCTCCTTCGATTTCTTCGATTGAGCGGCCGGGATATTCCGGGTGCTGCAACGGATCTAATTTCAGCCAGAGCTATGGATATATGTCAGCAGTTGTAAATACATCGAGCATGACCATCGAGCCAAGTAGGCGCCAAAGCCTGCCAGCGCGAGGGAAAACTTACGAACATGCCTGTTGTAGGCGGACTCCAACTGACAACAGATTTTGGCAAGTACTTATCACAAGCAGCAAGAAGCATATCTCTCTTCTTAGTATAGCTGTTCTTCAATGAAATCAGCCACTTCAGATAGCCTTCATGGCCCCAAGTTTCGTCGAGCAATTTCCATAGCAGGATCTGTGAAACTCCACTGGGTCCCTGGTTGGCAACCTCGGCATGCCGAATGAAACGCTCAATTATTTGCGCACTCGCTGTAACCCATCCCAATCTCGAACCCGGAACCAGGACCTTCGAGAAAGAATCCATGCGCAGCACTCTGCCATCAACATCGAGACTTAGGTACGACGGAACAAGCCCGGCAAGGAAAGATTCGACATCCTCGGAGACTTCAGGACCATCAATTTTCTTGCCTTGGTATGGAGGCATTTGAATGAAGTAGTATGGCTCGTCCTCGATGATGAAGATATCGTGTTTCTGACAGACGGCATAGACGGAACGACGTCGCTGGAGACTCTGAGTCGCGCCGGTTGGGTTCTGTCCCGAGGGAATGGTGTATAAAATATGCGGTTTACGACATCCACGTGCCTTCTCATCCCACGAACTGAGAATTTCATCTATGCTGTCCGGAAGGAGTCCTTCATCATCCATTTGAACACCAACCGGCTTAATCCCTTGAGGGAGGAAGGTTTCCAGCGCTGTGGAAAAACTATACTCTTCGGTAAGGATAGAGTCACCCCTCTCGCGATCACAAAGCATACGAATAGTCTGCTCAAGAGCACCGGTGCTTCCGACTGTCGGGCAGACCTTCCAATCGGCATAGGGCGGGTTGTACACCAGCTCCGTGTGCTCGGTGATAAACCGCATCATCTGAGGAGAACCTGTGGCCTGGCCATAGTTGAGGGCAATGGAAAGATCATACTCGGATATTCCAGCTTTCACGTCATGCTTCCCGATGCTGACGGTCTGAGTCGTGGGACAATCTGCCGAGGCTGAATCCTTGCTGGGGAAGTCCTGTGGCATGGGCACACGGAAACTCCAGTCATAGAATGGGAAGCACTCGCTGGATGGGAGTCCACCTCCGAGCGAGACCATGTCGGGATTGTTGATGTAACCAGCGGCCTGTTTGAGAATGCATAGCGGCCGGGACAGGCTCTCTTTGCTGAGATGAGCTAGATGTTTCATTAGCCATTGAATGCAACCAGAAAATGATTCTAAAGGCCCAAGTTCTTACAGTCCCAGCATTTGGCGTTTGGCTTATTGTATGCCTTTTGCGTGTCAGAACTAGTTTATAAGATCGAGCCATTCGTCTTACCGGCGCCTTGAAGTTCTCACTGTTGCATACAGCAGCTACACCAGCAACAAGTTTCCCGGCTTCAGTTCTTCTTTCCTGGATGCTGTTCAAGAACTTCCGCTTTTCCATGGCTTCTGTGTCATTAGGGTGGGTCGCAAAAGAAGGCATTGTGGCTTAGATAGAGCAAGACGGCCCAAAAAGTAGCAATTGAACGGATCGAGACAACTCCTGGCTTGAATTATTCAAGATTAAATTGCTACCTTTAGTGATATTTAAAAGAAAGAATCCCTTGTGGGAAATGAAATTTCGAGACCCAACGAGTATGAAAGCCGACAAGTGGACTCGAATCCGAGTCTCAAACCCGAGCCTTGTATCGAACCCAACCAGTTCTCATATCTTTTGCGGTGGTGACGAAAGGTAAGTGAATGAAAATTAAACCTTTGTGTTTGTATAACTTATTTTGTCATGACAAAAAATGTGTTTTGTTGCATTGATATATTCAAGTGAACTGGGATAACATTGATTATATGAATGTCGTCAAAGGAAACCTGTCAAACTTGATGAAAATAAACCTGTCAGGGCCCCTGCTTCTTACAGACATCTCTACTGCCTACGGTGAAAATCATAACATAATGTAGGCCATATGAAAACGCAGAGAAAGATTTATTATTGGGAAAGAGCCTCCACGGCACCTCGGGATTGACGGAAATGATGACTCAGCAAGCACAGTCCTGTCTTCATTCCCGACCAGTTCCGAGAGATAAACGCGCTTGTTAATGCGAGATTTGACTGGGGTATCGGTATGCGCTCAAGTATCTCATGTGCATCATGCCGGTGAGATCCAATTTACCGCCCACTTAGTTCCAGAAGCTCATTAATATTAGGAGGTCGAAAGTGAAATGCGTCCACTCGGGGACAGCGCCATGCCAGAGGTGTCAGAACTCGGAAATTGATGGCTGTGTACTCAGCAGACCAGTAAACAAGGCACCTCAAAAGCCCAGGCGCAGGCCTCAATCTACCAATCATCCCTATGAACGACCAGTTCAGCAGGATGCACCCGAGCCGCGTCGGACAAGACCCCCAGAAGAAGTGGATACTACAATTCAACCTGATGCATCAAGCCCTGGTCAATGTATAGACAAGTCGACAGTCGACAGACATCTTACCAACCTTTCAGGGGATGTCATCTTGAAATCATTGAATGGATTTACTGGGAAACACCCAGAACTTGCAATCCTAAACCATGCAGCTTTTGTCAAAGAATACCAGTCGTCACCAATCCCACCCGAAAGCAAGATTGTACTTGCAGCTATATTGGCTTCATCCAGGTCCCAGTTTTCACTTCTCAATCTTCCATGGGTCGATTCGTTGCTACCCAGAGAGCATTATGCCTGTTATGCACATGAGATGCTGTCTGAATGGTCTTTCAAACCACCGAAACTCCAGGTTGCACAGGCTCTGTTAATCATGAGTCTTTACGAATGGGGATCTCGAGAATTTCATCGAGCGTGGATCTATTGCGGTACCGCTTATCTCACCCTGTCCAAACGAACAATGATCTAACACCGCGCAGGAATTGCAATCCGGATCATGCAAGCTCTGAATAGTCTCAGAGTCGCACCTTATCCCCTTGATCCAACACCCCCAAGTCAGCGGGATGCCATCTCAGTTGCGATTGAGAACAGGACATTCTGGGCTTGCTTCATCATAGACCGAATGGTTAGTTCCGGAACCTATAACCCACCTATGCTACCCATGTCGGAAATGGATAAGCTCAAAATAATTCGCCCATTGAGTGCTGTCGAGTTTGCATTTGGACCTTCCGACCTCTCCTCTCAACAAACAGGTCTTGACCCCAGTTTTGCGACTGCACGACACGGACAGACTGCACCTTTGGACATAACGCAATCGTTTGAGGTTCTCGTCGCTGGGTATGATATATGGGCTCACGTAATGACCTTTATTTTCAATGATGGGCGTCGCGCACCGGGCATGTGTGCACCGCAGAATTGCCCGTGGGCACTGGAATCACCATGGTCTAAAACGATGCGTCACCTCGAAGAGTGGAGGGCCAGTCAACATCACAGACTCCACTATCCGAACAACAGCGTTGTGGCTCATACCACTTTAGGATGGGGCGAATCTTTCACGTATATCAATTTGCTCTATTACACTTCGTACGAGCAGTGTCTTACCTAATGCCGGAGATAAATGCTAACGGTATTTGACAGTACCATCATGCTCCATCGCGAGTATTTTCCTTTCTTGCCTACTCCAGCATCTGTTCCTAGAGGCCCAGTCGATCAGCCGACCCTCGAGGCGGAAGCACCAGAAGGCTGGTGGGATGAAAGCGCCTCGGTGCTTTTTGGCGCAGCAGCACAAATCGCCAAACTATTGCACGATGCCTCCGACTGTGGATCAGAAATGCTTATCCCATTTGTTGGGTTCTGTGCTTTTTCTGCGGCATATATGAACCTTTATGCCTACCTATTTCCACAAATGAATCTTGGCCGCAGTCCAGATGCAGAAACTCATCTCAAGTACTGCCTTGCCTATCTTGAAAACTTCAGACATGTGTGGAAGCTTGGTGAAAGTTGGGTCAGTACCAAGTTGTCTCATCTCACCGTTCCAGACTAACGATTGCTACGCAAAGATCGCAACTATCAATCATGCAACCATTTTGTATCAACGGGCAGCATCCGACAAATCACGATACCAGGGAAAGACGCGGAAGGATTTCAACGTTTTGCACCAATCTTTACATGAATTCCGTGTGCCTGATAGGTCTGACCAGCATCTCCAGGAGATTGAGGGTGCGGAAGCACCTTCTGTCCCGTTGATTCCTGATCCCGTCCTGGAATCTAATATTGGATCTGATATGCTAGATCTGGACATGCCTCTCAACAATTTACTGAATGAAGTCAGTACGTATGCTCATGAGCAGGGCATGTGGTCACATTGGTGGCCTCCATTGGACGAGGTCAACCTGGCACCTCACGATATACAGCCATAAAGCGCCAGACCTTGTGGAACAGATATATCCCAATTTACGAGGTTGACGAAGCAATATATTGACAAAAGCTGAAAACCAGTCATCATTTTCAATCAAACTATATGACATTTCAAAAGATATCCCGACACCGCCACGCACCAAATGCATTTAATCGCAAAATCTCAAACAATTCATCAACCCCTACGCATCTACCAATCAATAGTCTTCGCTGCCTGCACAGCTGGCGCGCGGGAGAGGATATTCCCACTAGAAGCTTTCTTCCCTTTCATCCCCTTGAACTTCTTATCAACCTTATGGAACGGATTTTCGCTCTCATCCTTCCGAATCTTCCATTTCTCTGTTCCCAAAACCCCATCCAACTCCTCAATTGGCGGAAGCTTCATATAAACCCAGCCATCATCCCTCTCCTCAACAGGGAACGTAGCAATATTCATACTCTCATCATTAGAGCACCTGCCAGCCTGCTCGCCATTGAGGTCGAAGTTCCGTTTATGATACGGACACGAGACCCAGTACTTGCCCGCATCATCATCACCGACAAGACCATCGGAGAGAACAAATGCTCGCTTGTGAGGACACATCTGTTGAGTCGCATAGTACTTGCCCTTGATTTTGAAGACGGCAAGTTGTGTATCCCCGCGCTTGACATTAGCCGAAGAAACCTGCGGCGGCTCGTCGGAAAAGTGGTCTGCGCGAACAACTGGTTGCCAGGATACACTTGACCACTGGTGACCTTTGAAATCCTGTTGTTCTGTGGAGTCCTTGGGCCAGTATGTTGGGCGCTGCTGGGATCGTTCTTGGACTACCTCGACTGTCTCGACGGTGTCGTCTGTGTTTGCGAATTGCTGGAAGACTTTGCGACGTTTGGGGTCTTTGACTGTCTCGGTCCATTCGCAGAAGTAGCTATCGACCAGCTCATGCATTTGTCTTTCCATGTCGGCGCATATACCGAGTTTGTCCTCGACGATGACCTCTTTGAGGTAGTGAATGCCGCCGGGCAAGTTCTCGATCCATCGGGCTGTTCGTTGGAGTTTGTCGGCGGTGCGAATGTAGAAGATTAGGTAGCGGTCGATGATGGGCATTACCATTTCTGGTGGCACATCTGTCACGAGAAGCTCCGCGTGTCTGGGCTTTGCGCCTCCGTTGCCTCCGACAAAGATGTTAAAGCCTTTTTCGGTTGCGATGAGTCCGAAACTGATAACTGTTAGTACGAAGCAACCTCATCAACATCTAGGAAGTGCTCACTCTTTGTTTTGGGCCTCTGCGCACTCTCTCACGCAGCCAGACACGGCGCCTTTGAACTTGTGTGGTGCGCGAATACTTTTGTATCGCTCTTCCAGGCGGATCGCCATGCCGACACTGTCACCCACACCGAAGCGACACCATGTGGTTCCGACACAACTCTATTATTTCGAGGTCAGCCAAGTACCGTATGAACCGAAGCGCTTTTACGTACCTTGATTGCTCTCAGGGCCTTCGCATATGCATGTCCACTCTCCATTCCAGCATCCACAAGTTCCGTCCAGATATTGAGAAGATCCTGCTTCTTCGCTCCGAACATATCAATTCGTTGAGCTCCAGTGATCTTACAATAGAGACCATATTTCTTCGCCACAGATCCAATGGCAATGAGCTTATCAGCTGTGATTTCTCCACCAGGAACTCGGGGCACCACGGAAAATGTGCCGTTCCTCTGGATGTTGGCAAGAAATTTGTCGTTGGTGTCTTGTAAGTCGTTGTAGCCCTTGTCCATAACATGGGGGTTGAACAGACTAGACAGGATGGATCCGATTGCGGGCTTGCACAGTTCGCATCCAAGAGAATCTGGATTCTTTCCGACGGTTTTCATAACATCGACGAATGTCTTCAGTTGCTTGATTGCCACGATGTTGTATAGGTCGGCTCGTGAGTAGGGAATGTGTGAGCACACTGCGCCAGTTAGCTATGACTGGAGATCCTGTAGGTGTGATATAACTTACGGTTATTGGAGACCTCCTGTCCCATATCCAACATCGTCTTGTTGAAAATTGACTGTACCAGTGGCATACAACCGCCACATCCTGTGCCAGCCTTGGTACAAGACTTGACCTCCGCGATAGATGTGCAGGTGCCGTTCTTCACATTGTCGACTACGTCGCCTTTGGTCACATTGTGGCAGGAGCAGATCTGCGTGCTGTCGTCACTGTGGGTAAAAGTTAGTGCTGATCGTCTTATATCAGTACGAATACTAACAGGTCATCTGCATTTTCCTCCCCGCCGCTCTGAGCACCAAGGATGAACTGACTTGGTGGAACCTCGAGCTCTTTCTGCAGTTTCACCATCTGGTTCAACTTCAGATAGTCCTTGGTATCTCCGATCATCATGCCACCCAGTAAGAACTTGCCGTCCATGGTAAACAGATACTTCTTGTATACGCCAGCGAAAGGATCTTTGTATGTCAAAGCCTTGACGGGCTCATCGCGTAAAGGTTCTTCAAAGCCAGGAACAGCCGATGGCCGGCGACCAGGGAGGAATTTTGGTCCATCCCTGTCAGCGAAAAAATCACCGAAGCTCGCGACGTCGACTCCGAGCAATTTCAGCTTGGTGCTGAGATCCGGTCGTGTGAAGCTTTTCCGCGCCTTCCGAGGGTTCGTGAGGTTGAAGGCAAGCACATCTGCCATTTCAATTCCCGGCGCAATGATTCCGAATGTCTGGTTTTCCCAGCTTGCGCATTCACCGACGGCATAGATATCCGGAATGGAGGTTTGCAGATTCTCATCAATCACGAACCCTCCACGCTCGCCGCACTGGATGCCAATCCCACGACCCAGTTCATCTCGGGGCTGAACACCGATCTTAACATCAATTAGCACTTATTCCAAAATCCAGAGCAAGCGCATAGCATACCGCAAAGCAGATACAACAACAGTCAATCCTCTCCCCATCCTCAAAGGTGATCCCGACGACATTATTGCCCTCATCCGTATGGACAACCTTCACCCGCTTCTCGTGAAGAACATCAAGTCCCAACTCCCGAATCTTGCGTGTAACCAGCGACCCCGCATCGCCATCAAGCTGTCGCGCCAACACCCATCTATTCCGATCGATCAACTTGACATTCCCGAAGTCTTCAAGGTCAGTCATTGCCTTTGCGGCTTCAAGTCCGAGCAGACCGCCACCGACCGTAACGGCCGTTTTGCCCTTATGCTTGGAGGCGAAGTCAATCAGCCGTTCCAGATCTGAGATCGTGCGGTACACGAAGACACCATTGGCATCGTGGCCTGGTGTTCGTGTAGGAAGGGTTGCGTCGGATCCTGTGGCTAGGACAAGAATATCGTAGGCTAGTATGTCGCCTGTTGATGTCTGGACGGTTTTGTTTGTGGGGTTTATTTCAGTGACTCTTGTGTTTAGGTGGTGGTCGAAGGCTCGTTCTTTGAATGAGCCGTACTAGTTGATATAGTTCGCAGTTAGGGTGACTGCGTCTTGTTTCAGATTCGGAGAAGTTGATACTAACCCATTCCTTCGGATTCAGGTATAGATCTTCGATCTTGCGATGTTCGAAGAACGTCGAAAGCCCCACGCGGTTGTACGCTACGTGAGACTCTTCTCCGATAACGACGATATCGTATTTTCGATCTGTGTCTTGTTTGATAACTTTCTCACTATTGATCGTCGATTGTTAGACGCTGACGCGAACACGTCACGTGGCGACAATTCTTACATGAATGAGATGGCAACCATTCCCAGTCCAACAACAACAATCTTCTCTCTATGGACATTGTTTGCTGGACTAGGACTGCCATCAACCGGCTCGCCATGTCGTAGCCCGTCGAGTACAGGCATGATGTATAGTATGCAATGGGAGAGGAGAAACTTCGGAACAGGGCCATAATTCTGGTTTTAAGAAACTGTAATCGCTAAATTGTACAACTGTACTACTGTGATACTCACATTGTACAGACAGGTCGAGACTAATCAGGCAGTGCCGGGAGAAACAGGAACGTCGATCACAGATAACCGCAGTGGCGTTGGATCTCCGCGGAGGTTCATACTAATTAGGGCTACTGTGATTGGCTGCTGTTAGGGCTTGCTTATCTCGACAACACGAGATAACACTCACCACTTGACTATACAATGAGGTTATATTGGCGACTGTCCGCGGAGATGGACATGTGGCGACTGTGGGGGATTTTCTCTGCTTACTATGTACTGTGACCCTCCAATGGTTCAGTGGTCAATATATGGGTATTTGCGGGTTGTACGTCTGCAATCTGCGTTTTTGTTGCACTTATTCAATCATTTTTGTCAAGTGTCTTATTGTCAAATCTAAATACAAAGGCATCATTCTATATCGCGATACTATATCGACAGAAAACAAAGTAGTGCCAGAAGCCTCACAATAGCACCATGGCCACAATCACCACGCAGACAAAACCAGAGGACACAATCTCTTTCAAAAATGGACACATCACAGTGGAAGATATAATTCCAAGTCCAGCAGAGCCAGATATTCCTCTTCCACCACCATCAAAAAATCCTGTCGACATTCTAGATGCTGATAAAGGCACACCGGACAACCATGTACCTCGCGACCCACGATTGATTCGATTAACGGGTGTACATCCATTCAACGTCGAGCCGCCGTTGACCGATTTATACAAAGAAGGTATGGCAGCCTTGATGTCCCGAGAACCAGCTTAAAGGCTAAACCCACAAGGCTTTCTTACATCCCCGGAACTATTCTATGTGCGAAACCACGGGCCAGTACCCCAAGTCAACGATGTAGATATTCCAAACTGGGAGATCAGTATTGAAGGGTTAGCATAGCCACCTCCATATCGTGTCCCAGAGAGCTAACAACTAAACCAGGCTAGTGGAGAAACCCCTAGTCCTCAACTTCCGAGAAGTTCTCCAGAAGTACGACCAGATCACAGCACCAATCACACTCGTCTGTGCTGGAAACAGACGAAAAGAACAAAACACTGTCCGCAAGTCGAAAGGCTTCTCATGGGGTCCAGCGGGTCTGTCGACAGCCTTATTCACGGGTCCCATGATGGCAGATGTAATCCGCAGTGCGAAGCCACTCAGAAGTGCAAAGTATGTTTGTATGGAGGGTGCTGATAAACTGGTGAGACAACCCGTCCTATCACTGAGAGAAAGTGTGTCAGACATGGGCTAAGGCTAATATATCCCACAGCCTAATGGCTTTTATGGAACATCAGTCAAATTGAACTGGGCGATGGATCCGAATCGAGGAATCATGCTGGCCCACAAGATGAACGGCGAAGATCTTCGACCTGATCATGGTCGGCCTCTGCGGGCAGTTGTACCGGGTCAAATTGGCGGACGAAGTGTGAAGTGGTTGAAGAAGTTAATTTTGACGGACGCACCCAGCGATAACTGGTATCATATCAATGATAACCGAGTTCTGCCGTGAGTTTCTTGTTCTTTCGTCATCTACTGCAGTGGTTCGATGGCTGGGGATATTTGTACTGACAATGCCAGAACGATGGTGTCGCCAGAGATGTCTGCTCAGGACCACAAATGGTGGACTGATGACCGATATGCCATTTATGATCTCAATGTCAACTCTGTTGCTGCGTATCCTCAGCACGAAGAGGAACTTGATCTCGCAACAGCCGGGCCCACGTATACGGCCAAAGGATATGCGTATGCTGGTGGAGGGCGGAGAATAACGAGAGTTGAAATCTCTCTCGATAGGGGCAAATGTACGAACATCAGTTATGATGATAACACCCAAGGTGGACAAAGCTAATACTTGTCTTTTTCTTCCAGCCTGGCGTCTCTCTGAGATCGAATACGCAGAAGACAAATACCGAAATTTCGAGGGCAACCTATTCGGCGGCAAGGTAGACATGTGGTGGAGAGAATCAAGTTTCTGCTGGTCCTTCTGGTCTCTAGAGATCCCAGTCTCGGACCTGGAAGCCAGCGATGCTATTCTCGTCCGGGCAGTGGATGAAGCACTCGCTGCCCAGCCACGGGATATGTACTGGTCAGTCTTGGGCATGATGAACAATCCCTGGTTCCGAGTCTCGATCACAAAAGAAGGGAGCATTCTCAAATTCGAACATCCAACACACCCAGCTAAGGCCGGAGGGTGGATGGAGAAAGTCAAGAAATCTGGTGGCGATTTGCTCAATGGTAATTGGGGTGAGAGGGCTCAAGGCGAGGAACCCGTTGCGCCTGAGCCTGTGAAAGAGATCAATATGAAGAAGGACGGCGTGAGCAGGCAGATTGATTTGCAGGAGTTGAAGATGAACAGTACGAGTGAGAAGCCCTGGTTTGTTGTGAATGGGGAAGTATACGATGGCACCGGTTTCCTCGAAGGACATCCCGGAGGAGCTATCAGTATCACATCTTCCGCTGGTCTGGATGTATCGGAAGACTTCCTTGCAATCCGTAAGTTACACGACAAGCAGTCTCTATTCCTTTCATCGCTAACGACCTTCCAGACAGTGAAACCGCCAAGGCAATGATGCCTGACTATCATATTGGCACACTAGACAAAGCATCTCTTGAAGCACTCAAGAATAACTCAACATCAGATTCAAACGAGCCACGCCCAGTATTCCTCCAATCCAGAACATGGACCAAGGCCACACTCAGCGAGAAGAAGAATGTATCCTGGGACACGCGGGTCTTCACCTTCGACCTGGAACACGACAAACAAATCCTCGGTCTACCAATCGGTCAACATCTCATGATAAAGCTGCCAGATCCATCTACCAAGGAAGCAGTCATCAGATCCTACACGCCAATGTCAGACACGAACCTGATAGGAAAGATGGAGTTACTCGTGAAGATCTATTTCCCAACAGATACAATCCCAGGAGGGAAAATGTCCCTGGCCATTGATGCACTCCCCATCGGTTCTGAAATCGACTGCAAGGGCCCGACAGGTCGATTCGAGTACCTCGGCAACGGCCGGGTCGTTATCAGTGGGAAAGAGCGCCAGCTACGCTCTTTCAAAATGATCTGCGGTGGAACGGGTATCACGCCCGTCTTCCAAGTCCTGCGGGCTGTCATGCAGGATAAGGGAGATCCGACGACGTGTGTTGTTCTTGATGGGAATCGTTTGGAAGAGGATATCTTGTGTCGAGAGGATCTTGATGCTTATGCTGCGGCTGATAGTCGCAAGTGTACTGTCGTGCATACGCTGACCCAGGGCTCTGATGCCTGGACTGGGCGTCGGGGTCGGATATCTGAGGAATTGCTTTCGGAGTATGCTGCGCCTCAGGAGCAGAGTATGGTTTTGATCTGTGGTCCGGGACCTATGGAGAAATCTGCTCGTAAGATTCTTCTCGAAAAGGGCTGGGCGGAGTCGGATCTTCATTTCTTCTAGATTTGGACTATCAGCCGTCTTGTGAGGTATGCATTGGAGCAGGGGTCGTTTGTGTATATGATTGGCATGAAAGCCTTGGGTGGAGCATTGAATGGTACGGATATAGAGACATTGGGATTGAATTTGCATAAAGGATTGTATTTGATAGATATTTCGTGGATCATGAATCATAATGTTGCGTTTCTTTCATGGAGAGCTTGCGGTAACAAAATGATCAAGAACAGATCCATGCGATTTTGTCCATGTATCGCCTCTTCTCAGCCCATGGCGAATGATTCGGTCCGCTAGTAGTATTCCTTTAGGTCTAACCTCACACGGAGGTGCTCAAAGACACTGGTTGGCTCCGTGTGCGATGAAAAGAATGCTCCCGACTTAGCCATAGATTTCGAAGTGGCCTTGCCAGACTCCAAACTGCGCAGATAGCCAACAAAAGCAGATGTCTGTTTGCGGAATGTTTGGTACAAGTAGAGAGCAGTTCCTTCGGCCTCGTGACGCAGCCCGCTCCCATCTGCCTTTGATAGTGGACTGAAGGCGAGGATAGTGCCGAAAATCGATTCGAGTAATTTGGCCGCCTGCGCGTGTCGCTTGCTTAGGAAGAACGCGAATAACATCTGGTCAAGCATATCCTCATGGTAGCCGCGAAGCCTTGGTACAGAGTGAGCCGCTTCGATTGTGCCGTCGATATCACCACGGTCGAGACAGTACTCGATTTTGGCGAGTGTTTCTTGGAAGCGTTGCCAGATCGATCCAATGCCAATATGGAAGCAGTAGTCGCTAACTGCTAGAACAAAGTGCTGAGCCTCTACTCGGAACTTTTGAAACACGTTTCGTGTGTCTCCTGACAGAGATCCTCGCACAGTCGAGTCACGGACGAGTCCTTTGACAACGGAAACCATACGGAGCAGCCGAAGCAATTGTTTGAAGAGACGATCATACTTATCGAGAGACCGCACAGTAATGATGGTCTCGAGTGCTTCCGGCGGGGTGTATTGTAGACGAAGAAAGTCCAGAGCTTCGATTGAGCTTGGATCCTTGCATTTGTCTATTTCTTCGTCTGACAATTCTCGAATGCCGAAGCTAAGCCCACCCGGCATTTCATTATCTTTTCGATTCTGGCCCTTTTCGGAATCCTCTGCATCTGCGTTACCGAAGTAACAGTCTCCCAGAAGGCCGATCAAAACCAGGCGCAACTCTGAACTGGCTGGTGGCCAAGTGTCTCGACTCCCGAGTCGTAAGCCAGTGTCCACGCCGCTGCGTATAACACCAGCCTTCCTTTCTCCGCTTTCCATTTCTGAGTCAAAAAGGGAGTTGGACAGGCGCGACACGAAGGGGCCTTCTCCGAGTAGCTGGAATCGCCATTGTAGATTCAGATTATGTCTCAATTGATGTTCTTTGAAGAGATGGTGTAGGCATGAGTAGTCGATGAGAAGGGCTTGAGACGAGATGATCGGTGCCAGGGAGAGGTGAAGGCCAGATGTCAACTCTGGCCCAAAATGGCTTGTCTGCTCAATAGACTCGGGCTCGAACCTCCGGGCTTTGTCAAGAAGTTGATTGAAAATATCCCTCGAAAGAGCGTTTCGGTTTGTGACAGGCCCCGAGAGGTGTTTTTCATCATCTATGTCAAAAAGCTCAAAGGTTCCCTCGATAGCACTTGCGTCCGCCGATTGTTTGGCACACTGCGTGAGTGCTTCGGATGGAGTGGTTGAAAGTGCTGGCTCTCCTCGGTTATATCTCTTGATCTCAGCGCGAAGTTTCGATTCATACTCCTGGGCCTTCGTGTGAATGTGCTCGATGTCAGCCCAGGAAGTCGCACAATGCAGATGAAGATGACCAGCTCGGGAAAGAACATCATGCCGTCCGATAGGATGATTTGGATGTGATCGCTTTAACATTCGAAGGCTTCGACCACTTTCGAAAATGGATTGCGCTTGATCAGCTGGGACAAACGATGGCATATGGTCTGCTTGAAATTCGTGCTCGATTCGTGCCGGTCCGGTTTTGAACTTGCCAGGTTGATGGATCTCTCGTTCGACAAAGGTTTTACCACCAGCGATTGATTCTTCAAGCGCGGCATCGTCTGGTCGAAGCCCAATCCAACCATCGATGAATTTGAACCACGGCTCGGTCACTCGAATCACTATTTCATGCAACAGGTTCTCCATCCAGCCAAAACTCTGAGCAAAGGAGGCTGCACGTTGCGTGACAATTGATATGATTTGCGCGTCTGAGGAAGCCTTTTGAGCTGTGCCAACAATAGCTGCCAAGACACCCATCAGATCCCCGCAGCGGTCAAACAGGCCCCTAATTTGCAGCAGTGAGGCGAGTTGTTGTGAATGTCCAAAGATCTGTTGCTCGAGATTAAAGATGATGACAGCGATTGTGCGGCTCAAAGTGAATAGAGCCGACAGTTCTCTGCACTTGGCTGGAGGATCTTGCGCGAACAATCGCATCTGGTGCATATTGGTGCCACATTTTAGCACGTATCCAACGACATCATCCAATGCCATAGAGCTGACACCAGAGATCCGAATATCATTTATCTCTTTCTCGAATTGACTTGTGATTTCGTTGTATCGAAAGAAGGCTGACTTCCAACCTAAGCCCAGTCGAAGCAGAGATCGAATGTACACATCCGTTTGAACCAGTCGAGTCGGCGTCTGCCTTTTCATAAGTGTTTGCTTTGCTATAGCTGCATCAAATCCCCTCGCGCCCGATTCACTGAAGTAGGCAGACACCGGCTCTTGAAATGACCTCTCCGTATATCTCTCCCACGATTTCTGCGGGGTGACTTGAGCATCCTCTTCGCCTAAGAAGTCCAAGGTCCATATGTTGTTGAATTCTCCGGCTGCAGCTGCTGCAGGGTCAGATGGAGCATCAGACAGGCCGTCTATGGAAGAATTGATGATTGAGTCGGTTGCCGATTCGGGCGGTTCCAAATCACTTGGAAAGAAGTCGAGCTTCCATAGTGAGGTATCAATCTTCTCTTTTGGTTCGGTAGGTGCCTCAAAGCAAGATCTCGGAATTTCTAAGCAAAAAGCCAATGTTATTGACAGTTCTTGGAGGTTTCTGGTTGGGTCTTACCAGGTAGAGTAGCGTTCCACGGTAGAGACTCCAGCGGCTGTAGAGCTTCTATGCTGAACTTGGAGAGCCTCCAGAGACTCTCACTGGAGAACGGATCCAGCTGATCACATTGGTCCATAGCGAGACCATACTCAGTGCATGTGAGGTGAACGCGCGAGTCCCGCGACGGAGATGGCTATCGCAGTGCACGGACCCTTGATAACAGAAAGTGCGTCGCCTGCCTCGAAGCTCAGCCATTACCTCCGCCCTCCCCTCCAATTCAGCCCAACAGACCTCTTTTGGTTCCTGATTCCAATATCCAAGTCGCAATGCCTCCAAGAAAGAAGACAAAGCGTGCGCACTCGCCCACACCACAAGATGATACGACGGCGCTCTCAAGCGCAGACACACCCGGATCAAGCGACAGCGTCGACAAACCAGACACAGAGTACGACCTCATCTCAGACCCCTGGACAGACGAGCAAGAAACAGCCCTGCTGAAAGCGATCATAAAATGGAAGCCAGTCGGTGAGTGCTATTGGCGCATCCATCTACTGTGTTGACAGCGCAGCTAACCGTTTCGGTCCCAGGCCTACACAAACACTTTCGGATGCTGGCAATCTCCGATTACCTAAAGAGCCAGGGGTATGCGCCCTCTACAGCGGAACATATGCGGATTCCCGGGATCTGGAAGAAACTTGGTACATTGTACAATCTGGAAGCGCTTGATGAGCGTGTAAGTGAAGCTAAATGACTTGTTCGCGCTCTTCTTCATTTGCTGATGTGTAATGCGCTTTTAGGAAGATTCGGTAATCACCGATGCCAACGAGGACGATGAGGGGTCGAGCGAGATGTACTGTGCGTTCGAGCTACCGTACGATGAATATGGCGATATGATGTTTGAGAGACGGTTAGCCATGGAAGGCTCTTCTTCGCCGGTCACCAGTCGTGCGAGCCGAGCAGGTGAGTCGCGGCGAGGTAGTACAGTCGCCGATACAGATGGTAAGTTTGGGTATCACATGCGTCCGTTGTCTTCAGACCGGGACTGACTCCTGTCTCCTACAGAACCACGGTCTTCCCCGGCCCCATCTCGAGGTCGCAACGCCAACCGGAGCGCGCGTACCTCGACAAGGGGAACACGCTCCACTAGACTGCAGGTTGAGATTGGCACAGGGAGCCAAGGCAAGGTGTCAGATGAGGGTGGTGACGGCGATTCAGAAGAAGAAGATACCGGTGCAAATGATGAAGATGATGAAGAAGGAGACGAGGTCTCGGATGCCCCCAGTGACGAGGAAGAAGGTGATGGCGAGAAGGGGGGTTCTCGCAGCACTCGAGCACAAACCTCTCGATCCAAAGCTAAGGACAAGAAGCCTTCGGGTGGTACTGCGACGCGCAGGACAGGCCGACGGCGTTAATATGAGTGGATTTTTACTTCACTTTTAAGCTTTGATACCTATGGAGTTCGAGGGACGTTTATATAATTTTCATCGATGTGTACGATTATGCAGGCATCTTGTACTTTATGGCCTCTGTGGCATGAGTAACCAATATGAATACTCAATCAGCATGCCACTACAGCGGATATATAATCAAGAAGAAAACTTCCGAATTCGCGCAAGAATTAAGCACATCAGAGTAACTACAAACGTAGGTATATTTCGATCGCTATAGGTCTAATGTCGTTCGAAGGTACAAAGGGAATAGATCAAAGGGTCATAGTACAGGAGATCGGAGCAGCGACTCGATTACAGGCGCGAAATGATAGCCTGAGCGTACTCGTGGGTCTTGGCCTTACCGCCAAGGTCACCAGTCAGGGCCTTGCCCTCGGCGAGGGTGTCGAAGGTGGCCTTCTGGATGCGGGCAGCGTGGTCGTGGAGACCCATGTGCTGCAGCATCATGATGGAGGACAGGAGCAGAGCAGTAGGGTTAGCGAGTCCCTGGCCAGCAATGTCGGGAGCGGAACCGTGGACGGCCTCGAAGATGGAGCACTCGTCACCAATGTTACCGGAGGGGTGAGACCGAGGCCACCGATGAGGCCGGCACACATGTCAGACAGAATGTCACCGTACAGGTTGGGCATGACAAGGACCTTGTCGTTGTAGGGGGTAGGGTCGGTGACGATTTTCAGGCATGAGTTGTCCAGCAGCTCAGCGTCGAACTCGACGTCGGGGAAGTCCTTGGCGATCTCGCGAGCGGTGTTGAGGAACAGACCGTCGGACATCTTCATGATAGTGGCCTTGTGGACGACGCGGACCTTCTTCTTGTTGATGGACTGCGCGTACTGGAAGGCGAAACGGAGGACACGCTCAGAAGCCTCCTTGGTGATAAGCTTGATGCTCTGGACGACACCGTCGACGACGACGTGCTCAATGCCGGAGTATTCACCCTCGGTGTTCTCACGGATGAGAACGGTGTCGACGTTGTCGTAGGGGGTCTTGTAGCCAGCAATGGACTTGCAAGGACGCAAGTTGGCGAACAGGTTGAAAGTACGACGAAGAGTCAGGTTCAGGGAGACGTGACCCTTGCCAACAGGGGTCTAGAAACATTGTTTAGTGTTGCAATTCAACTGCAACGTAGGTGATGTTGACATACAGCGAGGGGACCCTTCAGGGCGACGAAGTTGCGGCGGACGGAGGCAATAGCATCGTCGGGGATGGCGGTCTTGCCGTCCTTCAGGATGGGGGTAACATCAACGGATTCCCACTTGACGGGGGCCTATAATTGATTTAGTGTCTGTTGCAGGGTCGATATGCTGAAGGATCGCTACCTTGGCGGCCGCGAAAATGTCCTTCACGGACTGAGCGATCTCAGGGCCAATACCATCACCCTCAATCAGAGTAACAGTGTACTTGCCCTATTGCAAAGGAAGGATTGACGTTAGTATTGTGTGCTTTTACGCGCGATCATGGTCATTGGCATCGAATTGTGTTCGGTGTACGCAACGCGGCTGGCGCCGGCATGCATTAAAAAAAACGGGGTCGGCGGAACAAAAAAACGTACATCAGAGCCCTTCTGGCCCTTGAACTTGGCGACGGCCTCCTGGGCAGGGCTGGCGTAGAATCGCACCTAATCAAAACAAGAAAGGTCAACCAATTGAAGATTTGCGACTGAAGGCGTAGAGGGGGTTGGTACCTGCGAGATGGGAGCAACAAAGCTGGGAGCCACGCGGGGGAACCGCAGGGTCTGACGAGCAGCAGAGAAATTCCGAGCAGCAAGCATCTTGAACGTCGGGGATGAGGTAAAGATAGAGGTGGTGGGGAGGAGGGAAGAAGGAGAAGGGGAGAAAGAATCAAATCTCTCGGCGCCGCCCCGATCCGACCGGGACTCTGACCGCATTGGTGGTTTGATGTCCCCCCGGGCCGAGTCCACTCTCTATCCGCTGCTCCAGGGTCTTGACAGCTATATCTAATACACTGTACATGTATCTGGAAGCTTGGAGATCTTGATTGCATTGCGCTCTTGTTTCTTGCTTGTCCCACGCCTGGCAACATGGCCGACCTCGACATCGCGAGCCACTACAACCTCCCTTCAGAGTTCCCCGAAGAATGGCCGGCAGCTCTGGACGAAGCCGATCAGCTTGACGAAGAGCCCCTCCAGAGAGCAGACTCTCGTCCGCGTAAATCGCGCTACTTCGCCCTTGAACGCAGTCCCAGTGATTGGAGAAACAACTTTGGTTCACGACGAGGGAAGGAAGGCAGAGACAATGCGCAGAGCGACGAACCCGACCCATTGGGGACAGGCGAAAGCGTCCTTCGCATCCTCAAGCAGCGCGGAGTACCCCTAGAGGAGGAAGGTGGCCAGCGATCCCGATTCCTGCTATCGTCGACGTCGTTCTCCCCCGCACTCTTCCTGTCGCAAGTGCATTCCCAGGCATCCATCGAATCGCTCATGGGTGGCTTGGACAACCTCTCGCAATCAATCGATCAAAAGTCCGCGTCGCTGAAAGTATTGGTAGAGGCCAACTTCGAACGTTTCGTCCGCGCCAAGGCAACCATCGATGCCGTCTACACTGAGATGAGGAACCAGGGCGTGGAGAAGGAACCAACCCTAGCTCCCCGCAGGTCAGGACACTTCCGGAGCTATTCTGGTCAAAATCACAGTCCATCACCAGCTCCAGTGGTGACTCCCAAGAAAACGGCGCTCACGAAAGAGAGCGAGTACGGCATGAAGGGTATCCGAGGTCCTTTGGTGGAAGCTTCTGTCAAGGCTGAGGAGGTATGGGGGCCAGCTCTTGGAGGTCGAGAACGAGAACAGGTACTGAAGTCGGTGGTTGAGACGATGGAGAAACACCGCGAAGCCTATGAGATTGGAAGTCTTCTGTCCAAGTCCATCCAACAACGAGATTACGATTCTGTTTTCGAGCGATACACCAGAGCCAGGACGCTCGCCAATGGAGCTAAGAATATCGCAGACCAAGCTTCCAGCGCCCGTCGGCAACTGAACGACTCTGAAACGCACACTATCTTGACCATGGGCCGCATGTGGATGGATGTCGACCAACAAATCCAGGATTTCAAACGCGATCTCTGGAGGCGTCTTAGTGATGCACCCACTACATCGACCACGAGCACTGCCTCTGGGCCTGTGGAAGAGCATATGGAACTGATCGGGGCTTTGCTGGAACTGGGCGTCGAGGACAACCCTATTTGGACGTGGCTTCAAAGTCGCTATGAATTCCTGAAAACTAAGATCACATTATTCTGTGACCGATGCAAGGTCGAAATTGAAATATTAAGAAGACGACTCGCTGCTGGAGAGAGGCCAAGTCCACAGGCTACAGCATCCTACCTTCGCCTGGCACCTCGTGATGGCTCAGCAGATTCGCCGGAGAGACTGGACACTGATCAAGTCATCGAGCTCTGGGAATGTGTACAAGCATTTTTAACCAGACTCCTTTCGTCGCAGAGCGGTTTACTGGGAGAGGTGTTAGATTTCTGGGAAGTAGCCCAGTCTTTCATCGATGGCAATCGACAACGGCTTCTACCTGTCGGTTTTGAGGGCGAGAGCCGCAAACACCACCGACTCTCAAGCAGCAGCGTCAAGGAGCTGGAGACAGGCGTGGTGGAATTGGTCAGCCTTATTCGACAGAACGTCCTGGCCCTCTTCACAGAGCTTCCAACTGAAGATGTCTCCTTGCTCTTTACCCCGGTTCCGGCAAGCCCATCAAGCCCTGAGACAAGAGGCATTACGCCAACAGAATCTCGCTTCAAGCTGGATCCGAAGAATCTACCAATGCCTGCCCCGAAACTGGGAGAGCCCTGGGAGGAGTTTGCCTTCTGGCCGCCGTTCTCCAATTCACTGAGTGGAGTGCATTACTTGAGCAAATTCCTCATCATCTTGGGGACCGCTGCCAGTGAAATGGCGGCCCTACGGCCGGTTGCTAGTGCTGGGAAATCGCATGATCTGCTCAAGTCTCTTGTGAGTGTGTCTAGGGAGCGATGTGCCCGTGTGGCATGCGCTGCTTGGAGCAAAGATGCAGAGATTTGCAAGATGCTAGAAGATTGGACCCGCGATTTGGATAATCGAGATCTAACCAAGATGCCCGGGTTCTTTGTGGCTTTCGAGGGCGCTATCCTTGCAGGCATGCAGAAGATCCTCTACATTTCAGAGGCAATGGCAAAGCCAGGCTCTGTGGATGTTATCACTCAGCCGCCTGCGAAGTTGCTTCAAACGGTGCGCTCTCAATTTGTATCAAGTGTCTACAAAGCACTGAGCGGGCTGGTCGAAAACGCTGAGCGTCCGACAAGTGTTGAGGAAGAGAATGAATGGGTCATTGCTCGCCCAGCAATCACGAGTCAAGCCACCGATGCTGCCTTGTCTGTTCTGTCGGCGGATTCTGTAGATTCATGCAACAGGGTAAGTATTGGCGCCATTTTTATTGCGTCCAGATCACTAACCACAAAGCAGAACGTCCGAATCCTCCTCACCCTTTCAAATCTCAAGGCCCTGCAGGCTGAATATGTTCCACAACTAATCTCCAACTTTGAGACTGCTTTCTCTGTCAAACTAACTGAAGAGGCCAAGACTGTCCGGGACGTACTTAGCCAAATCGAAGACCGACTGTTCCAGTCATATGTCAACCCAACCACCACCATATTAAATGATACCATCACCGCCGGCATTGGATCCCCTGACTGGGTGCCTTCGACCGATCGACCGGAGCAAGTTCGACCCTATGTCTACAACACTATGCTGACCATGGTGCTCGTCCACACCGAGATCTCCACGACTATCCCGTCAACCGTATCGCCGACCACCAACTTGCATGTCTCCAAGGCATCTTCTAAACTCTTGGCCACCGTATTGACACACCTCGTGACACAAATTTGTTCATCCCTGCTGGCGGCCTTCCGTGCTCGTTCCTCCTTCTCGCTAGCCGCTTTGATGCAAGCAACCCTGGACACGGAGTTCATCGCACAGTCACTATCACAATACGCAACCGAAGAAGCATCAGGCATGCAAAGCCAGATCTACGTCGAGCTAGATGCCCGCACAACAAATGAAGCACGGGTGAACCTCCAATCTGAACTAGGAGAAATGAGAGGCATCCTGAAAAGACTCAGGGACAGGACGAAGGGCGAGTTTGCCTGTTTCAGGAAACGCAGCTCCAATAGTTCTAAGTCCTCCAACACTCTACAGACATAGCGAGACAACAGCTTAACTTAAGACAATATATTGAATTCTCCATAAACTTTTTCACTTCCAAACGGGTATCACGAAAACATAGTCCACGCCACATACACATGTAGCTCTCCCTTCCCATCTAATTCTGACCAACCATCCGCTGCACCCGACTCAACAGTGCATTACTCTCCCTCCCCAACCGTCTCTTCCCAAACTGATCCGGCCGCTTCGCGCGAAGCATAGCCTCACGCTCCTTCTGCTTCGCCTCGCGATCCTTCCTCCGAGCCTCAGCAGCCCTCCTCCGCTCCTCAGCAATTTCCATCTCCTTCGAAAAAGCTGATGGCTTAGGTCGACGCTCCCTGGGCCGACCCTCTCCCCGCGGACGCCGTTCTGGTCTAGGCGCGCGCGCAGGCGCTGGTTGGGGCTCGGGCTCGTTCAACATGGCGATGCGATCTGGATGAAGTTCCAAAGTGGTAGCATCTTCGGTGGGCGTTTCATCCTTCTTTTTGGCTTCGGCGTCTTCGTCTACGTAGGTGTCGTAGACGGACTTTTGTGGTGCGTTGGCTTCTTCTTGGGCTTTGATCTTTGCGTAGGCTTTCTTTACTTTGGCTTTTTGGATCAGGTCGTTCTTGATCTTTTGAGCTGTTGGTAAAGACATGTTAATCTTGGATATGCCTGGCGAGGGACGCTGGTCTGCTTACTCTTTCGTCGATATGTGCCATCTGGGAGATTCGCCGGTCCGACGCTGAAGCCCTTGCGCTTCTTGACTGCGGGGGCTTTGGTTGCTGGTGCAGGATCGCCATCGTGTGTGCGTTTCGGTGCCATTTTGGAGGGGTTTGACAGTCAACAGCTGCTGGAGTTGGGGTTGTGTTGTGTTGGACTTCGACGGAGAAGGGGAAAAAAAAAGTGGCGATCTCCGCATGGAACTCCGGCCTAATCAGACATGTTGAACAACATAAAAGACATAGAGAGGTGTACTATTGTTATGCTACTCTTTATCTTATGTTGATGAGAACCAGAAACATTACAGAATCTACATATTTTTCGTTTTTTGTTTATTCTTTTTTCCTTTCCTTTTTTTTTTTTTTTTTTTTTTTGTTGTTTACAAACAACTCTGATCTGCCCAGGTTATAGTTGCTCCTCACACCTTTCGTCGCTTTCCCTTTCCTCCAACTCACCAACCGCTTCGAAATGCTTCACTAAGCCAGTCTGCGGGTATCCTTGCTGCCCGATTCCTATGCTCTCCCAAAAACAGTCGCAGTTGCATCTCAACGTCACTACGTCACATGACGTCTGAGTCAGGATCTCCATGATCGACACTCAACGCTCAAAGGCTTTTCTTTTTTCTTTCTCTTAACTTAAAGATTTCGCAGACTGGGCAGCAATTCAGGCAGTACAGGCTGTACAGGCAGTACCATTGCATGCGACGGAAGTTCATCCCATGACGTGATCTATATAACTGCTGTGTCTTCCTCGCCAATCACTTCAACGTACCCGAATCATCCTGCCACACCGCATCCAACTTCCCCGATCGGCTCTCGTTTCAGATGGTGCTCGCCACGTCTCCTGAGATGTCACACTTATCGTTCCAGGCCTCTTAGTCTGCCCTTATCACGCCATGCCCCTATTCCGAGATCCGGATCGGCGGCGCCATTATCTATGGTCACCGGACCATAGTGGACGGGAACAGCCAACTACAGGGTCCTCTCAGTCCCTCAATGATCTTCGCCACCAAGATTGCACAGAACCTGTCCCTAACTATACAGAGCCTTCGTTGCAGTCAACGGAATCGGACATGTCAGGACCGTGGGCCAATGATCGGGAGGAGCTCATACATCGCATCAAGGAATCTTCGCCTTGGAGACTTCAACCCTCGGTATGTGGGGCCTTTGCCAGACCTCTCTTGGGATCTACTTCTTGTGTTTCGGGTTTTTGTTGTTGTGTCCCTCTGTCTTCTCCTTCACTCAGGTCGTGAACTAACATTTATCATTAGTCCACGGACAGGGAAGATGGTGACGTCTTCATGCCCCGCAGGTCACAGGAACAGCATCAAACTGTATTCGGGCAACATCAAGAGCCTTCCATCGGAAATCAACATCGCACAGATGAGACGGAGGAACTGGGATCGCCGGCCGATATCCAGAGACCTCGGTCAGCGTTACACTCGGGCGACTTCAGGGAAGGTGCCACAGATCACCATGATCCACCAACGTCCCGACCTCTATTTAAGGAGCGAGACACAGCTTCTCCTTTTGCTCACTTGAGTTCTTCTCCTACAACTCCTTGGTTTGAAACTCCGGCATTTTCGTCCTTGCGAACCCCAAACACATCAAATCTGCAATCCAATCCGTTCGCCGGGAACACCCGTGCTCGGGCACCTTCGCTGGGTTCGTTCTCGTCAAGTTATGTCCTCAAGGCTCCAACAAGTCCGCTGGTATATCAAGCAAATAACACGGACCTGGACTTTTCGCCTCGCATCGAGCCCGTGGATGTTTCGGAGCCTTCAGAGAAAGCGAACCGTCGCCGGACTTTACCGCCAGAGACTTTCGGAAATCTTCAACTTTCCCTGCCAAGCCAACATGCCATGAACATTGGCAGTCCATGCCCGCCCGGGAGGCAGAGGGATTTGTTCGCCAATCAAAACTCTCATCCTCGCCGTTCATTGACTTCAGCCTATAGTCTTCAGCTTGCACCGTCACCTGCGGGTCAAGTCCTGCCATCTCATTTTAGAAGGCCATCTCTAAGCGGCGACAACTCGTCTAAACCGCATGCTCCCATGGTAGGGTCTTACGAGGAGTCGATCTTGCGGGGACGGATGTCCATGAATCCTTCCAAGCCGCTGGATTTCACGGCTCAGATCGGTGTACTGGGGAAAGGCAAATGCAAAGGTCACCTCAAGTGCCCGCCACACGTTACGGTGCCTTTCCCAGTTGTCTTTTACAGCTACCCGACTTCAGGCAGCGGACGGTCTATCTCAGATGACAACCCAAGTCCATATGTGGGACAAATTGACCTTGAGAACTCACTTCCTAAAGAGAATGAAGCTCCAACTAGACGTCGCAGGCGGCACACAAGTCCAGCAGGGCACCGGGAAGGCACGCCTGCCGCAGATGGAGCAAACACTGCCCGAATATCCGAAGCAGACAGCCGTCGCCGCAGAGAAAAGAAGAGTCGCAGGTCCGAATCACCTAAATGCCCTCCGGGAGGGTCCTATCGAATACCGCAGCAAGGCCAGCTACAGATTATAATCAAAAACCCTCACAAAACAGCGGTTAAGCTGTTCTTAGTTCCATATGACCTCAGTGATATGGAGCCTGGTACAAAGACCTTCATTCGGCAACGCAGTTATTCGGCTGGTCCGATCATCGACATGCCGCTCAGTGCACGAAAGAACTTTGGGACCGACCGTCCGGAAGCTTCTTTGAATGCCACGGAAGATCCCCAAGATAAACCGACTTTGCGATACTTGATTCATCTAAATATTTGCTGCCCCGCACGTGGGCGCTTTTATCTGCATTCGAGCATCCGGGTGGTATTTGCCAATCGTGTCCCTGATGGCAAAGAGAGGCTGAGGAATGAAATTCAAAATCCTGAGCCTCGCTATAGCCCATACAAACCCTCTCGAGATTCTTCGCTAGCGACGAGCACAAATGCTCGAGGGGCGATTGAGAAAGCATATCGCAGGCGGAGTGTCGGCCAGGGAACAATCCATTCCCTTCGTCCTCATTTGTCGTCACCAGGTGGCCTTCCCTCGCAGCTGGAGGCTCCAACACCTACGGACCTTGACGGTTCCTCCCACCTTAGCCCGCGCTCGCAAACTACTTCTCTGTATCACAAGCTCACCAAAGATGATGTGGGATATGGGGGCCACCCTTTCATCCCAAGTCAGACTGGCCCGGAAGCTGGTGAGAGCTTGCTTGCCAAAAGACTCCGAGGCCTCGACGTCCATCGAACCGAATCATCCCCAGTAGATGAGCGCCATCCGCGCACACTGGACTTCCTCAATCGATTCCACCCCTCTCATAACCATCATCATTGAACGAGAGCCTAGCGCCTTGCTCTCCTCCTCCTTCTCCTTCTTCTCCTCGCCTTGTACGGATCTCGTTCGGCCACCTCATCGGTATAATAACCATCTCCCACTTACTTGTATCGTGACTTTGACTTGACATGTAACTCAAACATGCAATCTACTGCAAGTTTAGAACAGGGCAGCAAAACCAAAAACATCAAAAGAGAAGAAAATCAACAATTTGACACACCAAAGGCGCACCGGTCTGCAGCCGATCGCTGTTTATATTAATCCACATTATAGCATCGACAACTCTTCACATCCACGCACAAGCGATGAGTGTTTTTTATGTCTCCTTTTATCATTTGGACATTTGTTTCTGTTCGCAATGCTCATGCTCTTTTGGTATATATGGGTTACTCAGGCGCTTGGACTGTTGACTATACCCCTTCTTTTTCTTGGTCTTTAACCATGTTGGAGGGGTTTTTTTCGGCGTACATATCATCTAGGCTACCTCCCTGGATTTTGGAATCGAGGTCTTGAATATATCAAATCATCTTGAAAGTAGGTATGTGGATTCTTAGTGTCTATGTCGCTGGTGCTTAAAATAAATTCCCTCTTGGATATTATCCTACGAAAAGCCCAGAATGCAATCTCAAAACATTGTAATGTCTAAGACATGAAGCATTCGTTTACTTCCCTTAACATCTAAAACCTGGTTCCTAGTATATAAATGACCCTTCAAGGGCATTTCAATCACTATCATCCTTTTAGGCACCTCAAAAAGCCCTCCTACGCTCTCCCGAGATCTACTGTACTCTGCGTCCGCAAAAGTTGAGAAAATGAAGTTCCTATGGTTCCACCTACTACTCTGCTCAACTGTATTCGCCAGTAGCGACCTACGGATCATGTCCGACAGGATGCGCAGCAGTCGTCTTCCCGTAGGGAACGATATTAGCAGTCACAACGCCTGATTCCGTACTTGGCTGTAACGCGGCTTTGGTGGATTTTCAAACAGCGTGTGCTTCTGTGCTACTTCCTTTAGAAGGATTTGTTTCTTTCTGGGCTTGACAGGGGGAAGTAGAAGCATTGCGAATGGAGCAAGATGGACAGGACAGGACAGTCCTGGTAGGTTGTTTCACTCTTTGAGGTATGAGGTTAGTCGGTTTTGTTTTGGTGCTATTGGAAGTATTTGTCTGGTTTAATTATTGATATGATATGTCCTCAACCTGATTTTCTAAAATACTGTATGGCGACCCTGAACGGACTGTTTGAATCATAATATGGATATTTGTCGTTCTTTAAGCCGCTTTCATGTGGTACAAGGCTGGTGGTAGATTTCTCGATGGTGTCTTGTTAGGGGCCTTTGGCATCGATCTAGAAGTTAACACATCTCGCTTTCTGTGGCTATCCTTAAAGGTTTCAAAATATTTAGTCAAAAAGACAAAAAGTGAACATGTCTGAGATCCTGCGATTTCTATCTACAGAGCGCTAGATAAAGCAACCAAAAAATTTCAAAAGGGTCCAGGCCTAGGACGAATTACGACTGACTTCTACCAAAGAACAACGCGTATTAAGAATTCTGTAGCCTAAGAAGATTGCCTCTTCCTGGGAACTTGAATTTGTGCTCGGCTTAACCAGCGTGCTCCACAATCTCGCTCACCAGCACACCATCCTTGATGTAGCTCTTGAACTGCTCGGGCAGAGGGCACTCCTTAGTATCATCATCAGTGCCCTCCTTAGGAGGAAGGTTGATGTTAACAGCAGAGGATTTGCTAGTGAAGATCTCAGTGTTGAGACTCTGCTGGCCAAGGTAAATGGTAGCGCCGTCAACCTGATCCAACAGCAGGGTAGGGGCAGTGCCGTCGATCTGGAGAGCGAACTTGGGACACTTGATAACATCAAGACTGCTGACCAAGGAGTCGACGATGAGAGAGAGGCCATTACAGTTGTCGATGGCGATGGCGTTGGCCTTATTGGTGACCTTGATGATGGTCTTGTTGCAGCGGGTGATCAGGATAGACTGGTTCTGCTGCGCGGGGATCTCGATGATATCACCGGGGTTGTCGAAATTCTCGATGAGCCACTTGTTGCCCTCGAGTTCCTTGCGAGGCGGCTTCCGCGTGCGCATGTTCTCGGGCTTAGGCTTCTTGCTAGGTGCAGGAGACTTCCCGCGGACGGCGCTAGAGCCCTCTGTGACGGTCGAGCCGGCGCGCAGGCCGGGGTTCTTGTGGGTCATCTCTGACTTGTCCACCTTGCGGAGGCTGGAGGTGATAGCCTCACCCTGGTTGAGCTGATTGAAAACAGCGCCCATATCGGGAGCCGGAGCTGCAGGGGCAGGAGCGGGAGGAATGCCAGGGGGAGGTGGTGGGGGAGGAGCACCACCGCGGGGCACATTGAGAGAAGGCACTGGGGGAGGGGGAGGAGGAGGAAGGGCACCGCCAGCGGGGGAAGCAGGTCCGCCCTTGGCCTGCTTCAAAGCTTCCAGAGCGTCAACTCCGTTCTCGTTGTTCCAAGTCAGGCCGTTGGGGAAGTGCTTCTTGAGGTATTCGGCGAGAGCCTTGAAGTTCTGATAGTAGGCCTTGATGTAGTCGACATGTGTACGGTCCCTGTCAAGACGTCAGCGCATAGATCTTGCGACATATCATCGAAGTACTCACTTGACCTTGTACTCCTTCAAGACCTTGTTTCCATAGTATTCAATGCCACCAATCATGTCCGCGACGAATTCCGCGGGCTTGCTCTCAAAGAACCAGGCGAGTGCAACAATGCCCTCTGCGACAGCGCTGAGATGGTTAAAGAGCGGAGACGCACGGTTTGACTCGCGGATGTTGTTAATGCTATCCGAGGCTTTGTGCAAATCGGTCATCAGCTCTGGGGGCTGGGTATCGGGCTTCTTGGCCTTTGTCACGACGTAAAGATAGGTGCGCTCGGCTTTGAAGGCTTGCAGAACGGCTTTCGACTAGACTGCAGTCAGTACCTACTCGCTGCGAAAAGATACCAGGCAAACTTACCTGTTCAGCAACCAGACCGCCAATCTTTTCTCCCAGGTTCACAAAGTTCTGAACATCGCCCTTGATCAATGCATCGAAGTCTTCGATCTGCGGCGGGACCGGGGCAGCCACAGGAGCTGCGGGTGGAGGAGGGGCGGGCTTAGGTGGTTCGGGAGTAGCGGGCGCGGAAGATGAAGCGCCGCCCATGGACTTGGGTGAGCTGGGGTCATCGAGTGACATCGCCATGTCCTCCAAGCGGGAGGTGGCTGCCTCGAGCCTATATACCGGAGTGTATTGTCAGTCAAGAATACGGAGGAATTGTCACACGGCTTAGACGGGATTTAAACATGGCTCCAATGCGATAGTATAGACACTGCACGCAACGAGGGTACATACCGCTTGATGAGGGTGGTGAAATTATGCATATGGCCGCCTGACGCCATGATAGGCAACACGTAGCTCCAACGGTTGAAGCGAAGAGGATGGAGGAAGTGGGTTGGGTGGAGAGAAAATGCAGGCAATAAATAGACAATCAAGTCTCCTGCAATTTATCAAAGACAAGTCGAAGCAACAGGGGAAAGAAAGAAGAAGTTCGGAGCTCCTGAAGGCAGGTCCGGGCTCCATACATTACGTATGTACGGTACGAGGCGATGGACTGACAGAATGACGTTTCGGTGTATCTTTGGTATTCGCATTACGATATGTATCATTGATCCACTTCCGAACTTGATAGACCTTTGTTCCTCTTGTTCTTCTCTGCCATTCTTGATATAGATCACTTAGAGCCACAGGGATATAGCCATGTCTCAGGGCCAACATGAGGTCGATTTCTGCACTTTGGGGATGTTCATCCTAGGTATGCTATCTCCGTTCAGTGCGGGACATGGGCTCACACTGTCTAGATGATATTGACTTTGGTGGCTCAAAACCTGGAGTCAAGAACATTCTCGGCGGGGCGGCCTCATTTGCAGTCGTGGGTGCTCGCTTGGTTTCAGGCTCAAAATATGCACAATCCGTGAGCTGGATTGTGGATGTTGGCTCTGATTTCCCTCCTGAGACCCTGGATGTGATCAAATCATGGAACACAGACTGTCTTTTCAGGGAGGATGTCAGCCGATTGACTACGAGGGCCTGGAATGGATATCATCCAAATGAGAAACGAGGTAAGTATCTCTGGATGTAATGATATATCCTTAGAATGGAGGTCCTGATTGACCCCGCAGACTTCAAATACTTGACTCCCAAGTTGAGGCTCGAGCCTGAGATGCTATCGGATACTCAAATGTGGTCTAAGACATTCCATATGGTCTGTTCTGCATCCCGTTGTATCTCTATAGTCCAACATATCTTACAGCGTCGAGAAGAATTGCACAAGGCAGGCAAAGCGCCGCCCTTTTTGGATGCCTCCAAGCGGCCCATCTTTGTCTGGGAGCCCGTTCCTGACCTCTGCACCCCGGAGGAACAAGAGAAGTTTTTCGCTGCAAACCAAGCCGTGGATGTCGTGAGTCCTAACCATATGGAAATTGGCATGATGTTTGATCAACCCGGTTGGATCGAGCACAGTGACGAAAGCCAAAAGCTGGTCCAAAAGATTATAGACTCCGGCATTGGCCATGATGGAAATGGTTTACTGGTTATCAGGGCAGGAAAGGACGGTAGCTACGCTTACTCCAAGACCAGTAAGATCTGGCTCCCAGCATATCACCAACCTGATGCTTCTGGCGCTACGCCTGTGCTTGACCCCACGGGTGCGGGCAACTCGTTCCTAGGTGCACTAGCTCAGGGTATGGTGTCTACAGGCCGAGAGCCATTCCAGGCTATCAATTCTGTTCTATCGCACTCCGAGACCTGGAAAAAGGCCCTCAACTCTTGGGGTAACTTCCAACACCACCCCATGGCACTTATTTGCGCGACTGTCGCAGCAGGCTTTGTGGTGGAACAAATTGGTGTGCCACAGATCGATGTTGATGGAAAGGGAAGGGAATTGTGGAATCAGTCTGAATTCACGGAACGGGTCCGCCTGTACACGCAGCGATTATTGAAGACACTTGAGGAGTCTCCTCAGAAACACCTATTGACCAATTGATCAATGGCCGAATGAGGAACGCCGTTTTATTGTCGTACTGCACACAAATGAACAAATAGTAGAAAAACACGAAAAGAAAAGGCTCCGTCTTGGTTCAAGTCCTTCCACAACCGCCAATATCCTGGGATTTCTTCATGAGTCGTTCTTGGCGGCTTGCTGCTGCTCATGCTCGCGGATCTGCTTACTCCAGCTAAAGTGAGGAAACATGGGTCAGCATCAGAGACAGAGTGATGGGGTCAGGGTGACCAACTATCGGCTGGGGAAGAACCGGCCGGGCTCGGGCATCTTGTCGCGGTATTCGCGCTCGGCGCTGAAGCTGAAGGCAACAGCAGCGACACCGATCACAAAGGCGCCCATGATCGCAGTGTTGGCCCTCCAGTTGGCTGGCTGGGCGTACCAACCACCAGCGGGGGACCAGACTTCTTTGGGGTACCTGTCCGACTCCTATTAGCATCTGGCGGGGATGTTCGAGGAAAGAACATACGGGATCTTTCCACCTCCACCCATTGTGACGAAGATGCAATTGAAGGGGTTATTGAACGGGGAAAGCGAGCGTAGGGCTAGATAGTTCTTGGAGGTGGAAGCCGAAAGGTCCGTCTCAATCGAAGGTCTGCCGCCAAGCCACTAGAGCCGAAACTGGCTTAGCGTGCCCTCACACGACCTCGCCATCCCGTGACTGCCGCGACAATTTCTCTTCCTCTCGTTGACGGCCAGTTGATTGCGTTGCGATTCTCCCTCCCCTAGTATAATTTTTCTTTTTTTGTTCCCAATTTCTCACAATCGCCCAGATGAAGAGGCTGCAGCTCCAAAGATGGAGCAGCTCAGTCCTTGGGCCGCGGACTCGGACTGTTAACCGTCTGCATCAACACATGTACGGCCAGCGGTATCAATCAACCGCACCCCCGATCCAAAATGGTGGTGTCCCTGAAGACTCAATTATCGAGGACTCAACACCTTTGGACGAGAAACTGTCGGAAATTGTTCGCCTGTCTCACACTCGTCACTCACAACTCCAATATCCCTCTCCCACAGTCGAAGCAGCTCAACAATCCGCAAAACTTGCTGCCCTCCACGCTCGACTCTACCTTCCCTCCAGATTACCTGTCGAGACGCTTGCACGAACACTAGTTGATGCTTCCGCCGACCCGAACACGAACTTCAACAACACATCACTGGCCACCCTCGGTCATGATCTCCTTTCCTACTACGCCACAGAGCACCTCATCTGCACCTACCCTCGCCTGCCGCTGACTGTGATCTTCGCCGCCATGTACGCATACGCTGGTCCCAAGACTCTCGCTGCCATGGCTAGAGAATGGGGTGTCGAAATGGCCTCCGTGCCAGGTGGAGAGGTCGACCCCGGTCTGTTGCAGTTCCAAAGACTCGAGCCTGGCTCTGAGGTCCCCGACACCCCAGCTTCCGACACAGTACGGCCATACGAACAACAGTTGAACTGGCGGAAAACGGTGACTTCCAAGGTCTTCTATGATGATGAATTCGGTGACCCGATTAAGGGAGCACCAAACACCACCGCGACTGGCGTCACGACCGAGCAGGCCAGCGCCGAATTTGTTCGTGCAGTCATGGGTGCTATCTACTTGCACGCCGGCCGTGCCGCCGCCAAGCGATTCTTCGAGCAGCACTTCCTTTCACGACACCTCAACATTTCAGAATTGTTCAACTTCCGCAAGCCTGCCCGTGACCTGACCCGGTTGTGCGCACGCGAGGGCTTCGAGCGCCCAGTTGCCAAGATTATCAGCGAAACTGGTCGTAAGAGCAGACACCCCGTTTTTGTGGTTGGTATCTTCTCCGGCAAGGACAAGCTTGGCGAGGGCGCTGGCGCCAGTCTGATGGAGGGCCGTGAGCGTGCTGCTGTTGCTGCGCTCAAGGGTTGGTACCTCTACAGCCCGCTTTCCGTCCGTGTGCCCAGTGCCATGGAGGAAGCATCCGCTGCTCCCTGGAAGCCCGTCCACGTCGACTTGGGTGAGGTTGTTGTTTAAGGTGTTGGTGCAATGGGATGCCTTGGTTCAAAGGCACGGTAACATATTATTTCATGTCTCTTTTTTTTGTCATTGCTTTTCTTTTTTTCCGGTGTGCTATTCTTTCGCATTTCGCATGGGAAGCTGGCCGGCGGTTAAAAAGAGTCATCTATCCTGTCTTCTGCATGACTGGACCCTGTACATTATGGGACTCTCAATCCCTCCGATTCATCTGGTGTCTTCTTTTTTCCCAATTTCCCTTGCTGTTATATCATGTTTCGTCTACTACACTCTCCAGTTAAGCTCGGTCAAACGACAGGTGATGTAGTTGGTGTTGGCCCTGTCATTCAAATATAGAAGTGCCCTCAGATATCCATCGAATGCACACCAAAATCATCTAATAATGCTTTCTCAATTCTACTGTAGATTACCAATTCAGTTGTATCTTCCGTCACTCTGCGTTAATAATCTCATCCTCCCAATTCCCACTACTGCTCCCAGCACATGCTGGATCATCCAAATAACGCCCATACTCCTCCCACAAGTCCGCAACCCCAGACCCAAACAAACCCTTCCAAAACCCAATACGCCCACCCACAGCCTCATCCCCTTCTTGATCCCCCTCACCAACATATCCAACCCTAAGCAACCGATCATTAACCATCCCAACAGCCCCCCTCCCAACCCTCACGTCCTCAAGCCAAGCCAAAAAGTAAGCCGTGTGCTGATACCCCATATCCCACTTCTCAGGCCTCTCATCTTTGGACTGAGGCTTCTTCCAATGGGGCGGCTCAAGCCCAGCCTTCAATCTCACAAAATCCGCAATACCCTCAATCAGACCACCCGGCGGACGAGGTATACCACCATCATCATCTCCATCTCCATCATCGTCCTTATCATCCGAACCTGGTGGAGCAGTATGCTGATAACAATGAACTAACTCATGCGTAAGAACACCAACTAACTCATGAAGCGGATCATCTTTCGATGTACAATACTGAACATAAGGAAGCGAGACATGGATCTCCTTGTGTGCATCGTCTAGCTCCGTGCCTGTTGTATAAGCCACACCGCTATAATCGCGGAGGAAGACTGTCACGGAGCGAGTCTGGGGAATGCTGGGTGTGAAGTGGGGTCTGTGGGGGCTGGTCTTGATGTAGTGGAAGTGCTTGGTTCTGGGGATGTGTATAGGTATTTGATTATGTTGGTCAGGGCTTGGTCTAGTGTTGATCCGATGTCTGGGATGAAGGCGAGGAAGACGCTTGAGGCTGGGTGGCGGAGGTCTTGGATGTGGAGGCGGAGTTTTGGTTTTGGTTGAGGAGTCTTGGTTTTTGTGAGGCTGGTTTGTGTTTGCTTTTCTTCTGTGCTTTTGGGGGGTTGGTGCTCTTGATGGTTGAGGTTGGGGATTGCAGAGGCGGAGGGTTTAGACGGAGGAGAGCCTGAGCTTCTCATTTTGATGTTGTGGGTCGTGATCGATGGTCTAGTTGGTAGTCTTGGAGGTCTTGTCTAGATTGATGGTTCTTTGAGGAGTGTGGTGGAGTGAAGTATGTCCTCCAGGGCTGAATGCGGAGGAAGGCGGGGTTGACTATGTGCGGAAGCTGACGGCACAAATTTGATATTCATGAGCGTAAATATCGAGGTTCTGTTTATTTATACTGTCCGAAGGTACTCTTAGATCTCCGCCATTTTTGGTCTCTTATGTGGGAGTTTAGATCTAAAATAAGCACCTTACGGTGATCTGCCTCCAAAGTATGATCCACTTCGACGATCTCGTGGGGTTACAATGCAGGGTTTTATGATTTAAATCAATTGTATGTCCTGGAACAAAGCGATTGGATGTGGTTCAGACCGCAAATTGGTCTTTGAAGTGGATTGGTGAGGTCTTATGTTATTGTGCAGTGTTTACATATCTTTCACAGGTATCATACTCCGCGAATTGCCCGGAAAACTGTAGACAGGCTTTTATTTCGGATTGAAGGAACATTAATTCATCACTTGTCCTTATATTACTAGATCAATCCATTCACTCATTTACTCCTAAACAGTACTGTTATAAAATTGTGCATGGCGTTGCCATTGCGACCATTAGTGAGAAAAGTGGTAAACAAACGGTAGAAACAGGATTGGGCCCAGGTTGCGTTCAGCCCAACCGATCTGAGGGTTATTTCGTACACGAGTAAAAGAATTATTACAGAACACAATCTTAACTTCATTTCCGAGTATCATTGTATTCGCATCCCTTTACCCCTACTTGCACCTTCTTGACCCTCGCGCTTATCGGGACGCGCTTATCGCCCCTTGTTTTCCTCCTTCGCAACATCCCACCTGCAACACATCTATCGCCTTGCACTCTCCAGCTTTGCGCTTCTGTACGTTATCTTCCCCTTGTCCCCTTGTGAGCCGCTCCTACTTAACGCCTGCGATTCTATTTCCAATCTCTTCTTCATACCCTGCTCCATCTCCCGCATGTCCGCGCGATTCTCCGTCCTCTGCCTATAACCCAGTCCATCCGAGCGCATTTATATGATCTGCCCTTATTTCGCGTCACTGTTACCTTGGGTCTTTGTGCCATTTGCTCTGGTATTGGAGCCTTGCTAACTTTCACCTTGGGCAGTGTCAAAGCCGACAATCAAGTCTCCTACCATCCACAGTGGACCCCGATTTATCCGACCACTGCCTACAAATTGCGTCCTGTTTGCATGACCTGTTCTACCTAGTACCAACCGAGATCCGACTCTCGAAATGGAGGCGAAGGCTTCAGAGCTTTTGGCGGCCTTCAAGAACCCCAACCTCTCTGTTGATTCAAAGGTCGCCTACTTAACTAGTGTCAAGTCGGATATCAAACAAAAAAATGTCCCAGAGGGCGCCATTCCTACAATTTTCGAAACATTGCGCCTCGCCATTAGCTCCCAACATTACTCGGTTTGCGGCGCTGGGTTTTCTACCCTCGGCCACCTCCTGAAGCGCCTCACCATCCAAGATCAGCAGCAATGGATCGTCAACCAAGCTCGCAACTTGTACACCCTCTTGTTAGAACGTCTAAACGATCACAAAGAACGGATCAGAGCCCAGGCTGCGTCAATCTTCACCGATCTGTGGCCCGTGGCAGGCAGTGAGGTCGAGTATTATGTTCTAGAGGTCGCATTGATCGGGAAAAACCCTCGAGCCAAGGAAATGAGTATGCTTTGGCTGTCAAATGTAGGTTGATGCACCCAGCAATGCTTGACGTATATTGACTCGCAAATGTGCAGATGACCAAGAGCCATGGCTTGTTATATCGCCAACACGTTCCTTCTCTGGTTGCGTGCTTAGAAGACGCCGACAGTGCCGTTCGAGATACGGCCAAGTTGGTCGTAATCGAGCTATTTCGGTGAGTGATTGCACTCCCTGTGCTTGAGTCATTTTCATCGAATGACTGACCATAAAATCCAGCTCTGGACCGGCGAGAGCAAAATCTGATCTGCAGAAGCAAATCACGGCCCGCGGAGTGAGAAAATCTATCGCAAATGCTATTCTCACGGCCATAGGCATAGGTTCTGTTGAACCTGAGGCTGCTACATCTACACGCCCAATTTCTCGCGCTGAACGCCCGATCTCAGTCATGTCGTCTCGTTCACACGCCGTGGACCAACCCGAGGATGGTCAGTGACGAATACCTAGAACCTTAGCGTTGACCAATTACTGACTTCTCTACAGAAATGGAGCCGGTCAAGAGCCGCCCAGCCTCGAGGGCACATCGCGAACGACCGACTGCCCCTTCGGCATCTGCAGAACCACCAACCTATCACCGATCTCATACGCCGGCTGGTGAGCCACCGGCTCAGAAGCCATTACCTGACGATGATGGTCTGGAACCATTTGACGTAGCTTCAGCTAGGGACGTTGATGATCTTGTGCGGGACATGCTCCCCTGGTTTGAGGGGAGGGAGTCCGAAGATAACTGGTTAAAGCGTGAAAAGAATGTCATTCTTTTCCGGAGGATTACACGAGGCAATGCGCCGCATGACTTCACCCAGACCTATATCAATGCCACAAAGACACTTCTTGATGGTATTTTCAAGGTAGTCAACTCCCTTCGAACCACAATGTCTACCAATGGAAGTCTCCTAATCCAGGATATCGCCCGCACATGTGGTCCCAGAATCGACTCGATGGTTGAGATAATCATGCAGAACCTGATGAAGCTCTGCTCAGCGTTGAAAAAGATCGCTGCTCAGAACGGAAATGCAGCCGTTGACGCAGTCATTGGAAATGTATCCTTCAGCATTCGCCTTTTGCAGCATGTATCCTTTGCCTCTCAGGATAAGAATGTTCAGCTGCGTCTATTTGCCACAGGATGGCTCACAACTTTGATCACCCGACAGGCTCACCAGAAGAGCGCGGTTGAACATGGTGGCGGTCTCGATCTCATCGAGAAGGCTATTAAGAAGGGTCTCGCAGATGCCAACCCTGGTGTACGTGAGGCAAGCCGCAGTACCTTCTGGACCTTCTTCTCTGTGTGGCCTGAGCGTGCCGATGCGTATGTTATCCCTTATTCTGTCCATACACATGATTTGCTAACTTGCTTAAAGGATAATGAATTCTCTCGATGCCAAGTCACGGAATTTACTTGAGAAAGATTCGTCGAACCCGAACGGTGGCCCGAGGCCCGCTTCTGTATTGCCTGCGAAGAGCCCCGCCAAGAGTCGTACGGCCCTCCAAGAAGCCATTGCTGCCCGCAAGAAGGGTCAGATGCCTTCTCGTCCCGAGTCAGCTCAACCAGCCTTCCCTGAGGCAAAACCACAGGCTGCTGCCAAGACTACTCGTACTGTGCCCACGGGTGCTCCCCTCTCTTCTTTGTCATCGGCACCTATGCGACCTGGCATGAAGCCCCGACGGGCAGAGTTGAGTCGTCCTGCAACCGCAGATCCATACGCCCGTCGCCCCGAGTCACGAGCTCAATCTACCAACAACAGCTCTGCCGGTAAACCGCCGACTAGCTCTCCTCGTTCTGTGAGGTCTAAGCCATCGACACCGAACACGAAGCCTCTCACAGCTCCCCGTATTCGCCCCCATGAGTCGAACCCGAATGGCACGGCGAAGGGTAGACCTAAGAAGCTTGATTTATCAAAATCCAAGTCTCACAACGATCTTGGGGCAGCCAGTTGTGCCCGCAGTGATTCGAATGACAGTTTGACCAATCATTCTTCTGCAAGAACTCCTCGAACCCCTCGAACCCCTCGCTATGACAGTCATCTTAGTGCATCCGAAGACCAATATTCGCCAGTCCAAAGCTCGCCAGTATCTGCTGTGTTCGGTAGTCCCCAGTTGTCTGCCTCACAACCTATGCTGCACTCGGCGCCGGATGGCCCTCATGCAAGCTCAGTTCCCGTTGATGAACCGGAGCCAATGGTGCTTGAGCAATATGCTGAGCCTGCTGTTATGCCACCATCACCACGGATTGCCGAGCCAGACGTCGCTGCACCCATTGATCCGCATTTGATTCCTGTCCCTGAATCTGTTTCCAAGCCTCTTCCGGACTCAATGGTCATCTATGAGGATCCTGCCACGCCAACAACACCTACGACACCTACTCGGGCCCAGAATGAACTATCCGGGAATGCTCACTCGATTGGCCACCTTACGCCTTCAAGATCTTCCATCCCCATGCGTTCTCCCATTCGCCCTCCCGTGCGTTCTTCCGTCTGCCCCGAACAGCCTGAACAGGACGTAACCGAGCCCGAGAACATGTTAGAGGATGCCCCGGCTTCAGTAATGGCATCGGCCAAAAAGCCCACCCCTGATTTGGCACCTAGCCATGACTCGGTTATGAACTCTGAAGCCCGATCCCCATCTCCTACGCGCCGTGCACCGCTTCAACCAAGCCCATCCCCAACAAGGGGCCGTGTTCAGCCAGCAGCTTCCAACATCGTCACCGGGGTTGATTCGATGGATCTTCAAGATCCTCCTGTAGGTTCTCCCGAGACCCATGGCAACGACGAGAATGCAACTCCCCACACAGGCAAGGTTGTAGACTTGCCCGTACCACGATCTGCAGCCAAGCCGACTGCTCTTGAGGAAGTGCCAGTCAATGAAACAACACCCCGCTCCGCCGATTTGAGAGACCGATCTTTCGAAGCAATGTCTCAATCAGTCCTCTCCCACTCAACAACTTCCGACGACTCCCCACGACGCCCTCGGAAGTTCAATGACCGTCACCGCAGCCCCAGCCCGCGGTCCAAAGATCCAGTGAACGCGAGGGAGATGATTCACAAAGGCCTTGCCCGTATTGCGTCAAGAACTATGGAACCCTCAGGATACCGGAAACTGCAAGCACTCTTCCAATACCATGGAGATGAGATCGTGCCTCGCAGCCAGGAATATAATGCGATGCTGGAGTCCTTGCTAGGCGAACTCGAAGCAGTTCCCACCAGCCGTAAGGACCACGACGTTAAGACCCAGGTTCTAGCCACCATCCGGTCCATGCTCCTGCGGACCCGTGAGCACTTTCACCCCTACGATACCCGCGCGATGTCGGCTTTCATTCAGGCCCGCCAACACTACGAGTCCTCATCCCACTTTGTCACCTGCCTGGAGGAAGTGACAGACAAATTAGTCTTCCTGACCCTCCCCCAGACTGCCATCGCCGGTGTCTTGCAAGCACTGGATCTCGGCGACGAAGAAGAAAATGACGAGACTCACCGCTCTATTATTATGGGTCTTACCACTATCCAGCAGTCTCTCTCCCGTCCCCGCGTTGAAATCGCCGATGACCTGCTAGCCAGCATCGGCGCCGTCGTGATGCAACAACTGGGACACCCCCGACCTGGTGTGCGCAAGAGCGCCACCGAGCTTTGCACATTCTTGAACCTGACCTTCGGCTCAGAGCGTGTGCAGAAGGTCACCCAGGCCCCCCGCGAGGGATCTCTCAACCTTCTTACTTATTTCATGGCTCGCCGATCCCAGTAGAGTCTAGGTCTCTTTGGTTAAAACTAGATATGCGTGGAAAAAAATGGCGTGCTGGTGGCGCTAGCCGCGGGGTTTCTGTTCTTGTTTCGATTACCATTCTGTTTGTATGCTTTTCTTCGTGTGTTGTACATATGCTGTTCATAATAAAGAGCTTGGAATTCAAATCACTGTACAAATATCAACGTAGTTGCGGCTTTATGGGCAGTCTGTCCCATGGTACAAAAAGCGTCGACCTACTAGTTGGCTGAGCACAACCTATCACAGTGAGAAATGGGCAGGATACTCCACATGCACTAACGGGAAATAGACAAAGATGGGATACAACTTAACCTACAAAGTTGAAAAGACCTACAACAAATGGGTAGCTCAGTCGGAAAGAGCATACCTTGGACTTGCAATGCCTATGAATATAATACTCGGACATCGATTCATAGGAATCAGGGAGAAACGGTGCACTAACCCATAGCCCCGACCTAAACCGCATCCAGTCCCCACCACAGGCAACGATCGTCAAATTTATTCCCGCGGTCAGACCTGGACCCTGATTTTAGTGGAGACACGGCAAATTCCAAGACTCGCACCTTGCTTTTCAAGGTTTTGCTTTGACTGAGTTTTTCACTTTTGCACTTCCGCGTGAATCTAATCTGATTGATAAAATGATTGATAAAAGAGGACGCCACATCCGTGAATCTACGTCCACGTCTTCTAAAGGGATATGGCTAACAAAATAAAAGAGCATAATATAACACCCTAAGAATAAGCATTAAACCCGCATCCTAGCATAGACTGACAAAAGCAGCGAAGCAAGTCACAACCCCTCTAATACCGGTGACCGAATAAACCCTTGAATAAACTTCCACTTCTGCACGCACAAACTTATCAGATGGAGATAAAAAGCCGAAGTGGAGAATAGAAAACAGAAAAGGGGTTCTACCATCCACTGCTCGCCACCTCATTGGATGAAAACCCTTCTTACGGATTCGATGGAGAACGTTACAGCACTCTTGCCCTTGGCACGATGCCAGGTCCCAACATTCTCCGAGGCGGAGGGGCAACACGAGATTGATGACTGCCATTCTGGGAATCGATCGTCGAGGCCTAAGATTCTGTTCCCGTCTTTTGGCGTTCTGAATGGTGGCATGTGGGTGTCGGTTTGCTCCACTGTGCGCGACGGACTTTGATCGGATGTCGGAGTTGGGGGTTTGGTTCCTGGTTTGCTTCGCTTGGGCCTTTTGGTGGTTAGTGGGATGGGTTCTTGCTTTTCTTGCCCTTTTTCTGGGCCTTTCTTTGCTCTATACTTCTTCCTGGTCTTGCGGAGTCGCTGTGCGCTCTGCTTTTTGTTACGGAGACTCGTTTATGGAATTGCTGAGTTAAGTCAATCAATGGACTTGGTTTGAGTGGAACTTTTGTTCTGGCTGTGGGATACCGATTCATTCCAACCGTTAAAGACGGTTGCTAGATCTTGTCGGTTCGTGGCAGGACCGTTGATCCTCTGCGTGCACTAGCTGGCTAGTGTGATCCAAAGATATGTCTACAGAGACAGAAGATATACCAGAGAGGAAGAGGTCCCAAGTGGTATGTCCACAGCCAAAAGATGCCCAAGTATAAAACTGACCATGTCAAGGCGAAGTACTTGAACAAGTGCATTCCCACTAAGCAGGGCCTCGGCAAATTCTTCTCATACACCCGTCTCCTTTTCTCCCTCGATTACACAAAGACCGATGTCCTCCTCATCGTAACTGCTGTCTTCTTTGCCGTTGCGGCAGGCATCCCCTTTCCACTCCTCGGTATCGTCTTCGGTGATCTAATAAACGACCTAAACACGGCTACCTGCGTCCCATCCGAAACATCAAATGCCGACGTAACAGGCTCAGTACGCACAAAAGTCCTCTACGTGATCTATATTACCATCGCCAATTTCTGCTTTATCTATATCCACTGCAGCTGCTGGAGTTTGATCAGCGAACGCATCGCCCGGCGATACCGTCGCCGCTACTTCGAAAGCGTGATTAGGCAAGAAACGGGCTATATCGAGAGTCTACCAGCCGGAGATGTCGTTTCCAGACTCGTGGGTGATATCGAGGTCGTGCAATCCGGTACCTCGGAGAAAGTCGGTTTGGTCATTTCTACCGTTTCATATTTTGTGGCTTCGTATGTCGTTGCGTTCATCAAAGTCCCGCAGATTGCGGGCATGTTGATGTCGGTGGTGCCGTGTTTCTTTGCAATGACTTATGTGGGAGGATATTATATCAAGAAATATGGTGGGCGGATCAGCCAGCGTGCTAATGCTGCTACGTCTATTGCCTCTTCGAGCTTGTCGCATTTGATGCTGGTGCATGCTTTCAACGCGCACGATCGACTAGAAAGGTTGTTTGCGGATTATCTCTCCGAATCTCGGATAGATGCTCTTAAGAAGGCTGCAACCCATGCTTGTCAATTGGGATTTCTTTATTTCGTTGCTTACAGCGCCAATGCCTTGGCTTTCTGGGAAGGTGCTCGTTTGATCGCGGACTCGGTGGAAGCTGGCGGGACGGGGGTGTCAGTGGGTGCGGTATACACGGTCATCTTCGTCCTGATTGATGCTTCGTTCATTCTCAGTCAAGTCGCGCCATTCGTTCACGTCTTTGCTTCCGCGGCTGGCGCAGCTGATAGACTACTCGAGGTCATTCACCGTGAATCGAACATTGATGGGACATCCGATTCTGGTGATAAGTTTGCACCTTTCAATTCCGAAGACATCACTTTCCGAGATGTGCACTTCACATACCCGTCTCGCTCGGACGTGCCTGTTCTCAAAGGTGTCGACTTTGCCATTCCGCCTCGGAAACACACTGCAATTGTTGGTCCATCTGGCGGAGGCAAGTCGACCATTGTGGCCCTTTTGGAGCGTTTCTATGATCCCCTGTCTGGAGAAATCTCCATTGGAAACCAAAACTTCCGTGATTTGAACGTGAAGTATCTGAGAGGGAACATTGGCTTTGTACAACAAGAGCCATCATTGCTGGACCGCTCAATCCTGGAAAACATCGCCTATGGACTCGTCACCTCTGCAGCTGAACACCACCAATCTTTGGCCCCCTTCATCTTCGATTCCACTCTCCCTGACCTAGTCGCCCAACTTCGCACAGGTCTTTCAGAAAAGAAAGCACTTGAAGGTCATGATCCTAAAGTGGCCGAGATCGTGACTTTAGTACGACAGGCTGCCACCAGTTCAAATGCTTTGAGCTTCATTGACGCCCTACCACATGGCCTTGCTACAACCGCAGGCTCATCTGGCAACATGCTGAGTGGAGGCCAGAAGCAGCGCATTGCCCTAGCTAGAGCTCTAGTGCGAGAACCAACATTGCTCATCCTCGATGAGGCGACGGCAGCATTGGATTCTACCAGTGAACAATTAATCCAAGAGGCACTGGCCAAGGTGTCGGAACGTGTGACTACTGTCTCAATTGCACACCGTCTCGCCACGGCAAAGGATGCACACAAAATTGTAGTCATCCAGAAAGGCAGAGTGGTTGAAGAAGGACCTCATGCAGAGCTAGTCGCAAAGGGAGGCTCATATGCTGAGATGGTCCGCCTTCAGAATCTTGGAAAATTGAGCATCGGTACGCTTAAACAGGATCCTATCCGCCAAACCAGAGAGACTGCCATTATCGAGACATTGCCAGTGGACAACAAGGAGGCTTTATTGGATGTTCTTGGTACCGATGTCACGGATGAAACTTTGCCTGCATACGAGGGTGTTGTCAAAAAGGAGACCAAAAAAGAACGGAAACGACGCGAAAAAGAGCTCAAGGCAAAGAAAAAGTCCAAGCGCTCGGGTTGGTTCACCACAAAATTCACTTGGTCTCTACTGCGTCCGAACATGCACTTCATCCTAATAGGCTTTGTCATGTCCGTCATTATCGGTGGTAGCTATTCCGCCGAGGCCGTCATCTTCGGACATACGGTTGGCGCATTGAGCCCCTGTGGTGGAGCAGACGGTATCCGATCAGGTGGAAACCTATACGGATTACTATTCTTCATTATGGCTCTGATTGAGCTAGGCGCAAATGTGATCAGCGGCTGTGCATATGGCTGGGCAGCCGACAAGATCCTCTACCGGATCCGAGTCCTCTCACTACGATCTCTCTTGAACCAGACTATGACGTGGCATGGTGATGACGATCGCTCTCCGGGAACTCTCATTACATACATCACCGGTGATGCCACTGCATTGAGCAGCATCACTGGAACAACCATCGGGCTGTTGCTGGCTACTGCCGTCAACTTAGTGGCTGGTATGGTGATATCGTTCGCTATTGCGTGGAAGATTGCTATCGTTCTTCTGCCCACAATCCCTGTGCTCCTGATCGCGGGCATGATGAAGCTACGCACCCAGGCCCAGTTCGCTGAACGACATCAGAAGGCTTTTGCGAAAGCGACAGCCATTACTGTTGAAGCCGTCAGTAACATACGGGCTGTGTCGGCATTTTCCCTGGAGAAGCAGTCCTATGCAGTCTATGAACGGGCACTCAAAGCCCCGTACCGCGAGACATTGAAGTCGATTGCCTTTGGCAATGTTTTCCTTGCAACGGCGTTCAGCATTAGCAATCTTGTCTATGCCCTAGCCTACTGGTGGGGTACTCGGCAGATCATCGCTGGACTCTACTCTCAGACTCAATTCTTCATTGTGTTGCCGGCTCTTTTGTTCAGTACCCAGTCTTGCGGACAGATGTTTGCCCTTGCACCTGATATCTCCAAGGCTGGACTAGCAGCATCGAACATTGCTGAGCTGCTCACCACCCGATCCAGCGACGAGGAGCTGAACTTTGAGACGAAGGGCCAGAAGGTCGACGTCAATCTTCTTGAAGAGAAGATACCTGACCCTGAAGCAGCACACCCAGAACGGCGTTTGCTCAACTCAACCGAAGCACCTCCAATGATGAGCGGTATCGGTGCCGAGCTCCAAAACGTCCACTTCGAGTATCCCTCCCGACCAGGCCAGCCCGTCCTCCGTGGTCTGAGCCTAAGAATTCAGCCCGGTCAATTTTGCGCCCTCGTCGGCCCCAGCGGCTCTGGTAAATCAACAACATTCGCCATGCTCGAGCGCTTCTACCGTCCAGAGTCCGGTGCAGTAATAATCGACGGCGTCAATATCACCCGGCAACTAGGCACAGTATTCCGCGACGACATTGCGCTCGTCCCACAAGAAAACGTGATGTTCGAAGGCACTGTCGCATTCAACATCGGCCTCGGAGCCCGACCCGGCCACCAACCAACACAAGCCGAAATCGAAGGAGCATGCCAGATGGCCAATGTCCACGAGGTGATAATGGCGTTACCTCAAGGATACCAAACGCAATGTAGCCACGACGGAAAACAATTCTCTGGCGGACAGAGACAACGGCTATCAATTGCCCGAGCACTTGTTCGTCGCCCGCGCATGTTACTTCTCGATGAATCGACTAGTGCATTAGATGTTGAGTCCGAGAAGAGGATCCAGGAGGCGCTGGCTACGCTTGCTGGTCGTACGACCATCGTTGCTATTGCCCATCGATTGAACACTATTCATCGGGCTGATTGCATTTATCTTATTGAAGATGGGCGTTGTGTTGAGCAGGGGACTCATGATGAGCTTGTTCAGGCTAGTGAGTCTTATCGGACGAATGTTATTCATCAGTCGTTGGAGACTTGATATATGGGGGTTTCGTGGCTTTTTGGATTGGACTTTTGTGTATGGCGTTAGAAAGATAATATATAGACGAACATATATACGGTATACACCATTGCTGTTTCTCTTCCTGTTTCTCTTATTGCTACTCCTCCCCGTTGGCCTCCCCTTGTCTTTCTCACTGCAAGACAGCCCTTTAAGATACTGCGCCATGTTATGGAAAATCCCCCTTTCTGTCCCTCGTAAATCCTCGTGTCCACGGTTCCATGACAGAAGACCTTCTTGGTATGAGGGGTGGTTTAGCAATTCGTTCTTGCCTTGCTTAGACTGCACTATAGCTATGATACGGGCAACACTGGGGGAACGGGCGGGGTGGGCTCAGCGTGGCGTGTAATATATCGACGTTGTCTGGTGTCATTGCACTAGAGACACTAGACCCAATAATATGTTTCTCAGATTATAGCCACGAGCATAAGTCCTTTGAAACCCCTACCGTTATATAATCTACATAGTCAACCCACTATTTCTAAATAACTCGATGATGGGAAAAGGGAATCGAAAAACGAGAGGCCAATAAAACGGTATACTCGCTTCGAGGCTTTCGCGTAGAGATCAGTGGTACGTATACTAATTTATGGCCTTGAATAAAGCGCGTTATATCCTTGAATCCGAGGTTGAAATATATAGAAAACAAAGAATGGCCTTGTTCTTTTGTAAACTTGATGTTCTTCGAACAAAGAAGAATAAGACTCGTTGACAATAAGCATTGTCTTGGGATCGCCTTTGAATGAACAAGAGCAAAGAGGAGAACGCCTCTTTGACATCAAATTTAGCCCCCGTAGACAACGGATGTGATAGATATATAAGCCGTGGTTTCTCCACAGGAAATAGGATCATATACCTTACTATTTCACCAATTTTACACCGTGAGCTTCGTTACTCTATACAGTTCCGTTCCACAAATACTATATAACCAGTTGACTAAATATTCAACTATGCCACCTCAACCTAAAGTGAAGAAGGACATCAAACTTCCTATTGAGTTTAACCCCGGTCCTAGAACACAGCTTCCAACCAGGGTGAATTCCGAAAGAGCTCACGAAGAGGCTTACCGCGCTTGGTCTTCTATCCCCTATCAACCTGCATATCATGCAGATGCCCTAGCAGCCCTAGAAGGAAGATCCCCAAAGAAGGTCCCAAAGAGGGCCCCGACGAGGACCATTAGGACCATAAAAAGGACTCATGAAAGCACTCGTGAAAGAGCCATAGAGAGAACCCAAGAAACAGCCCGGATTCCCCAAACACTCTGCCATGTTATGCGACGAGCCATTACTAACTATAAAATTAGAGATCTCTCTTTGCCCAAATCGCTATTTGAACTTCGACGTGAACACGGTCCTGTGACAGGGATCAAGGTAGAAAATATGCACAAATTCGTGTGCGCATCACACCTTGTTTGGGAGATGTGCTCTTCGCTCTCACAGAACGGCGACGACCCCAAATGGACAGAAATGTTCAAAATCTGGGAGCCGCAGTATGCGGAGGTTAGGGATCAGATTGCTTCTTGTAAAGGCAAGTCTAGGTTCTCTGTTGTCATTCCTCCCCCTCCGGTGGATGTTACAATTGTTGAGCATCGCGCTCATCTTACTTCTGGATACGAGCGGAAAATATTTGAGTTAGTGGGAACCGAGTTCACCTATAGCAGTTCTTTGCATCTGTGTGATGATCTGTGCGAGCTTCGCAAATATCTCACTGTTATTTCTACTCGTCCTAAGTGGGGGTCATTGAGCATCACTTTCCGGCATGAGCCTTGGTTCCCGGAGGGAAGGTGACAAACTAGCCCTACTTGTTTAACTTCAAATAAGTACTGAACTGCACCTCCTACGCTTTGATAGTTTTCATTCTGTTCAGCCATAATGTCAATACTATATTCTGGTTTTCTTCAAAGCTACATTCGGATTCTAGTTCATAGGAGAATTCTAAACTTTTACACACGATAGAAGTCAATATCTAAAGCAACGAGCTACTGAAGGTCTTTTACGTATAAAGATTTCTTCCCTAATCAAGACAATGACCCATCTACTTCCTTTAGATAGAGAAGGACTACGGAATAGTCCTCTATTTATCATATTAAGCCTCTGTAGACCTAACCCTAATTAGAAAGGGGCCTTCACCTCCTTTATAGAGAGTGATACGTAATAACATATTCAATGCTGATCATATGATTCATGCCTAATCCCTTAGCCCCCAGTACCATACCTAGTCATTGAGTAACGCACTAACACCAAAGCCTTTGATTATTCCCACTACTCCTTTGCCATGGTTCGTGGCCTTGATGTCGTGATTTTCCTGATGGACCTTTCCGTTATCATATTCGCAGTTGATGGGGCCGATGAATAGCTTTCCACCATCGCTCATGTCAACGTTGGTGATCCTGTGCCCGGTGCGCACCTGGTGAGCCTTTTCGAACAGGCGTTCTAGTAGCTTTTGAGACCCATCAAGTGAATCCGCGTTGGTCTTGGAGCTGTTCGATTAATTCGGAGCGACCTTGGTCCTCTAAGGGCTGTGCTTCTGTGGCTTTTTTTTTTTCAAGGTCATCTCCGCTACCAAGTTTTGTTCATCGATCGCGACCATCCTTTGATATAGGGCAATTTCCTTAGCGTGGAGGACTTCTTCCATCGCGAACCTTGAAGAGATTCAAAGTGGCGATCAAGCCATGGCGCTTCTTGACTATGAAGCAGGCATATCAACCGAGACTGGGAAGTCAAGGACTCGATCCTAGTTTCGTGGCAGATATCCTTTGACTATGTTCGGCAGGTCAAAGAGTCAGCGATAGACCTACTCACAACCCAGGAATGATACATCTGAGGAAGATATTGAAACAATGCAACACTATTCTTTCATATCAACAGACAAAGATCCTAAAGTCTCCCGGATGCATCGTCTAGTGCAACTAGCTACATTGAGATGGCTTCGAATCCAGGGACGGGTCGAAGGGTGGAAAGGAATATTCATCGAAAATATCTGAGGCATTTCCCGCGGACCATGATGAAAATATGGAAACCTGCCAGTAAAACTTCCGCACGGGGAATCAGCGCTCGCTCAGTCCCACGAAGCAAAGCTTTCTCTTCTTGACTCGGCAGCGCTCCCTTATAACGGGGAATGTTATGCAAGTTACCACGGAAGACTCCGATATTTGGGTGAGAAGCATCAAGATACACAACGGAGCACGGGAATCATGGAAATCCTCGCAGTGATATACCTTGCGGAAGGCCGATTGCAGGAGGCTGAATCACTACAACTACAAGTGCCGAAAGTCAAGAAAAGAATCTTACGTTCAGAACATGGCAACACGCTGTCAAGCACGATTCACCTAGCGTTAACTTATGGAGCCCAAGGCTGGTGGGAGGAGGCCGAGAAGTATGCAGGCGACAGAAATTTCTAAGACCAATGTCGGCGAGGACCACCCCGACACGCTAAGGGGCATAGGTCACTTGGCAGGGACATACTAGAACCAGGGCCGATAGGGGGAGGCCAAGCAGCTTGAGCCGCAGGTGATGGTGACTTGCAAGAATAAACTCGGCGAAGACCATCCCGACACGCTGTCTATTATGGGCAACCTCGCAGAAACGGTTTTTCACCTGGAACATTGGGGTGAGGCCGATCAGCTCTTCCTACATGTGACCGAGAAACATAAGACCAAACTCGGGAAGGACCATCCTGACATGCTGAGAAGCATGCAGAATCTTGCATGCATCTGGAAACGTTCCGGCAAAACTGCAGATGCCATTAATTTGGCGACGGATTGTTTAGCCAAGCAAAAGCAAGTCATTGGATCCAACCATCCTCATACTATGTTATGTTCGGAAATATTACGAGAGTGGGAAACCGGGGCGAGACCGAGGAAGAGTCCTGAATACTACAGGCAAGAGTCTGTGCAATTCTTGTGATACAAATGAGGCTGGTTCAGATCAAAATAGAGCCGCGCCGTCGGAAATAGTTTCCGAGGTATCTGTACGACGCATCCTGTTGATTGGAAATCAACCTCGAAGGTCATGTCAGATATACTCAAACACTCATTGCCCTGCATTACAACAGTGATTCATTTACATTGACCCGAAGCGGTATGTAGGCTACAATTGCTGTGTAAATACTGGACATGCATTGTGTTTTACAACGATTGTTCCAAGCTTCTTGAAGGCGTCATATTGCGTGCTCTGCCCCGCTGGAATGGGAGAGCCCTGGTATCACTGAAACTGTAGATTATGGAAAATAGCGAGAGAAAGAGTATTCGGCGCACGCGTAATACAGGTGTGTAGCCTCATGTTAGAACATTGATCATAGGATGAATAAGACACCTTGCCCTAAGCTAAAGTATACATAGAAAGTAGTTATGTATGTACTAACTTATGCATATTGGAGCACTTGCCAATTTCAGCTGCTCCGACATCCCATAAAAGAGCACATGGAGAATTGTGCCGTAATAGCCCATCGAACCCCTGCAAAGGAGAGAACCTTTTACTTGGCGGCCCACGGTTACCACGATGCCGGAACCGAACGGGAGAACACCAGAGAAGGGATAATATGTACCTTGATGCTTCAGTTAATATGGGGAAAATTCTCACCTAATTGCATTGACAACATTCTTTACTATGTATCCCCGTCTACATAACGTTACTCCGGACACATGGTGTTCCCCGGCGACATGTTCATCTCGGCCGTGCCGTGCCTAATCTCCGTGGAGCCACTCACGTAGAGACCCTTTTCTTGTGGCTTGATCGACAGACCTCAATCGAAGAAGATCGGCGACTATCTACGCCGATCACCACAATACGAGATCTTAGTGCACAAAAGATCCATTGATGCATACCATCGAGATATATGGGCGGGTAGGGGTGGTTTTTCATTTTGTTTCATTCATTCTTTTCCATACTCGTCACTCCTTGATTTACTTCCCAGTCGCTCCTTTCGGATCGTTTTTTGATCCAGTCATTCGTTTCAATATGGCCCCTGTTTGGTCATGGGTGGGCGCCTTCCTGGCAACCCTGCCGGTGGCTCTGGCAGGACATGGCGACCCTATTGCCCAAAAATACATAGTCGAGTTTGCTGATTCCAAGATTGTTCGTCTACATATCAGCGCCGCCATGGCAAATCGCATAGATATACTAACTTATATAGTCCCCAGCCAGCTTCCTCTCCACACTGAATGCCCACGGCATTCCCGCCAGTCTCAACCATGACTTGTCCTTTGCTCTCTTCCATGGCGGATCTTTCACTTTGCTCGACGACCAGAGCGAGGCTGCCATTGTCAAGCAGATCTCCTCGTGGCCTGTGGTCAAGAAGGTCTCCCCAGTCCGGGAGCTGCACCACTCCAAACGCGACGCTACGAGCATTGCCCATGGCGCACCCGCCCGCCGTAGTCCTCCCACTCATGGTATTCGACGCCGTAACACAGCAGGTCACGAAGGCAATGATTACCCTCACATCATGACCGGAGTTGACAAGTTGCGCCAGCAGGGCTACCTAGGAACAGGTATTCGCGTAGCGGTTGTTGACTCCGGCGTTGACTACAAACATCCCGCGCTTGGAGGCTGCTTTGGCAAGGGCTGCTTGGTTGAGTTCGGTTTCAACTTCCTTGACAACACTACTGACCCGTGGGAAGGCCACAGTGGACATGGTATGTTTGCCTTCAGGGATGCAGAATATCTGGATCTTTCAGCTGATAGCCTGTAGGTACTCATGTCTCTGGACTGATTGCTGCTCAGCCTAACCCCTACAACTTCACCGGCGTGGCCCCGAATGTGACCCTGGGTCACTACAAGGTCCTTGGGACGCCTTCAGTACACACCGGTACCGACATTGTCGCTGCCGCTTTCAAGATGGCCTACGAGGACAAAGCAGACATCATCTCGGCATCGTTCGGCACGTACAAGGGCTGGAGTGACGAACCGTGGGGACAACTGATCCAGAAATTGGCCGAGGCTGGTCTTCCCTCCTTCATTGCAAGTGGCAATGAAGGAAGTTTAGGTCTGTTCCTGGCCTCGAATGGTATCGACAACTCCGCCGGCATCGGCATTGGATCCTTCAACAACTTGTATAGTCCCCTGCTACTGACTGGAGCCTCATATTCCACCCGAAACACCACCAAGGAATTTGGTTGGCAGCTCGCGGGTACATCCGACTTCAAGAATGGCACCTACTCTCTCTACCCGAGCAGCCTGAATGCATCCGTCGTGGGTGATTCTTGCGAGCCGTGGACGGCAGGCCACCCCGATGTCTCCGACAAGATCGTGCTCATCCGCTATGGTGGCTGCAAAGGCAGTCAGCAGCAGGCCAACGCGGTGAAGGCCGGTGCTAAGAACATCCTGTTTTATAACAATGCACCAGGCACCTATGAGCTCCCCGTTCAGGACCCTGGTTTGGTAGGCCTGGGAATGGTCTCTTCTCAGACTGGCGCGAACTGGGTGAAACTGGTCGCATCTGGAGCCAACGTCACCCTGCACATGACCAGCGAAAAGAACTCCAAGACTTTCTTTACCAATGAGGAAAACCCTCAATCTGGTGGCCAAGTTAGTGATTTCAGTCAGTGGGGGCCCAGCAACGAGCTCCTCCCTGTGACAGCAGTCTCAGGGGTCGGTGGGTTCATGCTGTCGACATGGCCGGTCCTTGAGGGCAGCTACGCCATCGACACTGGTACCTCGATGGCGACCCCCTACGTTGCTGGCTGTATTGCTCTCTTGATGGAGGCTCGCGGCAAGGGCAAAGTGACTCCTGCTGAGATCAAGTCTCTGTTGTCGACCACTGCCACCCCAAATGTGTTCCACGATGGCGTTACAGCCTCGCCTTTCCTGGCCTCCGTAGCGCAGCAGGGAGGTGGTCTTATCGATGCCTACCAGCTTGTGCACACCACCACCAAGTTCAATGTAAGCACTGTCGCCTTCAATGACACCGAGCATATCGCCCCGGCATATATCCGCATCAACAACACCGCCTCCGAGTCGCGTGTCTACACTGTCAGCCATGTGGGCGCCGCTACTGTCTACGCATTGTCCGACAACAGTTCCATCCCCCAAGTAAACAAGCTCGGCAATTTCGTGGACCGCACAACCGAGGGTGCCTCGCTGAAGTTCAGCTCATCCAGCGTGCGCGTGGCCGCCGGTGGGTCTGCTGTGTTAAAGGTCACTGCCACCCCGCCCAAGGGTCTCATCGCCCGTCGCATCCCGGTCTACAGCGGATTCATCACGTTCAACGGGACCACAACGAATGATTCTTTCTCAGTTCCATACCTGGGTGTTGCCACCGCTATGCGCAACGTGACGATCCTAGATACCACGCAAGGTAGCAATTCTCTCATCGACAGCAGCACCCAACAAGCCGTCCAGGCCAACCACCAGTTCGTCGTGCCGGGCGAGAACGACTCGATAGACCGCGCGAACACCAGCTACCCCATCTTCCAGACCCAGCTTTCCATGGGAACGGATCTGCTCCTCGTCGGCGTCAAGCCCGCCAACAGCCACGCTATCCTCCCAGTGTATGCTCCCCAGACAGCCCTCCCCCGGAGTGTTGATGGCGTGACTGGCCCAAGCCCCACATCATGGACAGGCGAATTGGCAAACGGATCGTATGTTCCGGCCGGAAATTACTCTTTAGTTGTGCGTGCGCTGAGGATCTTTGGCAACCGCACTAACCCGAGTGATTATCAAACCGTGCGGTCGGTCAACTTTGGGATCACATATGCTCCCCCAGCCGACAATTAGCTATAGAGCTGTTCTAGCAGGTGACGGGCCTCAGCATGCCTTTTTATATACTCAGGCTTTAACTTTTATTGTCCGTTGGGCACCTTCTACCTTCGTATCTGTCCTATTTTGAATAGGGGATGGACGGAAGTTATGATCAGTTATATTATTTTCATTACCTGCTTCACAGGCTGATATACCGTACAAGTCGTTCTCTTACCCTAATCTATAATTAGACATCGCGATAAATTGCCTGCTTACTACCCTTTATAAGAAAATATGACCTGAAAAGGCTGGAAACCCTCAGTTCCGAATAGTCTTGGAATTGGCGGTTCTGCACGTTACCGACTAAACAAGTATAAAAGCCCTGTGGCGTATCCACAAAGAGTAAAAGTGCCTGAATATACCACATTTAGAACCGATCCAGAACCGATCGCCAGATTTTCCCTTTAGGGCGACAGTCAGCTCGGCCGACCTGCTTGGATAGTCTCGGCAGCCATTTCCCCGATCTCCCCACATAGTTCGGGGAGTAGTCCGCCGTGACGTTTGTTACTCCACGTTCACGGAGATACACCGTGCGGTTCGCTTGAGTTGCCAGGAAGCTCCGGCAAAACGGCGAAAAGGAGGGGGAGGGAAGAGGATATAAAAATGGCGAAGGAACCATTGTACGACGAAGAATAATTCCTCTGTTACGCGAAGCTATACCGTCGTCGCAACGTCCACCTCCATTGACCACGACACGCACATCCAATACAATACAAGAATCTCCCCAAAATGGCAACAACATTAACAGGGGGAAACCCACACATAATCCAGCTCCCCAAAACACCCCCAAACACCCCCTCGGACCCGCGCACAATCGCCCAACAATGGCTCTCAGCCCTTTCAGCGCAGCTATCGCACCCAGCCACGCTGAACATCGCAGACCTGTTCCACACAGAGTCCTGGTGGCGTGACATGCTCGCGTTAGACTGGGACATGCGCACCGTGCATAAAGCGCCGCAAATCGCAGAATTCCTTAGGCAGCACCAGAGCAAAGCGCAGCTGTGCGGATTCCGACTGCAAGACCAGGGCCAGTTCCAGCCGCGCCTGGAACAGGTTGTCTCAGGGCTGAGTTGGGTTTCTTCTATGTTTTTCTTTGAGAGTGCTGTTGGGACTGGGACTGGGATGCTGCGGCTTACGCAGGGTGCTGATGGGGTTTGGAAGGCTTATGCTGTTTATACTTCGTTGCAGGAGTTGAAGGATGCAAGGGAGCCGTTGGGGAAGTTTAGGGCTGAGGGGACGACGGAGTCTATGCCTGGTGGTTTGGCTGGGGGGACTTGGATTGAGAGGAGGGATAGGCAGAGAGAGTTTTTGGATGAGGAGCCGACTACTTTGGTTGTTGGGGCTGGTAAGGGTTGTTTTATTTGATTAGAGGATTGTTTAATGCTGATATCTGGATAGGTCAGGCTGGTTTGAATATGGGTGCGCGGTTGCAGAGTGTTGGGATATCGTGTCTGATCGTCGATAAGAATGACCGCGTCGGTGATAATTGGCGTAACCGGTACAGGGTGAGTAGAGCGAGAGTTGATGAGGACATCGGAAATACAAGAAAAGAATTTGCATACTGATTCTCGCCATTCAGACCCTGGTTACCCACGATCCAGCCGAATTCACACACATGGCCTACCTGCCTTTCCCACAGAACTGGCCGCAGTTCACACCAAAGGACAAACTCGGCGACTGGTTCGAAGCATATGCGAGCATTATGGAGTTAAACGTCTGGATGAAGACATCCGTGGTCTCAGCAGACTATGATGACGCCACTGCAAAGTGGACAGTAGTTGTTGCTCGCGGTGATGGCTCTCAACGAACGCTGCGTCCTCGTCATATCGTTTGGTGTACTGGCCACTCTGGCGAGGCACGTATTCCCTCGTTCCCCGGCCAGGAGTCCTTCCAGGGCAAGGTGTATCATGGCAGTCAGCACCGTGATGCCTCGGAATCGGATGTCCGGGGAAAGAAAGTGATCGTTGTCGGAACTGGAAACAGTGGCCATGATATTGCGCAGAACTATTACGAAAACGGAGCCGATGTTACCATGCTGCAGCGCAGTGGGACATATGTCCTGACTGCCGCTAAGGGTGTCTTCATGATGCATAAAGGAATGCATGAGGATGGCGGGTATGTTCTTCTCGCCTATCTTTGCCTCGTTGAATTGTGCTTTTATGATACTAACAGAATATCCCAGGCCCCCAACTGAAGAATGCGACATCGCTACAGAAAGTCTCCCCTGGCCCGTTCAACTCGCCTTGAGCGTCCACTTGACGAAACGTATCGCCGAAGCTGAAAAAGAAACATTAGACGGGCTCCGCCGCGCCGGCTTCCAACTTGACTTTGGTCCCGACGGCGCCGGTATTGCACGCGCATACTTCACTCGCGGTGGAGGCTACTATATCGATGTGGGATGCAGCCAGCTCATCATCGACGGCAAGATTAAAGTGAAGCACAGTCCAGGCGGCATCAATGGCTTCGGAAATCGGGAGCTCCAGTTGGCAGATGGCGACTCCCTCCCAGCAGATATTGTCGTTCTCGCTACCGGATATGATAACATGCGTACGACTGTGCGCAAGGTCTTGGGTGATAAGGTTGCAGATAGATGTTCCGATGTTTGGGACTTGGATGGGGAGGGTGAGGTCAACGCTGTATGTATCCATTTCTTTCGTTTTGTTTCAATGTTTTCTTTGCTAATCCATTTTTTAGATGTGGCGTCCCAGCGGCCACCCGGGATTCTGGTATCATGGAGGAAATCTGGCGTTGTGCCGTATTTACTCCAAGTTCCTTGCACTTCAGATTAAGGCTGTTGAGAGTGGCCTGTCTCCTGGAATTAGACAGCAGAGCATGAACAGAGAGGCTAAGATTTAAGATAGTTTCTCTTGAAAATTGGATGCTATAACTTAGATGTGCTACAACGGGGGTAATAAATGTGTATACAGTGCCACTGATGATTTTATTGGACAGTACAAGAAGGCCCCAAGCGACTATACCGTTTCATGTATTATTTTCGCCCTGCTTGGCCTCTCCTTTTTCCAACCCAATTTTGCCCATATTAAAGTGCCTCGGGATCATCATTAGATTGTATAAAGGGGGGTTGTGAAAGGACATACGGCCTATGACTGTATAAGATGGTTTCATATTCAGATTACACTTAGAATATGAGGACCTGTGGAATTGACGCCGAAAATGACCGCTTTCGAGGCCAGAAACGGCCGCCTTTCCACACGTAACTTTGGACGTCGAGCCGCCGCTTGACCGCCCACAGCCCTGGAACACCACTATTCTACACCCGCCTAGCGCTGTTAGCCATCCCCTAGTCCTGATGTTGGCGCTCGACTTCAGCGCTTGTTCTCCCTGTTTCCACTGGCGACCAAAACGACGCCGAAAATGGCTCCCCTCTGCAGCTAGGTCTAAGTCCCCTCCTTGTTCGCCTAGCCCGGTCGAGTGCCTATAAAATGCTTCGTCTTCCGCTTCTTCGCGTTGCACCCTCCTTTTCTCGCTCCTTATCCCTTTGTCCTCGCCCTAAGTCAACCTTAACGTTACCTGCACCGAAATTTTGTATCCTAGTCTTAGTATCTAACCTTTCCTATAGCATCTACGCCAGCCTTGGTGGTGTCGGGCTGAGCAAACTGAGGGCCAACCCATCACCCACGTTGACGCGCGATATCCAGGCACGAGTTCCTAAGGCCAAATGCAGGGCTTTGATTGGGGCCGCTGTGTTGGTGGACCCTCACGGTCGAACGTGATCATGTATCACGGAAGACTACCAAGCCACTCAAACAACTTTCTGCACCTGATACAGAAGGTTGTATAGGTTGCCAAGTATTGGCCGAATGCACCAATCTCGCCTACTTGGCGACACATGAAATGTAACAATGTTTCCTGTAGGCTGGTATGAAGTATTCTGCTCATTTTCGAAATTGAGATTTTTCTTTCACTTCTTTCTCTTTTCAAGTACTCAAAAGATCAGTTTTCATTGAAAATGTCATTAAGCCCAGTGTAATGCCGCAGATCTATACTGGTTCAAGAGACGTGCGTCTACTGGCCGAAGTGCTTCTCCAATTGAGAGCCACGTTTTTCAGCAGGGTATATAGAAATATCTTTAGAGCCAATAACAAGTGGTTTATAGCTTGCCAAATGGCCAACTACTTCAGTCCCACTGTCGTTTCGACATCAGAAGATGTCGAACACTATGCCCGTTCATACATACTGTTATATATTGCTCCTTCTTATGATCCATCCACCCCTAGATCGGCACGCAGTTTGTGGGTCAAAAATGTCAACATCCAGAGCATTTCAGTGTTTGTTTCCTGCAGGTGGTGGTGGAGCTCAAGGTGCCTCATCAGCTGTTCGTGGAGGTGTGATGGTGGCGAGGACGCAGTAAGCCAGAGGGGTACTTCGTACATAAAGGTAGCCCCTCGGCGAGATATTCTAGTTATCTTTCTGAAGAGGTAAAGCAGAAGCATTATTTTAAAAATATCTAGTTCTAATTTAGTAATTACTTAGCTAGACATTTAGCAACAATACCCTAGAACTGGTTGTCTAGGGCGACGATCCCTAAGCCTAGACTCTTGATATCCTCCTTGCTTATGCCTCTTCGAGCTGTGCCTATGGCCGAGAACTCATCGGGATTACGCATTTCACTAAACAGGAGTGTTTCTAGAATGGTGTGTAGGTGCCATCTTGGGGTCTTCCACGTTGGCATAAGTTGTTATGGCACCCACCGCCGCATCGCTAGTCAACGTAATGACTCGTGATAGTCCGACTAAGGCATCTGCCACGAGGTCCACCTCGCCCAAAAACGGCACAATCAGGAGTACCCCTATCAAAATATTGTTGATCAACTCCTTCGTCACCTCGTATGACTCGGCAACCTCGACCACTTCGTGCATGTTGGTCACAGCCTGGCTTAGCATGAAGACCGCCATGGAAATCGATTGCACAAGATCGTCCGTGCCACCAAGCTATGGCCCCAGGGCCAGCGCAAATGTTCGCCACAGAGATGATGATATTGTTGTTAGTCACGGTTTTACATTGAACAATAAAGTAGTGCAAGATGAACAGTGAATAAATAGGTTGCTTTCTGCACAGAGTCTTCTAGTCACTGGTCCAATGCCTTCTGAGATACTCTGATGTTGATACAGGTTTAATACCGGGACAGAGGTTATTCAAAGTGGGCTCAAAATCCATCCGGCCAGTGGCAATCCCCAAAAGCAACTGATAATAAAATCTTTCACCGTCGTCCAGGTTGCCTTGAAGAATTTCTTCAAGATTCTCAACTGACATATTCGTAATGCGAAGGTCTCTTCCACAAATCGTTTTCGCCAGCTGAGCAACCTCAGTAAAACTCAACTTGTCGCCAACAATTCTGCTTTCAGGTTCCCACTTAGCCAAATCAAGGGCAGCAGCCACAAATCGACCGACATCCTGCGTTTTCGTGACTACCACCTGCTGAGACGCATCCCCTGGAATGATGGCCGTACCCGCTTTCAAGTCAATGGCAAATGGTGGGCGTCCTTTATAAGCTCCAAGAGCTTCGTCGTCATCTCTGATGCACCCAGGGCCCCACACATTCATCCAGAGACCATTCATAAACCGAGTATATTCTAGCCCCGAGGACTGGACAGCTTTCCAAACAATAATCTTTCCCGAATAGAGGTGGACAATGTCATTGCAGTCACTGTTCCATTCCGACGGCACAAAGCGAGCCGCGCCGGCTTTTTTCGATGCCTCCAAGAGGGCCAGTTCAGCGGCCGTTGAGTTGCTCCCATGCGGAGAAATACAGCTGATCACTGTATGCACTCCTCTCAGCGACTCCGTGAGCTGTTCGATCGACCCATAATCGACAATGCGGGAACCAATGCCTTGAGAAGTGAGGTGCGGCTGGTTTGACCTCGAGAGAACAATCACTTCGTGTTTCTTTGCGTTGAGGATCGCCTGGACGATGTCGAATCCTATTCCCCCTCCGCCTCCGGCGACTGCAACGACCACCATGCTGCACAATCCAACTGGCCCTAGTGATGCAGCTAAATGCTGAATCCTTGTTAGCGACTTGTACTCCAACATTGACATTAGGATATACTTTTTTTGGACAAATTGCCACGTGTCGTGTATACAATAAAATGACAGCGGATTCAGACGAGCTGGTACTTATTAAACTCAAATGCTGTCGCACTTGGGTCGTACATAAATGAATTAGATCTAACTAACTAACTAACTAGTTAACTAATGTGGGTATTTACGTAACCCAGTGCAGGTAAGTTAAGTTAACGTTAGTTTATGCTCTCGTCAGCGTAAACTATAATGCCGTCAGCCGTTGATGCTAACGTCATCTCCCAAACGTAATTTTGGATCCACGGATGGTTTCCCTGTGATATCCGAAATTTGACCCTTGCCATTATGCTTACCAGTTGCAAGTTTAGCGTCTGCTCAGACAGCATTACGACGTTAAGTATTGTGTTGAGTTCTGCAACCAATGAACATAATAACCAATATTGTCAGCCTAGTTCTTACACGAACCGACACTCAATACGATCATCACACTTCATGCCTTCTCCATTTTATCATTAGCAACTCAAACACTATACGCTTTGTTTTTAGTATAAACATTGGGTACGAAGTGGCCCAGGAGCGTGAGATGCAATTCGGTGCCTCTGTCTGAATATTCCGAAGTACGGTTGCAAGAAGTCGAGTTTTATGGGGCTATCTAAGCAAGCGATTGAATCCAAACACAAAGGTAGTCAGAAGGTATATAATCCTTCATTCAAAGTAGATACAGTTAAGGAGTGAGCCATTTGAACTGGCCAGGCTTAGAGTCACTTCTTACAGACTAACAGACCAATAATCGGCGCATTGTCGTCACTCTGATCAGGAAGAAATATTGTATCTAAATGTTTCCTTCACAAAAAGTCAATCTGATCTCTCGTTATTGCTGTTTTACAGCTCAGGTGTATCAGCGAATGAGTCGTCCCACCTATTAAGTCGATATTATTAGTAAAAACAGGAAGAGTGATTTCGAAAAACAGAGCACTCACGCAGCGTGGTATCTTCCACCAGAAACACCCGCAGCTTCGACGACATCTCGGATTCTTTTGTTTTCTTCCGGTGTAAGAGTAACGGACAAGGCCCGGATATTGGTATCGAGATTTGTGGGCTTTGTCGTGCCAGGAATTGGGATAATATCATCACCCTGAGCCAAAAGCCATGCAAGGGCCAATGCACTGATACTAACGCCCTTGGATTCAGCAATCACATCCAAGGCATCCACAATCTTTAGGTTCTTCGTGAAATTCTCGGGCGAAAACCTGGGTAGGAAACGGCGGATATCGCCCTCTGGGAAATCATCCGGAGATTTGAGTTGTCCTGTCAGGAAACCCCGTCCAAGGGGTGCATAACAGATTACTGCCACACCAAGTTCACGGCATGCGGCCAGCAGGCCATTATGCTCAATGTCGAGACTGAACGGGTTATATTCGATCTGGACGGCAGCGATGTGGTGGATCTTGCACCTGTAGCCCGATGATATTTCAGCGTTAACGTTAACTTCGCGATGATTGGCGTACAGCTTCACTCACGCTCGACGCAACGTGTTCGCAGAACACTCAGACAGTCCTAAATACTTAATCTTCCCATCGTTCTTCAGTTCAACCATAGCAGCGACAGTCTTCTCAATCGGAGTGACTTTATCCAAGCGGTGAATATAATACAGATCAACAGAGTCCAGTCCAAGTCTCTTCAGACTCCGATCACAAGCCCCTTTGATATACTCAGGGTCACTCCTGACGAGAGCGTTGCCTTGGTCATCAACACCAGCACCGCCCTTCGTAGCAAGGAAGATTTCATCCCGTTTCCCGGTTGTGGCGAGCCATTTTCCAAGGAGGATTTCGCTATCTCCGTACACATCTGAAGTATCCCAGTTGACTATGCCACTGTTGTAGACATAATCCAGGAAGTGGAGACGTTCCTCATCGGGTGCAGCGGGTGCATAGTACGCTGAGAGTCCCATCATGCCATAGCCCAGGGCTGTGACCTGGGGGCCATCTTTGCCAAGTTGACGAGTGGGGAGTTTGGGAGCCATAATGCTTTTGTTCCAATACATAGACAAGGGAAGATCCAAAACGTCAACTAATTCAGAGCTGCCTCGTTGCCGAGTAGACTTTTTAAGTCCGGGACGGAGGTCATCCATTCATCATTGCGCCAGCAGGCCCCATTCATTTGAATAACGTTTTGGCCAGGATGAATCAACCAGGATACTAGCTTACGCGAGAACATAAGCGACCACAAAGCTTGGGGTGGCGACTTACCTCAGCTTCTTTTGCTTGTTTCAATGAAATGCCCACGGAGTAACACAAAGGGATATTGAAAATAGCAATCCAATAGGATACGATGAATCTCTAAATAGAGTCGTAATTGCATAATATTAAATAGTGGAACGACACGTCACGGCTGCAAATTTGTAAAGATCTGGATGTTGTATACATATATATGTATGCGGTGGAATATTTATAGATATTTCTTACCAAGGGTATGAGGACTTTTCACCCTTCATCTCACACCACCATCGACTATGTTGATACATTTCGCCATCTGGCCCATCGAACAATATCCACCACTTTTTCAAAAACCATGATTTTACCTCCCAGCTTCGGATGTCCCAAGGGGCTCCGGAGCTCATTGGATCACTTCTATCGTTCCTAGTCGAACCCCAACAAATGATTCCATCACTTCTCAGATCCCGACAGAGCTGGTCAGGATCGAAGGCCGGAGGTTGAATCTGAATGAGCTGAATTATACGATTTCGGAAAGCAGGAAAGGGGAGAATGTCGAGGTAAGGATGATGAGGGTAGGTCAGTTGCGTGGTAGAAGGTCGAAGCAGGGGCTTGATATGGGCAAACTGCTCTGCATTCGCTGCTTCGGATGGCTCATTGCCAACCCACGCCTGGTAAAAAGGTGACTGCGTTGTTTTGTCCCACAAAGTTTCCGGTGACAGTCCGAGCATTGCCGCATTAGCAAAGCATGCTGTGACAAATGATATTGTCGTGAGTTGAATTGTGTTCAGGTGTATATCTGGAATCTCGCAGGGTTCCAAAGGTGTCGTTATGGGTAGGATTTTTCGAGTGTCATTTTCGGTGTCTGTTGTTGATGTGATATTCGCTGATACGTCATTCCTTGGTTGCCTTTCTCCTTTCGAAAGGGTGCGTATGCCCGTGATTAGAATATCTTCAAGAGAATACTTTTGGCTCACACCATCCTCTGATCCCAACACATTGCTCAATCTGCTGGATCTGAATGAAGCTTGATCGACAGTTCGTGCCAGCGCCTGCTGATTGTCCTCATGACTGGTTAGGAAATCGGCATCTACCATCCCACTGCTATCTCGACCTGGGTTACTCAATCGCCGTGGGAAAATGTTGTCCGAGTAAAGTGCAAGAGTGGGATCGACCGAGTGCGGAATTGTCGGATTTTGATCCAAGAAGTTCATACCGCTTTGAAGTTCATCAATTGATTCACCCGGTATCGGATCGAATGTGGGAACGCCTGGTATGCTGCCAGGTAGGTCGAGTTCGTTTCCAGCTTCAGGGTTGATCAGATGATAGGAGTGAGAAGGCAGTTCGAGAGGACTACCTTGTGCGCTCATATCATTATTAAATGCCGGCTCCCCACTGACGCTTTGATTATTTTTTTGACATTGATGCCATGGGAACTCGTCACTATGCGGAGACGGCGGCGTAGGAGCGTTTCTCGGTCCCTTAACGATAGCTTCAAGCTGCTGTAGGTAACTCTTTTTCTTGTCTCCTGAGTGCCTATCAGTCAGACCAGTTACTAAAAATAAAGCATAGACAATAGTTGACCAGCTTTTGTATTCAGACAAAACTAACGGTAGGTCTTCTGCGCTATTCTGTTTTGCTCGCGCCTGCGTTCAGACATTGCGCAGCGGCGACGTGGGCCTCGTGGTCTTTGAAATGGGTATCGATCGGTATTATCGTGGTTCCGCTTTTCAATTGCTGGTGCGGATCTCTTTTGCATAGTTGTACTGTCCCGAAGACAAATTTGACCATATAAGGGAGGTGGAAGAGTTTCCGTGCGTGGCGGAAGTCCGTTGCATTGAGAGGGGTTTTATGCTTATTACTCATCTACACTAACATTAACGTTAACTTACTTACTTTTGGGTGACTAATTGGTTAGTTATACGAACCCCCGAGCAAAGCACAATGGCTTTTTTTCAGTCGCTCAGACCCAATTCAAACCACCAACGACTTTGATGCGTGGCTTTTTAGGGCATTTAGATGAGATGTCGAAGGGCGCAAGGTGCCGCCTTCCTAAAATGACAAAGGCGGGCCGGTAGCACGTGACCGGGGATTTAGCCACCTCCGGCTAAAGCATTTGGCACTCCATGTTGTCAGCGATTCGAGACCGAAGAGCTGTTTCAGACATCTTGGTCATCGTGGCTGATCTGTGAAATATTTCTGTTCTGGCTGGAAAGCTGTGCAAAACGACGCAGAAATGAGCGAAAGAGGTTCGGAGATCGTCTACCGGGCGGAAAATATTCCGATTCGCTTCTTCAAGGCATGTCGATGGTGCAGGAGACAGAAGATGCGGTGCGATGCGCGCAGTCAAACCCCTTGCTTCCGCTGTCGCTCCACCGGTCGGGACTGCATTCTGGATCCTATTGATGACGGCCGGCGCCGAAGTGACCGTCGGCGGAAGACTACAACCCCCGCGAGGTAGGACCTTGAATAGCGTAAACATTGCCGATATGAAGCGAGGCTAATATATCATTATAGGAGCCAAGTCAATTCTTCTCCAGTTGATCAGCGCACTGGTTTTCATACTCCGGTCTCAAGAGACCAGGGATTCTCTCCAGCCACCGTTCGCGATGGTGGCTTTGAAACTTCACTTGACTCTTTGCCCGAGTCTACTGGACTGAATAGCCTTCAAAGGTCGTATACAAATGACCAAAATGGACCAGAGCATCAGCAGTTGAGTCCAAATGAAATGATTGCACCTGCATCCGCGGTGCACTCCATGTCAGTGAATCTGCTGGGTTCAAATGATGTAAGTGATGCCCTTTTAAATAGAACTTCTATATATTCTGACTGTGTTTAGATATTCATGGACAACTCAAACAAGGGCGATTCCAGAGGCAATGTTATTGATCGAGGAATCGTCAGCGAGGAGCTCGCTCGCTCGATGTATGACCGGTATGTCAAACACTCACCTTTCTGAGATGTATTATAGTCCAATTCCTCATAATCATTATTTGATACAGATTCACAGGAGGCTCAAAAAACTACCTTGGACTTTTTGATCCCATTCGCGACACTTTTGACTCTATCCGGTCACGGTCATTGTTTTGCTTTACAGTAATCATATACCTCGCCAGTCGCGCTGTATCTGATCTACGCGGAGATACACATCTGCAGCGTGTTTTACAAGATGAGGCGCAGCGTTTGGCAGAAGACAGTTTCTTCGAGCGACCCACTAAACTTGAAACAGTGCAAGGAATGATTCTCCTGGCGGCTTATTCGGAGAAGACTTGGTTCTCAATCGCCCTCATTCTTCGCACAGCATTGGACTCTGGCTTGGAGAAGTCACTTGATACATTATTGTCACAGGAGACTGTCCCGCGGAGCTCTCTCTCTGCTTCTATGGCTGAACGTCAACTAGTATGGCAAACACGAACTTGGCTGATCAGTTTCACCTTGGAGTTAGACGTTGCATCTGGCACAGGACGCAAGTCTCGCATTGCCGAGGTCGATGTCTCAAAGCTACGCCGATTCCTTGAATATCCTCTTTCTCTGCCAGGCGATATGCGTACGGTTTGCATCATTGAACTCCATCAGCTACGAGGTAGGCCTATTAACTATATCTTCGTCTTTTGGAAAGTGGCTAATTAGAAACAGGCAATTACCGCTTTGCTATTGACAATGTACTGACGGTCGATGAAATCGTTTCGAACAAGCTACCATCCATTATGACCAGACTCCAGGGTTGGTTCGCAGCGTGGGATGAAATCCACAATAGTAAGCATTTGCGGACATCAACTATATTTGAAATTTGGTCTGACTAAACGTGATGTGAAGATAATGGGTTTCATGAAGGGGCGTTCCAACGCAGTAGCCTGAAGCTTATGTTTAACTATGCCAGAATATTTGTCCTCTGTGCTTCGCTCGCACGGATTCAGAAGCTGCAACCGACATACGCAGACTCTAGTTCTGACATCCTTGATCAGAATGTTGTTGAACTATGGCGATCCCTTGCAACGACAATCATGGACCAATTAGGATTTTTGATCAATGAGCCATCCTATCGTTGTCAATTAGCATGGTCCCCGACATACCCGGCTTTGACCATTGCGTTCGTCAGTAAGTCAGCTAATCTCACAGAATTACTCACACTCCTTGCTAATATGAAGCTAGCAACATTCGCCCTCCGAATAGCGAGGTGGCGTCCAAATTTAATCAACCAGAACCTCCTACTAGAAAGAGCAGAAAGGATTTGCGATTTCCTGAAACAGCCCCCTTATCCTGATATCCACCGGACAGTCTCAATCTTTGTCAACTACGCACGAGCTCTGATTGCTAGCCAGCGCCCACAGAGCAGCAATGGAACAGATGCGCCCAACATGTCCGATCAAGGTGACGGGCCACATCCGTCATACTGTGACGGCCCTATGGTCGATGCACCTCCTCCACCAGGAGTGGGTCCCATCGACGATCGCTACAGGAACGGGCTAAACACCCATACTGATAAGGATTCAAATATGGTCTCAATGCCAAGTGGCGATACATCTGCGGCCAGACCGCCACTTTCTCGGCTACCCGGCACGATGGAGGCACCAAACTGGACTGTATCAAACTCCATTGCGGATTCATTCGGTCTTTTCGAAGAAGGACAGAACGACATCTTTGATTTCTTACCAATGATGCCGTCGATGCCACAATAGTTATAATGCGTTTGCACATACTTAATTACGATAATTTATTGTACTGGGTTACTTGAGTTTACCAATTTGTGTATCGGCTACATTATGACCTGCCATGCAACTAAAACGTTGTACAGTAGAAATACGTGGCCTGGTATACTAGACCCTGAAATCGGCATCACGAACACAAATTGGGCCGCCATGCAGTGCAGTTTGATCTTCACATGAAGCTTTTAGTCACACTAGTCCCTAGATCCCTTCAAAATACCTGTATAGCGAGCAATTCCTGCGTCGGCGCCTCCCGTCCAGGCCCGGGTCCTGACCGGCCCCGCAGGTGGATTGCCCTAAGACCCGGTCCCGGGTCGGTGCCGGCTCACGTTGCAAAATTCTTGAAGTATACCACGCGCTCATTGGTTTGCTGTCTGCTCCAACATGATAAATCGAGGCATTACGCACGGCCAACGAGTTCTGGCCATGATGAGTCAATGGGTTTTGAAGATTTTAACTGGGTCCATCAGTGGCATTGATGAGGAAAACTTTGTTGTGCTAATATATGTAGCGGTAATATCCACGTCCACCAAACTTCTGAAATACAAAATAAAATCATACTTTGATTTCAATTGAATGCCTCATCTACCTTGCCATTCATGAGTTGCTTTATCTGTTTTATGATTCAAGATGGCTATAGAAACCAAACAATCCTTAACAGCTCAAATAGCAGCTATACTTTCCTCAGGTACGACCAACGTACATTCTGTTAGCTCCTTTCTCATATTTCTGACATACATTAGACAAGAACAACAAATCTGCTGAGAAACTTAACCCTCCAACAACACCCGAAAACCATCACAAGGGAGATGGAAATTACTCAATAGTCAAACTGTCACAAGATGAACTCCTTGTCGAGTTCCAAGAGGGCTCACCAGAAAGTCCACCAAACTGGGCATTTGTAAGTACATGTATTCACTATATTATCACCAGAAAGTAAAAAAGAAGCTAAGTCGCCAAACAGAACAAAAAGTTCTACAACGCGGTCGTGGCCCTATTCGTGGTTCTCAATAGCGGCATATCATCTGCACTTCCCAGTAATGCAGTCCCCACTATCATGCATGATTTCGACCAGTCCGGAGGCTCGCAAAAGGTATTACCCACAGCTGTATTTCTCATCGGCTATGTGCTTGGACCTCTTGTTTTCAGTCCATTGAGCGAGACCATTGGGCGGAAACCGGTGCTTGTGTGGTCATTTACTATTTTTGTCTTGGCCACACTTGGATGTGCTTTTGCACCAAATTGGCCTGCTCTTCTTGTCTTTCGGTCGATTTGCGGCCTAATGGGCGCTGCGCCTCAGACTGTTATTGGTGGTGTCTATGCAGATTTGTTTGTGGATCTGCGGAGTCGGGGTCGGGCTATGGCATCGTATATGTCGGTACGTTGTGCGAGCGATATTGATCCAACTTGAAACTCCGAAGGCGCTAACATGAAATATAGGCTGCGAGCTTTGGCCCGATAATAGGGCCTATCATCTCTGGGTGCTCTGTCAAGTATGGTTGGCGATGGACCTTTCGTATTGACTTGATCTTGACCGGCACTACTTGGTTGGCTCTTTTATTCATGTCGGGTATGAGAATTATTTCGCTACGGGTTTTGGATTATTGGCTGACTCTGAATCAATCGAACAGAAACATTCACGCCATTCCTTCTGAAACAGAAGGCCGCTAAACTAAGAAAAGAATCGGGCTTCAATGGGTACTTCACAAGACAAGAGCTTAACTTGGACTCAAGATTTACGACTATGGAGATTATAACTCGTCCTATCACGATGCTTATTACCGAGCCTATTATCCAGTCTACTGCCATCTACATCTCTCTTGCATATAGTCTGGTCTTCTTCTACTTCCAGGCATATCCGATTATTTTCCAAGGTACGCCCACTGATCAAATGCTTTGATTGGATTGCTAACAACAAGGTTACAGGTGTCTATGGGTTTGACGTGGAGAAAACATCTTTAACATACATTCCAAGTAGGTCCATATAGTAGCCATACTACAAGATATGAAGCTAACCAGACACAGTTGGCATCGGAGCCGCATCCTCGGGCATCGTAACTCTCTACTATGACACAATTTATGAGAAAGCCAAAAAGCAAGGGAAAGAATGGACCTCCAGCCCCGAGCTCCATCGACTGCCAATGTCTTTCATCGCCGGTCCATGTATTGTAGTCAGCATGTTCTGGCTCGCATGGACAGCAAAGCCAAACATTCACTGGGCCGTGCCTGTGATGTCCGGCTTGGTCTTCGGATTCGGATATCAAATCATCTTCATCTCGCTTCTGACATATGTCACCGATGCTTACGGAATTTACTCGGCCAGTGCATTAGCGGCTTCCGTCATTGTGAGGAGCATTGCCGGTGCACTGTTCCCGCTGGCTGCAGATCCGCTTTACAAGTCACTTGGAGTGTCATGGGCTACTACTCTACTTGGATTTATTAGTCTGGCTTGCATTCCTATTCCGTTTGCTCTTTTGCATTGGGGTCCGTGGATTCGAAAGAGAAGTCCCTTCTGTCAACGTCTTCTCAAGGATAAGCTGAAAGCAAGTGGATCGAGTACGCCGGTGGAAGTGGAAGTATGAGGGGTTTTGGACGATGGTTCTGTCGCATTGCATCTACACCTTTCGTGTTCTTTTGAGCGTTCTTTTCACGTGTTAAATAGAATCACGCCGACACGGATCGGGCGTCTAGGATTGTGAAGGTCGGTAGGAGACATTTTACTGTTAGATTTAATGTTTAAAACTATTCAATATGTTGATATTCATATAGTTTGTAGATTAAGTATGCTCTTATACTTCTACTTTATCGAATAGCCCTTGCTATAATTGGTTAGCGCGCGGCCATCCGCTATGTTGCTTGTCCTATTCGCCTAAACCTTCCAGCCGCACTTCCGCCCTCGTGTCCACTTACTATCCGCGAAAGGTATGTGTATGTATTGATGTAGTCCTACGATATAAACATGGTAACAAGATGACTACAATCTTTACCAAAATTCTTAGCTACAGTCTTATAAATAGGTCATCTACCTATATGTTAGCAGTTCCGTCCTTCGAAGTATGAGCATTCAATCTCTTCAACATCACTTATTATTCTATACGTGTTATATTAGAATCCTACTCCCCTTATCCACATCGCTCTAAGCACTTACTTGCAGTTGTCTACTCTCTCATAATTGCAAGTCCTAGCACGACTTGGGCGCCGACCCTAAGGTCTAGACAGTAGCTAGAAATAAGAACATCTTGTATATTTGCAGTCATCACTGCTACATTGTTGATTGTTTAAGTGGTTAAAATTATATTAGTTCTATTTACATCATGTGCATGGTTATTTCTACTGATATTTATGTGCAGAGAGGTGGCTTGGGGTTTTGGTGCGATCCTTACGCCAACCTTGTACCAGAATATATATCCATACCTATTTCCACCAACCCAACTATTTGCTAAATTAACTTGTTTCCTAGTCGTGCTTTCTACAGTCAGCAGTAATATACAATCAACATGTCCCTTCCAACTCATAGAGCTCAACAAAATGCAATACAAAAGGGAATACTTGTTCTGAACTATGAACGGCGGACCTATGGATTACCATGTCGTACCACTCAGATGAGGGGCAGGGGGTGGATTTGTCAGCCCAAATGCCTGATTTGATGGTGCCTTAAAATGTCTTAGCACATAGAAGCCCCTCATTTTTCGAGCCTGCAAGATTGAGATCACGAAAGATATGAGTGACTGACGATGGATAACGCAATCCTGATGGAGTCATCTCTTCAGCGGAAGAAAGCGACACCTGCGTGCGAAAAATGCCGTGTCCTCAAGGTGAAATGTATTCGACCCGGAGGGGGACAGCCTTGTACTAAGTGCGCGTCACATCCCTGATCGTATACTTTATCTCAGACTAATTTGAGTAGATGTGCCAGATCAAACTCTCAATGTGTATTTCCAGAGCCGAGACAGCGAGCTCGCGTTTCACAACGAGCGAAACCGTAAGTGACCCTGTGAGCTCTCCAGTCAACAGGTCAGTTTTGCTGATAGATGAAGGCGACTGGTCGATCTTGAGTCCAAGCTCACCAATATCATCGGTCTACTTTCGCGCTCGAGCGCTCCCCTTTGTGGAGTCCAACCCCCGGTTAGTGCCGATTTTGGACCGCCTGCAATTCCCGAATATTCTAGCGACAGGCCACACCGAACAGGTGAATGGATGAACCAAGAGTACCTGCCTAATTCTGAAGTGGGCGAAGGCCCGGAGTCAAGCGAAAACCAGAATGCCACTGAAAATACCCTAGGAAATCCGTGGGACTTATCCACTGCCATGAACGCCGCGTGGGTCACCGACTTGGGACTCAGTCCTGTTGTCCTCGAGCATCTTCTAGACAGGTTCCGCGGCATGGCGTCCTACTTTCCATTCGTGCGGCTTCAATACTCCTGTACTGCTGCATCAATGGCTGAAGATCGCCCCTTCCTATTGCTTGCAGCTGTTGCTGCTGCTTCCTCGAAATACTGTCATCTTCAAGACGCTCTGATCAGACAATTTAAAGAATCCCTCAGCCAGCGGGTTATCATCGCTGGCGAGAAGGATCTAGACCTGCTCCAGGGATTACTTGTCCACCTTGCCTGGTAAGATCTCAGTTCCCACATTACCTTCTATTTTGTCGGCCTCAGGGGCACTAGCAAGCTGACCAATGTCAGGTTCCATTTCCACTTTGTTCCAGGACGTCAGCAAGCATACCAGTACTTACAAATCGCAATCAGCATGGTCATTGACCTTCGGCTCGATCAAGAGGCTGCCGACCTGGTTGAGCCGCGAACCGAGCAGAGCGATACTTATGTCCGGGAAGCATGCCGTGCTTATCTAGGCTGCTATTACATGTCTAACATGTAAGATGCCATGCCCTATCTGGATAAGCGCTAATAGGCTTGAGCTGACTTCAATAGAATAGCAATGTCTTCGGGGAAGCCCAACAATCTCCAATTTCACAAGGACATGCTTCGATGCGCGATGATGCTGCAGAAACAACCAGAATTTGAGACAGATCTCTTGATATACCCAATGACAAAGGTGCTACAGTTCACTGAGGAAGTCTGCGAGACTCATCGGTCAGAAGGCATTCATAGCCCTCGGTTATACATCCATGCTGAACGATTCACAACGTGGTTAGAAGAATGGTGGTCGTCTCTATCGGCGGATCTTCGCAACAAGGGTAGGGGCTTCTCAAGGTCTGGGGGCTTCTCATTTAGCTGACTTAAAATTCCTAGTGTTGCTGATCAACGGCTATTATGCCGTCAAGATTCGGATTCAAGAAATGGGCTTGGTATATTGCTACGGGCAGAGAAGACCTCCATCTCCAAAGGCGCAGGAAGGTTCTACGATTTTATCTACACATCCAATGGTCATCAGCAACTTGATCAAATGCGTCAGCTCTACGAAAGAATATCTCGATTCATTTTTCGCCCTTCCCGCTGCGGAGCAAAATACCTTGCCATATTCTGCGTGGTGTCAGGTTGTTATGACTGTCTTTGTGCTGTATAGGTTGTCCGTGGGACTGCCAGAAGTACCCCAGTGGAACGTGGAGATTGCACAGCAAACTGTGGATCTACAAGAATACATTGATACACTGTTGTCTCATTTACATGTTATTCAGCCATTGCCGGATAGGCAAATCCCCACCAAGAGCCTCTTTTTGAGGCTGCCCGAGATCATGGGAAGTGTAAGTACTTCCTATGGATTGGCAAAAGAGAATCCCGCACACGTTCGTGATAGCCGCCATGCTCATCACGATCTTAAGGCTTCGAATAACACAGCCTCATCTGTTCAAGGGCTGCACCGCTGCCCTGCAGTGCGGTATTCGAGCTGTCACGTCGCCCTTGCTCAGGATCCACCCACACTACAAAGCGCTATTACTACGGAAGTCCAGAGTATAGAAGATGAGAAGCTTTGGGGTGATCTTTTTTTGATGGATACATTTTCTAGCATGACAGGTTCATCATCTTTAGAGGTCTGACAAGTGATCCATGCTCCAGACCTCAAATCCGCGAAACTGCAGTTTCAGCATAAAAATACCTCAGATCTCGTCGGGAAAGACATGGGTGGAAATCTTGTTTCCAGTCGAATCGTATCGCTGGGGCAGAACATTGTAAAGTCCGTCAACATCCCGTGGTTCATAATCAAGCGACAATGCCGCCTCAATAAGAAGGTCCAGCCCATAAGTCTCTTTGATCCAGTGGGCGACCATATCCATCCCCGCCACAGCTCCACTCCCAGTCCAAATGTTGCGGTCAACAATCCACTTCTTCTCCTTTGTCCACTTGACATTCGGGTATCTCTTCTTAATCCAATTGTACTCGAGGTTATTGACTGTGGCCCTCCTGCCGTCTAGAGCGCCGGTGGCTGCAACAACCGCAGCTCCGGTGCAGGTCGTGAACAGTAACTTGCCAGAGGCAGCATGGCGGCGAATTAGGTCCTGCAATTTCGGAGGAAGCTTGCTTTCCGCAGGGTTATCCCCACCGACGATGAGGATATCCAATTCGGGGGCGTCGTCCACCGCGACCGTAGGCACCACTGTTACAGAGCTTAGGTGCACCGGCTCCATGGTCTCTCCGATATGGTGGAAGACGAATTCGGGCGCCTTTGCCAGTAGTTTCGGATCCACGGGGGCGTAGTAATTGGTACCCTCCAGGAGCATCTTACTCGCGGTATTGAGCAGATCGCATGGTCCAATGACGTCGATCGTCTGGTAATCGAAGAGCGGGCAGCCAACGTGGATGAGAGCCATCTTGGTATGAGTTCTTTTGGTAGGAGTACTGAAGGATGTGTATCAAATGAAGTTTGTTTGTATGTTGATAGTTCATACTGTTGGCCGTGTTTCCTAGCGCTTAAATACTACAATTTTCCGGATGCCATAATCGCGGAGCGGGCTGTTTCAAGGATCCCGTCCTCCGTGGTCGACATTCGGCACGGGCAACATGGTAAACTCATGAACCGTGTCCGTGATTTCTCGATTTTAAATGCATAGTGGAAGATTCTAGGGGGTTCGTTACAGGCCATGATGAGCCATCGAACCCTTATTATGCATGGCAGAATGGCGCTGCAGAGCGGGCACATCGAGCTGTATTGGAAAAGGCCCACGCAATATGAATAGCATCAGGTCTACCAATGTCCTTCAGATACCATGCGCTGGTTGTTGCAGTTTTCACCCAGATAGCCACAACCCCAGCAGGCTACTAAGATTCTGAGAGTTTACTCCACGTTATGGGAGTTATACATCACAAAAAAGGCCGAAAGTCAGCGCCTCATAAAATAAAATGAAGTACTTCGTGCCGCAACTCTCATTTACCTCAAGAGTCTTCCTAGTTAGTCGGCCCACCAACCAAGAAGCTCTAGTAGTCTACTTCGAACAGCTGTCCGGAGCATCTTAGAAGGTATAGCCGAAATAGGTACGGGTTGAGATACCTATTCACCTACATCAATGTTTGATAAAGCATACAGACAGAACGCCGAAAATCCGCAATTTGGAGCGAAGTCAATAGTCGGATGCGGTTCAGCGGTTAACTATAATCTTCGAAAATTTGGATATTAGAACCTACGTGCTTTCGAGTTTTCCAGTAATGAACAGAACATCAATAAAATCATATATTCTCTTTAGACTACGTAATCAATGGATTGATCTATCCTATATTTATGTAGTTTTCCGTCGAGGTAGTAGTTTACCATCTTCGAGAGTGGAGGTTTTGAGGAGTGCACCATATCGCAATAGGTCGCTAGTCTTTGACGGGGAGACCGGCGAATTGTTGGGGCCATTTTTATTACAACGCTCGCATGCCGAACGAGACATTCAGGTGGCTTGACTTGCCCCTTATATATGTTATCCAGACCCACTGAAATCCTTGAGGAACCTATAATCGAGCCCGACACTCCGCTCAATGCATCATTTTGGGACTTCTATTAAGTCATTCCGGCTTCCACGGCCTATATCCAAAGGCGGAATGCGCGGCATCATAAACCCTACCAAACAGCTTCCTATGTTTTGCTAACAAGTCGTATAATTGATGGCATTTCAAGCATAAATTGAGGGTCACGGTCTTTATGCCCTACTCACGTATCTAGTACCGTACATAAGGCCTTAGTGAGTGAGAGCTTTACTAGACCTTTGACCGATCCTTAATTAACGCGGATATTAATTATCACAAGATATATCTTATCTAATAAATATCGATACTTAGAAAGTAGGGCACCCCTACCATAGGCACCAATTTCTACCTAGACAAAGAACGAATCATCAATCCTACATTAAGTTAGTATTTAGTGTAAGTGTTAATTGTTTTATTAGTTTATAAATCCCCACGGAACTATTCCCGGAATCCTTTAAATGACTAAAGTGCACTACAATGTCTAAAAGTAGTAACTTAACCAAAAGCGCTTCTAACTAAGAAAACAATGTCGAGAAGCCTTAGCAGCTTATATATATATTAGTCTACACTTCTACTAGCTATATAGGCTAATACACCTAGATAACCGACTTCACCTTGTCGTCGCTCCTAAAAGAGTCCGTCTTTAACCGCGACCTAAAGATAGATACGCTTAGTCCGTCACGAGAACGAATGCTGCTCTGCTCAAATCAAACCTAAGTAGCGGTACGATAAATCTTTACCGGACAATATTAGAGGAACTCGGTCTATCACTTAAAGCTATTAACCCGTAGTCCTTGGGAACCTCGTAGTCCAATACTAGCCCTGAACTCCATAGCATACACCAGTGGATTCGAATGACTACAGAGTTGAACAAAGAGTGGCGATAGGGGTCGGGGGTTCTGCCGCGCCACTAAATCTGCTAATTGTCACTAGGCAGTTCGCTTAGGACCCTGATGAGATTAAAATTGAGGTTTTGTAGGCAGCCAACGGGGGCCAATTCCCAAGATAGTTTAGATCAAACAATGCACTAAAACCTCACCAATCACAGCCTGTTTAGTTGCGGCTCTAACAATTCTCCTGACATGCATCGCAAACACCTTTAAGAACCGCAGTTCTCTCCCCTGTTTTAATCTGGCCTCCCCTGAGAAGTAGACAAAATGTATTCTCATCTAGAGGCTCCCGGTACCGCCACCACAATCGCCCACTGCAAGGCCCAAGATCTTCCAATCGGTGCGCGATCTCCCACTTCCGCGACACATACTAATTATTGCAGTCGATCGTATCCTTGAGCCTCAAACGATCGTCCACTTCTTGGAATTTGCTCTTGGCCAAACTCCACTCCCAAATGGCACCCAACCAACTGTAGTTCGCTTGACGCAAGAAGAAATCCCATCTATCCAGGCCAACTTCCCCCAGGCTCAGATGGCAACTCCATCATTCATCGCGTTATGGCGCGAATTGGGTCCGACGAAGATGGAGGGCGCCTTTGCATGATCGGCAAAAACATTCAGTTCTTGAAAAAGCGATTGTGGGAGGGCATCATTCCCATGACCCAACAGCGATGGCAAGAGAAGCAGCTCCACAAGCCTGACCATTTTGATTTCGCCTGTCAGCACCTCACTGCTGTCATAGCTGTGTTTCAGTATCTGAATACTCCTTCAGTCAGAAACTACCTGCGCAGCACATTTAACTTGATCTATGATCATTGGACCGAGGCGGATACTTTGCTCAATCATCGCAGAGCCGAGAGAGGCGAGGAGCGCATTAGTGTCGCCGGTCTCTGGACAACGTATATGGCTGCGCACTTCGAGATGATGACCGAGCGCGCTCACAGATGGGTGACGGTACAGGTGAATGCTCTGCGCGCTCCCCTATTGCATAATCTCAAAGAACATCGGCCATTGAATGAAGATGCTGGCCCGGATCGATTGCAGTGGAGATACACCGACTCGCTGCATATGTTATTGCAGATTGCTGCAGATGCAGATTACACTATTATGATCCCCATGGAAGGCTTCAAGGGGTACACCGCTCCCCAGCGGACTGGCCCAAAGGGCCTGCATGCGGAGGACTGTCTCAGGCGGGGAAAGGCATACCACGATCGCTTGAAGCTCCTCACTCGCGAGTACATGGTTAGAGATATCAGGTCATTGAATGTTCCGGGCCCTGGAGGGAGTGGACATCGCAGCTCAACTTCTGGGGAATCATACCACGAGTTAGCCATGACTCAGATCCAGGGTCAAAACCAATTGAGAAGGGAAATGCGTGGAGCGCCGATTGAGCCTATCCCACGGGAGCCCTGGATTCCATCCGCTGAGAAGATGATCAAGGCTTCACGAGAAACTAACAGCGATGCAAAATTCGGGATGGCGGTTTATCGGTTGACCTATGGCCAGACCGAGACTGAATGGGCGGCATTTGTCAAAAAGCTGGATGCACACGTCTCTGACTGGGGCAAGGGTCAGACGGGCAGCAGTGCTATCAAGCCACATCTGAAACTCTACTGGTTCGATGGAAAGGATCTTGGTATTCCCGAGGATGATATAGATGCAGCCAAAAAGTGAGTTATGATGTTAACCCTGTCAACATTCAGAGTCTAACCCTCACTCAGACATTTCAACAGCACAATCAACAAAGAGGAAGACCCTCAAAACCCAAGAATAGAGACGAGGGCCTTCTTTGCCATTGACTCAGCCTCTTATTCTTCATACACAACCAATTCATATGGTCCCTCAACATCAATGGTTATCCCGGGTGACTTTGCCGGATTCCTTCTGGCAGTTGACCCCGATTTCGACGCAAAAGAGGGCATCGAGCGACCTGACGAATCACCAGAATACAGCGGTCAAATGCGTGTTTTAGGGAGCCTTATATGGAGCGATCTGTACTCCTTATTCTCATCTCAAACAGCACAACTCGAAGACTTCTGGCCACTGGCAATGGAACACCCGAACCAGGTGTATGTCGGACCAACAGTGCCATGGCAACTATACACATGGAGAAAACAGAGTCAAATGCGCTGGGAGTTGCTACGCGAAGTGGTAAACTACGGGAGACGCAATATGGGACTACCAGTACCGCCTCGTCCACCAGTACCAGTACGGGCACCAGAATCTACGCCTGCACCTTCACCAGCAACACCCCCACAACAACCGGAAATGCCAGGGGCTGACCAGGACAATTGCTCTGCTTCGATGAACGCGGCGAATCCACCCGAAGAGCGGGGACCTGTTAATGCCGCTCTTCGCACATACATGCTGAGTGAATTCCGGAGATACTTGCGCGCCAATGGCCAGAATGTCCAGGCAGCTATGGCTACTGAGCTACTCGGCCTACAACCCGGTGAGCAGCCGGATGGGGAACGCATACGGCGGCTGGTGGATGAAGAGGAACGGCGGCAGGAGCAGCGGAGGAGAGATGGGTTACCTCAAAGTGATGAGGATGGACGGGAAGAGTATCAACCTGAATGTCCTTTGCAGTAAGTGTGCTGTCTATGACGAAGAAGTTAGCTCTGACAGTTCCTCGGATAATTATTTCCTACGGAAACTCCACCACCGGCGGGTCTCAAGGGAGAGCCAGTGATCCAGCCTCGTCACTGTCCCGATTTTCGCTTATTACCTGTCCAACGAGATCAGACAAAACCCATGTACCCAATTGGCAACCATGCAATACCCGCCAGATCTACAGAGCAATATTTCTCGATGGGATTCGATAAATGGCGCCAAGACAAAATTTATTGGTATGAGAATTGCGGCTCGTGACAGAAATACCTAGTCGGCCATTGTCCCAGTGTATCCTGTTTTTGCGTAGTGTACAAATTTAGTGTACAAATCTGCAGTCTCAATTGATATCCGAATTGCCCGAAATTGAAGATAAAGTAACATGGACAGGGCTCATTAGGATACATTCATTCTGAAACACGAGGAAATAATAGTAAAACTGCATTTTCAGCGAGCATAAGGCTGTGTGATTCGCCAGGACGCCCGAAACCTAGTCCTTTTTAGGGTCCATATGACTTTCCTATTCGGGACGACATGCGAACTTTAATTCCCCCTCGAGGATCACAAGTTCCTAAACCGCCTTCTCTCTCCGTATTACCGCTTCCCATTCTTGGATAATCACGCAAATTGAAGCAAATCCCTGATTATTGGCGTTGTGAGCAAATATTCCCCGTAATTTTGATTCCTAAAGTACCTTTCTGCCTAGCTACAAATTGAGATAAATACCAAGTCGATCGACACCGTTAGATTCAGAAAAAATACACCTGCCTCGCGAACTCAACGCTGTTTTGGCTAGAAAAATTCTTTTGGCGAGATATATGCGATTGCATACCATGGAGCCATTTAATCTGCCAACCAATACGTCCGTCTTCGACAATTTCGTTGTTCTCACTTTCATTTACAAGACCATTCACGATCATGAGATCACAACTGATGTACTTTATCCAAAGCACTTGGCGGAGAACTCTTCTCCTTCCTGCCCTGTCATTCTACGATATCATGGAGGTGGCCTAGTTGCAGGCTCCAGCCTCTATACCCCCTTCTTCAACCCTTGGTATCTCGAGCTATGTCATGAACACTCCGCCATGATTGTGTCGCCCAATTATCGCCTGATTCCAGAATCTTCCGTCTTGGAAATTTTCGATGATATCGAAGACCATTGGCGATGGATGCACCATTCATTGCCAACTTTACTATCTGTGCGAGCACCCACGGTACACATAGATCTGAGTCGGATCATGACCGCCGGAGATAGCGCGGGAGGTTACCTCAGTCTTCATATGGGGCTGAGCCATCCTAATGAAATCAAGGTGGTTAATGCCGTATATCCAATGACTGGTCCTGATCCAACGAATCCCGGCGGTACTGGACGATCTGTTTTCAATATTCCGCTCCTCCCGCGAGATATCCTCGAGCGGCACATGGAGCAAATCAAAGCTCGGGAGGAAGAGCAACAGCATCCGGTTGTTCTGTCTGCGGAGACTGGCCCAGAAAGACTGCAGTTGATGTTCGCTATTTGTCAATGGGAGCAAATTGGCCGACTATTTCCGCAAAATGTGGACCTTCCATACCTCCTCAAGAGGTTGGAAAATGGGGACAGATTCCCACGTGGTGGAGTTTCGGTATTCCACGGCCGACATGACAGTGTTGTTCCTGTCCAAGTTAGCTACGACTTGACGCGAAAGGTGCAAGAGGTGGATCCAAACCTGGATTTCCGCCTTGTGGTCCAAGACGGCGAGCATGGTTTCGACCATCAAGCTAAGCTACACGACAAATGGCTTTGGGAGGCAGTCCGGGATCATATCAAATGCTGGCTTGAGTAAAAGATTATGTGATTATTGATCGGACCAGTAAGTTACTTGTTATTTATGGAGTTTCCAAAAATGTGATGTTAATTCAGAAATAGCAACCGTATACGTTGTCATGATTTGAGTCATGAGAGGCATTAAATTGAGGTCATGGGATGTTCTCCTTACTCACCTGACTTAAACCCAATTGAGAATCTGGGTGTTGTTGAAAGCGAAGATATTTATATATGCTTGTCCAGATCTAGTCATGTGCGGAATGACGATGAGACAAAGGGTATTTTAGTAGCTACTGCTCAGCAGGCTTGGAATGAATTAAAAATTTAGGCATTTAGAGCATCTATCAGAGACGATGCTGCATCGTGTTGAGGCTATAATTGAGAGCCAGGGCTGGGGAGCAATTATGTACCTTGGTATGACTCAGCAGCTCTGCTTCACCGATGTCGAAGGGCTCCAATACAAGAGCAACAGTCAAAACCTCTTGACAGGCAGGAAGAAGCAGGCAATAATGGCAATTTATTGGTTGGAAAAACGACGAGGAAGAAGAGAAGCTTCGAACCTCCCGAGGACTGTCTAACTACTAGCACCAACAGGAGTCACATGACTAGCCAGATCATGTGATCTCGACAATACCTGACCTTGATTGGCCGGTAGGCTTTCATGACCTCAATACCCGTACTAGAGACACAAGCCATTCAACCAGATCGGTTGAGATAGTTTATGGTGCCCTTTTTGAATTTAACAGCTCCAATCGCTTCAGCTCCCGACTAGTAGGGGAAACCAACCGTTGGGTTGGTATCATCGAGGTCACACTGGAACTTACTCCATGTCTAGTACCTATCGAGTGAGGTTTGCGCCTGTTAGTCAAGCGCCTAACCCAAGCGATGACCATGTTTCGCACTCGAGATCAGGCACTGTTCCACCCGACGTGGGAAAAGGGTCCCGCAGTCGGTCTGGTTGTTGGCAATGCAAAATACAAAAATTAAAATGCGATGAATCGTTCCCAGTCTGCTTGCGGTGTCGGCAACGCGGCCTGATTTGCAAATCTTCTCCCCGATCGCCGCGGTGGCAGATCGAGACGCGCTGGACATCCTGTCCTTTGGACGAGATCGTGAAGCAACCTCTCCTCCAATATTGGCTTGAAAAAGCGAGCCAGATGATGGTAATCGACACAGAGAACAACCCGTATTCTTTTCCTATCCTCCAATATTTCACCGAGGCCCCATCACTGGTACACATGATTCAATGCATGAGTGCAGCTCATCAAGACTATTTTCCTGCCCGTGGGCACGTTGTCAGCTTAGAAGAAAGAGGCCGAGCACTGCAGCTACTTCAGCGTGAATTGAGCCAATCGGAGAAGCCAAGAGCATCTTTCCTCACCATTGTACTGCTCGCCTTGTTTGACTGCGCCAGTCCGGATCCTCGGCATTCCGGCCAGCAACATCTTTTCGCTGCACGCAACATTATCAATGGCCTCCTCTTGCGCCATCAAGACTTCCTCGCAGGAACAGTGCATGACGACTTCCTCGCACTTTGTGTGGGTGCCTTTCTGTACTGGAATATGTGCTGCGCCCATCTTGTGGATGCCCGGCAACCTCAGCCTCCAGGCTCAACCGCGATAGTCCAAGCTGTTCGCGTGTTACGACATAAATACCACCCTACCTACGGCATAGGAGCAGAGTTGATATATCTACTAGGGGAGGTGGGTGGCTACTGCCGAGCGGTAATTCAACTAGGACACCGGGATGCCATAAGGGCGACCGAGCTTGAGGATAAAATCTGCGCATTTAATTCGCCGCAGAATAATCTTCCTTTGGCACTACTATATGAATCGCTTCGAAAGCACGGTTTAATCCTTCTCTATCGTGTCCGTACACATCCGTCTGCAGTCAACAAAGGTGACAAGGAAGAAGACATTATCCACCGCTACGCCCTCGACATCGTCTGTCACCTGTCTGAAATTCCCATCACATCAAGTCTACTCAACCTCCAGGCTCTTCCTCTTCTTACAGCTGCATCGGAACTTCGCTCATGCGATATAAACTTACGGTACACCGCTTTGGATCGGTTTAACGCTATCTATTCCATGAATAGGGTTCCTTCAACGCTCCAAGCAGTCGAGATTCTGAAAGAGCTCTGGGTCATCCGCGACTCTGGGTTACAGACAAGCTGGATGGAGTTTATGCTTCTGACAAAAGGCTGGAGCCTTTGCGTGGGTTAAGTTTGGTTAATGTGGCTTTTGATGGAAGTTTCCCTTCTGCGAGATTTCTATTGAGCCCTCGACGTAAGTTTTCCCCGTGGTCCGCGGCCACTACTGGTTGAAAGAAAAGGTGCAGCTTCCCTCTTTGTAAGATATCTACAACTCTAGCTCCTTGGATGCTCAATACGTGACCTCAATATCAATATAGACATCCTCCAGAAAGATAATTGAATGTGGTCAAAGTTTCCACATATCCGCTTATCAACCCAAAGAAGCAATTCGAGTGGGTCGTTTTGTATTGTCCAGAACGCTAGCGTCAAATTGGGATCCTAATAAATCACTAGCTAAGCGAAAGGTTTCCGCTCCACCCTGGCGCAATGTTTGTTGTGCTCTGTCATTTGTCAACGGGCGAGACACAATTCTAACCTAACTGCCATAAAGACTGATTGTTATGATTGTCAAATAGAGGGTATTAAAAGCACATATGGTTAGCCACATATAATGTATACATTTATATAACTTACTCTAGCTCGGTAAGTAGGAAACCCTCGAGAATGCAATTGTGTTGAAATTACACGATGAATGACGCTACGTAACCATGTATGTCAAGGCCAACGAGGTGGTTTAGGTCTGATCTCTCTCTCATGAGAGAGAGATCCTATTTAATGAGAAGCATTTCTCCTGAACTATACTCTACATGGTAGGTCAATGCTGATCATGAGCTTCATGCTTGGCGAAGTAGGCATTTCATGCCTGGAGATGTCTGGAGATGCCATGAATCTCAACAAATTGTATTGCCTTGGTCTGCACATCCTTTCTAAATCGTAAAGGGGGAAGTTTTGAGGTACGACGTGTATGTCTCCCAATATTGGCATATGGAACTTTCACCGACTCTCGAGCTGACTATCTGGGTTGAACGTGGAAGTTTTGCTATACGTGGATCTATCATACGAAGTCCAAGGAACTCAGAGAGCCCTGTCGAAAGAAATCTTTCGGGTCAATCCTTTGTTTAAAAGATTTCAACCTCTTGGCTGTAGCTTGACCGAAGAATGTGTTCAAGTCAACTTGATCAGGGTGGTAAAAGCTCGGAAACCCGCCTTTCAATGCAATTTGCTGCCTGTCGATCTCATCATGCAGTCGCAGGACCCACGCCTTCGCTTCGGCTTGTGCTTCATTTGAGGAGGCAGACAGAGTCCCGCCATGGAGCCCCAGAATCACATGTGACTGGCGATTGGAAAAGGACGCCCCTACTCCATCTTCATTGCCATTCCTTGTCCCCTTGCCGTGATTGTTGTGGATGACAATGGCGGATAACGTTTGGCTGGGCGGGTGTTTTGTAAATATTGCGCCCAACTGGGCGTCGAGGCAGCGGACATTTCGACTACGAAAAAAGCAGGCTGCAGGACCGCCGCCGAGCCCAAAAGAAGCTGGATCCGCTGTAGAAATTAGCACATGTCGCTAATTATGAGGATACAGGTTGGTGAGGCAAGATGAGAAGGCATAGGGAATGACCCACTTTTTTTCACCGTGTTCACCAAAATTGTACCGAACTTAGTGGTTTTTTCAAGGAACAAATTAGCAGCGGTCATATCCCCATCCTCGGCAGTCCAACACCAGAGGAATACCAAGGCCGGTTGGAACAAGGGGATTTCTAGCATGCCAGGATGTACCACAATCATATCACCACTGAAGGCATCTGGCTGCTCTCCCTCCGAGGCCAATTCGAGGCTGTTCAGGACTGCCGTGGCCTCGCTGAGTGGGTATGCTAGGTAACCAGCAAGGATTTGAGGCTCTGGATACACTTTGACTCGTAGTTCCACCACGACACCAAAGCTTCCTGCCCCGGCACCTCGAAGGGCCCATAACAATTCGGGGTCATCATCCGTGTCGACTATAGTACCGCTGGCGACGATGACCCGTGCTCCGAGGATTTGGTCAACCCCAAACCCATATTTACCAACGTAGAATCCATACCCACCACCACATGCCCAGGAGATGTACCCGACAGACTTTGACTGACCTGTTGGCGTGAATAGACAGTGAGAGTGTAGAACATCTTGCAATGTGCCTGCTAGAACACCACCACCAACTCGAACGCTCGTTCGATCTGGGCTTACAGTGATGAAATTGAAGCCCCGCATATCTATCACAATTCCATCCTGGATACAAGAACGACCAAAGAAGTCATGTCCGCCCGATCGGACAGTGAGGGGGATCCCTCTCAGAGAGCATTGTTTCACTAGCTGCAAAACCTCATCTTCAGTTGCAGGTCGAGCAATCGCGAGGGGTTCGTCGGCAATAGCACTGTTATATCCGCTCCTCACGGATTTATAAGCCGGGTTGGACTTTGTCCAAAAAGTACCGCTCGTGATGAATGTAGCGAGGATTTCGATGATGTCCGCCTCAGAATGCATTGTATGGTGCAAGCTCGTCTTGCACGGAAAGTCAAGTATCCTTCACACTACCGATCGTTATTTCAAAATGGAAATTCGAGCCAACTAGCCGATCATAGCTGGAAATCCGCGTATACACCGGAAGTGAAAATTTAAGGATCCAAAATCAAGTTCAGGATTGAGCTGGGAGATTTGAGTTCGAAAGGAAAGGGAAGGACTCAGAGTCCCCACTTCACTTTCCTTTTGGGTCAATATGCGTGACCGAAAGTGTATCTGTTGGATTAGAGTTATATCATTGAGTTAGGGTTCCAGTTCGCCTAAGACTCGAATGTTTCGCTCGAAAAAGGGGTGGTCCCGGAAATGACATTTCCCAAGGTGGCCTCAGTGGTAATATGTTAATTACTTTCATTGAAATGCAGACAGCCCCCAAATCTTCAAATGGATCCGGCTTCTACAAGGTTACATACTGGCATCTCGGCGTTACAATGATAATCATTTTGGGGTAACGTTATCATGTAAACACCTGTACTGCTAGAAATCGCCGCAGCAATTCCCATTTGCATATCACTCTTGCTGCAGCCTAAATATGGTCGTAAGAGATTGTAATGGTATCTGGATCGTCATTTTCATTCTAGGTACAGGAAAAATCGAATTTGGTTGAGAATGAATATAGTACAGTTTCCTCGGGCTGCAGGGTACGCAATTCCTAGCTTCTAGTTTAGCCAGGCGTCTACAAGTGGCTTCAAACCTGCTGCCATCCATTCATCGTCGATTCTGGTGTGTCAGTCAAACCCACGCTCCCCAGGTTGAACAGAAAGGTGGAAATTCAGGTCCGGATCAAGATCACTGCTTTTGGATTTTAGATTCATGCTGCCCGGGACAGGGACAAGGCTATTTTCTGCTCCATGCCGGACAAATACACCTCCCGTGGACCATCCCCACTTTCCGCTTTGGGCCAGTTAGCGAAGCATCCATTAGCCTGTCAAGTTTGACTCTACTTCAAGCGTTGGTCATCCTCCGCACTAGCCTTCTTCACACTATCTGTTGGCGGGGACTTGGGTTGATGTTCATTGATCCTACCTCCAACGGGTTGTCACGTTTCCACTGAATCGACTACCTAGGTAGACAGCAACAGCATGGTTGAATGTCCGATATGTCAAAGGCATGTTGGCCTTTCGGATATCAATGAACACATTGATTCTAGCTGTCAACAATTCATCACCGCCACGCTATCAAGCGAACCGTCGTCTGCCGTCATCCAATACAAGAATTGGCGATGCCGTGCAATTTCTACCAATCCGAAACAGAAAATAAGACAAGACGAGCCTAAAAACCCTGAAAACCCGAATCTTCTGCTCCCTGCGAAGCGAACTTTTAAAAGAACGTTCTCTCAGCAAGAGCCCAATACCGCAGGAAAGCCAAATTTTGCACCAACAACACCGAAAAATGCGGCAAAACGACGGAAGCCGGATGTTGCGCCTTTGGCTGATCGTGTCCGTCCCCACTGTTTCGATGATATCGTCGGTCAAGATTCACTGGTCGGACCCGACGGATCGCTGCGGCAGTTGGTCGAACAAGACAATATTCCCAATATGATTTTGTGGGGAGGCTCAGGAACCGGGAAAACGACGATCGCTAGGATTATTGCGTTGATGTCCGGACGAAATTTCTACGAGATCAATAGCTCGATGACAGCAACGACAGAGTTCAAAAATGTCGTTTCTCTAGCTGTACAAGACTCGTGCAAAGGACGCAAGAACTCCATCGTGTTTTGTGATGAAGTGCATCGCATCACACGGCCACAACAAGATATATTCCTCGATGCCATCCGAAGTAACAAGATTACCTTGATCGGTGCCACCACAGAGAACCCGTCTTTGAACATCCATCATACTCTGGTATACAGGTGTAAAGTTTTGACCCTTGTTAAACCAACCGACAATGATCTATCAACTATTCTTCGCCGGGCAGTGGGCTTACAGAGCCCGCAACCATCCTATCTCTTGGACGACGAATTTATTCAATACGTGGCAAGCTTCGCGGACGGCGATAGTAGAATCGCATTGAATCTTCTAGAGATAGCTGCGGATCTATCAAAGAGTGATGGCATCACCAAGGAGGCATTAAAGCATTCATTAACGAAGAGTCTACTCTATGATCGATCGGGCGACCAGCACTATGACACCATTTCAGCACTCCACAAGTCAATTCGTGGTAGTGATCCAGATGCTGCGCTATATTACCTCGCGCGGATGCTCAAATCAGGCGAGAACCCCTTGTTTATCGCTCGTCGTCTTGTTGTGGCTACTTCGGAGGATATTGGACTTGCCGACAATACTCTTCAAATATATGCAACCTCAGTCTATTCCTTGATCGAAAAGCTAGGGATCCAAGATGCACAGGCCTCTTTAGCCCAGCTCGTCATCACCATGTGTTTGTCAAAGAAGAGCACTCGATCATATCGTGGCCTGAACAATGCTTTTGCTGCTTTGAAAGAGCCTGGAATAAGTGACGCCCCTATTCCATTTCATCTCTTGGACCGTAGTCCAGAACTCCTAAAGGAGGCTGACGAGCGATTGGAAGGTGGTTGCTATCAAGGTCAAGAGAACGTGCAGGGTGTGCCGGAATGCCTCCCGGAGGCACTTAAAGGGCGGCAATTCCTAGAAGATACTGATTTCCTATTTAAGCGAGATCCGGATCTGACCTTGTAATGATCGCCGAGTAATTCAGGAGGTCTCGGAGTACCGTTTTATCGTATGGGATCAAGAGACAGCCCTTCGAGGCAGAATTTCGATCACTTTGACTAATTTCAAGATCAAATGAGCCACCTACAATGCTATATCCAAATTTTCCCGACCTTGTTCACTCCATGAAAAGTAGAATGGCCTTTCTCCTTTGTGGTGCTATAGAAACCGAGGCCTGTCGTGGTCTCTTAGCCATAGTTGTGTTTATGTTGCCCTTATGATGCGCGACCTTGAAACCTTTGTGATGCTTAGGCGGAATCCAAGACAGCTTCCGTTGACACGTAACTAGACTTCCGCATTACAATACACGTTAGGCTCCAACAGGTTAATAGAACTTTGATTGATTGTTTGTTTGATCAATTACTCATATTGAAATACCAGACTCACGCCGGCCCTGGAACCCTACAAGCAGTAAGACCACGGCCAGCCACATAATACTACATCGCATATGAGCCAGAGGGCCAAAGTACGAAGTCAAGAAAGTCACAATTTACTGTCCGGACAGGACTGGGCTTTAGCTGTCCTCTGCACTGACAGCTTATTCCACCAAGGATATGTCCGTGGCGCATTGTTAGACAATACGTCCATGAACGCTGGCTTACGCTTCCCAAAGAAGGATGCCTTGAATTCAAGGTGGTCCCTAGCCAAGTCAGCAAACATACATAATCCGAGCAGAGAGCCATTTCCTTTGATGTACACGTACCTCCCGCCAAACATGTCATACAACAGTGGGCTATCCACCAAGTGAGCACCTTCTGCGGTTCCAGGGTTCCGCCAGATAAGCTGTCGATTCAGATGGATGGCCATCCTGCTCACGTTGTCAAGGATATCCTGCGCGATCTCGAGTGCGCGGGGCATAACATCCTTGAGCTCAGGTAAGAGCTCTGCAAAGATGCCGTGTAGCACCGCAGAGTGAGCTGGGTATCTCTTCCCTGTAGCCAGCAGGTATGTCGCATTGCTGTAGCCAACCATACGGGGCAGGAAATACGAACTGCAAGACTCCATGGTAAGGCCAATACGCGAGAAAGGGAATCCAAATTCTGTTTCTCGAGATGCAACACTGAGATTGGGATCAGATTTCAATGACCACAAAGTGCAAGGTAGGTACTTGCCGGATAGTGGCGGCCAGCGTGGACGTCATGCCAATCCCGACGGCAAGGCCGTTATATGCCACGATTATAGGCTTGCAGCAATTAAACATTGCAAGTGCCAAGGTCCCGCCCGGGTCTCGCATCTCACTTGGTGGCAGTAAGTCCTTAGTTTTACTGGTGTCCATATTCAGGTCGATCCCAGCGCTGAATGCTCTGCCCGCGCCTGTTAGGATGACGACTTTAACCCGGTTATCCACGTCGACGGTCGAAAAGAATTTCATGAGAGCATAAATCATGTCACTTGTAATTGCGTTTAGCTTGTCGGGACGATTGAGTTTAACAATCTGGATGGGCGTCACCCCAGGAGCCGACTCCGGGAAGTTGGTGATTCGGACATGGCTATCTGGGGTATTCACGTACGTGTCCGGGGTGAAGATGGTTGGTGTATCATCTGCCATCGTGCAGAAAGTCTGTCAATTGATATAACGGCAAATGGATGAATATGTTTTGAAACAAGAATGTAGCGACTTCATGGTATATAAAATATTGAATATGTAAGGCACTGAGGTAGCCTCGGTTGGGATTTGACATTGATTATTGATACAAGGCGGAGACGAGCTCATTCATTCTCAGGACCGAGGTGCCGGCATAACTAACATATTTCGGACTGATATCTATTGCCAACTCTTGTATTCTGTATGAGAGTCATCCCTGATTTCGCCCACCCCCACAAATAAGCTTATTGCACAGATCCTATACCATAAGGTGAAACTAAACCATCATGTCAAGCCCATGTTGGATATGAGCTCAAACTTTCACCCATATACAAGTCATAATGAACATCCACTCTTCTCAAGCTCACGCGACTCAAGCAAGCTTTGTATTTACATAAAACGGCCAGTACCATGCATGGCTTGAGATAAGCCCACAACAATTCATAGTTGGCGTTTTCCAAGAACATACGGCCTCCTCCCCAAGCACCCACCTCGCAGTACCCAGTATCTAGAGACCAAGCTTAGCCAGGCGCTCCTGTCCCTTATCGGTGAAAAGAAGAAGACCATTGTAGTAGCCGACTGCCCAAATCATAGGGTAGCGCCAATGAAACCACATTGGATGCTCTGCTGCACCAAACCAACCGAAGTGTCGATCAAGGTTATAGCATAGATAGTTGCAAGTGCTAAGGAGAAGAAGCGAAAGAATACCCGTGAAATGTGCTGCCTTTTTCCCGTAATGGTGGTCGATGATGAAGACGTTGATAAGCCCTCCCATTGCTCCGCCCATGCCCAAGGGGCAGAAAACCAGAGTCCACATAACTTTGTAGAAGAGGTCGCGAGTCCCGGTCATGATAAAAACACCAACTGCGAGAAAAATAGTTTCGGCGAACAGCGAATTAAGCCAAAATAGCAAAAACGGTCGGAGGTAGACGCTGCGCCGCTTCTCGGCTACCTTGATGTCCTGTTCTCCGGTGATCAGGATTTGATAGTTGGATGCTTCCATAGCTTAGAGTAAGATGAAAGGACGATGATTGGTGGTATACTTACTCTTTTGGTTCAAGAAGACTGGTATTTGAACTCCTCACGGAGGGCATCACTCGTGCCTCGGAGTCTAGATATCTTGAATAATCACTGCTTTTTCTTACAGTCCAATCCGTGCTACCGAGGTCAGCTTACCTCGGTGATTAGGCTATACAACACTGAATGGAGAAGAAGCAAGCTAAAATAGCCCGGGAATAAGGTATACTTTGCCATTTCTTCGTTTCTTTCGGAGTAAATTATCTCAAAACCAAGCTCCGTTTCCGTGACGCAAGGATTTTGAAATTGCGTAAATCCCTCAAGCTGGAAAAGCAGTTAAATGCGTATCGGAAATTCGCATTGTGAAGCTCATGAGGGCGAATCATGACTAGAGAGGAAAGATGTCTCGTAGCGTTACTTCATTCCGAATGGTCGCATTTGGTCTCGTCCACCTTATTGCTACAAGCCACTGCAGTTGAGCCTGCCTTGATACTATCACCACCATTGTTCAATTGCATAAGGATGATGTTCCGCTCTCAGTATCAGATTTAGGCAAATATCCCCAAAGAGCAACTCACGATTTGTAATTTATACTCCAAATCGATGGTTTTAGAACGGAATCTGAACGGAAATAAGATTTAATTGGAAATTTAGCTGACATTTGCATGCTCCACCATATCTTGGGCAGTTGATGCTGCATCACCCCTGCGACAAATTGAGTCCATCTTGAGCTCAACCCAATCGCTGAAATAACCAATGCTTCAGAGCGGTCTCCTGTTCAGTCTCATGGAAATCACCAAACAAAGGCCATACAAGGGGTGCAACATGACATTCACTTTTACCAACTACCAGAGTACTGTTCGGGTTGAATGTCTATCGATGATATTAGTTAATCATTCGCAATGTCCTGCTTCCTCTACTAGACGTACTTCGAATTTTGAAAACCAAGCTTTTATCGGGTCTAATAGGACCTCATCAGCGCCAGCGAGTACCAAAGTCTGTTCCACCTGAATATCAACCCACCACTCCTCTGATGCATCGACTGCCTCGACGAAATTGTTCGATGCTCGGCCGTTTAGATATAACTGAGACCACCGCGACGTGACTTCTTGCGCATCGATATCTTTATCCTTATTGAGCATCGCAGTTGGCCAATCATGGCTGAACGATACCCAAGGGGATAGAAGAATTGCCCCCTTCAGAGGCTCATTGACAATGAGCTCAGGTATATCCTCTAAGCGATGCTTCAAATGCGACAAGATCGCCAAGCAGAGATTGCCACCAGCTGAGTCTCCTGCAATGAGGACCTCTCCAGGTAATCGTCCAATATCTTCCATGATATATCGCAGCGTTTCAACTGCTTCGCGAATTTGACTTGGGTATGCCTCGTGTGGAGTGAGCGTATACATACTATGGAACCATGTAGTTGTGATCCCCGCATCAGCAAGTTGTGATTGAATCTTCCGCCAGAAATGTAGATGTGGTTCGGTGGCGTCCATAGCAAATCCGCCTCCTAAAGAAAAGTGTCAGTCTAGCCTGGAAAGTCTAGATGATAGACTGGTTACCATGGAATTGGATGACAACATATTTGGCTGAAGGATCTCCTATCCAAAATCCATTTACCCCAAGGTTGGTAGAAACGAAATGTGGCTGGTCTCCATGTTTTTGGCAGTGTTCCACATAAATCTGGTCCTGAGATTTGAACAAGTATCTATTGTCTGGTTAGGTTTGTCTGTCCCAACATTTGGAAGACGTACTGCAGTTGAAGCGGACTAAATCTTGTAGTAAGCTATTGATGATTAGCTGCCTGTGAGAGCGCTAAAAATGGGGTATATACTTTCTTAACTACCGCTTGGATTACATGGTGACGATAGGTGTCTGCTCCTGAGCGACCACGGAATGGTCCAGAAACAGCAGCTTTCACTAATTCTGCGGCTGCTGACTATCAGAAATTTGACGAACTTCCGTCACAATGCACTGAAAAACATACCAACGGACAACCAGCCAACAAAAGCATCGATCCTTTCCCACCGTGAGAGTTGGCGAGACATTGCAAATTTGAGGAAAACATAAGCAATGGCTTTAAGCGAAGATATTTATCAGATTCTACTAATTAACGTTGCTGTTGTATGAAATATTCCTAGGTCCGATTAGTGATCAATGCTGTGACCGAGGCCAAATCTCGTGGCATCATAACCGTGTATGTCGCTCCTTGCATTAGCTAAACGCACCATATATTATTACTCTCGCTGGCCTTCGCATGTGGAACCAGAAATTGGGTCTCTTATTACACCTGTACATACATTTGCAGATCGACTCTATTTCCCGAACTTATCCTGCTACCCTAGGACCTCGCAGGGTCCTATCGCACGGCACGCGAAAATATTGCCGGACGGCAGTAGTGTATAATAGCTCTATGGTCGAGCCAATCCCGGATATAGAGAATTAGGACGACAAGGAAATTCACGTTCGGGTTCATAAATAGACGGCGGGAAGGAGCCTACATAGTGAAGGAAAGAGTGTATGGTAGATTGTATGGATAATAAGATATTCAAGCTCTCGAAACAATTTGAAAGAACGGTTAAGTCGACCAACTGGTGGTTTAAACAGTGACAAGGAATTACTATAGCAACGTGAGAATACGCTATTTTCTGGCCTTTGCTTCTACGAACCAGTAGGTAGCAGTGCGGTTATCATCGGATAATTTGAAAGAGCGGAGAGGCAAGATGAGGTCAAATAGGCCGAGTCTTAGCATTGGGGCGAGTGATCAGGTTGCTCAGTGAGCTACTCAGGGTCGCTCCGTGAGTATCGCGACTTTTGTTAAACAGTTCGCTGATGTGAAAGAATCGACATGGAAAACATGATTCCAAATAATAATAAATGGTAAAATTCACCATCACCCAAATATCGTGAACGGGACCTGTCAACTTCACAACTTCCCCACAAGGACCGGCATTCCATATCCCTCATGATACTAGTGGCTATCTCCAGTCATGCAACTCTTTGATTTCTATTCTATATACAGAAAGCAATCAAATCTCTCCATTAAGCAAGGCAAGACTCTGCGTCAAATAATTCCAATCAGGATTCTCAATGAAGCTAGGATCCCAAACATTCATATCGAACCCCCCATCCAACCGCATCGCATGACCACCATCACCGTATACAGCAGTATCATCCGCAGCCTGCTGACTCGAATGCAAAGCTTCGTGAGCCTGTCTACTCCGCAAAGCCTTCTCTCTCAGTTGTACAATCATAGGCCACCTCTCGCCGGGACCGGAGATCAAAGAATTCTCCTCCGTGATATCAAAGAGCGTATTGACCACCCGCCACGCTCGTTCAACATGTGGTCCGGTAGGACAAACACACAGCGTCCAGAGAATATACGTGAGAGGATGGTATCCCGTGAATGTACTAGTCAACCACCGGAATCCACGCAGTAACTCGTCGGTGTGGATTTCCAATCCCAGTTCAATAGCGTTACAGGCCAGATCGAAGGATCCTTGGGAAATTCCGCGATCTAATGACGTTGCCGCAGGACCCTGGGAATGGATTATCCTCTGTCGAATGCAGATTTCTGCCTTTGCAAGGAGGAGTTGTCCGAGTAGGAGACCAATGCGCTGGATTGGGATATCGGGATCGCCGTGCTTGAGGTATTTCTCATGGATCTCTCTTCTGAAATCGGCGATTGCTCTGCTGGGATCTGTCGATCCTTCCAGGGTGCGCAGCAGCATTGGCCTCTTTTTGATGATTTCCATTATTATTAGTGAATAGGTCATATCCGTCCACCGGGACTGGGATTCGACTGGACTTTCATCCAGCCCGGATAAATTTCCGTCGTCGATGTTTAATGGCAGTTCTGTATCTCCGTAGTCGTTTTCGGGGACGCTCAGTCCGTGATCTTCCGCGACTCGGGCATCTGCAGAATGGATGTGCCACCAAAGTCGTCGTCGCAATTCACATTCTAGTTGAGGGAGTTTGAAATGCTTGCCGTCACGTTGTAGACCAATTGACTGCGCAGCTCGCATGGTCATACCCTGTAATGTCCAACCGGATCGACCGCTATTACTGTAGCGGAAACATGTCTATAAACCATCTAGTTAGTCACATACCAACCAGCTCAAGGAAACGAACACAACCACTAACCTGATAAATAACCGTCGCCTGCAACGAGGTAATAGTAGGAGCATCCAAAAACTCAGACTGGTACAACGAAATCTCCATCCCCTGCTGATACTTCCTCAAATCAAATTGCAAACTCTCATTCTGCCTATCATCAGAGATGAAGGCAGTAGTGGCAGCAAAGTAAATAGCAAAAAGCAAAGCGCGCACATCTGGCCGCACACTCTCCGGCCGATTAATAGCAGCAAAGATACGTGGCTGCGTCGATGGGATGTGCAGGACTTTAACCAGGGGATCAACACGGCTAAGGAATGCTTGCCATAGCAGAGTCGCCTGCCACCGACTCGGATATAACTCTTTAAGATCAACCTGAGCCAGAAGCGGATTCGCAATGAGACCCTCTGCACGCAAAACCGGTGGACGGTGCGGACTGCTATAATCACTTGGCGATCCGATAGCTGATTGGAGTTCTTTTTCTTTGTCTAGGACTCTTGAGAGGAGTGGTTCGTTGATATAGCGGCCGTCTTTGGAGAGGAAGCCTTGATCGAGTGGTCTTGATCTGGCGGTATCCAATTTGCCAATGAATGGCAATGTACTTGTACTTGCGCTTTTACCGGCCGTCGAGTCAGATTTTACATCCGAGCTGCCATCTGTCGATCCACGCGGTCGTTCCTTGACCATCGCTGCGATGGACCGCTCCAGCTGTTCCAGCCGTGCTGCAACTTCTGTCATACTCTTCTTCGGGGTTTGGCGCTTCACTCGGCTCGGGCCAGGGTATTGGCATGCTGTGTTTTGTCGTACGCATCTACTGCAAGGGGTTGTTCTGTCACATTTTAGTTTGCGCTCGTGGCAGCGTAGGCAGGACCGCTCTACGTTGTAGCGGCGTTGTGGTTCCATCTTGGTGGATGCAGTAGAGAGACTGTCATGTATTGGTTTTTGTCAGTGACTTTTTGTTTGATCCACGTAGTATTCGTTTCAATATTCGCGATCAGAAGTTGAAGTCTTTCGGTTGCGGTGGTTCGGCCTTCGGCCGTTGGTGAAGTGCCGAGTGCCGAGTCCAATTGTGGCCTCAGGTGTCTTTGCTGGCTCTGCAGTATGTATAAATTTCTGATTCTCTGCATTTATTAAGATCCATGTTGAATTTCGATTTATTTGTGGAGGCTCTCTTTACATGTTTTTAATCAAATACAAGAGATACTTGCGATATGCCGGTTATAAAATTAAACCTGAGCAAAGTTCTAGATTGTCAACCGTATTCTAGTTGAAGCAGCTCGCTAAAAGTTGAAGCAGACTGGCTGTTATAACTGAGATACAATAGCGAGTCCGTCTCAACTAGAACCATATAATAGCTAATATTAGCGGGTCTGCTTCAACTTATAGGGAGTCCCATATTATAACCAAGATTAGCAAGTCCGCTTCAACTAGATCACGGTCAAGCGAGTCTGTTGTAGTTCAGGCTTCAACGAAAGAGAAAGAATAAAAGGGGTCTTTATATCGAGTTTCAGGAATAGAGAACAACTCTATACAAATAATAAAAGAGACATTGAAGAATTCATTCATTATGTCCATGCTTCTCTCTTCACTCTTCTCCAATTGACAGGTAGACTATCACCGTGACAATCTTCAATCATCAATAGAAACTTTGATTTAATCTCCCATAAACCCATATATAAATGCCCAACCTTGTACAAACCCGCTAACCAAACACCAACCCATCCCGATAGTATTAAGGAACGCTATAACCACACAAGAAAAACAAACTCAGGAAAAAAGGGGAATCATGAAATAAGCAAATCACGAACACTCATTCCCTTCCTCCGCTGCGATTGGGGAGGAACAACAGAAGCAGTCCCAGGCGGGGGAATAAGAGCCGTACCAGCCGAGAAATGCTCATTAATAGAATCAGCCGTCCCCCTCCGATCCCTCGTCAACATAAGCAACGCAGCCGAAGCCTCATGATCAACACCCTGAAGCTCATGCATTTTCTCCTCAGAAGCCCAAATAGGACCTAATGCCGGACTGGGGAGGACAGATGCAGTTTCAGGGATTGTTTGTGCAGACGGGATCTGGGTGCGAGGGGAGAAAGAGGGGGATGTATCGGGCATTTGCATGGCTTGATCGAAGCAGACTGGTGATGCGGATGTGGAGTAGGAGTATGTGGATGAAGATTCGCGCTGCATTGATTCTGGAGCGCCTTCCATGATGAATTCTGGGGATGTGGGGGAAGGTGGGGCGGCCGGGGTATGTGATGGGCCCGCGGTTTTGAGGTCGCGGATGCATTTTTCTAGATAGTTGACGTAGTCGATGCTTGCCTGGTGAGGTTCTTAGTGTTATGGTAAGTGAGTTTATGGAGGAGGCTTGAGCGTACCTGCAAAATGGCTAGCTTATGCATCTCTTGTCCCGTGCATGCGGGAATCATATCCTTCAACGTCCCGAACTCCTCATTCATCTTCGACCGTCGACGCCGCTCAATTAGACTGTGAGCCGTCTTGCGAGCAATCTTCCGTCCTGCAGCACTAGTAGCACTAGGCTGCTTCTTCTTCGAAGTAGTAGTGTTGGCCGCCTCATTGGAACCCTGGGGCGAGCCCTTGCCACTATCCTTCGATTTCGATGAACTCTTTGACGCAGCCGGAGACTTCGGCTTCATCTGAATAATCTTGCGAGTGCGAGTAGGAGGCGGGGGCAAATCGAAGTTCTCAAGCGGACGCTTGATACCAGTACCCGAGCGAGCAGCTTGGGAAGCACGCCGGTCAGACAGATCTGGTGATGTAGGCGAAGCAGGCACATAGGACGGATCGGAGTGAGAGGAGCGTCTACTCTCATCTGTTGGGCTCAATGCGGCAGGAGGCAGAGCAAAGACATCGGTGCCCTCGGGCTGGTCTTTGATGATGAACTCGCCAGACATGGCGGGGGTTGGAGGGAAAGACATTTCGAAGAGATGCAGTCGTGTGTAATGGAGGGAAAGGGCAACTGCAAGGGATCCCAGGCTATTATACCGTTTTCGATGCTCATAGAGTGTCGCGTGCTTATATGCCCACGAGCCACAATGGGCGCCTCTGATTGGTCGAGTGGAGCTCGTGCCTCAGGGAGCAACGGGCATTTGCTGGTTATGTGTGGGGCTCGAGCTTATCACGAAGTACTCGATACTTGCCCCATTAAGGATCCCCTGACTGTTCCCCAGGTACTCAGTACAAGCCATGTTGGGGATCAGAGAGGTAGCCCAGCACGTGCAGTCTCTCTCTTCACTCCTTCTCCTCCTTTTCGTTGAACTTTGGCTCTTTGGTGATCATTTACTGCTCTGAGCTATAGGCGTGGCAACTTCCAGCAACTCGGGGGTTTCAGGGCACATGTGTATCTAATCGGCAATTTCCTCAACTCTCCTCCCCGAAGTGAGCACATGCACAGTTCCACTCTCAACATGATCTACAATGATATAATAGAATATCCCAATTGACTCAAATTCAATGCTTAGAGATAGGAGATGTACTATAAACTACAGCCCGCTATTACTTTTCACTAAGAAAACAAAATCCTTTAATCATAACGCATGTTCCATAAAACTCAAACCATAGGCCCCTTCTTCCTTTTTGCCTTATACCTTCAAATTCGGAAATTAGCAGGGTTGCACTTCTCCGTGCAACGCAAATAAGTCGACCAACTAAACGAACCAACCAAGTTAGCATCTCCTCAACCCAAATCTAATTAAGAAAGAAAATCTCACCAGAACGCATCATCATCCGGCACAGCCAGATTACAAGTCTGAGCCTCCAAAGAACAAAGCTCATGACAATGATTAACATTGACATGGTTAATACCATGCGAAGCGGGACGAGTATGAGCAGGAGCACGAGCATGCGTAGCATTCTTAGCGGACGCGGTAGAAAGAGGCACTCGACCACGTGTACCAGTACCAGTCCTCGTAGCGTTATGGGCACCGGTTGCATTGGTGGGTACGTGGATTGGGATGCGGACGCCGTGGTATGGTCCTGACAGACGGGGTATTGCGGCTGCTGTGCTGGCGAATGCAGCTGCCGTTATGGTGAGGAGGGTTGTGAAGTGCATTGTGGAGGATAGTAGCGTGCTCAAAAGGTGGGTATAGAGCAGTAATGTTGGAAGTATTGATTTTGATGTCTAAGTGGTTGGGTTTGTTTGGTATGAGTCTAGGCTGGCGTCTGCGTCACTTTATATAGACGTGGCCTTGATGGCTTCCATATTCCGGGGGCTGGCTGTCAGGCCTGTTAGGAATTTCCTGGATTGCAGTGTTGCGTATTGGCGTTTGGGAGGAACTATAGTGGTAGTTGGCACGGTTGATCACTGGGTTACCGCATTCCACATTCCTGGAGAGGTGTTGGCTTTCCTTTCTTTTTTTGGCCGATTGCTTTACTGTATGTATTAGCAGTCTCTACTATGTATGTGCGAAGGTTATAACATACATATCTGTTCATTAGTATCGATAAACTGGTGCGCGATACAAATAATTGGCCATGATAGCGAGCCTCATTTCATGCAAAGTCGAGGTATCACATAGTCCCTACATACCAATGGGTGGCGATCACCAACCCCTAACCCAATAACATTCGCAAAGAGAAAATAGAAACGAAGCTTGGCTCAGTTCGGCTTCATAATATGTGGATCTTGGCTTGATATGACAGGACAACCCGCCAACGAGCACGGATGGCGTAGAAAAAGCTCCTAGCTTTCATTCCAATTGGTAAAAGATTTCAGGAGGCTGAACACGTTGTACCCTTGCGTGTATTCTGTTCATTCTAATTAATCTTCTTTTAGATAGTGGTTTCTAGCAAGCTCTAATATTCAGTAAATGATCTAATAAAGGATGCATGGTGTGTAGTCGTTCAAATATCAACAAACATATGCATCTATATCTCCCACATGAATAATCCCCATCATAACAAATCTAACTAAACAACCTCTGGATAATAATCTCACCAAAGTTCTCCTCGGCGGGCGACCCATCCATTCTCCAGATACGGTTACCAGCACTCCCACTCAACCAAAGTCCATGATCACTGGAGCTCTCCTCTTCGCCTTCAATACGGTGCCGATTCCGACGATCAATAACACACATACCGCGAGTCCACTGACCCAGCGTATCAATGCGAATATCCTCAGGCGAGTTCTCAGAAGGAAGCCACTTAGGATCCTCAGCGGTAATCGCATACCAAACACAGACAGGATCATGCATGCTCAGCTGAGCAGCATCGCCCTCATGGCCTCGGTGCAGGCGTTCCAGGGTCTTGAAGGTATGGCCCATGAAAGCGTCGACCCATTCAGCAAGCGGGGATCCACTCGCCAGGAGGGGCGTGATGGCCTTGCGGAATTGGCCACGGGAGAGGTTATGGCGAAGTGTGATATCCAGAGGGAATAGACGCAGGGTAAGTTGGCGGCTGAGCTTTGGTGGGTAGGGGGGAAGTTTGCCGTTCTTAGTTGGTGGGACTGTTGTGTGTGGGTTTGGCGATGTCAGAGCGAAGACTCGGGCGGCAGCTACAGCGTCTGCGTAGGCATTGAATTCGCCCATTGGTGTTACATTTCCGGGCTGGTTGATTGCGCCACCCATGACAACTACCTCCTTTACTCGGAGGAAAGTTTCGGGGTCTTCCGCTGCGGCCAGAGCCAGGTTCGTGAGTGGGCCGACTGCGACCAAGGTCACCGAGTCCGGCTCGTTGTCACGGAGTACACGGAGGATCTCTTTGTATGCTGGTAGCTTGGATGGTGTGAAGGCACGCTCATTATCGGAGGTTGTGGCAGGTGGAACGCCTGCGTGGTCAATGGTGGCGTGGAATAGATGCTCCCAAGCCTCCGTGGGGGTAAGATGTGGGTGCTAGATAGATGTCAGTTCACTTTTCTTGGATTGTATAGAAGATATGGAATTTCACATACACTGGCATGGATACCACCGAGTCCATCGGTTCCGTCTGCAAAATATGTCAGAAGGGAGGCCCAGAGCTACTTCGGTCAAACAGAGATACATACGGAAGTAATCAGCCAGCATCTTCTGATCCTCGAGTGGATTCTCAGCACCGACGGCGATAATAGGACGGTGGGCTCTCAAGGCGCCAAAACCTTCGGGCCGGCCGTTCTCACGGCGCCACTGCATCTCCTGCTCGATGATGTGGAACATTGAGACAGCATTGCGAAGACAACTAGATTATACTTAGTGAAGAGTCCAGTAGGCGAGTTCCTGCAGAACCTTACTTCTTTACTTCGATATTTCCAAAGGTCAATGAGATGAGCAGAACCTCTACCTCCTCAGGCGTGGCGGAAAGCGCCAGCAAGAGACCGAGGATATCGTCAATGCCCTGCTATAGTTAGTGACAGATCTGTAGACTCATAGATCAAAAAGTGCATACCGGGTCGGTGTCGATAATAATCTTCTTTCCCATATTTGAGGTGTTGTTAAAGCTTGGAAGCTTCGTAAGTTGGAGCTTATCGGTTATCAGCGGGGTTGGCAGATGCCCCTCGGAGGGGCAACTATTACATTTATATGATTCTGCGCTTATTGGCCACCTATGCTTAGGGCGGCTCCGGCCCAGGGGTTTAATGGTCTGTGTCAGAGCGAATGAGTCTGAACTTCTCATCCGCCTTCCTTTTTCCCCTTTTCTTTCACTTTTTTTGGTGTGTGAAGACATGAATATATATCGTACTTTTACCTTCAAAACACACATTCTTAGTCACAAATTGATTAGTTGGTTGTGTTAAATCTGGTGCTCGATGATTGAAGTACTATGATATACGTTAACGTTAACAAGTTGTCTTTTCAAAATTGTGGCGAAAGTCAAACCCCGACGGAAACCGGAGTATATGTAGATCTAGCAGCAATATATAGACTACCATGTCACACAGTTCAGAAGCATGTTCGATCAAACTGATAGTCCAAGATAGTTTCTCTTATAAAAGGCAAATGTTTATAATAAAAGTTGGATAGGGAACAGAAAAAGCAAATATTCCAAGATTCAGGGGTGAAATACACCAAGGTCAGTATACAAAGATGCATTCATGCATCTGGACCCACAAAACGCCGGGGGATAGTCGCTCAGCCTGGAGTTGAACTGCTCTCAAGTCACCGTATATCAATAGAGGCTATTCGCGGTGCTCTTATATACTTGGCGCTATGATCTACATTCGTCTACGGTCAACCTCTAGATCTCTGTTGCCGGCTAGCTTATACCGAAGTACGGACCGTAAATGTATAGGAAACATGATGGTTGCCTATATCCCTACGCGGATCGCTACACGGGCCCACAAATAGCTTAACCACAGCACGGTTCTTCCAGAGAATGTGCGCTCTCCTCTTGGACATATCGATTCCGGGGCCAATGTTTGTCTAGTTTTCTCCTGATGTCGGGTTTACCTGCACGATATGTACAGGACGCCACTCCATGCAGGTGCATGACGGGGTGACCAATCCCAGAGACTGCTGCAATTGTTCTCGGCTGCAGTGGTGGTTGGCCAGGGATGTACTTGGCACTTAGACCTAATATCCGTGCATTCTCTTCGTGACCTCGTGGCCAACGCGAGGGCTTCCGCAAGGGATGGAGAGAGATCCCCTGCCGGAGATCCGTGAAGCTTCGGGAAGAGTGTAAACATAAGATGTATGAGAAGGCGGAGAAGGTAAGGCGGAGACGTGGCCTTACAATCATACAGTAACTTACCTGACAGGTGTGGGAGTTGGGAGCCGAGACATATTACAGTACACATACATAACATTAACAATCATAACAATTAAATTGGAGACTGCGTAGGAAATGTGACATGAGAATATATTTAGTCAAGATAGAAACAACAATTAGTCTAGATTGGCCAAATATCAAAGCCAAGGGCTTGGGAGTGGCCAAGTTACCATTACTTACAATACGTGACACGACCCCTTTGGATCACTCTGTCCTTTTCTCGACTCCTCTCCTTTCCCTCTCCTCACTCCACGTTCTTTTGCGCCATTGCGCTCTTTCTTTCTTGCCCATCTGTCTCTTCTCCCAACCGACGTCTCGTTTCCCCTTGACACGGTCCCTGTAGGATTTGACAGCAACAACGCCCCGAGTTGGATTTCCATTTTGGCAATCTGTCCCGGGTCGCATAGTGTCGATCAATTCTCCGGAGCTTTTCATCTGTGAGCTTCACTTTTGACATTGGAGAACACAATTTGGTGAGTTACTGGCGCATTTAACTTAGCCTTGAATGCGCTTGCTAACGCAGTCGCGCGTCCCCAGTTTTCCGTCCCTCCTCCGACTCCTGGTCCTCCACCCTCAACAATCCTCCCCCTGACAGGCTTCTGTCTGATAGTAAGTTCGAGGCTACCCACTCGCTAGCCTTGATGGTACTGACTGATGAGTGCACAGCACAATGAACCCATACATCAGTTGGGCAATCCTGCTCGTTGTGGCAGGTGGCCTGGGTTGGTACTACACCAATGGCAACGCTCCCAAGGCCAAGGCCGTGGTGCGATCTGCCGTCGAGAAGACCGAGTCTACAGTAGCCCCCAAGAAAGCGAAACGCAAGTCCAAGCCTGCCGAGGCTGCTAAGAAGCCCGAGGTGCAGACCGTGGTCTCCCCTCCCACCACCGAAGATGAGAAGCCCGACGCGGAGATTGATCACAAGGAAATGGCTCGCCGTATGGCCGGCATCAAGACTGGTGCCCCCGCCCAGCCCGCTCCCTCCAAGAGCCAGAAGAAGAAGACCAAGAAGGCTTCTCAGCTCGAGGTCAGCGACACTCGTGCCTCTTCCACCACCGGCGCCGAGGGTGACGATGATCTGTCCCCCGCTCCCTCTCCTCACGTGAACGCAACTTCCTCCGCCGGCTACGTGTCCGACATGCTCGAGGCCCCCGCCCCCGCCGCCAACGTTCTCCGTGTTACTGGAAACGTCGAGAACCAGCCTAAGAAGCAGAAGGTCCAGAGCTTCAAGGAAGTAGAGACCAAGAAGCAGCGTCAGAACCGTCTCAAGAACGAGGCCCGCAAGCAGCAGGTCCAGGAGGCTGAGGTGGAGCGCAAGAAGCTTCTCGAGAAGCAGCTACACACCGCTCGTGAGTCTGAGCGTCGTGAGGCTGCCCGGTCCGCTCCCGCTGCCAACGCCTGGCAAACCCAGGAGAAGAAGAAGCCCGTCACCAACGGAGCTCACGTTGCTGCCGCTCCCGTTGCCCCTGTCGTCCCCGCGCCTACCGTTTTGGACACCTTCGAGGAACCTGCTCAGCCCAAGAAGTGGGCCCAGAACCTTCCCTCAGAGGAGGAGCAGATGCGCCAGCTTGGAGTTGCCAACGGCGACGACGAATGGACCACTGTCTCCAAGAAGGCCCCCAAGAAGAAGGGTGGCAAGACTGATGAGAGTGTCAGCGAGACCAGCGCCTCGGAGAACCAGTCCGCCCCCGTGGCCCCTGTCCCTGTTGAGCCGCGCGTGACTGTGACTCCAACCTACCTTCCGGATATCCTTCGTTCCCGCGAGAAGGGTCACCCCTTGGACTCTGACTGGGCCGCATGATTTTCTATCTCGGCCATGTTCTATCTTCTGAACTGTATTTATTACCCATTGTTTGATTTTTTTTTTGGCGTTTTGTGGGTGTCTCATACACCTTCTCCTCGACCACGAGCGGGCTGGAGGTCGCATTACATGTAACAGCGAATTTGGCGGTATCCTCAAGTTGTGGACCAGGGCCGCGAAAAAGCAGAATTGCGGGATCTGATGTGTATGTTTTGAGTCTAGCTATTGCAATGAAACCATCTCTATGCAATAAATGCGCAAGAATGTAGAGAGTCAATAGTATATAATGTTGTGTCGTCACTATGCCTAATGGGGTTTAGCGGCGAGTTCCGGGCATCGTGGCCTGAAGTGGCTTTGTATACAGCTCCACCTTGGTATTTACACCCTCTTTTCTTCCCCAACTCTCTTCACCGACATCTCTCTTTCAATTTTCTACAAACACCATGGCCCAAATCCGTGGCACCGCGGGCTACAACCTCGGCCACCAAAACCCGTTCGGCGGGCCCGGTAGCGCAGATGCCACCAACGACCCTAGTCCGCTCGACGCCATTCGCGAGCAGACAAGCAAGATTGAAGACTGGCTGGACACGATGGCCGACCCAGTGAAGCCGTACGTCTCAACCGCACTCCCTCGACTCACTCGACTTGAAGTATCCGATTTTTCGCGTCGTGGCTCGAGTCGCGAGAAAGCTCAAAACAAGGGATCCCGAGACATGCACTGACACCGTGTTCTTTTTCTCAGGTACCTTCCTGCCATCGGCCGATTCCTGATTGTTGTCACCTTCATCGAGGACTCGCTGCGCATTCTGACACAATGGAACGACCAGCTCCTCTACCTCCGTGACTTCCGGAAGAGTAAGAACCCTCTGCTCGAACCCTCATTCTGCACGCCTCAAGCCGAGGTCCACATGCGCCATCTAGATTGTGTCTAACGCGATGTTTGCGCTGGTTATAGTTCCCTGGGGTATCACACACACGTTCCTGATCGTCAACGTTATCGCCATGGCTGTTTGCTCGTCCCTCGTCATCGCCCGCAAGCGCACCGAGTACGCCGTGGCTGGTCTGCTGGCTGTTGTTATTACGCAGGGTCTTGGATACGGTCTCATCTTCGACTTGAACTTCTTCCTCCGCAACTTAAGTGTTGTTGGTGGTTTGCTTATGGTCCTGTCCGACTCGTGGGTGCGCAAGAAGTTCGTTCCCGCAGGTTTGCCTCAGCTCGACGAGAAGGATCGCAAGATGTACGTTCAGTTCGCTGGTCGTGTGCTTCTGATCTTCCTGTTCATTGGCTTTGTATTCTCCGGCGAGTGGAGCTTCTGGCGCGTTATTGTCAGTCTGTTCGGTCTCGTTGCTTGCGTCATGGTCATTGTTGGCTTCAAGGCCAAGTGGAGTGCTATCATTCTTGTTGTTCTCTTGAGTCTGTTCAACGTTTTCGTTAACAACTTCTGGACTGTATGTTTCCCTCCAATATTTGCTTGCTTGGTTACTGACAATTCCCAGCTGCACGCCCACCACCCTCACAAGGACTTTGCCAAGTACGACTTCTTCCAGATCCTGTCGATTGTGTATGTATTCCCAATCCCGAGCCAAGTCCAATTCTAACGAATTTCCAGTGGTGGTCTGCTCCTCCTGGTCAACATGGGCCCCGGCCAATTGAGCATGGACGAGAAGAAGAAGGTCTATTAGAGTAGAGGGAGCCGAACACTTTCCCTTTTCTCTATATAACTTACGGAACTCGACAAGCCAACAATCGAAATGAAGGGTCAACAGAATAACGGGCGACACAGCTCTGCGGGCTCCGAGCATCTACAGTCTCCCTCGAACCCTTGATCAGTTGAGGCTTCGTGTCCGTGATAGGCGTTTCTTGCATTTGGGATTTTTCAGGAGCCGATGAACTCAAATCATCGTGCTCTGTCTGTTTTTGTTTCATTTTGAATTTTGCCTCACGGTCTGCTCGAGATCAAAAAGACATGATATGATTGTCTGCCTGCATACGATGTTTTGCATTTTAATTGCATTTATCACGAACGACAAGTTGAATGGAAGATTTATCCGAGTTTAATGCACTTTGATACATGATAACACTCATCTTGAGTACAAAACGAGGTTAAAACGGCTTGAAAATGTCGAAGCCTGACAATAAGATTATCCCGGGAAATTATATAGGCGACATGAGTGTATACCCTAAGATCTACCTCTTCTTCACCATCAACAAAACTCCCTCCCTCTTCCCCTTAACAACCATCTCCTCAGGAACTCCAACCTCCTTCAAACACCTCTCGGCCTCCCTCATCAACCTAACAACATCCCCCTCTCATAACGCCCATCCTCGCCCACACTGCCACACTCCCAAGGCAAAGGCAACCCAACATACAACCCCCTAACAAGCTGATTCCCCTCCCCAATAAACAGCTCAAGCTCCCGCTCCCAGATAGCAGCCATAGCACCCCGTATCCCCTCAGCATTAGGCATACCATCAGCCAGCCTCTCAACATTCATCGCCCAAATCGCTACCGTGCCCCCCACCCGAGGCATAGCAAACCACTGAGCAGCCGTAGCGGCAGTGACCAAAATAGCCTCCTGCCCTGCTGAAGGCGATGGGGATCAATATATCGGGGAAATGGATATAAATAAATATGAAGGATGGCTCTAGGGTTGACTCTAGTGCTCGGATTCAGGGTTGGGTGGATGTGTTCGAGTAATTATGAGAGGGACTTGGTGAATTGGGAAGGAATGTAGAGTTAAAGACTGTAAAAAGAGTACTAGATTACTAGGAAGATGAAATGAAAGCGGGATGAATGTTTCTCAAGGTTTCTTAGGTAGCTTTTGTGGATGGCAAGTTTGTATACGGACCTATCATATTATGATCCTTACCAAGCGCATCAGCAATTGGACAAACTATATCAGCATACAGCGTGTTTATTGATACAGAACCCTAGCGCGAGAGACTGCAGCTTGTCAAGCCATGTCTAAGTTGATTACCAACGGAGATAAACAGGGACAACACCCAACATCAACAGTGTAACGAAAAAGGAGAAAAAACATCAATTGGTGGAACGCTATGTACTGGCAACCCAAACGACGGGAGGGAGTGATTATGGTACAAGGGAAAGGGAAAAAAAATATCTAGGGAAGGGAATGTAGACAAATCGAAAAGCGAAGTCCGAAAGGCGGAGAAAACAAAAAGATAAGGAAAGAATGTGGCAGAAGGATAGGTAGAGAGGATGCTGTCGTGGGAACTGGCCCGCATTTTGGTCTTGTGCAGTTGCGTTGTCCTTTTTTTTTGTACTGGACCGGCCAGGTACGTGTCCAGGTTGAATCTGGGTCTTGACAGCAGAGGGCGTGTAGAATGTAAGAGATCAATGTTACCACACAGTAAGGCGGTGTGGATGTAAGGAACCACAGATAGGAAGAAGAAAATCAAATGCTCGCTGGTGGTGATGCTTCAAACGCCGGGTAGCTAAGAACGGTAGGGGAAGCTAAAATAGATATGCGGTTTTTGAGAATGTTGTGTGGTCGGATGGTAGAATGTAAGAAGCGATTAGATGTCCATGCTCCAGCGCCAGGGACGGACAGGTTGTAACGAGCCCAGACCGACTTCATCGCGGTTATCTTCGTTGATCTCCAGATGCAGTAGGTGGATATTTTTGTTATCCTTGTGCATTGTTGAAAGCGTTTTGGAGATCTGCGGACGGTAGACCTTGTCATAATCATCCGTGGCTTTCGATTGTGGCCGTGATCTTGGGGTATCAGGGTACTTCCAATCCATACTAGGAGATCGATCATCGGTGTTTGTAGAGAACATAGAGTCTGATCGAGAGTGTAATGTCGGGTCGAAATCATCATTGTCGACACGGAGTCGAGTTAAAGATGGGTGGCGTGGTAATTGCTGTTCTGTGGTATCAGACGACCCATCACCGGGCTTGTTGCTGGTCTCTTCCTTGGTCACGTTCTTCGCGGCCTCGGAACACTGCTCGTCAGCCGCTCCGCTAATACTATCACGAGCCGGCACATTAAAGCTTTCTTTTCCGGCCATGACTCGGGCACTTGGCGGTGGCTGTAGCATCCATCTTGTTTCAGCCCGGCTGCATGGTCCACTAACAATGGGTGGATGGAGATCATTCACGGGAGGCACACGCGCGATGTAGTACTTCGAAGTTTCGTTCGGGTCCGCACGGCCACGACCAGAGAACCCAATGGACGAGCCTCGCACTTCCTGGCCCCAAAGCGGTTCATCTTCTCGCTGGTATCGCATAGATTTCCACTTCTCGCCGAGCGGGTGCATCAAACCACCACTCTTGTCCTTCTTCAGCTGCGAGCTCTGGTCCGTATGCCAGCTATCGGTGCGGTGGTTATTGTTTCGAAGACCACCTCGGCGAGCTGGAGGCCCAGGGCCCAAGGAGATCTCTTCTCGCCAGCCTACATTGGTGCTGAAAGGGGTCGGTTGCGGGAACGGCCGGGGTTGGTCGGTGACGATCTCGGTGCATTTCTCCCTCTCGCGCTGTGCTCGGATGGCCTCCTTCTTACGTTTTCGACGGTCGACACCCTCGGCGCAGGGGGTACAGGTAGCGTAGTAGAAGACAGCGGACTGGGCGCCCCGATAGAGCCACATGGCCGACGCGGGGGCGGGGATTCAGAATAGAATTGATTCTTGGCTTATAGGGTAAACAGACATTCACGACGGGCTGTCAGCCCGGGAGAACTGCTGGATTTGACCCGGTATTCGCTCGTTGTGTTGCAGTGATACTATCGGACACATGAGGGCTGAATGGAGCGGATAGGGGGAAAGCCGCGGAAAGGGAGAGAGGAATTGGAGATCGCCCAGCGATCCCTGAATGAAAAGGTAAGAAATAATTCAAGAGAGAGAGAGAGAGTAGGGGGAGGGGGTAAGAAAGGAAGACGAAACGCAATTAGGAGGTTTGAGGGGGTCGGTTCTTTCTGCCTGGTGTTTCGCCTTTAGTCTCCCGAGTAGCCAACGCTGCTTGCAGCCCAACCTATGCATATGTGCTGACCGCTCTACTTTCTAAGTTAACTTACTACTAAGTATGGACATGTACAGTAATTTAACTAGCACCAGCTCATATGTACACCTCACATTGCCACCGGAACTGCCCTATTATGTGCCGGGGCACAGGGGCATGCGATCGGGGACGCCAGGAGGGGCCCTAGATCTGAATGCTGACCTGCATTGTGATACGAATGCCCAGAGTACGTCCAGGGTAAATTACTTCTCTTTCGCGTTAATTTTTATCATATAACCCCCTGTCCCAAGCCTTGGCGTCTTGCCGCGTGGAGTACAGACGGGATGTAGCCGCAAACGTCTAATCTCCTGAAAAGGAGAGATAGAGAGAAAAAAGATAGAGTAGAAAGATAGAAAGGTAGTGTTTATGCAAGCCCCTAGATGCAATGTAAGAGGACATTCTTCCTCGAAGAACGTAGGGGTTTTGGCCCCAACCTCCCGCCTCATACTTGGTGAATGGAGTACAATCCGACCCCTGTTGCCAATCTCTGTGCTCTGTGCTCTGTGCTCTGACCCCCGCAAGGCTCATTTGACCAATGCGAGAATGCCGAGCTCATAGAAAACTCATTCGAAGCCCTGATGCATGTTGGATTGCATCATTGCATGGTGTAGCAAAACCGCAGCTCGCAGATCGCCAGAGCGATCAGAGAAAACAATTCAAACGGCGGATCGACATTCAACACCAGCGTACAAGCGCGTAAAAGAGTCACACCCACAGTGGACGTGCATGGCATGCCAAGGGTCTCTCGCAATACCGGCAACCTCCAGGTCCGAGTCATTGCCTCGCTGGATCATTATATCGCATGCAAATGGTTTCCCTCCCAGAACGCCCGAAAATCGACAGTCGAAAATATCTTCGTGTAGCGACTGCTCATGCATTCTTTGTGTCCCTGATTACCTCACCCTTCACCTTAGTCCAGTCAATATCACTGTCGATTTTCTCGTCGACTTCACCGCAGATTACCACATTATCTCCGCGGATCAAGTAGAGGCCGTGCTCAATTTGAGATGAGGGCTCGTCATCGTCTGGGGTACGGATGATGCGTTCAATGGTGTTGGAGAGGACAAGGTTGGTCAGTTGGTCAGTTGACAGCAGTGTCCCGAGGAGTGTACGGCCGTCCACTGTGAGAATGAGGACTTGTTCTGTTTGCGCGGGTTAGCTGTGGAACTCATAGGCTAAGTGGCTTGTAGACTCACTATTGATGTAGTGGCTGAGGGACATGGTGGGCGGTTAGAAAGTGCAGAGGATATCAGCTTTAGGGTCGGTTGGATTTAATATGCACTGCTTGGTCGTGTATCGATCCTTGTGTCAAGCTCGATTGTGCTCCTGCCGCTGGACCTGGGGGGTCTGTGTTGCGTGGGTGAAGAGAAGCCGTCGTTCACTTCACGTTGTCCGTTACTTCGCGCAAAAAGCGTTCGGCCGATATTAAAGGTTTGAAATTGATCGTGTTGTTCTGGAGAAAAGATAAGATCGACTCGGGGAGGTCGCGGAGGTTTGTTGGAGGGGAGTCAAGCTGTCAAAGCTGTATTCAAAGTCGGCGCCACTTCAATGCGAAATGAGGGCAAAGGCTTAACGGGAATCAAGTTGTAAAGTGGAGTTCGCGTGAACAATAAGATAGTAAGGAGGATGACACGACTTGCGCAACGGATAGGACTAGTTGGACTTGGACTTGGTAGTTTTCCATTGACATCTCCGATTCGATCACGTGCAGGAAGCTTAGCTTGGACTCAGATAGGAAGACTGCTCTACTCCGTGATATATTGCTCACCTAAACAAGTAGAAAGAGGCTGCTACAACGATGTGGTTTACATGAAGCTATAAGAAAAATGTATGTGTAGCAATTCACTATGTGTGCACGATATCGCCCGCAATTTCCCATGCACTCGAATCAGCCTCTCAAAGCAGCCAAATCCAATGGCACACTGCTGCCTCTTCCAGCACGGTATCTGCGGTCTCCGCCAACAAAAGGCCGTGGCTTGGGCAGCAAACCATCGCCTTGGAACTTAAATCGAGTATCTTCTATTCGGACTGCGCCATGTGTTGAGGGACTACGAGAGCTTGGCGCAGGGGATGATCCACCATTGGTAAGTGTGTAAGCACTGGGATCCAGGGTAGCAAATGGTTCATGAGAGGGAGGGTGAGAGGTAACGGGAGATGGGGCTGAAGGAGGACCACTGGGAGGCGGTGGTGGTGGAGCTCCTGGAGCAGATGATGGAGGTGGCGGAGGAGGCGCTGAAGGTGATTGATGTCCCAGGGCGGAGCGGGCAGCCTGCGCGGCAATTGATGGGGGTGCTGATGGAGGAGGAGGTGGTGGAGGTGTTGATCTAGATGGTGCCGGCGGAGGGGGAGGGGCCCGACTCGCGGGGGCTGCTGGAGGAGGTGGCGGGGCACCGGACGGTTTCCTCGACGCAGGTGGAGGAGGAACCTTGCCTGGTGGTGGGGGAGGAGCGCGCGGAGGTGGCACTTCTGGAGCTTTTGCAGCTGGTGCAGATACCGTAGATGAAGGTCTTGAAGAAGGTCTCGGGGGAGGCTTTTTCAAGCCGGCAACCAAAGGATTGACCGGCGGTGCGGGTGGTGACTCCGTGGATGGTGGAGGGGGTGGTGGCCTAGCCCCAGGAGGTCTGGGTGCTGATGGAGGTTTAGGTGCCGGGGCAGCAGGCGGCCGTCGCGCTTCGCCATCAGACATGTATGGCGATTCTCGATTGGCACCTGTATCAACACCTCCACGACTCCGTAGTTTGGGCATTCCACCTGCAAATAAACCTCCCAGTTGAGCTGCAGGTGCACCAGCCCCATCACCTCCTCCGGATACTCCTTCACTGTTGCTTCGCAATCGATTCGCGGTTTGGCCAGAGGGAACAGGTGGTGCAAGACCAGCCGGGGGTCTCATGCCAGGAACGGGAGGCGCGCCCGCAGGAGGAGGAGCTGCAGAACCTCCTCCTGTCTTGCCTAGTACAGGCGCTGATCGATCATTGGTGACTGCCTTCTTCAGCCTCGCGCCTTTGTGAATATCAGACAATAGTGCGCCCTGTTGACAATCAGTCAGTCTCTCTGGGCAACAAGAGTCTAATGGCTATATAGCTTGAGCTTCCCATTGACTTACGCGATCTTTAGTAACCCCTTTTGGCGGTCTATTTGGGAGGTTTCCTGGAGGGGGCGGCGGGGGACCGCCAAAACCTCCCGGCGGCGGCGGCGGGGGAGGAGGCGGTGGTGGTGGCATGATAGGGAGGAGCAGTGAGAGTATCAGATGGGAGAGATAAGTTCGAGAAAATCAAGATGTAAGGATGGGCAACTTGAGCAGAAAAAACAGTTGTTAGGCAGAGAAGTTAGAAGACGTCAGGGTGTACGGGGAAGTGGACAGCGCCGGGGCGAAAGTCTCCGCTTAGAACATCTCCCATCGAAAATCACCTACCAACACCCACTCGCCGCCATGAAAAGAGTCGCCTTAACAGCCCAAAGGGGCGCCCGGCCAAAGGTCTCGATCTGTCAATTGTGTCAATTCTCGACTTCTGTCCGTCGCGGTCTCACTCTCGAGCGACCAACTCCCGAAAGTCGATCCCAGGCCTCCGATCTCCGCCTACAGGAGTCGAAGCGCAGTAGCCGGTTGACTTTGAACTCTCCCTTACTCAATGCGCGCCGATATGCTTCCGCTTCAGCCCAGACGAACCCAAAGGTGGCAATTAAAGAGATCGCGCAGGATGCATCTGCCGTGCACAAATCGGACGCCGTGCCTGCCAACGAGGTAGTGTTAGAATTGCTACAAAGATGCCAGCGAGTTGCCGAATCCCTGGTCTCGCCATCGTATCAAAGCGAGGGGCCATCAACCGGCAAGGGCAATGCGATCTCTTCCCTACTGGACCTGGAGGAGAAGCAAAACGCCGCAAAGAGCAAAGGTCAGGCACAGTCCTCACAACAGCCTGACCCACAACTCGCAGAGTCGCTCTCACAGATCGCCAATGCACTTCTGAAGGATGAGAAGGTCTTCATTTCACCCGAAGCCCTGGAGTGCTACACCGAGACACAGACCCTCCTACGCCGGGCCGAGCACTTCCCGGAGATCTTCCACCTCTACGCCAACAAACCCGTACCAGAGGAGAAAAGCTCCCCAGTGAAGTTCATCAAAGCCAACCCGAAGAGCGTCAACAGCGCCATACCCGCCGAGCTAGCCAACAAGGCCCTGGAAGTTGCCATCGCGCAGAAAAACCTGTCGCTAGTATTAGCCATCATCGACAACACCTTCTGCGCACCGGCCTTCCACCGCGCAAAGGTCTTCAAAAAAGCAGGTGTCCCACTGGCCGGTCTGGCTGCTGCCCCTGCTGCATGCTACGCCGTGGCATCGTGGGCAGCCACATTCCAAAACACAATGGATCCAAATGTCGCGACTGGAATCGCGTTCGCTGCGACGCTTGCTTATGTCGGTGGTACTTCGTCCATGGGTATCTTGGCCATTACCACGGCTAATGATCAGATGGAGCGTGTTGTATGGATCCCTGGTATCCCTCTGCGTCAACGGTGGTTGCGTGAGGAGGAACGCGCTGCTATGGATAGAGTTGCTGTTGCGTGGGGTTTCAAGGACCCTTATATGCGTGGTGAAGAGGTCGGTGAGGAGTGGGAGAGTCTGCGTGAGTTTATTGGTATGCGAGGCATGATTCTGGATAAGACGGAACTCATGCAGGGTATGGAGTGATTGGATTACCTTTATGTACCATAGAACCATCTATTTTTATGTAACTAGCAATGTAATGTACAACATTGAATCTACAAGACACAACTATTGTCTTTTTCGCTCTATGATATCATCCCGCCATTGTGATTGCCGCTGCGAGCACTCTTATGCATGTTAGCAGGAAGAGTACCGGAATGAGGCGAATCCACGTTTACATTTACACTAGACAATTTACGATATCAAATATTGAGACCAAGTATGAGCTTCATATTTTTTTTTTCAGTCGTGAGGCCAAGACTTAAACCCAGTTCTCAATCTAACTATAAACTCCAGCGCAGCGAAGCGACAGAGCATCTAGTAGACGCGGTGGGGAGGAGACATGGAAGCCTTGATGACAAGGCTGCCAACGTTCTGCCAGCCCTTCTTGAGGAGGGAGACAAGGTAGTTGATGGCGAGCATCAGGTTGGCAACAATGGCCTCCTTCTCCATATCGACGTTGCCGATGGCAACACCGAGACACAGGACCTTCTTAAGCTGGAACTTGATGGTGGACTTGACGTCGGTGACCTTGGCGGCCATGTCCTCAGCGTGGGAGACGGGGGTGGGGAACTTGCCAGCTGTAGACGTAGTCAGTATGCGAACATTTTGGATCATTGGTAGGACGAATCGCAGAAAAACATACCCTTGGAGAGACCGGGACCGAGCAGACGGGGAATCTGCTTGATCAGACCCTCGGAAGCGAGGAAAGCATCGTACTTGCGAGCGAGCTTCTTGATGAGCTTCTTGTTCTTGTTGAGCTTCTTCAGGTCGTCAACGGACATGGCATCGAGACCGTGGTGCTTGGCACGATCGAGATCGTGCTGGTCACCAAGAATACTGTAAATCGCTGTTAGCTTCGTTGTTCGATTATGTTTGCTCCGCTATGCCGATATCCGTCGCTTCCGGATTCATGGATGCAAAGATTTTCGATTCGCGGGGTCGGGAAAACGCACCAGATGGCCATCTGAGGACGGGGGACAGTAGGCAGCTTGATGGTACCAGAGAAACGCTTGTCACGCTGGGGGTCGTAGTTCTTCAGACCGATCTGGAGCTCAACGGTCTCGGTGAAGTTACGCTTCTTCTCATTGAGAGAGTAGTTGAGAAGGTTCTCGACATTCTGGCGCACTCCGGCTGTAAGAGACAAGAGCAGTTAGTGGCAAGGTCAAGTAGATTGTAGCAGAGATTCAAACATACCGACTGTGATCTTCGACATGATTGCTACAGTCTTCCAAAAGAAGTTGAAATTCTTATGGTATGGCTCTGCGCTGAATGCTTAAGAAAAGAAATTGTCGAGGGCCGTGAATTTCTCCGCTTGTGGGTGTGGGCTGGCGCTAAACTGGATAAGGCTTAGCGGTGCCCTAAATTTTCCCCTGAGTCAGCTCTACCCTCAGGCAACAAGGCATCAGTCTCCTTCGTAACCATGAGTATAATTTTCTACATCAGACAGTTCAGCAGAGAAATTGTCAGTAACCCTTCCTAGTTAAATCAATTAGATATTCACTGATTACATGCAGTGTACAGCTCTCAATCTATTCATCCATCCGGAGATCAACGTCTAGTACCATCGCCGTGTATGGTGACGAATCCATCACTGACTCTTCCCTCGCCTCAAATCCCACTTGCTCATAGAACAGTCGTGCACTAGTGGCTGCTTGACTGGTCTGAAGGATGATGCTAGCATTCCACGCTCCCAGGCTCTTGGCTTCATCCCGTACATGACCAACGGCGGCTTCTACCAACTGCTGACCGTGACCCTTTCGTCGAGCATGAGGCAAGACAAACATCCCCGCAATGAGATAAACAACATGAGCACCTGAATAATCACGTGGCTGCTGGACCTGATGGGATACGTCTTTTGCTTTAGTGAAAAGATCCCAAGTTTGAGATATTGCATCGCCATCTTGTCTAGAACACATTTCCGGTCCGAGGAGAGTGACTGTGCCCACCCATTCAGTCTGAGGCGCATTTTGAAAGCCCTTGTCTGCTGAGTGGTCACCCTCAGTAGTATCTGGACGTATAGTTTTGCTTGATATCTTATCATCACCGCCAACGACGGAGACGAACGTCTTGGCAACAGGGTTCTGGATTCTAGATCGCCATATATCCAAAGTGAACTGTGATTCTCGTTCAAATGTGGAAGAAAAGGAGTTTGGATCTGACAAAAGACCTTGGAGTCGGAGGTTCTTGTAATGGTTGGCTATGTCATCGAGATCAGCCGGTGTAGAAAAGGCTTTTGGGAGAAGTATGACTTCTGGTGGAAGATGCGAGGAAGACATTGTGCAACTTTTTAATTCGGGTACAGAGAACGCAATATGGACTTCACAAATAGATGTGCGATATTTTCATGTCTTTAACACACGAAATGAGTAACTTTGAAAGTATTAGTGCGGGGTGACTCATGGTTCAATGGTGTGGCTGCGACAGGGAGCTTACTACAAATACGAAAGAGACATAACGCAATTAGTTTTCATGCGGAGACCGCTACTAGTAACCATTACTCATGATCCTCAAATTGTAGCCTTGAAACGTGCATCAGGCCACTCCGAAATAACTATGACAATCCACCTATGCGGGCACAGACGGCGTCAAAGTCAAGTCTAGATCCTGCCAATCCCAAATCCGATTCAACTGCTCGATATCCCCATTTAAAGTATTGTCTTATCGCAAGTACGCCTACTCAAATAGAACGAGCACATTGGACCCGCAGACATGGCTGCCTATATCAAAAGGTACTATTGATTACAATGGCTTAGACTATCTTGCCTTGGCAATCTGGTCGGTGGAGCCGAAGGTGTTTAGATTGGCCGAGCTTGACCTCCAAGCTGATGCACTGGTCCAAAGCGGGCATCAGAAGCCTGATCTTGTTCATGGTGACAAATAAAGGAAGCGCTTGCATAGCCACAAAATTATGGATCTGGCATGGAAAACCGCCACAATTAGACAGGTGACAAGATTGATTCACAATGAAATAAATGATCAGTTGTCATCAAGATCATCCCATCTGTTGTCTCTGGGCCCTGCCAGTGAAGTTCTGGATTATAATCTTGCTGTCGGGGATACACATGCCATCCATTTGGAATACGAGGGTCAACGCCTTCAAGAACATTCAGTCCTGGCAGTTTGGCGACTTTTTCGCACGCCAGTTGCTCAATTTGGGCATCAACATCCAGATCAGAGTTGTAGTCGAGATAAGGAGCACCAGGATGCATGGGTTGTCCGCGCCCGTAAATCCGGAGAGTCTCAAGGATAGGCGGGATAAGATCAATCTTGAGGATTTTGAGTCAACGCGGCCCCGCAGCTCGTCTGCCCATAGCTCGTCATATTCCTCCTGCTCGACCTCGCCGATCCCTGCATCATAATCAGGTTGATATTCCTCATCATAGAGTTCCTGCCGAGGTGTATAGCCCTCCATATCCAGGTTCAGTTCTTCCAGGGTCTGCCCATACATTCAAAGGGACTTGAATATCGGAGTCACGCATGACATGGGTATATAATCCTGGGGCATACAACGACCCCCACCAGTGTTAGTAAAACTTTTCAGAGACTTGGCAGATTCAATTAACGGCAAAGATCCCAAGTTATCATCGCAGACCGTGTAAAGCTAATCTTGCTGTAGTTGGCGGAGCGAGGAGGAGGCGGTATTCCGGCTTCATTGCTCCACGTTGCCAGCTTGAAAGCTACCGATTCAAGGGCTGGTAGTTTACGAACCATGTCGAGCCGATGAAAATATTCCTCTTCCATATACTCGTTGTGTATGTGAAGGTAATCGTGAGGGCGGAAGCTAATGTTTCGAACATAAATTTTGGCGGTAAATGATGCGGATAAGTGAGCTGGTTGTCCTGCCTTTTGACCCACCATTTTGCTAGGTGAATAAAACATCTGTAGACTCGGAGCTATTACCGAGTATCGGTGTAGTTGCGTGCATTGAAGAAATTGGGATTTCATCTGTAAGGATGTGCTAAGACCAGAAAGGGTTGTGGGTGATAAAGAACCGCTGCGGACCGCCCCGCATTCCGTTGGCGATACGTGCGTATTTCACAAGGTTAGCTCTAAACTACAGTATTACTCTTTAGTTTAAACGTGTTTAACTTTTTGATATGTGCATTATGTTATCCTAGCTATGCTACTTAGTGTTTAAGATAATATTGTTCGGAAATAATAAGCGCCGGACCCAAGATCTAGATCAAGCCAAGGTCATACCGCACATCAACACAAGCAACAAACAGCTGAAGACCATTAAATCGAATGATATCACTCAAGAAGTGACCAACTGGACACACAAATATATGCAGATTCTCAGATTCGTCATGCACATTTGACCTACACCTAGCATGGAAGCAATATATATCCATACCAAACACCGAGGTACTTGGTAACCGCTCATCTGACACCCAAACAGTCAAGCTTCAGCCAAGCGGGTAAGTGACGCAAAACGCAATACAATAGGCCAAAGAATATATGAAGAAGCCCGAACAAACCTAGGTGAAATGAGCTTGTCAGAATGTTGGGGCGGATGATCGTGGCGCTTAAGCGTGACCGTCAGCCTCAGATGACTGCGGTTCATTTTAAGACCTGCAAATCCCCATTTCCCATTCCATAACTGTGAACTGATATTCTTCTTATTACCAGGTTTCTTGATTTGTGTTGATTTGACTTAGACCGGCAGGTGTATGTACAGTATACTCCTCCTCCCTACGGGACGCTTGTATGACTCTTGCCGTGACCAGCCTTCTCCTCTACACCCTACACCCCGTGACACAACACGACCTGTCTAAATATTGTGCGAACTCTGTGCTCTCGTTTATCGAGCCTCCATCTTTTTCAGCGTTTCGCATGCTGTGATTTTTCTCCATCATGGCCGAAACTGTGTATTCGTGCGATCCTACAGCGCCCCTGGACTACTACTCCAGTCTGGACGGTGGGGGTCCACTGGTGGATAAATTCAAAGACATCGATGACAAGATCCAGTTTATTACTGCTATGCGCCGACTTGAGGATCCACTGACGGGGAATTTCGTGTTGGATTTTGGGAATGAAGATGCCTGGTGTGCGAGTGATTTGAATACGGAGGAGTTCAAATTATTGCTTGGCAAGCCGGTATGCTTTTGATTTGGATCTGCACCCCCTGTGAATATATGAACAGGAGCTGATGATTTACTTGACAGAGAGCCAAGTGTTTTGGTACACGGTGGATGTAAGAGCTATTGTTATTTTCCCGAGAATGAGTGCTGTCGGGACTGACTGCTACAGTAATATCTGGGCACCAGAGGAACAGAAGGAAACCATTAAGGTGAGAGGCTAAGTATCTATTTTGTGATCAGACCGAGCTAAATTATTCAGGCTATTACTACACACTACGGAGTATCAGAACGACTACAGGGGATGATGTGTACAGAGCCAGTGCGGCCGACACCACCACCGGTAACGCCATCACCAAAGAAGAGATTCTCACAATCGCGAGACTTCGAGTCCTCAATTCATGAGATTGACGACCCCGAGAATGCGCTTAAGAATATCTCCGACCATGACCAAGCGCATGAGTCTGCATCATTCAAAAACTTGACTTTCGCACAGGTCACCGACCAGATCTGGCATTTTTCGTCTGTGGATCATGGTCCGCGATGTGAGTTGGTTCCCCAGATGGGTCGAGATGCATGCTAAACAGGGTTAGACACTTGCATCGGTTATAATACGTTATTTGTGATTCCCAAGATTCCAATGCCGAATGGCAAGGGTCTTCCAGATGGGAAGAGGCTTTGGACTTGGTTAATCCAATGCGATGATGGTAGTGCTTTGCGGGATATAACGTGAAGCAGAGTAGGCGCTGACTTGGCCAGGCACGATCGTTTCGATTCAAGAGAACCCGTTCCCAAGACCGGACGTGATGCCCTTGATAGAGCAAACCAAGCCCGTTCTTGATATCGTGCGCCGAAACGTCCGATTTATCTTTGCCGGCGTGTCAAGACAGCACTTAGCCATGTCGGAAAGCGAGTCGCTAATCACAATCCGGGTACGACATTTCAACGACCTCGGTCCCGACCAAGCCAATATCAAGCAGGAGGACGGACCGAGTTTGCTCTTTTATTATATCTTCGACGACTGGGTATCAAGTTACGGTCTGATTGCGAAGCGGGAGCACAAATACGGCGTTGCGCTCGAGGAACTGGTAAGTAGCGGACCTGAGTAAATGTCGGATGTAGCTGACTCTGTGCAGAGAGGCCAGATGCTTGAACGCCCGATCGTGGACCTAGTTAACGAATTGCACTGGTTGGGTCGGCGACTCGCAGTTCTCAAACGGTTATACCAGAGCTACGAACTCATTATGCGACGCCTGCTGCAGCGACAACGTATGCTCCGCGACGAAGCTCGCTCTTTCCACCCCACCGCATTCCCGTATGGTGCCACCTTTGGTGATATGGAGTTTGTCGAATTGCGCCAGTCCAGTCTTGTGAGCAATACCGGGATACCCAGTACTACGGACAAATCAGTGGGGGTGCAGTTGAGCTCGACGGCCGTGGCGCGGTTCGAACGGTTGGTGGATCGTATTAATCTGTATTGTCTGAGCGAGATTGAGAGCTGTCTCAATGAGAAGGAGTCCATGACGTTCCTGGTGAGTATTCCCCGTTTCTCATATGTCCACATGTGGACCGCTGCTGACTCCACAGAACTTCAATTTGATCGCGCTCAAAGACTCGCAAGCCGTTGAGAAATTGACCCGAATCACTATCCTGCTGGCGAAAGCGACCATTTTGTTCCTACCCGTCAGCCTGATGAGTGCATATTTCTCGACGGAACTCAAGGGTGTGAAGGGTGGATACACCAAGACGGATTACTGGGCGAGTTTCGCGGTGATCTTTGTTGTATCCATTCTGCTGTTGACAGTTTTTGGATATGCCAGCGATACGGTGGAAGGCAGGACTATTTATCGGTCTATGGCGAAGACCTTCTTTCGGACCACACGCAGGAAGATGATGGGGACGGAAAGATGAGGATAAACAGTATGACGCGTGTCGTGGGCTGGAACCATGGCTCTTTCTGCCCAGACGGTGAGATAAGTTCTCGGCTTTGGGGCTTTTGGGCCTTGGGGCCTGGGAGCCTTGGAGCCTGGGGTATTTGACTTACGGGCCAACACCGTGTCCTTTTTGATACGCCCATTCTTAGGCACCTACTTTAGTACAGTTAGACAGAATAATAGCTTATTTCGAGGCTGTGTAGATAGGCAGTGATATTGTCTGATTCTCACTCTTTTTATACTCCCCTGACGTGCTCCCACCTCACAAGGCAGTCAGATTGGGTGACAAAGCCTTCCGCGTATTTTGTAAAACAAAAAAACACAATTCCCCCTTAGTCCTTAGTCTCTTAGTCTTAGTCTCTTTGACACTTGACTCTCACTCTTGATTCTTCCCCTATCTCTTCCCCATCCACCTTATACCTTTTTCTGCCGGTAAGTAACTCGGTGGCTCGTGCCCGCCCCCCTGACCCTCTGACCGACAAGTCCACAACACGTTTTCCAACCCCTCCGCTTTTCCCTTTCAACCATATCCCTTGATATCTGACCTCAACCCAGACGTCCTTCCACAAATATGGGTATCACTTTCTCGCGGCTGTTTGACAGACTATGGGGTCGCAAGGAGATGCGAATCCTGATGGTCGGTCTTGATGCCGCCGGTAAGACCACCATCCTCTACAAGCTCAAACTTGGTGAAATCGTCACCACCATCCCCACGATCGGTCAGTCCACCCCTCCACCCGCGCGCTGGGTTCGCATATCCACCCCCGACATTGGAAACTGATTTGGTGCAGGCTTCAACGTCGAGACCGTCGAATACAAGAACATTCAGTTCACCGTGTGGGATGTCGGTGGTCAGGACAAGATTCGTCCTCTGTGGCGCCACTACTTCCAGAACACCCAGGGTATCATCTTCGTGGTCGACAGCAACGATCGGGATCGTATTGTCGAGGCCCGTGAGGAGTTGCAACGCATGTTGAACGAGGACGAGCTCCGCGACGCTCTCCTCCTGGTCTTCGCCAACAAGCAGGATCTGCCCGTGAGCACCCCCGATTGATTCCCAAATCGATACATCAGACTGATTCCCCGCTTTTTTAGAACGCCATGAGCCCCGCCGAGATCACGCAGCAGCTTGGTCTCCAGAGCCTTACCCGCCGCTCCTGGGTGAGTGACCCATTGTCCCCTATCGCCCTATGGCGACCATCGCTAACCCGTCTAGTTCATCCAATCTACTTGCGCTACCACTGGTGACGGTCTGTACGAGGGTCTCGAATGGCTCGCCGATGCGCTCCGCAAATCCGGACGTGATTAAGCTATAATGCGAACGAGAATCGGGGATGTAGTGAGGAAGACAGAAATCTGCAAATGATGATGACAATGGGGAGTTCTTTGCGAGGCCATGACGTTCTTCGTAGGGGGTGTTCTGCTGGCTTGTTCTCTTCAATGGCCTTTTTCCTCCTATGCTATTAGCCTCATTTGTTTTTCCAAAAATTGCTCTCTGTTTTACTTGGTCCAGAGATCTGTACAAGTATGGTAAACCGAATATCGAGGCAATGGCAAATTAGTTCTCCATTTTTAGAAACAACTATATGCGTAACTCATTCTTGGCGTTCCCTGGACTTGTTGCAATTTATAGACAAACATTGACATTGTTAGTATATTGCTACAGAGTAGACTGCTATTACAGTGCCGGCTGTATTGTGTTGTTCCCCACTGACATCGTGGACAGGATACTGGGGTTGCACACTGGGCCGATTGCCTGGCCGACGACCGCCAACAAGCCCGCCAACATACGCCTCATCGCGTGCATCCTCCTTTCCCTTCAACACCCCCCCGATTCACGATCCTCCAGTTCTCAATCCCTATATTCATCCCAAGTAATCTCAGCTAATTGAGTGGTTCACCTTGTTCAAACCCACACTTCAATGTTGAAGTCCTGCCTGGCATCATGACCGTCCAGGCGAGGAGGCACTCAGCAGCCTACAAGTCCCCATCACCCTATAACGCCCGACAAGACACAGATATCGAAAAGCAGCCCACTCTCGGCCGCCACACATACCACCACCACCCGAGCGATGACTCCGACGACGAATCGCTAGACGACGACTCCAACGTCGCAGACTCGTACCCGCCGCCCGTCGTGACCGGCGCAGGTCTCCGTCGTGCCCAAGCAGGTGTCGGCTTTCGCGTGCCCCAGCGCATCATGCGATGGCTGTGCTTCGCTCTCTTCGCTGCGCTCGTCCTGTTCATCCTCACCCTCTTCCGCTTCACCCTGTCTGGCTCCGTGTCACAAGTCGCAGTGGAGCTGCCCAAGGTCGTGGCATCGAAGCCGCCACAATGGGAGAGCTTCCCTTTCCTGTCTCGCTATGAGGGTGGACTGTCATCGCTGGTCTCTCGCAAGGACAATGTCCCTGAGTACCCTGGTGATGGCTCTGAGGAGCTGGCCCTGCGGACGGACCAGAGCGACGAGCAGGAGGAAGAGGATGCCAACAAGGTGAACAAGAGAGATTTGAGACTTAGTATGCAGAGCTCTGTGTTCAATCCTTACCCTGATTACCAATCGCCGGAGTACGTACAAAAATACGGCGAGAAGCGGGAATGCTTCCTCGACAAGGAAAACACACTGCGGGTCCCGTCTGTCCAGAGCTACCCCGGTGTTCCAAAGGGCTTCCCGGAGCCAGCTATGGGCTCGAATACAATGTTGGGTATTCGGGATGACATGTGCTTTGACCGATTTGGTCGCCTGGGCCCTTACGGATTTGGATACGGAGCCAAGAAAGGTGGCTCTGGAGCCGGTTTGGAGGGCCATCGTGACGGTGCTGAGCGTGTGTGGGAAGACGTGCCCCCTGTTGACTTCCGGCCGGTGGATTGGGCTGGTGCGCAGAACCGCTGCCACGCAGCTAACCGCCACCGATTCAATGCGCTACCGGAGCCGCGTCTTGAGCGGTTCGTTTCCATGCCGGTAGGCGTTCCTAAAGTGAATATCCCCGAGCCTGAGGAGGATTCTCACACGGCGCCGCCCAAGACTGGAGCTGAGAAGTTGCCGCGCACTGCGGTGGTTATTCGCACTTGGCACGACTTTGATTACTCTGCTGAGGATATCATGTACCTGCGCTCTGTGATCTCGGAGCTCTCACTCAACTCTGGTGGCGAGTATACCGTACACTTCTTGGTTCATGTCAAGGATACCAACTTGCAGATCTGGTCGGACGATGAGATTTACCAGCGTGTGCTGCATGACTCCTTGCCTGAGGAGTTCCGTGGCATGGGAACCCTCTGGTCAGAGCCCCAGATGGCACTCATGTACCCCGGTCTGGAAGAAACCAATATGCGCGGTTTGCCAATTCACGGCGTCTACCGCAGCACCTACATGCCAATGCAATACTTCGCCTTCCAACACCCAGAGTACGACTACTTCTGGAACTGGGAGATGGATGCTCGCTACACCGGTCACTGGTACCACCTTTTCGACAAAGTCGGCGAGTGGGCTAAGAAGCAGCCACGCAAGGGTCTCTGGGAACGCAATGCCCGCTTCTATGTGCCCTCCGTACATGGCTCGTGGGACGATTTCCGCCAAATGGTCCGTGTACAGACCGAAATTGGCACCAACTCAAAGAACAACATTTGGAGTGCCATGAAAGAAGGATCCGATAAGGGCAGCCCTCTTCACCAGTCAGGCGACCGATCAATCTGGGGCCCCGAACGTCCCGACGAACGAGACATCTTCGAAGTCGAAGGCGAAGGTATCCCGCCTACAAGCATGGACAAGGACCAATACCAATGGGGCGTGGGCGAAGATGCCGACCTAGTCGTCTTCAACCCCCTCTACGATCCCGAAGGCACAACCTGGATCCTGCGCGATGATGTAACGGGTTACAACCGTGAAAAGGGCATGCCACCCCGTCGCACGGCAATCATTACCGCCTCACGTATCTCTCGCAAACTACTCACTACCATGCACCGCGAATGCTCTCTCAAGCGCCACAGCATGTTCTCAGAAATGTGGCCTGCCACAACGGCCCTCCACCACGGCTTCAAGGCCGTCTTCGTTCCGCACGCAGTGTATGTCGACCGCCGCTGGCCGACGCGCTACCTCGAGTCTGTGTTCAACGCCGGCCGGAACGGTGCTTCGGGCGGTGCCCGTACTTCCATCTTCGGTGATCGCGAACACAACTTCCGCGGCACGACATGGTTCTACTCCGCAGGATTCTCACCAAACCTCTGGCGCCGCTGGCTTGGACTGCGAGTTGACAATGATGGCGGAGAGCAGCAGGAGCTTGCAGGCGAGGGGCGGATGTGTCTCCCCCTATGCTATTGCACCCTGTAAAACAAGTAAATATGATCATTGATGACGGAGAGAAGGCCGAGGACCGATAATAGCCTCGCCTCCCTACCATACCCCAAGTTGCGTCTGGTTCCACACCACCCTACCCTAACTTGTATAATGCCCCCAACTCCCACTCCCACTCCCACTCCCACTCCCTCCCATCCCTCACAGCGACATATCGTCAGCCACGTTTTGATCTCTTCTTATATCCGATTTTGGTGCGAAAAAGGCGTTCCCTTTGCGGTTATACGGGCCTATCTGGCTCATGATGCATTTCCGATTTTGATTCACTAGAGTTGAAACTCCACATTGTTGTTGTTGTTGTTGTTGTTGTTGTTGTTGTTGTTGTTGTTGTTGTTGTTGTTGTTGTTGCTGTTACTGTCTTCCGGTTCTAGCAATTAGAGACTTCCTCTAGATTGTGATTGGTCTCATTTCTGCCTAGCACTAAGTTAGGTAGAATGCAAATTCCTCTCGTTTTTCTGTTTTTTGGTTAACGATCGATGGATTGGATGGGATTCGTTGATGGGCATCCTACGTTACTGCCTACTAGGACTTGATTTTTGGTTATAGATTGGATGGTCCTATGCACATAATTCATATTTTTGGTTTTGGGTTTGGTCTTGGTTTTTCGTAATTGTGTAGTCTGGATGATTTATTTTGATTTGATCACTTAGATGAATGATAGAAATGGTAGATGTCGCTAGCTAGCTCGTAATTGAATAGATCAGATGCGATATGACATGCAATGCAGTACTCCAGAACAGAACACCATACCCAAATAGCAATGCAGATAGAATGTAAAAGACAATAGAAAAGCAGACCCAACGTTCCCAACAAACCATTATCTCGATAAAGTCGGACAAGAAAACCTCACACTATGCCCACTCCTCTTATACTTCCCACTACCACCACCATTACCATTACCCCCAGAAACAGAAGAAACAACCGCACTAGCAGACCCCAAACTCTTCGAAACCCCCTTCCTATCCACACCCCCACCCCCACCTACATTAACGCGCGTAGTGGAAACCTCCTCAGAACAAGACCTCATAGACCCCAACGGACTCCTGGCCACAAACTCAGCCGGCGCAAAACAAATCGAACACTCATAAACGCCATCCTCATCAATCCCAAACTCAAGACATGTCCTACAAACCCGATGAGCACATTTAGTCAAGAGAACCTCCACAGCCTCGCCATCCCCAACGCACGTATAGCAGAAATGCGTTGGATACTTGATGCGTGGAGATGTCTGGACCATGCGGCGTTCGATTTCGCTGGCTAGTTCTTTTCCTTTCTCCACGCGTGCGCGGAGGAGGCGGACCCTTTTGCGGAGGGTTGCTAGGGTGTGGGGGTTGTAGGGGTTGTCGGCTTGGTTGGTGGTTGATTTGGTGACAGGCACTGGCACTGGCTTATGGAGGGTTGGAACAGGCTCTAGGAACATGACTGGTCGGAAACGTTGTGAGATGGGTCTGCTGGCCATGCATTGTTGTTCTAGGAGCCAGCGGCGTTTGATTTGGCGGTTTAGGAGGACTGTGTAGATTATGCTGAGGGCTTGCCAGGCGCGCCATTCGGATATTGGGTCGAGGGGGGTTGGGGCTGTGCCTCGAGTTTGTGATCGGGACATTGAGTAAATGTCAAGTATAAATCAGGTAAAAGTAGAAGTAGGATGAAGTTTAGTTCAAGTCGTTTGAAGAGGATTTCTGTAGTTGTGGCGAGTATGCGCAACGGGCTCACAACCCTAACTTGACTCCAGTGTGAATCACAATATCGCACCGACTGCACCGGTACCTGAAGCTCCTCTTTTATACATGCAGGGACTATGCAGGCACTCAGCCACAGCCGTCAAATCGAAAATATAGTTTCGGCCGAAGCACAGGTACGAGCCACATCCCCCGATCTATGTCATACCCCAGACTGAACGTATGTGAGTAAATTGAGTCTTCTTACTGGCTGGATTTCGGACCCTTGGCCACCTTAGCCGAGCGGAGTCTTCCGACCGATTCTGGCTGTCACTTATACTCCTATTCCGGCGAGCTGATCCATGGATTGCGGCTCGGTGACACCGGGTTTCCGCCACCTCGGATGAAGCCGAGGACTTATCGCATTTTTCTCGTTCCGTTTCTTCTTTCGGTTGTTTTTTTTTACCCCGTCTTTTCCTTTGGTTGGGAACTGCTCGGGAAATTTGGTTACCAGATTGCCACTTGGGGGAATATAGTGGACTAGCTGCATAAAAGCCTAATTATATGGGTGAAGAACTCGGGATCTCGGCTACAATCATGATCATGGATCTAGAAGGAGTTCGCTTAGATTGATGTTCCTAAGTTTTTTGCTTGTTACCGACTTCACATCTGGTTGCGGTCTAGACTGAGGTCCGTACCGCGGCTATGGATCTTCACGCCTCGGAGTGGATTATATGTCCGCTGTATACTTCTCATTTCTCATCAATTTGAAAACACTGCCAATTGACATATAATCATGCGCTCATTTGTTGTAAGGATTTGGTGATCTTTAAAGTCCATGATGCGGACTAGTCCACCATAGCTAAAATAAGTAGGCACAGAACTGCCAAGTTGAATGCAGACTCCACTGGTGTTCTACTATCTCTAACTCTTTTTCGGCAATATATATCCGGACTGGTCTTTGCAATCCTTAAACCAGTCCACACGCGCCAAAACACAACTTGTGCCAATGTATCATAAGTTATGCACACACTCTCTCATACACAACCTGTGATGTCAACTTATCACCCCCCTCATTCCCTAACACCCCACTCTCGAACTCGACATATCGCCAAGATGAAATCGAGACTCCCTTGAACCAGAAAGTATACAGACACCAAGTTCCAGAACTCGACCCAAGACTCTTGGCAGCTATTACATACTCCCCCGGAACAGCCTCTTCCCCTCTCCTTTCTCGCCACAGAGGCTCCAGCTCCAAATTCTGGACAAATACACCAGCTGACAGTTTGTCTGCCAAGTCCACCGACCAAATTTCGATTCGAGAGGTAGCGGTATCAGACGCTGTCTCAGCTAAGCGCATGATAAACCGTTTTCTTTCTTGCGGGGTTGCTTGTTCAATCGGGGTATTCTCCTCGCAGAGATATTCTCTGTCGTAAATAGGACTGGTTGGATACCTCGGGTAGAATGTAAGATTTCCAGTGAACCCTCCACTCCCAGAAGCATTTAAACCTGAGGATTGCTTGGTGGATCTCCATGACCCATGCAGAGCACGAAAGATTGCTGATGCGGCAGCCTTTTGTGCTGCGTCATGATGATAGATTAGACTATCTTGCAAGTCATCCAACGTTCTCACAGCCTCCTTGTTTGGGACAGCGAGGACATCGTCTCGATTGGACCGTGTTGTGTCAGTGCCATAAAGATACCGAGCTGGAACAACAGGTCCAGACCGGCTATCACCCGATAGTATAGAACGTTCAATCCCCAGGTCTCTAGCAAAAGACTCCATTAATCCCACATAATCCGCCATAGGAAATTGACCACGAGCAAGATGTGGATCAGCCCGTCTAAGACTTCGAAGTCCTTCCCTCTGATCAGCCGTTTGGCAAACAACAGCCTCATCCTGCCCGTACCACAATTTTCCCAGATATCTCGCTTGCATCTCCATAACACCCCAATAAGGACCACGGTAAAACCCAACAAAACCTACATCTGGAATTTCAGAGCGGACAGTACCCCCTTTATCCAGGATCAAAGGCGAGAAGGGATCTTCTGTGGAGTATTCCAGAGCAGACAATACATCTTCTGGTAACAACGAGAGGGATTTGTAAGGCATAAATCCCGTAGCCATGACAATAGCTGCCACATTATCTATCATCACTGCATCCCCGTTGGGCAGTATGTACTCGACCAAAGCGAGTTTAGTATCGTGGTTTGATTGCACGGAAACAACCCGGCCCATGGCGGCTTGGATCGTCCCAGCTCGCACGAACTCGGCATAGTCATTTCCTATAGCAACCCACGGTGGTTGGACCTTCTTATCGCTATCCTGTGTGAAACCCATATGACCATATCTCTTGTAGTCGCTCCCAAGCAAAGACTGGAAATAGCTGTTGGTCTGGATCGCTTTTTCTTCTGAGACGGGACCTAGCGCGTATTCGATCGTGCCAGGGGGTCGACGGGCTAGATCGTACATTGCCAAGTCCAAGGGTAGGAATGAGGCAGTTTCTTCGGACTCTTGGGGGAGATAGGTCGGGAGAGCCCAGAATGATCTTGAGTGGATGTGGTGGACTTTCGCTGCGGAAGGGTGTATCTGCTCAGTTGATAGTGCGGTTGAGGACTGGTGGAGGGCTACGGCGGATGCAGCTTCGACTCCTGACATGCTGCCACCGATAATGACAATTTGGCCTTGGGAAGTGACATCCGTGAGATTGTCTCGCTCACGGTGAAGGGTCGAACTGTGAATGACCCGTCCAGGAAATTGATCTAGACCTGGTATATCTGGGATATACTGCTGGGCAAAGTAACCTGAGGCTATAACCAGTAGGTCAAAGTCTTCTGAAAAGACCTTACCATCAGGAGAATCGAAGGATGTCTGATCTCCATGTGCACTAGGTAGGACTGAAGTCAGCATACGCTTCACCACCACGAAGAAAATATCCCACAAACCTTTCCTTCACCCATTGAACAGTCCACTTCAAACCCTTCTGATCCCTCACCGATCGCTCCGTCCGCACAACTCTATGCCCTAACCTTAACACATCCCGAGGAATATACCGCTCAGCATAAGAAGCCAGATACCTACCAACCTGACTAGCCCTCGGAAACAACGGCAAATCCTCACCAGGGAATACAGACCCCCAAGCAAGATCGGAAAACGCAACAGTAAAACGACTAAGATTCGTCCGCATGCGCGGATCTAATGTACCCGGCGTGCCATCAGTCTTGGTATCAGAGGCTGGAAACCCCGCCGGCCATAGACCGCCGATCTCATGTCGGCTGTCAAATATGACTGGGGAGAATGCTCCTTGGGGGAAATTGTGTAGAAGGGTTTTGGCTGTGACTAGACCTGAAGGGCCGGCGCCTGAGTTGGATAAGATGTTAATGTGAGGTTATGAGATCGGGGAATGAAATGGCTGTTTTAAGATATTGGAGCTTACCGATTATAGCTACCTTCTTGGTCATTTTGTCTTTACTTGTTTGTAGACGGGCATTCACTGTCTGGGATGTTCGCCCGATGATGTTGGAACTGTCGTTGATTAAGTTACCCCGCCCATTGATCCACTCAGAAACATCGTGGGTCTCTTCTTCTCTACACTACGAAGTAGTTATATTCATGTTGGATAGTATCTGTGCGATGTATATATTATCCTTATGCTATTTAGGCACAGTTTTGTGCGTTTGGAAGTTCCAGTTTATAAGGTAACATTGTAAAACATAAGTTACCGGAAGCAGTGAGGTATACCCCGGCTGTCCGCAACCTTGGCAAGAGGTTGAGTAACACTATTTAGTAGTAAACGCATATTGTAGCATCCAATCAACCAACTCCTGTGTTAAATGGACAATAAACTAAAGACAATGATATAAGCCAAGGATTTAATCTGACTTTGGTGTCACTAACACCGACTTTTTCCAGTTCAGAGGCCTAGCACCTTAACTGTCCAGGATATAAGTCATAATAATAATCTCATAATATTAACATTATATTAACATGATAAAACTGAGACCTGTCAGAGTACATATATTCTAACTCCCAAAAGAATGTCCCAATAATGCTCAAAGCATAGTGAATGGCGTCCCGTCTCGGCATACATACTCCATCCACGTCATGACGTTGACGCCAAGCATAACCCACGGAAGTACCCAGAGGGGAAAGTCGATGATTTACCCTATAAGGCAAGCCAAGATTCCTGCGGCTTGGGCCCCGAATCGCTAGGGATTGACTTTCTGATCGTACTCGGGGCTCTGGGGTGCGGGGGTGGTGGTGTGGAAGTGATCGAAACGTCGAGAAAAAGTCTAGCGTATCTTTGTCGCATGTACATGTAGCTCTGTCGCATTCGCATTCGCATTCCCACAGTGAACGCGGATTCTGATGTCCATTCTCGTTCTCATTTTCATTCTCATTCTCATTCTCGCTTGAATGGTATGTATGTGTTGGCGACAATCATGATACCCGCTGGAGCCATTCGGTGACTTGGATTTCGGGCGAGTTCAGACTGGGTTTGCAGGCTTCGTTGCATTCTTGTTCTGTGACGAGCGTGTCGACGTTTCGCTCGGTCAGAGGGATTTTGTATTGGTTCTTTTTTCGGAGGAGTTCTTTCTCTGCGAGGGCAGAGGGTGATATTTTGGAGAGGGTATTTCGGAGTCGTTGGATGCCTCCGGAGACAGAGCGTTGGATTGGAGGTGGACCAAATGGATGGTCAACCTTCCAGGGTCCTTCTGAGGGCAGTGACTGCGTGCCTTTCTTGGGAGATCTCGCCATGGTGAACGGGGGTGATCTGGGATAGAGGTGGAGAGGGACTGGCGGCAGCGGCAGTTAAGTAGGAATTATTGGCTCTTGGGAGTCTTTCTGGTACTATTTATGCGGGACCTGCGGGGGACGTGCCTCTCTTGTTATTGGAGCTGGAGTTGCCCATGGAGTTTGCGATGCATTAGTCGCCCGCTCCACCTCCTCTTATGGGACAAGGATGTTCGCTATGGAATGCGAATGAGCTTAACTGATCGACTGGGGCTCATCGTTGCTCCGTACGTCGAACGAGAATCCAGTGAAGCCTGCTACGTCATGTCGGGAGAAGATGCCGATCCCACTGTAGGGTGGGGCTTGGCATAAACCTGTTCCATGGAGTATGTGAGGATAGGAGAATTGACCCAGGGAAATGGTCATCTTTGGTCAAATAGAAACCGAAGAAAAACGCCGGACTAATGTCACATTGCTGTCAAACCGCTCTCGTTCGTCGGCATCACAGTCAAAGTCAAATTGTTCCACAGTTGTCTACTCCATGTGATCCTAACTAGTGTGATCTAGATGATCTAGATGTCTAGAGTAGAGTTATTCTCACACTATCACTGCCAAATCTATACAAATGTATAGCACTTCAGCTTTATTGCACCTATATCTTTCTCAATAAGTAAACCTGAAACTAGGATGATCATCTCCAAGGTTCTCCAGCTCCTCCCGCGGCCACTGGTATCGATGATCCCTCTTACCCTGCTCACGGAGACGATTCTCACGATGCAAATAAGTAAAGAAGACAACACACGCCAAACCACAAATCCACACCATACCCAAACTCACACCGAAACCAGTAGCATAGGTTGGAGCCTCCGAATCAAAAAAGACATTGCTGGCAACGAGACCGCCACAATTACCAAATCCGATCTGCATAGCCGACGCAATCGATTGCTTATAATGCCCACCCATGTTGTTGCTAAGCCAGCCCATTAAAATCGGCTGCGTCATGTATCCTCCGCCGGTGATGGCATACAGAGCAAAATATCGGGCACCAACGGGCACTGACTTCTGGCAGATCAGAATCACGTACCCAATTGTGGCGATGATACAGCCTGTCAATGTAAATGCGAATCGATGGCGCAGTCGATCGCTTGCGAAGGCTGTGGCTAGTGCGATCACTGTCGCGACGATGTAAATTGGGATACTCATGACTTGGGCTCGAACGGATGTCCAGCCGAGTTGTTTGAGAATTGTTGGGGTGAAGAAGGATGAAGCGTAGCCGGTGTTTACAATACCAAAGTACATGATCGGACTGTAGATGTCAATATGTGTCAGACCTGAGACAGGACACAATACTCACCCCAGATAAAGCTTGATATCCGAGAATGTACGCTTGATCGCTGGCTTGTCGAAGCGGTTCATTTGCGCCTCTCCATGGTCCTCCGATAGTCTCTGAAGCAGCAGAGCTCGCTCTTGCTCATTCAAAAACGATGCTTTCTCTGGCCAATCCACAATAAGGAACTTGGCAACAATAGCAGCAACGACTGTAACTAGACCTTCTATGATGAAGATCCAGCGCCAGCCGCTATAACCTGCCACACCATCCATCTGGGCGATAGCATAGGCGAGAAGCTAACAGATGATGTTTCAGCTCTGAACGTATCACAACCACACAGGACATACATACTCCACTAACTGCGCCAGCCAGAATGCTAGCACTGAAGAAGACATTCAATCGCCACTGCAATTCATGACGCTTGTAATACATAGCAATCAAATAAATGCAACCTATCACATTAGTGAAGAACAAGTGAGAGATCACAACTTGACAACTGACACACCTGGCATGAACCCTGCTTCAAACAACCCCAATAAGAAACGACATGCAACGAGGCCACCGAAACTTTTAGTTACACCTTGGCAGATTGTCACTATGCCTAATATCGTTTAAAGTTAGCGCAACTCTCTCTCGGCTCAATTTGGCTGTTCATACCCCACAGGAACATAATCCCACTCAACCACCACGACGGTGGCACTTTCCTCAAGACGAGATTGCTGGGAACTTCAAATAGAATATACGGAATAAAGAATATAAAAAGCGCAATATTATAATCATGGCCTTCCATACCCAGATCTTTCTCTAAACCTTGGAGTCGGGCGTTTCCAATGTTGATCCGATCAAGGAAGGCAAGCAAGAAAAGGAACATAAGGATCGGAACAACGTGGATGTCAAGTTTCCAGAGCAGTCGTTTCTCCGCTGAGCGATCCAGCTCTGGTGTTGAAGACTGAGACTTGACATCTTCGACTGTTTCATGGTCGCATTCTTTTTCGGGATCCATTTTGGATATAGTAGGGTATAATGATAAAGTGATCCGAGTGGATCCGATATCTCAATGTGTAAGGTTACATCGAGTAGGACACACCGCGGAAAGTGAGCTTTTTAAGTACAATTTGACCAGCAGTCGATTGCGCTGTAAAACCGCGTTGACTGGGGAAATCCGGGGTATTGCTGATCTTCCCCCGCACGGCCATCTGGCATTCGTTCCGCCTTTTACTCTAAAGGTGAGAATTAGTTCCGCTGTAGAGAATGCCAAGCGCGCCCAGACATAGCTTGGTTGTTATTGGTGTTAGCACGGAGTTGGGAATAGGGTGTCACAATCACATCTGCAAAGTTGGTCCACCTCTAAGCTTCAGTATATTGATCTTAATACAAACAGAGACCCCAGGTTCAAAGCGGGGCTTTGTCCTCATGTTTCCGATCTTGTTGATACGCTTAGGATACTACTTTCCACTAGGCGAAGTTGTACAAGCGCGGAACGGTACTCCGGAATGTCATTCCGCATGTTGTTTGCCCCAGCGGGACGTGCTTGGACAAACCTACATGAGGACAAAGATACGGACAGCCAATAAGCATGTAGCCAAAAACAATACTGAATAGGTCTAGATCTGCGAATTGAATATTGACCTGACATTCCATGCACTCATGACCGATTGTTCAAGATCCAATATTCTTACGAAGAGCAGGCTCCAAAGGGAAAGTCTGCTCGTCCTCTGCAACATCCTTAAAAACCGTATCCCAGCGATCCTGAAGCTGCCGGGGTGTTTCCCATGCATTTTCAGGGTCTCGCAACCAAAGTCTCAATAGATGACGCCTAATACAATCATGCCGTTAGCTGTGTGATAAGAAGCATCGGGCCATATAAGAAATTCCAACTCACTCGTGGCCAGGCTCATCTTTAAATCCATTACGAGCATGGAAGATGCTGAGGTTATTCACATATTGAACATCACCTTTTTGGAAATCCAGAGAAGCTCTATGCTCTTCCGCCAAGAAGTGCAGCGCGTCGAGTGCCTCGGCTTGAGCTTCTGAGATAGGAGGAATATCCTTAGACCGGGGTTGAGCCAGGAAGCCAGTAAAGTATCTGCGGGCGTACTGAATAAGAACGCGTTCGGGTGTATTTGCCGTAGCAGGCTGATGATACAGCAGAGGGCGGAGAGTATAGGGCTTGGACGGATTGTTGAACCTGGGCGTATTAGCTTGCAAGGATTATTCTCTTTTACTTCGGGACACTTAACCCATCGACTGGCCAGTCCTGAGACAAAGTGTGAATAAGATCCGGTCTCTCCTTAGCCAGGATATTATAGACGTGCCAGCTACTAGACAGGTAGCTCTCACCTCCTTCCGCGGCTCGATTGAGACATAGCAGTGAGATGATATCACCGGCATCGGTATGGAAAACCTGCTTATCGGCCGTGTTCGAGGGCGCACCGATCTTCTCCCGCTCAGTTGTGCTAGTGAGGTCTTTGATATGCGATATCACGGGCGAAGTGCCGTTGGCCAGTCGGGTATCCTGCTGGCGCCCGCGGATATTTCCGATATGAGACGATACTCCAGTATAGATAATAATATTGTCTTCGCGGGAGTATTCATCGATACGCAGGCCTCGGAGAACGACAAAACCGCGACCAGTGTGGATTTCCTTTGACAAGTCTCGCAGTGTGGGTCGAAGGGTAGGAAGAGGGAAGGTTGACTGGTTGATATGTCCCAGAGGAAGGTTGAGAGCTGGTCAAATTAGCAAAAAGTTGATACTAATCATTTTGGGCAGTTACACCTTTGAAGCTTTTCAGAGCAGCATCTATTTCATCCAACTGATCATCTTTCAAATGATAAATCCAGTCGTCCCCTTTCTCAACATCCTTTCCTTCCCAAACAAGTGGTGATATGAGCTGCTGTGGAAACCCCGCGGGCAAAGAGGTCTGTAGAGTCTCAGTCGCCTTGCGGCGACGTGTACGCTCTTTATATTTCTCATATTCTGGATGATACTGAATATCAGGCTGGACGGGTACAGTGATAGTCTCAGTAGCAGACATATTGGATATGTTAATCTAACGTTCGTGGTGGTCAAAGGTGTGATAAAAAAAAAGGATAGTCACTGAGAGAGAAGTGGTCATTTAAACTGCGAAGGTTGATAAGCCTCACTTAGGTCTTAAGCATTTATGATCGCGACATAGCCGTGTAACTTAACAAAAATATCTTAGTTATCACGACATCAACCCCGCAAAGCGCGAGATAGCCAGTGAAGTTAGGAAAATTAGTTACAGCGGGGTCTCAAATATTTAGATCAGAACAATAGATTACAATACCTCTAGCAGAAGTCCTCTAGTTTCTTGAGGCCTACTTTTATTACAAAGTGTTCAAAAACGAGCTACGAAGCCGGCGGAAAAAGAGATCAAAAGAAGTGAGACCAGTATACGGAGATAAAAGATGAAGCTATCTATGTCTCCCGAGGTAGAACTGTAGTATAAAGGTGCTCCTAGTATATCTCTGTCTAATAGCTACGATCGCACCATCTAAACGCGATCGACGCAATATCGTCTCGGGATTAGCTGATTAGCGTCCAATAAGGCAAAAATCGTAGAGCAAAGAGTGAGGGCCTCTCAATACCTCCCTCCTCCGATCGACATATTGAAACTTCAGATTAGAATCTATACAAAAATCCAACAAGATGCTCCTTCAATGTTATGAAGTTCAGCTTATCAAGTTAAAGTTGAGGCGAAAGATAACGGCACGTGCGCCCATTAGTCAAGACCATCTTTCCCCAGCCTCTGTATTCGATCCCCATATATGAATGAAATGAGTCAAACCACTAGAAACATCTCAGACATCACGGGCGGCAATCGCGTCGACCCGCATCGTCCGTTTCCCTGTGATAAATGCTCAAAAACTTTTACGCGGAGTGTAAGTACCCCAGCTCCTTATCTCCTCTGCCTAGTTTTGACGCCGATCCGGTCTGCCGCAGGAAAATCTACAGCGGCATAAGCGTGCACGTAAGTCTGCATGAATATTCCTTCATAGAAAACTCCAAATATTGATGCTCTACAAGGTCATGGTGGCGCTTCGCGCAAGGATTTCCAGTGTGGCAGATGTCATGCTCGATTCTCCCGAAGGTCTTGTTTCCACTTTCATGCCCGCCATGCATTGCAATAAAACTGAAAATCTTGCAGCGACGTATATAAACGACATGGTGATCGTTGCCGTGCGACAGGATCTCCGATTCAGACATCTCAGCCACATGTACCGTGGGAGGGTGTGCATACCCCCCGGCAATGGTCGGCATAACACCACCTTTGACCACCAACCCTAACCCAGCCAAACCTGTCGTGACCGACGAAGCTTTTTGGGAAGAGCACAGTACATTTGCTACTGGATTACCCCAAAGTCTCTCATCTCCCTCGCTGAGGTATGCTTGCCTTGAGCTGATTTGTATTAATTGCGTCCGATGTCGTTCCACAGTAAGGGGGACTCATCGATTGAAATGACACGTCTAACAACGGAAACTTAATCCACAGTAACCACGCCAATAACGAAGAAACATACGTCAAGCAGTATTTTGAGCATTTCCATCCGTCTTTCCCTCTGTTGCATCGACCTACATTCACTGTATCCTTGACGCCGAAGTTACTGCTGGAGGCCGTTACTGTCATTGGAAGCTTATTTTCTCCCAACTTATATGATCATGGGGAGACGCGAGCTCTCGCACAGTGGCGTCAAGCTATATGGCAAAGTGGACAGGAAGAGCTTCGGCATATGGTATATGATGAGACTCCACTATCGTGTCGTATGAGAGCAACGTTCTAATCAATATTGAAATAGGTTTCCTTGAATTGCAGTGAGATCAGACAGCCCTGGGTCATGCAAGCGTGGCTTCTCTATATAATCTACGGGGTATACGCAAGCGAAGCAGGTCAATTCCAGACCGTGAAAAAGATGCTGCGGCAACTTATTGATGTCAGTATTGTCTTCTGCAATTTCCTTTTTCCCCTTTACCTAGACTTATCTTTTGATATAGGCTGTACGCGAAATTGGTCTGTCCCAACAGGGTATCGCTATGCCAGATGCCCAGTCTTGGATGTATCAGCATGATTACAATTCACCCAGAGATGATTCGCAAACTCTCTATACACGGTGGATGTCCTATATTACCACTGAATCGATGAGACTGTCGCTGTACACTCTAGTCTTCCTGGACTCACACACGTTTTCGCCCTGCAATTCTCGGCCTTTGATGTCACCGATGGAACTTGGCTGGGAGCTTCCCTTCCCTATCAATTTGTGGGAAGCCAAAAACTCCGAGATATGGCTTTTGAGATTCAATGAGAACTTTGGACTTTCGACTTTTACAACAGCCAACAGTCTGTTACACGGGCCGCGTGGCGTTGGGACCGCCTCTCTGACAATTGCTACTCAGCAACTCATGACCGAAACACCGGACTCGGAACTTTTATCAGCGCTAGAGGCATCCCCCTTTGCCGCTTTTTGCGTTCTGACGAACATGGGTGCTCTTGTGCGGGACTTTACGCGGTGTTACTATCAGATGCCGCCCAGTCCATCCGATCCGAATCCGTTCCATATACTGACTCAGGCTCAGAATAAACAAGTGCACACGGCAATAGAAGCAATTACGAAGATTGTCAAGAAGCAGGCTTACACTGGTGACAACCCCCAGTTTCTCCTATGGAGAACGAACGAGCTCTTCATCTCTTCTCTCAAGATCAGCTTATGTCGCCCCGATCAGCTCTTGGTAGGAGGCATTGTGGATAACAGTTTGATAGCTGGGATGGCTGCTTCCACTCACCTGACTCAAGGAAACCTTGTCGCGATCCGACGGTCAGCACCTCTTGTTCTTCACCATGTCGGTGGCGATGAGGGAATTTTGGCTCTTTTGAATGATCTATCTGGCGCATTGTCCAGAATCTCCGGGGAGGAGCAGGATAAAGTGGTCCGCGAAGCACCATGGGTCACCGTGACCAGTTACGGTGTTTTATTATGTATCTGGGGAGCGCTCAAACGCGCAAGCACCGATATCCGTCACCACTTGAACACATTCAACGAACTCCCAAAAACCTCGGAATCTTGCATGTTGATCTTCAACACCCTTATGGAGTCCGCCCTTCTCAATTTCTCCACAGAGAATGATCGGGTCCGAGACCCCCGTTTGTGGACTATGGATCGGGAGGCTTTCGTTAGTCTGCTTGATGAAGGAGAGTCACTATTTGTCAATTTAATCAAGGCCTTCTGTCAGCGAAGATCCGTGTGGGGGATCGGGCCTTCCATGCTGGCTGTCTTGGGCGAGATCCCGGGTACTGGGCCCGAGTGAACCCGTCGGGTGTTGTCCGAGCGAGTGGACGGTGGGTACACCAAGTGGAGCTCCACATCCCATTCGGTTCCTTAAGTTCGGTCAACCTTAACTGCAATCCGTTTTAAACCCGCGAGGAAGCTAAAGGCTTCCGGAAAGTTTTCAAATCGAGCAACTGCAATCTAAAGAGCCAAAATGACATCATCGACACTGAGAGTTGGCTGGGTAGGTTATCATCCCTTATTTGGTTGCTCATTTGCTGACCGGGCGTCAATAGTATGGCCTTGGATCGATGGGGCTGGGAATGTCCCTCAATCTCCAAAAATATCTTCAGAGCAACAAGTTGTCGCCACTTCGTTACAGTAACCGCACTTTGTCAAAAGGTGGTAGTCTGCGTGGTGAAGGAGCCATACCTGAAGAGAAGTTCGAAGATGTCGTCCGACATTCGGATGTAATTTTTACAATGGTAGGAAGTGCATTTGTTTGTTACAGGACGTGCGCTGTATTGACGAAGACAAATAGATCTCCAATGACGATGTCCTAATGGACCTGATTAACAAGGCCCTATTCGCGGGCGATTCATTGAAAGGCAAAATATTTGTAGACACTTCTACTATTCATCCAGAAACATCAGAATGGGCCACATCGCGCCTCAGTGAATACGGAGCAGCATTCGTAGCTGCTCCAGTGTTTGGTGCTAGCCCCGTGGCAGCCGCTGGGAAGCTGATTTTCGCGGTAGCCGGACCTGCTATGGCAGTTGAGACAATCAAACCTCTTATCACGAACGTTATGGGACGTAGCATCATTGATATGGGAAAAGACGTGCGAAAATCCAGCCTCCTCAAAATTTCTGGGTAAGCATCAGCTCAATCTGTGAAACAATCATCAACGTTGAGCTAATTCACTCCTTTCCCCAGAAATATCCTCGTTATCAGCTTCATGGAAGTGGTTGCCGAAGCACAAGTATTTGCCGAAGTGACGGGGATTGGCAGTCAACAGTTGGAGGAATTTATTGGCAATATGTTTGGTCCCGTGCTCGAGAGCTACTCCAAACGTATTACTACTGGCGCGTATGCACCGCCACTGGGCACGTCTCCCGGGTTTGCAGCCGCCCTTGCAAGCAAAGACATGAACCACGCTCTCTCCATCGCTGCCAGTCATTCAACGCGTCTCCCAACGCTCGAAACTGCATCACATCGTCTTATGTCAGCCCGAGAATATGCTGGTGAGTGCTTGGATAGTTCAGCCATGTATGGAACAGGGCGAATGGAAGCGGGCCTGTCTTTTGGAGCGAAAACAGTCGACAGGGAAACTGAGTCTTTTGCTTCTGACCAAACAGAACGTTTGTGTTTTTACTTGAAATTGATCTAAGATTCACTCAACGCTTCCTGGCTTGTTTCCTTCCAAAAAGGAAAATACAATAAGGCCATGTACGTTGCCTTGCGAGTGAACCAGCTATTAAGAGCGTTAAGCTTTAGAACAGAAAGACGCCTGATGCTTGATGGTAGCAGTGCTTTTTCTACAGACAGCTTAAATTTCTATGTAATTCCAAATTCCACCCAAGTCACAGAATTTTCGTAGGCGGAATTTACTCTCTTAACCAGATAGTATAGACTGTTTCTCAATTTCTTTCTTCTAACGTTAACTCTCAGATTTCATGTTCATTTAGTCATTCCAGAATATACAGGTTGCCCCTGCCAATCCCATACACCTTTACAAACGTTTCTCCAGATCAACGACCTCACTTATTGGAGCCACAATTCCTTGGCTCAAGGTCGCGATTGTTGTATTCCCTAGTGGTCTGCGTCCCCGGCCCGTACCGTATCCGAAATGATGGGACACAATAGCTTTGACACCCGCAATGCCCACCTTGGTGAGGGCCCAGTCTGCATGACTGAGCTTGGACTGAAGCTCTTGTGCTGCCTGAAGCTCGCCCTTCTCATAGTGCCGCAATACCTCCACATGCAGCTTAGGTACAATGTTGGCGAGTGCGGCAATAATCCCGTTCGATCCAGCGACGAGCGCGGGAAGGAAAAAGTCTGACTTTCCACCAAACGCAGCAAATGATGTCTCTGAAAGTGCAGATGAGACACGTTGGAGCTTTCCAACGTTGCCGCACGTGAGCTTGCACCCGACAACATTTGGATTGGACTCGGCTAGGCGGATTATGGAGTCGGAACTGATGTCGATTCCTCCTGTCACGCCAGGGAAGTTGTATATGAGAATAGGAAGCTCGGATTGAGATGCCACCTGCATTTTCAAGTATTGTTAGACCATTAAAACACGAGAGAGGGTTTTCCTTAAGGATATGGAAAGATCTTACATCATGGAAGAAGCCTCCAATAACGGATGCATTCATGGCTGCAACCCAGTATGCCGGTGGCAACACGAGAGCAAAATTGGCACCGGAAGCTTTAGCCTCTGAGATATATGATAGCGTTTCCCGCACACTAGGTGCGCCACAACCGACAATCAACTGCAATCCTGTATAGCCCAGATGGTCAAGGTAGTCGCGGACAGAGCGCACCAGAGTCTTGCGCTCGCCATGATCCAGATGGGGAGCCTCTCCATTGCTTCCCTGAAGCACAATGCCGGTGACCCCGCCTTCAGCCATGCGCTTCGCATGAGCCAATGTGCTTTGGAGATCGAGGGACTCGTCCTCCTCGAAGAACGTTACTAGTGGCGTATAGACACCGAAGTTGGGCTTTGCTGGTGCCATTTCGTTATGATGTTTGAATGTGAGGGATTGAAGAAATGCTGACAGTATTGGAATGCTGACAGCTATTTATTGCTCCCACTTGCCCTCATATTCATCGAGCTCGACTGGTAATTGTCTTGTCGGTGGAGCTCCACCTTGTTGTCCATCGCCGGGCTCCGCCATTATGGATTGAAAGGCACATAACGCAATCAAGGCTAATATAACTGACTGCATTGATTTTTGCTATTTCTTCCTTTGCTGAATATTCTACTTACATTCAAAAATCACTTACCACCTGACCGGCACAATGAGCTTTGTTTCTCCTTCGTTTTTCGAGGTCGTGAACTATACGCCCCCGGACGCTATCTTCGAGCTCACCAAAACATACAATGCCGATCCACTTGCGCGCAAAGTAAATCTTGGGCAAGGAACGTACAAAGACGAAAATGGCAACCCTTGGATCTTGCCCGCGGTGCGATCGGCAAAAGAGAAGATCAAGGACTCCAACCATGAATATCTCCCGATTCTAGGGCTCCCATCATTTCGGACACTGGCAGCGGATTTGGTCTTTGGCAAGCATTCCGCCGCAATCCGTGAAGGCCGAGTAAGTAATATTCATCTTCTTTCAGATGGTCATTCCGGCATTGACTTCTTGGGCTCCTCCAGGTCGCATCCTGTCAAGCTCTGTCCGGTACAGGGGCACTCCACATCGCCGGAACAATGCTTAAGCAGGTGCTAGGTCGCGATACAACCGTGTATATAACCAAGCCTAGCTGGTCGAACCACCGCCAGGTTTTCGAATCAATTGGCTTCGCAGTCCGAGAATTCAATTATTCGTCTAGTGCCGGTGTCGACATGCAATCATTGATCCAAACACTGAACGAGGCAGCCCCAAAGTCCATATTTGTCTTTCATGCCAGCGCCCATAACCCAAGTGGCTGGGACTGCAGTCCAGTCCAATGGAAACAGATCGGTGCTATTGTGAAGGAGCGGCAGCTTTTCCCCCTTTTTGACGCCGCGTACTTGGGATTGACTTCGGGCGACTACGATCGCGATGCATTTGCCATCCGATATTTCGCCGATGAGCTTGGTCTTGAGATCGCCGTGTGTCTTTCTTTTGCCAAGAGTATGGGACTCTATGGTATGAAGATGATTCTAGTGCTATCTTTCTCCGTCTTATGCTAACCTGTGACGAATGTTCAGGCGAGCGTGTCGGATTGTGTGCCTTTTCGTCGAATACTCCCACGATCGCAGCTGCCGTCGAATCAAGTCTGGCACGAATGATCCGTGCTGAAATATCTAACCCCCCTGCATTCGGCGCACGCATCGTAGCTGCGGTTCTGGAAGACGAGGAGCTTTACGCACAGTGGCGGAAAGATCTCGTCACAATGAGTTCGCGAATGGCAGAAATGCGTTGCCAATTATATCAAGGTTTGACTGAACTTCGTACGCTTTCCGAACCCTTTCAGGATTTCATATGGAATGTCACTGATGGTTTCTTAGGCACCCCTGGAGACTGGAAGCGCATCACCGAGCAAAAAGGGATGTTCTGCATCCTTGGTCTCACCCCGGATCAAGTACACCATTTACAAAGTAAGTGAATGGAAACCAGGTGTTCCGAGGTGCAATTATTGTTTTCCGGATAAAAGTTCCATATTTTCGGGCCTGAGAGGGCTAGCTGACATGTGTCTGACATAGAGGAATACCATATCTATATGGCCGAGAGCTCGAGGGTATCTATTGCGGGGCTCAACGGGTCTAATGTTCGGTACGTTGCCGAATGCATCAATCAGACAGTGAAGCGATAAGATGGATTATCGTTGTCGGTGGACTGTGTCGAGTATCAGATATGAACTCAATTGAGTCACAGATAGATAGTCCCAATGCCGGATAAGTAAATTCCTATTTGCATCGGCTATTCCCGGGCGCACAAGGGTTACGTGGTACGCCAACAAGTAAACTTTCGACTAAGAACCTTCTGATAAGCCCGTCCACAAAGTGTCAAGATGGAGCTCCACCAGAGATATGTCCACCTCCACAAAGTCCGGGGTACAGCTTGTGAGGTTGGCCACTTCCTCATAGGCTGTCAAATGCCCTCCCGATGACCCAATATCAGAGAGGGGATTTAAAGAGGAAGCCATTGCTTCGTGATTCTGGCATTCGAGGCTCTTTTGTACAAGGTGCATCAAACTGAGACAACATGACCACAGTGTCAAACGATATGAAGCTATCCGAGGTTCCATCAAAGCGTGATACGGAGCAAGCGGTCATGGACATTCAGGATGGAGACCTGAAGCAGCACGAGGTCCGGGACATCGATCCT